GTCTCTTGTCAAAGTGTGGTATAGCCGTTTCGAAAGGCAGTAATGTGGCATTCTTTCCTTCTGGAAGGATTGCGCTATGCTTCAAGTTGCCCGAGTCTTGTGTTCCAGGCAGGAACAATGGGAAATCGGATCTTTCTTTGTTTGGCATTCGACTGAATTTTTACTTATCATTCGAGTTCTGCGTAGCTTTTGCTTCTTCTACTTTGATCGTTCGAAGCAGAGCGATATTTATCAAGTACGACGCAACAACATTTTACGTCCAAAACATCAGTTTTTCCATCTCTGTTTACTCATTCATTACATCTCCCCGGAAACGAAATGCGTTCGATTCACTACATTTCCCCTGCTATCTTTGCAGCTTTGGCCCACGCCAGAACCGACCTTGCCGGCTGCACATCAACGGACGTATCGTCACCTGCCGGCGCATCTGTTGCCTGGTACGTCCCAGGCACAGGAGAACTGTGCGAATTCCTGGACTGTGGAGGTGGAAGGGCACCACCCAAGACTACTGTACCGGGATGTGCTCTGTATGTAGGTACGGAGACATACAAGCCTAGTTTCCTTGCTGGATTGGGTGTGTCTATGACGGCTGGAATTGGAGGTGTAGCAGGTGTTGAGGCGAGCGCTACGTCTGTTGCTGCTTCTACGTCCTCTGTTGCTGCTGCTGCTGCTGCTGCTGCTGCTGCTGCTGCTGCTGGTCCTACTACTGCCACTACCGGGGACGATAATGTTGATGAAACTGAGACGTGGGCACCAGAAGCTGCTTCGACCACTACATCTGCGATGGGCGCTGCCGTCACTGGAGTCAGCAACTCTGACCAAGGATCCACCACCACCTGGAGTTCGGTTGAGATCGATAGCACGACTTTGGCTGGTCAGGAGCTCACCGCCCCTAGCACTTCCTCAATCGCGACTTCTGCTGTCTCTGTTACAAAATCCACTGCTTCCTTCACGACAACCACAAAGAATCTTCCTACATTGTTCTCGGCATCCAACACATCGTCAGTGGCGACTGGCAGTTTGAGCATGAGCATGAGCAGATCGTGGGTCAAGACCGTTCCAACTTTTGCTAGAGGCGCTGCTGATGATGTTGACAGGGCAAAGCTGTCTGCTTCCAGCTCGAAGACTAGGTCAGCTTCTGCATCTCTTGCGACCTCTACTGGTGCGGCAGGCAAGATTGTTGTTGTTGGTAGTTCGGGTGTCTTCGCTGCTGTGGTTGGAGCTTTGGCTGCCATGTAAGGGTTATAATATTGAGGTGTGAGCGGACAGGATCAGTATTTCAGCAGAGGATAGATAGCGTCTTTGTGTGCTCTAACACTGTTGAGCATGTAGTTACGATAATACGCAATGCTTTCTGAGAAACCAGGCATAGTTCATCGAACAATGTGATGTCGGCGCTCTCTTTTTGAACAGATCTTGAATGTTGAAATCGTTATGTATCCTGACAGATCACAACAATGTTTTGTGTCGCTGCGAGAGAAGTTGGAGGGAGAGAAGAGGAGGAGTCTGAAGTATGCAGCCGTCGAGACTTATCCTCAAGTGCACAACTATGATGCACATGCACAGTCTGCATAAATCTCATCACCTTTTTCTTAGACCACCACATTCTGTATCACTCATCCCTCCACGATTGACATGTCACGACTTCAAACTCAGACAGCAGATCCGGAATGCTCAATATGGCACCATCTCTCTGAAAACACGTTTCGACAGCATCTGGTCGACCTCGAGAAAATCACCAATGCCGTGCCAGTGGAGCCGCAGACTTTTCTTCTGGAAGCACGCCGTCATGAGTTCGCAGACAGATATACTCTACCATTGAGCGTAGAGCAACTGGTGGCAGACGACTTTGCATTCTTGGCTGCGATTGAAGAAGGAGCTCAAAGCGTCGCAGCCGTGTGCTTGGAAGAGCAACTCCAACCACCTCATCTCACAGTACGGTTTGCAGCGCTGGATCTCTCGCTAAACGACGAAGTGGAGGATGCTCTGAGGTCAATAACCTTTATTCTCGACATTATTTCAGAGGCTGATAGTTCAGCCCGCACGGAAAAATTGTTTACACAAATCGTGAACTTACACTTTCGACGACTACTTGCACGGCTTCGGTCTAGCAAATGGGAAAAGCCAAAATATCTTGCAAAACAGCATAAAAAGCCTTTGTGGCAGGACTTTGCAAATCTCTTGCATCGGGTTCAATTTGTCTATACCAAGAAAGAAGCGGCTTTGAGACGCTCAGTCGAAGCCCATGTGCAAAACCTTGCTGCAGTCTACGAAGGCTTTGAAGCAGTCGAGGCAGCATCACAAGACGAGATTGTTTATCTGCAAAACCTGATCAAAGCAAGTTACCACTTCTGCAAAAGGCAGNATATCGTGGACTTTGCACAACGACTGGAAAACAGTGTCACTGTGGCGCCGACACCCAAAGTTGCATCAGCCATCAAATGCCTGCGTCAACTAGAGAAGATTGGGGCGTACTGGCGAGTCACCACATCTATGATCGATGCAAGTCTGAGATACCCTGCTCTCTTTCAAAGAAACCTACAGTTGGCATTCTTGACACCATATGAGCCCGTTCCCACCACGATTGGCCATGAGTCGTGGGCAACGAGCTGTCATGTACATGCAGAAGTCCAACTTGCTGTATACTACGATTTGCTTTCTCAGACCACATCAAACTCACCACCGACTTTTCTTCCTCCTCGTGTTATCGGGACTTCGAAGTGGCTTTGCTATCTCTGCTACCAGTTTTTACGAGCTCATGGTTCTTTTGTTCCCGTCAACACTCATGGAAGACTGTACGATCAATGGACAATACCGGATCTGGCTGATTATGGAGAAGAGCTACGCGCTCGGTATCGCGGAATCGTATGTGATATAGATGCAGAGGTGGTTAGGGAAACAGGGACTAGCGACTCTGCTGAGGAAGGCTCTATCTTGAGATGGCGTGCTGAACCAATGACGAGTCGACAGAATCTGTTGGGTGTGGATGGCACATTCTGATCATTGAGCCTGTAGCAGCGACGCAAAGTGAAAAGCGAGCTGCGGGAACAAACAATATCAAGGATGGAAAATGCATTGCGTCGGCCAGTATCCGGCTTCACAGTCTGCAAAAATCACCATTAGCGCTGTCAAGTGGAATGAAAACATCAAGCGGGGCACATGTCAGTGACACTCACTGGCAATGCTCCGACTCTGGAGACTTTCCCCGAACCCAGTACGGCTGCTCCGACGAAACAAGGCCTCTTACGAAAGTAAGCCTGATGAAGTGCCAAAGGATGCGCATAAAACATGGTGCCGTCAGGGCTCGAACCCGCGCTCTTGATACCTCCCGGCGTAAAGAAAATAGCCGAGAACTTCGCACCTGTTCTTCCCAGACTCGCTCCAGACTCGACGCCTCTACAACATATTTGTAGAGCAGTAGCACTTATCGGGCGAACAGCATAAAGGACGAGAAGGCCATAAAAAGAGCAAAAAACTGGTATACAGAAAAACCCATCCCAGAGCTCTTCATACGTCGTGTTTGGTTCGCGTATTACTGGCACGTGGCTGTGGTGAGGTATTTTTTTTGGTGAGCTTCCAAGCCACTACACCAAAGGCGTCCCTTTGAGTGACCAAACAGTGGGAGGTTGCCGCTGGGAGGGTCCCAAATTCAGTCGTATATAAAGGTAGATGCGACAAAGGCGGCAAGATTTGGCATTCGACTGGCAACGCACCAGCGGCTTCTCACCACCAATATGCTCCCATGCTTCGTGATGGTGCAATGCAAACCACGTCGGGCTTCATCATCCTTTGATTGGTGATCACACCTAACCCTTGGATCTTCGAAAACCGCGCGACGGCAGACGAAACGGATTCTGGTTCTGACGTGAACGTTCGGAAATCCATCTCGTAGTCCGGCCTACATCTTTTACAAGCACGCGTCGATTTGTTACGAATCTCTGATTTCTGGAAGCACTGGCGATGCGACCTGGGTGTATGCAGGCAAAGTGGCAATGCGTTGCTGGTGGAGCTGGCGAGGAGGCTGTTGTGCCAAATGCTGTTATGTAGAGCTGTAATATTCGAGTCGATGTATGGACGACTGAATGCGAGGTTCACACGGCCATCGTGTGTTGCCAATGGGAATTTAGCGCACAGTGCGCTCATGTCCAAGGTCAATGTCCTCTGGCTTTCTCTTCCTCCCGTTGCGACTACGCCAGATCATCTCATCCCTTCTCAATTTAGATTGGTATCTGGCGCAGTTGGTGATCGAGTGATAAGGAATCTTGCAGTGGCCACAGTAGTCAACTTCCAATGTGATCTTGCCATTGACTGCACGCCCTGCAGTTGCCAGAGCTCTGACTTGTTGCGCCATCTTAGCTTCTTGCTTCTGAAGTGTTTCTTTGTCTTCAACTGCTTGGATCATATCGGCAAATAGAACCTGAGTTTCTGTAGCGGTGGATGGCTGGATCCAGTTGGTCCTCTCGAAGTTGCTCACAGATGTTTTGAATTGGGGTCTGAGTCCTTGCAAGAAGAAAGTGGTCAACAAAGCATCATCCAAGTCGAGCTTCCTATCTATGGCCGGTATGGAATATCTGATCATCTCGAAGTTGACCGCATATTCCGAGATCGANAGAGTTTCCTTAGGAGATGGTCTTTAGGCGGCGTACGAGGTCGGACAGATCTGCCGAATAGATAGAACTATGGGCCGAGGGTAGAGACATTGCTGTGATCAAATCCACTAGGCACAGCTTTCGGTTCAGCTGGATTCCGTCTCGATGGAAGGCATTGGCTTTGGAAGAAGGCGGTGAGAGCGGCAGTCGGAGGTCGGAGTTTGGGCGCAACGACAATGACGATGGCCAAACAGAGCACCTTCCGATCTTGCACTTGCAGACCAACAATTCGACCACAGACATCCACTCAGACGATCGCGCTCTGCTCACTCGACTCTTGTCCCACGCCAAATCAAAATCCCAGCCCACGACATCGTCCGTTCCATACCATCAACACACCACATCATCACCATGGAACAAACCCGAGCAATCAACGCGCTTGCACCCTTCCTCGCCCTGTCAAAGTCGGCCACTTCAGCTCGCGCAGCTGCTGATCTCGTCACTCAAGCCACTTCGGCCGTGCACACATATGTCTTTGGCGAGCTCCTCCAGACGCCAAACATCCAGAGTCTCCGCGACGATGCCCAATACCGCAACTACTACACACTGTTCGAGCTGTTCGCCTGGGGCACATGGGCCGAGTATCAAGGTATGCTTCCACATCCACTTCAATCTCTACATGACCAAGACTAATGGTCGCTTTGCGCAAACANNGCTCTCGCATCAACACTGCCCTCGCTATCACCCGCCCAAGAACATAAATTGCGTCTACTCACTCTCCTCACCCTCGCCGCAAACACAACAAACAACAACCCGCTCACATACACAAACCTTCAATCCGCACTCTCGCTGGACTCGCCCCTGGCCCTCGAACGCCTGGTCACCGACGCCATCTACGCCGACCTGCTCACCGCCAACCTAAACCCCGCACAAGGCATCGTCGCTATCAGCAGTGTAGCCGCCCTCCGCGATCTCAATCCTGGCAGCGTAACACGCATGATGGCTTCACTAGACGCTTGGAGCGGCAGATGCGATGATGTGCTCAAGGACCTCGAGGCCCAGATGAAGAGTGTAATGGAAGCCGCAGAGAGAAGAACAAACGAGGAAGCCATGCGTGCAGAGCAGGTCCACAGAGCTGAAGCCAACGGCAAGAAGAGTGACGACACTGCAGACGATGCCATGGAGGTCGACGATGGCGGCCAGAAACTGGGAGGCAAGAAGAGAGGTCTTGGTGGTCTGGGCTTGAGAAAGAGATAGGACTCGTTCAGCGAGAGCTTCAAAAATAGTTTGAGGCTGCGCAAAGAGAATCTTTTGCTTCTGGGTTACATAGAGAGATGGCTAGAAGAGGCTGACATGTTACAATTACTGCACCTCAACACAAGAGCATGAGCTTTGCTCGACAATCACGAAGAATACGAAACACATTTACCAAAGTCAAACACGAGGAACACGTTATTGAAGAAACGCTCATGAATTTGTATTGTTTCCTTATGACAGGAAACTGTATGCGATGGGGTATAAAAGAGAAGAAAAGGAAAAAAGGAGGTGATAACAATGCGCCCGGGCAACGACGAAAAACCCAATATGCAAAAATTTCCCGTATACACCACACAACTCTTTCTCTCGAACCAAGGAAATGGTTCTTTCCTCCTTCGAACGCCCGATTGAAACTCGAAAGACAGATCTAACGCCGCGCCATATGCAAAAGGGTGGTGGGGAATCTAACAATTCCCTGTCGAGATGATCAAGAGCTGTTGGATCGCATAAGCATTTCCTACGAGGACACACTGTTAGCGCGACTGTTACATCAAAGTGCATCGAGAAACGCTTACCCGCTCAATGGGGTCGCCGAGGTCTGCCGTCACAATCGAGGGACTCTTAGTCGGATTGGTCGGCGAGTCGGTGTATCCACGAATATCCAAGATCGGCCTCCTGGGCGTGCTGACTTTGCTGCTACCTGCGCTATTCGCTTGCTTGCCATCATCGCCTTGTGTGAGTGCCAGTCTCTGGTCCTTGTTGCGTTCGAGTAATGCCCCTCCCATGGTCGCACACTTGAGTATGGTTTGAATGAGCTGGTTAGGCTTGAGCGGCTTCGAAAGGTACTCGTCCATCTGGGCTTGAATACACTTTTCGCGGTCACCCAACATGGCGTGGGCTGTAAGGGCAATGATAGGCGAGCGGGTGAGCTGGTGCTCGCGCTCGTATTGACGGATGTTGGCAGTGGCTTCGAAGCCTCCCATGATGGGCATTTGCACGTCCATGAGAACAACATCGTAGCGCTTCTTCTTGATAGCTTCGAATGCTTCCAGACCGTTGTTGGCCACGGTGACTGTGTGGTGGTGCTTCTGCAAAATCTTGACCGCCAGCCTTTGGTTGACCGCATTGTCTTCAGCGAGCAAGATGTCGAATTTCATCGAAGGGTCCGCAGATGTGGGTGCTGCACGTCCTTCCAATGCTGGAATCAGCGCGTTGCCCAGATCGATGGACAGACAAGGCGTTGTCATATAACTTGCAATGCCGTCTTCGAGTGCTGACTTGAAACTCATGCTGATGATAGGTGCAAGCATGACGATGGGGATGTACTTAAAGTCCTCAACGTTGCGAAGCTTGCGAGCTGTCTCTCTGCAATCGACCAGAACGCAGTCGTAAGCCTTTCCAGCAGCTATAGCAGCCTGAGGTGAAGGTACTTCATGCTCGTTGTGGACAATCATGGGTACAAGCTGAAGATTGACAAGATGCTGAGCAATCTCTTCAGAGCAACCGGTCTTACCAGTGTCAATGAAGAGTACGTTGTGCTTGCGGTAAGCTCTGAGCTGCTTGTCGATGGCTTTAACATCGGGGTTGCCAACCTTGAACTTGACGGTGAAGTAGAAGCAACTGCCTTGACCGAAGTCAGACTCAACCCACATTCTGCCGTGCATAAGAGAGACAAGTCGTCTTGAGATGGACAGGCCAAGACCAGTACCACCGAAGCGGCGAGTGGTTGAGCCATCTGCTTGCTGGAAGGTGTCGAAGATAAGATCAAGCTTGTTGCTCGGTATTCCGATACCAGTATCACGAACAGCAAACTGGACTGCGTACTCGCCATCCTCGCATCCGACTTGGTCCGCCGCGGAGATGGAGATTCTGACTTCGCCCTTGTCGGTGAATTTGATGGCGTTGCCAACCAGGTTTAGGATGATTTGACGAAGTCTGAAGGAGTCTCCGACAACGTAGTCCGGTACTGAACTGTCGACATAGTAGGCAAGGTCGAGGCGCTTCTCGTTGGCCTTGACTGCCAGACCCTTGAGACCATTGAAGACTTGACCACGGAGAGAGAATGGAATCTCCTCGACAACCATGCGATTGGCCTCAATTTTGGAAATATCGAGGATGTCGTCAATGATGGTCAACAGACTGTTAGCCAAGTTAAATACCAGGTTGAGCATCTCTCGCTGGTTTTGGTTCAGGTCAGTGTCAAGAGTGAGTTGGGTCATTCCGATGATTCCGTTCATGGGCGTTCTGATCTCGTGAGACATGTTGGCAAGGAACTCCGACTTGGTCTTGTTGGCCAATTCAGCAGCTTCTCTTGCAGCGGTGTTCTTCTGGATACTTTCACGCAAACCAGTAACCATCTTGTTGATCTTTTGCTTCAGCTCGTTCATTTCGCCAGATGCTTCGACAGTGATCATCTTGGTGAAGTCGCCGTCCATAGCGGCGTTGGTGATGTCTCCAAATGCTCGGACTTGTGAAGTCAGGTTTTGGGCCATGGTGTTAACGTCGGAAGTGATCTCCTTCCAGCGACCAGAAATTCCGTCGACTTCTGCTTGACCACCCATCTTGCCATCAACACCGACATCGCGAGCGACACGCTTGACAGCAAGAGACCAGTTGTCAAGACGACCAACCATGTCGTTGATGGTGTTCTTCAGGAGCAGGATTTCTCCCTGTGCATGAACCTTGATGACTTGGGTCATGTCACCGCGAGCGATAGCTTGGGTAACGTCTGAGATGTTGCGGACCTGGTTGGTCAGGTTGTTGGCCATGGTGTTGACGTTGTCAGTCAAATCCTTCCATTTGCCTTCGACATTCTCAACTTGGGCTTGTCCACCAAGCACACCCTCAGTGCCGACCTCTCTTGCCACCTTGCTGACCTCGAAAGCGAAAGTGCTCAGACGGTCAACCATGGTGTTGATGGTGACCTTCAATTCGAGAATCTCGCCCTTGACCTCGGCCCCAACCTTCTTGCTGAGATCACCTCTGGCGACAGCTTTGGTGACGTGAGCGATTTCACGCACTTGAGTGGTAAGGTTGTTGGCCATGCCGTTGACATTCTCGGTGAGATCTTTCCATGTGCCTTCGACTCCATGCACGGTAGCCTGCCCACCAAGTCTTCCTTCTGTTCCGACTTCTCTGGCGATCTTTGTGACTTCGTGAGCAAATTGTCTGAGTTGATCGACCATAGAATTGATGGTCGATTTGAGCTCAAGAATTTCACCCTTGCACTCAGCCTTGACTTTTTGCGTAAGATCACCCCGTGCGACGGCAGTGGTGACCTCGGCGATGTCTCGTACTTGGGTTGTAAGGTTGTTGGCCATGGCATTGACATTGACTGTCAGGTCGTTCCACATGCCCTGCACGCCTTCGATCTGAGCTTGACCTCCGAGCACACCTTCAGTGCCGACGTCACGAGAGACGCGGGTAACTTCTGTTGCAAAGGTACGCAGTTGGTCGACCATACCGTTGATAGTCTGCTGGAGTTGCAGTATTTCGCCACGAGCAGGGCGTTGGATCTTGCGGCTGAGATCGCCCTGGGCGACTGCGGTAGTCACGACGGCGATTTCTCGTACTTGGTTGGTAAGATTGTCGGCCATGATGTTGACTGTAGGTGATTAGTGGATGGACCTGCAAACAATAAGGATATTCTGCATACCGTTCTGTGTCAACTCAGCCCAGATACCACTGACACCAGGCAAGACGGCCTGGCCGCCGAGTCTTCCTTCGGTACCGACTTCACGGGCGAGATGTGTGACTTGACTGGCGAAATCTTGTAGTTGATCGACCATTTTGTTGATTGTACGTTTGAAGGTAGCAATTTCGGGATCACGCTCTTTGGCGCTGATGAGCACCTTTTTGCTGAGATCACCATTGGCGACAGCAGTGACGATGCTGCCAATTTCGCGGAGGACTTTTTGGTAGGTGGCATTGATTTGTTGGTTCTTGGACAATTCGCGCTTCAGGGTCTCAACGTCGTCCATGGAGCTCTCGATGCCACCGAGGGCTTGCTCGGTAGCCTGGCGCTGCTGTTGCAGAGTCTCGTTGATGCTGTCGATGTATTCTTTTTGGGCCTTGATCTGTTCGCTCTGGCGATCGACATGGTCGCGAAGAACTCCAAGCTCTTCTTCGGTCAGCTGACGCGGTACGGCAGTGCCTTTAGGACTCTCCGACTTGGCCAGTAAACTATTTACCAGTGATGCAGAGCGAGGTCGAGAAGCCAAGACACGAGCAGCGGTAGGCGAGCTCTCTGGCGAGAAGGCAGACTGTAGCGGCTCGTTGGGGGTGATGGGAAAGACGGTCGAGGCCGAAGAAGCGACTCTGTTTTCAAGATATTGCACACGGCTGGCCAGGGCAGCGACTTCTCGCTCGAGTTGACGTTTGGAGGCAGAGTCGGCGCCAGGTAAGGGGCTGCGATTTGATTCGATGCTGTTGGCAGCAACACGGCTGTTGAAATCATCGTCGGTGGGAGTGTATTGTTTGGCAAGGTTGGAGATGATGCCGGCGAGGGCTGCGTACGAGTCCTCTTCAGCCATCGTGGGCGGTTGTTGATGCAGGTGTGGATGGTCGACGCGCATGAACGGTATGGGGTGCGGCCGCTGTGTCCGGTGTCCAGGGATACGTGGAGACGCGCAGGACTCGGACGGGTGACGGGAGCCTTGGTGACGACTCCGGAGGGCCCGAGACGGAGGTCGAGACTAGAATGGCATCAAACACTGAAGCCTGTGTAATCGCCGAAGTACCTCTCTGTAGTGCTGGTCAGGTCGATGTTGTGGATAGTGACAGGTTGCGAGAGTCGAGGGCTGAGAGTTGCTTCAACAGCAGGAGGCCCAAGGGTCGGCAACAAGCGCGCTAATTTAGTGATCGCCGAGAAAGCCTCGCCGTCCAATCGTATCCCACTGTGACACGAAGAACTAAGGGTAGGCTGCGCAAGCTCTGGTCCTCTCGAATCCCTCTACCAAGACAATGAAGTTATGAATGATAGCAATCTGACAAGCAAAGCAGAGAACGGGGAAGTGTGTCGGTGCCTCTCCAAACAAAGAAGTGCCAAACAAACTCTGAAGCTTTGAAGAAGCCCATGCTCAAGCGCCGCTATCCACCACGCGAGCCAAAAGACTCCATAACTAGCCAGCTAAATTTATCAGCATTCGACCGCCTCTTTGCACTTTTGTTCCCTCTCATCGGCTTTGATTCCACGCCATCTGCGTCCTTTGCACATTCCGATAACGACTGCTCGTATCCCTTTCGCTAGCTAGTACGCAGTAGCTGCTGCTGCCAAGACCTTATCTACGTGCTCACTCAATGCTGTTGGATAACCATTTCTGCTTCCAAGGTCCGATCTCAATCTCCGAATGGTCCACAAAAACTTCAAGGTTCTAGAAGAGAACTTGTCGTTTGCTTTTCGATTCGTCCTGTGCGCCACGAGCACAATCGACATCGAATGCTGCTGATGTAGACTCGGAGCTTGGTCCACTAATTTTCCCGTTTATGCACGGAATTTCAGGGTCTCCATGTGGAGACATGCACCTTGCACTCAATTCTTGCACGTTGTCAAGACCATCTCCTTACTTCCTTCTGTTATAATTCTCGTTCTTTCTATCGAATATCAGAAGACCAGTATGTTGGCCAGATCTACTCGCGAGAACTGCAAGTCATGAGAATTGGGACCACAAGATTTATCGCCCAGTCTTAGGCCCCAGCATTCGCTCCCTGCTCGTACACGTACTCTTTCGGAGAATTGGCGCAACGATAATGCCGCACTTCCACCGCCGTGACTGTCGATCCATTTGTCCATTGAGAATCCGCCTCCGAGACGGACAAAGTCATCTCAATCTCGACCACTCTTCCGACACTACATTCTCAAAGGAGTCAGTCAACCTGATCATCGTATTCTCGGTATCACAACGTGCAGCAAGAGACCAAGAGCTGGCGTCGATCGTGTGTTTCATCTTGCCTGCTTACCACTTTTGCCCTGAGTGACAGGAACCTCTGTAGATCACAGATCCCACCCGCACTGTTTGGATATGCACACGTGATATACAGTTATCAACGTCGGCTTAGCTGTACAGCAACTGTTCGAGTCAATCTCACTCTCTCTCGGTCGGGTCTTCTACCTCCTCGATACCTTGCCTCAATTGGCTTCACCATCTCTCTTGTGGTGTTTGCAACGTGCGGCGTATCATAAAGCATGTTGCTAGCTGAGTTCAGCCACTGACTCAACTTGCCAGCCTTATTCTACCTTCACTACTCGTCCGAGAACCGTTACAGGGTCCATCTAACATGAACCTTACCTGACTCGAGCATGCCACGAGCAAGATGATAAAAGTCCTTGCTATGCTTATGGAGATTCTATCAATCCCTGGCTCTCAGAGGTATAAGAAAGGAAATGCGTTGTCAGCCATCCTCTTGGGCAATGGGACAGCCCATGATCGTTCGAGTCAGGTGTTTGTACAGAAGCCTAACTTCAAATTGCCAAGAATCTCGGCAGTCAACAAGAGGCAAACATTCTATTCAACACCGCTTAGCCCGGCACAACAACATTCTCTCATACGAAAATCGCCTCGTTTTTGGCTGCAGAGACTCTCCTGAAACACTCAAATGCTGGACAGAGTTTTACACTGCCGGCCTGTTGAAAACACGGGTCATACGTGCTTGAAGGTCATGACCTCCACCTCCGGAGTCAGCTCCCCTGAATGTTCTGGCAATTACAGAAGGAGAGACAGCAATACATCGTGTGCGTGCTGCTTAGGACTGAATGGCGGAGTGACATTGCTTATGGATGGTTCGCTACCCGGAGCAATGACGAGGTAACTACGAAGTCACATCCTCATCAAGGTAGCCATCTGGTCGCGGTAGATCATGACTGCTCGCGAAATGATGATGTTAAGACGGCAGAAATCAGACATCAAGGTGAGCTTCAAACATCTGATGTCGACTAACAAAGAGGACTTTGGCAAGTATGTTCCTGTCTTGAGCTTCGCCAAAGACAACATCACGCGTTCTGTTACATCTATACCGAATGAGCGGCCGCCACAAAGGTCTTTCAACTTCCAAAGTCATGGATGGAAGGCACAAACATCCTCTGCAATTCTGTAGTCAATAAATCCTCGAATGCGAGCCTACCACAGTTCTGGTGCCGGCAACTTGGTCTGGTATCTGAAGAAAGAGAACGCGCAAGCTTGGGAGTGAAAACGCACCAAAGGGTGTCAGGAATCCTGTTGTCACGAACAGAGTCCAATCATTGATACTGGACACACTCTCTACGTTGTCTCACAAATCACTCACGTGGCTTTGTTGTGTGAAAGCAAACAAACTCTAAGCTTATCTTCTGTTTGCGAGCTTTCCAGGGACATTCATGGTTCTCTGCAACACTTGAGTATAAGAAGCTCATGTTCCTCTGTTCTTTCCTTGCACATGTTTCCCTTCTCGAATTGTCACGCAGCCATGTTCCGCCATCCATCTGGACCGTTCCCGGCTGCCCAAGACGACAGTGGTAGCACTGCTCAGGAAAGGTAATTTTCCCGATCGATGGTGAGTTTAGTATAGAGAGACTGATCGATGACAACACGGTATTCAACAAACCTGAAGACTCCGATATCATCACCGAATATCATGGCATCAAGACTTATGCTCATCGTGCCATCCTACGCATGTGCTCGCCCTTCTTTGAGCGTGTCTTCCAATCTCAGTGGCCTGTATGTATCTCTTGACCAGCCTGAGTGCTCGTACTGATGATATACAGGNTAGCCAAGGGTCCAGTCTTCTCTCTCGGTGACGACGATGACCCTCTGATCGTTGACGCAATGCTCCGCCACACGTACAACCTACCCTACGACCAGTCTCTGAAGTCCAAAGTCTCCAACGCCTACGACATCTACAAACTCCACTTTGATCTGTTCATGCTGGCCGACAAGTATGACTGTCCATCCCTACGCCGCGATGCTGTGGCCAACTTCCGTCGTGCTGCGGACAAGTCCGACATGAACAGCAAACTCTCACTCATGATGCTCATCCCGGATCTCTGTGGCCCTGATGCCCGCCACACCGCCGACTCTGCTCTTCGTGATGAAGTCTTGGACTTCTGCGCTCTGAACTATGCTCAGATGTTCNGGCGCTCTGCGTTCCAGGAAGAGCTGAAGGACGGAAGGATGNTCGATGCAGATGCCATGACCAAGCTACTCGGCATGATTGGAGCGATTTCGTTGAAGAAGCACGCCGACCCCCACGTCTCAGCCCGCTTTCCAATCCCAAAGAACTTGCCGTGCGGCATCTTTGGCACATGAAGAGCCAACCTCCGGCCTCCTCCCGTTCAGACCGGTGTTCGCGGTGCTGGTGACGAGGAGTCTGGACGCTTTTGAGTTCGAAAGCCGGTGCATCGCTATCTTGAATTGTCTGATCCGGGATGGAACTTGTCAGGCGTGCATTCAGGAAGAGTCCCGAGGCCATGACAATAAGTAGCTAGAGTCAGGAGAGGGAGCGGTCTAGCATCAACTGGATTACAATTGTCTGCGAATACTGCCCTCGTTTTTGGAAGGATTGTGTAATTCGACCAAATACATCCCAACAAAAACAACAGAGCATACTGTACAACTTAAAATGTCTCTCCTGCCTCTGAATCATTCCACATCTACAAGAGAAAGAAACATGATATTCCTGGTAAGCACCGTCGTTTCCATTCGGAGTACATATCATCGCGAGGAAGATATCGAGGCTAGGGAAACTGGTTCCATATTGATAAACATTATTGTTTGCGACTCCGCTCCATGTATCCCGTCTGGTTTATTCTGAGAAAACCTATTGGTTGTGTTGTTTTACTCTGAACATCTCCTGGTCGACCCCTGAACTTGCTAAATCTGACTACAGTCGACAGGTGCTTGTAATTTGGGTCTTCAATCGAGTCCAACAAGCACACAGTCAGGCGCATTCCAGATTTCTTGCACAGCATCTCGGTCACTGATTTACAAATTGTGCGACACTTGCAGCAAACAAGCATTTCTCTCTGTACTGATCGTTGTCCCGAGGTTCTGAAGCGATGGCACCGAACTTTGCGAGATCGTGAGCCAAAGCAGCGGTTTGTCTGTCAGGAAAGACTCTAGGATGTCTAAACTGCGACCACTTTGAAGGAGTCGCCTCGACAATATCGCCATTTTCATTACGCTCAATGGCCCACTCAATAGCTAGCCATGGAGGCTTGGATGTATCTGCCCAGGTGTTCCCACGATTAGCTGTTCCGTATTGTTCAGCAAGTTGAGTGTAAAACCAAAGGTTCCCGTAAGTGGAGCACATCCGTAGGCAGTTGCTAAAGTGAATCATAGACTCGTCAAAAGACCTGTGCTGAACATAGCCTTCGATGCTACGGCTGATGACTATGTATGTGTCCATGTTCAGCCTCGCGATGACCGCATCAGGCTTTGGGAATGTCGCCAAAGTGCCTTCCATCAATGCTCTTCTATATCCAGTGACGATATAGGCGATCTGTCCTTGAGTTAGGTCTCCGGTACAGATTGGTCGACTATCTTGTAGAGTAGCGTTGTTGTTGAGGTCGCGCCGCGCGATTTCTATCATGATCTGGCCTATGTTGGGTCTGTTGTAGAAACCTCTGGCGAATTTGTTCCTCTCGAGATCAAGCCGGTCAAGTTGTACCCCATCTCCGGAGTATGACTCTAGGTATAGAACGCCCTCGAGGAGCTTGAAGCTGTTGGGAAAGACACGACAGCTGGCTTTTCTTCCATTCTTGCGCTTCATGACTAGCTCGATGGATCGGTATTGTGTGTCAGGGTGCAGAATCATGCTGAAGAAGTCGTCGTTGAAGTGCTCTTAGAAGGAGCCGTAGGCAGTCCAACTGCATGTATCGTCCCCAGCCATATCTTTTGTCTTCGAGACAGAAACACTTTCAGCAAAGCTGACAACGACCGGCGACCGCTCGGTGAGGAATTTGGCATATACTTATAAATCACCTCCGCTATGGTAGAGGTCGAAGACGCGGCCTAGTCCTTGGAGTGGATGGGACTCTGTCTCCCGGAGACCAGATGGTCTATTGTTGACAAAGTCGATCTCACTTCTTGGTTGAGGGTCAGGCGTCAGGGGCTGCGAGTTTGAGAAGATCTCCCCTTTCAGATCAACTGGTTTGTCTTGAACAGAAGTCAGATGAGTCGATGCGTGTTGCGACTATGGCTCCAGGCCTCGCTTGAGCCGTCTGTCCTCCTGCACAGCAGCGAACAAGCCTCCTCGAGCACGGATACCTCCGCCTCCTCGGATTGGAAGGAGCCTGCCCCCCAGCGGTGGTATTCCAAGAAACGGTCATGCTCCGAGGTTGCCACGAACCAGCGACGAGCTTCGACTATCAAAGCCTTGGAGTGGGTACACTCTTTAATCTTGCGTCGGCTGGCCCCGACCTCTCCCTATACCACGAGCCAGCGACCGTCCTCGAGTAATTTCACGGCCACGAGATGGATCTTCGATCTGGTCTTGAGTCTGCTCGTTATTATGAAAGGTGTCGGAAGATATAAGCAAAGACACTGTCAATGTCAAGTTGAAAGTCTCCGATCGGGTTCCAATGCAGGGGACTGGTGGAGTTAATAAAAGCAGGCAACAAGAGCGCTATGCAGTTGCCACAAAGAGGGACAGTGGATCAGGTTCCGTTCAGAGCTGAGTATCTGAGAAGCAACGACCTGAATGAAGGCAGACGTGGATAAAGGAAGAAAGGGCTCTGCAAAAGGAGTTTGTTAAGATTCGACAAAGACGACGCAGAATTGGGACTGGGGAACGCACAAGTCGAAGTGAACGGTTCAGTCTTGGACTTTTCGAGAGACTAGGAATCGCTGAGTGAAAGTCCCGACGCGGTTAGCAAGAGTGAAAGTGGAGTTCACAACAGACAGGGAAGTTGACAACTCGTCTGAGTTTTCCCTGCCTGCTCGTTCCTTTCCACACTTCTTTCTCAACCTCCACACCACAAAAGAAGCGCAACCATGGAAGAATTTGAAGAAGACTTCACCAACGGATTTCAGGCGTAAGGCTAGTCTCTCCGTGTTCACCATGACTTCAATACTAATAAATCCACTTTCAGCAATTCCGCCGTCTTCGACAACTCCAGGGACTCAGACCTGATCCTTGTACTCGGCAAAACTCGAATCTATGTTCATAGGGTTGTTCTACGCATGTGGTCTCCCTTCTTCGATCGCAGTCTGAACTCGCAATTTCCTGTCGCTAAGAGCGCGACCTTCAACATTGATGACGAGTATGAGGGAGATATTGAACCTCTTCATGCCATTCTGAAGCACATCTATGGCATGCCATTTGGCACCCATGACAACAACAACGGCTGCGACTATACGGCTGCGACTATACGAAAAGTGACACTGTTTGGGAATGTTTCATCAGGATATACATGATGGCCGATAAGTACGACTTCCCATCTATCTGCCGTTAAAAGCATCCCCCACGACTACCGATTAGAGGACTGATCGAGCATCAGAAGTGATGAGGTGAAAGATAAAGTGAGACAAAGGTTATCAATCAATCTCTTGCTTTCTATATATTTCCTTGCACAACACACCCAATTGGACTCTCTCTCTCCCTTGTGAATGGGATCCGATATATGCAATCCCACAACTGGTTTCGATCATTTTCAGTTCACGAAGAATTGTACTCTACAGTTTCCTCCCACGCATACTTTCCTAGATCGAGGTGTTCTGAGCATTGTATCTGCTAGGAACAGAGTTGCAGCTCGCTTCCTTTTAGAGCCGCCTCGCAACACAGACTCATCCAGTGATCACACAAAAAACCATGATAGATTAAAAGTCCAGAGCTGGATCAAGAAAGTACACACTCTTTCTAACTGCAGACACGTGGATGTTTGTCTACAACAACATCAAAACAATCATCAAAGCAGATAAGACCGATTTTGATTGATGGACGCTGCGGAGCTAAAGCAAAAAGACAAACAACACCACCAAGAATTGAACCCTAGCCCTCTCACCATCACATAAATAACGCATACATAACACACCTCATCTCCCGCCTACCACCTTCACCCCTTCCCTCTCCTCACACTCGCCTATACCAAACCACCACTTCCAGCTTCTACCAGATCCCCAACTCCAAAACAGCAAAAACCAAGACCGGTCAGTTGGAAACTGGAATCCAGGAAAGACCCCCTACTGGATCGGGAAAACTAGGCTTGGTAAAGTCTAGAGGGCTGGCCAGACCGCTACACTAAACTGCCATCCTTGTTTTATTATTACTTTTGGACCAAGAGACACGGTATATAAGGGTTGAGTTGCACACACTCACACTCGTTAGACGATTGATGAGGGATACGTTTGGATTGTGAATTTGGTTGTGTCAAGGGCTGCCACTTTTGTTGCATCCATAGTCTGTAGAAGTAGCCCTTTTTGTTCCTGCTTTCATCGTCCCTTCCTCTCGACGCAAAGCAACAAAACAAACAGGACGCCGACGAAAATCATGAGAGCTGCCAACACATCGAGAAAACACTCCTCAATCATCAACAAAAACTGTTCTTCCCAAAGCAAGAGTTTACATAGGCAGACGAATCGCAAACATGGACATTGATACTAAAGGAACCTCATCTTTGAAGCAGAAGGTACGGAGAGGATAAACATCTTCACGAGAGAGCGAAAGAGATCTTCACTGTATCACGATGAAAGACTCCATCACACACGAAGAGAGAAACCGAGATGTAAGCATAAAAGATGAATTTCATGTGCCGCAAAAAGGAAAACGAAAAGAAAAAAAGGGGGTATCGTGCTATGTGTTTTTCATCAAGTCATACCAACATCCTTCTCAACTCAAGCCCTTCCTCCCTTCTTGCCCTCCTGCTGCAGACTAGCCTCCAAAGCCCTCTTGTAATCCTCATCATCTTCGTTGTCGTCATCATTTTCGGCAGCTCTGCCTTTACCCTTGCTTGCAGCATTGCGTCGATGTTGTTCTTCGAGCAGACTCTGCTTCTTGACGTATTCCATGACCACTCTTTCCTCTTCTTCAGCACTGGTTGATGCTTTGTGGGCTTCTTGGCTTTGGCTGATTGCTCGCTGCAGCTGTGCATCGTCGTCGAGATGTTTTTGTGCAGATTGCTGGTCTTGAGATGCTTTGACAGCGAGGCGGTACTCGTCGTCACCTGAGCTGGGATTTGCATCCCATTCGCTGTCTGTAGACTGTCCTTGATGTTTGATGCGCTTGTCTTGATGGCCGGAGGAGTTTGCTAGACTGGCCTTGAGCGCGGCTGCCAGCTCTTCGTCGTGCTCAGACGAAGATGTATCTTGATATGCCGGTGGATATTGACCTTGATGGTCTACCATGCTGGCTGCGATTGCTTTGCGCAGGATCTCGTCTTCGTCGTCAACATCGTTGTTGTTGCCGGAAGAGCGCTGACCAGAGGCTAGCTCGGCAATGCTGGCGCGAATCGCACGCTCGATCATGGCGTCTTGCTCCGGGTCGCCACGGCTAGTATCAGCGACCGATGTGTGGATAGCTCTCTCGAGTTCATTGCCACTGGCGCCGCGTGTAAATTGCAGGTCCTCGTACTTCGGAGGCTCGCTAGGGTGATGCGTGACCTCAACCGTTGGTGTTGTGACTTCGCTGTGTGTACCAACTCTCGCTGCACGTGAATTAGCACGCGATCGAGGATGAAGGCCCACCAGAGAACGCGAACCTCTGGTCTGACCATCATTGCCATTGCCGCCCTCTCGATTATCACCATCCCATTGCTTTCTAAGCATGTCCTGGAACTGCTCGTGAATGAATCTCTTCTTCTTGACCTCAGACTCAACCACTTTCCAGCGTCTGATGATTTCCTGTCGCTCCTGGGCACTCGACCGGTGCCATTCATCGTACCCTTGGGCTGTGCGAGCTGCAATGATGTAGTTCTGAACAGAAGATCCCGACAGTTGTTGAAGCTCCTTGTAGACACCCTTCATGGTGTAGGCCGGGATACCGAAGATAGCTGCACCAGGCTTGAGCACTATACCGCCAATACCCTTACCGAAGCCCTTGATGAAGCCAGCAGCGCCTTCCTTCTTTGCGCCCTCCATGGGCTGGGTGACGAGTCCAGTGATGCCATCGAACATACCAAATCCGAACTCCTTGGTGGCCGCTCGGAGGCCAGATCTGAAGTCGGTGATCTTGTCAGGCTTCCTGACAGACTCATCGCCATAGAGCTTTGGTGCATTGTGGAAGCCTTTTGCAAGAGCATGCGTAAAGTCCATGGGCGACTTGAAACCAGCTCCAACAATTCTAGAAACACCTTTACTAGTGCCGAAGGCAGCATCGATGACTTCTCTTAAATTTGTCTCGCTTCCCTGTGACTGGGTCTGTGCTGGTGTCTGCGACTGTGTGGTGTTTGTCCTGTGAGGACTCGATGACCTGGAAGTGGAACCGCTACGGGAGCCAGAGCGATTGCGCAACTGGTTACCCAGGCGACCTTGCAGTGCGGCAGCTAGCGAAGAAGAGCGACTACGCTTTCCTCTGTCGGTCTTGTCTTCGGCTGTGAGATGAGGAGAACCCATCTTCGCAAACGACTCATCAAGATTGAAGCTTCCTCCCGTACTAGCGCCTTGTGTGGGCGAAGCAAGTCTGTTTGGACTCGTGACAGCAAGCTCTCTGTTGGAGGTCTCGGGTTGGTTTGGCGGGTTCTCGGTAGACGATTGCTGAGAAGTAGCCTGAGGATCTGTTGTGGTTTTGTTGGGAACAGCATCAGGATGTATTCTCAACGCCTTTAATGCAGCAACAGGGAAGTCGGCGACACCCATCATCATGGTACTGATTGTACCGGTGAGCGCGCCAGCGCCACCAGATATGGGCTCCGGAGGACCCTCATCGGCCTCATACTCTCTCGGGCGGTACAGTTTCAGATCTTTAAAGTCCAGTAATCCTTCGGTTGCCAAAGTGGTCGCCGCAAGAGCACTCAAACGGACTTCAGTTCTCTTCAGACGCCAGACAGCTGCTTTACTGGGTGCTATGCTGCATCTCATCTTGTCGACTTCGAGGAACTGATGGAAGCTCTGAGCGCCAGATTCGGTGCCGTTCTCATGGCCAATACTGTTGGCCAGATCTTGAGCCCTTTCTCTAGTGGCCGGCTCAAGGGCTTTGTTGATTGCACCAGCCAAGTTATCAGCAGTCAGGTCCTTGTGATTGATCGGATCTGGACCAGCTCCGGCTTTGGCGACCATAGCTCCCCAGAAAGGCTGGTCTCCAAAGAATGGAACAATGACAGTAGGAACACCACATGCAATTCCAGCAGCAGTGGTTCCTGCGCCTCCGTGATGGACGACGCAAGACACGTGCTTGAACAACCAGTCGTGAGGAACGTTGCCCAGCATGAAGACACCTTCTGGTATGCCGAGTTCATCAGCGCCGAAACCACCCCAGCCCTTGGATACCAGGGCGCGTTGTCCAGTCTGGCGGATAGCATCGAAAATGAGTTTGGTCATGCCGTTGGGATCGTCAAGAACAATGGATCCGAAGCCAATATACACGGGTGGAGGCCCAGCATCCAAGAAGGTCTTTAGATCAGGGGGTGGTGTAAAGTTTGAAGCCAGAGAGAGGAAGTAAAAGCCAGCGATGGATATCTGATTGCCCCAATCTTTTGGTTTTGGAATCAAAGCAGGAGACCAGCAGTAGGTATATGGGACACGCAGCCTTGTCAGCATGCCAGGAGCCCATATCAAGCTGATGGGATCGAGAGAANNAAGATCCTTGACTCTGAATCTGTTGATGACATCTCCCAGACCCTGCCAGGTCAACATCTCGACGAGGGTGTAACTGATGAAATTCGTAAGATGGGGATCAGCATTTGTCGACTGGATGTTAGCCAGAGGATGAGGGAAGGCCTGTGTGGGAGAGTAAGGCATAGTGAACATCATATGTAATGGACATCCTAGCTTCTCGGCACAATGGATGTGAGCGAATGAGGGTGGGTTCGCAATGATGGCGTCGGCGATGAAGGGCTTGATCGAGGCATCGGTGTTGCGCATCCATTCTTCGGTTGTGTTGTCGTCTACAGCGACGCCTGTACCATCACCAGACTCGATACAACTTCTCCAACATCCTTTGATCATTGTTCCAATCTCCTTGCGTCGTTTGCCAATATCGCCTCTCCTCATCACGTCGAATCCAGGCATCAATCCAGGGTTCTTGACCATGAAGGCCATGAGCTCAGAAGGGTCACCTCCAATGTTGAAGAATTCGAGACCGTTCTCTGTGACGAAGTCTCTGAAGACAGGGTGTGTTGCCAGTCGGACACGATGGCCATATTGATCCTTGAGTACCTTTCCAAGAGCCACAAAAGGCTGCACGTCTCCTCTTGAACCGACCACATGGATGACTACGTTGAGAGGTGGGGGTGGCGGTTGGCCAGGGGCTCCGCCGAGCGAGGTAGGAATATAGGGCGGGGGNACTTGGGTAGTGTCGGCAAGATCAAGTTGGCTTCGCAGAGCAGGTACGAGCAAGCTGGAGAGGTGGCGGGATGTCTGGTTAATATTGATGTTGACTCGTCCATCAGAGCGTAGAGTGGCCTTGGTGCCCAACCCAGCATCCTGACTGCTGACGTCGCCGTATGTGTCGCCGTACGCTGGCGGCGGTAGGTTCTCGTCTGTGCTGTTCGGATTTAGGTATTCGGCTGTCCTTGATGGATGTAGGCGGTTCTCGTCGTCGGCGTTCGCACTCGCAGCGGCTGCGGCCTGGGCGACCATGGTCGACGGTATCTCGGCCATGGTAGCGCTCGGCGTCTTTTGTTCCGCCATGTTGTTTGATATTCAGAAGTGTCAGGCACTTCGTGGATATTGTTTCGATGCGGATGCCTTGCTGTTTTGTTCGACATGCCGCATCCTCGACCCCGCGCGCGTCATTGTGGCTGAGGCACGGCACGAGCTAAGCCACCCACTACCTTGCTCTTCAGACTATCATCATCTTATGCCTGTCGCAAAGCGTGCATGTGTGGGAGAATGGCTTTCAATTGAAGTAGAACAGAATCTGCCGTGACTGAACATTTACACGCCACAAAGTCATGATTGAGACGCTGGTGCTTTCCCATCCAACTCGTGCCACAGAAAAGTAATCAACTAAAAAGAAGTAAAAGGAAAATAAAACAAAACGCCGTGATGAAAGGCAAGGTACTTGTTGGACCCTCAGCCTGACACCCGTGGGATATCGAAAAGGTCGTCTATGCGATAGGCAATTCGTTCCGGCCCAGCCGAAACGTCGTTGGTTTTGTCTCTACTCTTGCCAGAAGGGTCGATAAAATCAGTCAATCGTCATCCTCGATGGGACTGCTCCCATGGCATGCGCTCCTCCCAACGAGTTGTGCCGTCTTTCATACGGATAGCTCTTGTCCTCGACTCCAATCACTCTTCGTCGTTGAATGTGAGGCTTCAAGCCTTTGTTGAAGTTCGCCGTGCACCATGCGCAATTGATGATTGTCAAAATCAACAGCAGAAGCGTGATAACAGCAAACGTCGTCAGACTTTTCCGCGCAGGCTCGTAGTCTTCCACTCTTTCCGGATTGTTCGAGTCATACATGCGCACGAGCTTGAAAAGGAAGTAGGCCATGGCGGCGAAGTAGAGTACGATCGTGCTGCACATTCCCAACGTAGACTCGCGTCTTGTGAACCATGCAGCCGCAAGCAAGATTGCAATGGTAACGGGAATGGCGGCAATTGTGAGAGCGAATTCGATGTTGGAGGTGTGCTCGCGAACCACAACGACAAATTGTACTGTGAATCCGAGGAAGAAGAAAAAGTCAAACTTAAGGAGGGCGATGTAAATCTGCNNTCATCATCAGTCCATGTTCAGTGTGTGCACCTGCAATCTTGACGAAGATACCTGGTAAACAAGATAACGTCGCTTCAAGCGCAAGTCTGCTGAGATGTGCTTGTAAATGGTCCAGGCGAACTCGTCATACAACTTCCACGCCACGATACTGAAAGCTATTGTGCCCAGCGCAAGAACGCAGGGTACTGCAACGAGGAAAGGCTTCACATCACGACCAAAGCCGTGTTCGATCTCATTGGCCTGATTCAGAACTTGGACAGCGCGATCAATTTGGTCGTACTGTACGGTAGCGTATATGAGTAGACCGAGATTGTAAAGACAGAGTCCGATGACTTGAATCGTGTTCTTCAGGCGTAAAGCATCCCAGACGAGCGCGAGTTGGTAGATGAATCCGAAAATGAACAAGGCGAGGTATGTAGGGATGGTTCGTGATTGTGTTGTCTTTCGCGCTTCGGGGTTGAGCGAGATCTGGAACTTGGCGAAAACATAGCTATTGCGCGTGTCAGCAGTGGAAAATCATGAGCGCAAAGACAACGACGACGCACCCNNTTCAAGTCCTAGACCGATGGCGGCTTGACAGACGGCAATCATTAGGAATGACCACGTCCATCTTGAGCTGGGCATGTACATGATGCGGCTAGAGGCTGTTTGTCTAGAGGTAGAAGGGCCAGTAAGACCCTCGCGATCATGATAACCTCCGGTAGGGAATGGACTGCTACTGCGGTCGCGGTCGAGTGGTATGTAAGAGCTATTGGGAAACCCTGACCTCCCAGAATGGAGGTCTTTTTCTTGTGGTTGGTAATGGTGACGGTCGGAAGCCGCTCAACAGCGGCCTAAGGATGTTTTGATGCGGTCTGGTCTGTGTCGGGCTGATGCGTTGGACAGGAGTCGCTTGGTGCAGGGAGTAAGGGTGAGCGTGACAAACACGGACCGGTGGGCCGAGACTCGATCGGGAGCGGTGTGTCGCGTGCGGTGAGGTTGGCCACACGACCAAGACCAACAAATGGAAGCGCGAGAGCGAGAGGAGCTGAGAGGACGGGGAAAACGAGCGAGAGTGGTCGTGTTTGTGCAAAGACGCGGGTTTGCTGCTGAGTCGATTGATTGCTACAGTGCTTCAGGCCTGCCTGGGCAAGGAAAGCCAAGGATGGGAGGTGCGACCGGCGTGTGGTGGCTCTTGTTTCAGCTCCGGCTTGAGGGAAACAGCCTTTCGAGATGTTGGGCTGACTGAGGCAACTGCAACCAACACTTTGCGACAACGACGACTGTATATATACAAGACGATAGTGATATAGAGAGCAAGAGTCCGTGAGGCTATGACTGTGCGAAATACCGGCCAGGCACAAAGGCTACAATCGAGGCGGAGCACTTCTTGGACGTCTTCTTCCCAAACGCTCTCCAGCCTCAAAAGGGGTCTTTGGCCGGGGAAGGTTCGAGCTTATGCCGTTTCCCAGGATCTCCTTCTCCATCCGGTCTCGCTTGATGCGAACCCTCTTGTCGCTGTACATAGCCGCGTGGCTCGGCATCACCTTTCATCTAAAACGTACAGACTATCCATCATCACTGTCATATTCTAAAAGAAGAATTCGATATCTAATTTCCCTTTTGGTTCCATCAGATGCTTGCGACATCGATCATGGTCTTTGTTTAGCAACTAATCAGGGGAACGCGAACCTTGACCCCTTGGGTGTTCTGTATTCGTCAATGGGCTGATAAGTACAACGGGACCAAGGCTTTGGCACTCGGCGCAAACTTGGTGGAGGGAGCTCGCTCCTTGCGAAGCTCCTGCTCCGTCGTGGACAACGCTCGGATCTGGCAAGCCCTGTCCGCGGACAGTAGAGATGACCCCATGCTGAGACGCGACATACTTGGATCATGAAGTGCTGAAGATGGTGTTTGAGTTGTCTCATACGATAACATTTCGAGACCTGTACAAAAGGCCAGGCGCAAGTTGATGTGAGCATGTGGTGATGCTCCCCGAATCTTGCACCAGAATTCCCAGAAAACATCAGTTGTTATTTGTCGACCCACAAACAAAAATTGTTCAAATACCACTCAATATTAGTCAAGTTACCTGTCAGAATACTATACGCAGACAACTGACTGATGCGACAACCTTGATGGTGGTTGATAGAGCGGTTGATTGATCGAGCAGGGTCAGCCCACACCCAGAAAAAACGAAGATTGAGCTGCGCTGCTCAAGCCTTAGCTACTCAAATCGAACAACAAGATCATATAGCTAACGTGGAACGCGCAATGTAGTAGTACTACGGATTGCATATCCATCAGTCCACGAAAACCCGGCTCGTGGAACCTTCAAAGGAGACCCTGGATTCTGAAACAGGTTTGACAGTGCAATGACGCTTCTACCCGAAGAATGTCTTCCTATGAGCCTCCAGTTCGCTGCAGATTATTTTGTCAACTCGACTTCTAAAGACATCTCTCGACGAGCATAAGGACCACTCCCAAATCAACTCAATATGGTGTTCGGCGTAATCATGGGCCTGGGGATCTCCCTGCCAGTTGCTGCCGCCACAGGCGTCGGCGTTGTGACTGGTGTAGCCCAAGGCGTGTCACATCAACAAAAGGAGAACGAAAAGGCTGCCAATGCAAATCCGGAATCACGGACAACGAAGTTTTACATCGACGTGGTTATAGAGGACGAAGGGTCACGGTCGCGAGGGCGAGGAGAGATACTGCACGACAGCATAGTCGTCGTCCGCGACAACAAACTCTGGATCGAGGCCAAGAACCGAGCTACAGGATTACCGAGGCGTGAAGATTCTCATCCTTTCACCGGCTTTTATCTCATGTATCCAGACGAGGATCGCTCACCTGCGGAGAGAGGCCTTGTGACGACCATCCAGAAAGATCCACCTATGCTGAATTGGATCTATGTGGACAACAATACTTTCGAGCTCAAATATGCAAATCGCACAGGCAGTATAACACACAAGGTCGGACCTTGGGACTGGACAGACGAGTTTGAGGATTCGAGCATGACTCTTGATGAGTTCGAGGGTTTCTTGGCTGTGGAGGAGGACATGTACAGGAACGAGCAAGGCCATCCCAGATGGGCATTGTATTACGACTGGAACGATGATGGTCTCAAAGGACGCAAAAAGGGCAGGAGAACCATGGAAGTCAGCTTGAAGAGAAGATTGGTGGAAAACCAAGAAAAGAACCAATGGGGCGTGGGCAGAGAAGGCAACATCGGAGTGACCGGGTTCAAGGCCACGAGGGAGGTGTAAGCAGTGGCTTTGTATGGAGCTGAAAGCCGCAATCGGAAGGCGGTGAGCACCTCGCGTCCACCCCAAGCTCTTGAGTCTTGAAGCTCACACACTCGCATGATGCATGCATCTCCCAATTGCGCTACAACAACACGATTCATGTCGGCAGCTTCTAAAGCCGAACAAGATGCCGAAATTAATTGCTGTATCCACTTCTCGAGCTCGAGACTCGAGTCTTCTGCATCTCGTATTCTCGATTGGTGATCGCGTCGACGCGAAACGCCTTAGGACGCGTTCACCGGTGTTCCAGCAGTCATGAAGCGTGATCTGGATAACGTCTAACGCACGCCGCAATCACGTTACATTTGGTTTGCTGCGGTCCTTCGCCCAAGCAAGCGTTGACTGGCTCGCTATGACTCTCAGTGTCCTGCGTCTGTTCGAGACTCAACAACTTTACGACTTGCTTCGCAGTCATGACAAGTACCGAAGCTTGTGGAGTCAGACGGCTTGGAAAAGCCTAATGCAAAGTAGACCATGTGCTTGAGCGTGATAAGCTAGAGTCGCTTGTAGACATAGGGGCTGTCACGCCGTAGCGTTCACAAGGTCCAGAGTATAAGAAGTGTGCTGTAGCCACTTGGTAGAGTTTCAACCATCCTTTCAGCAAGCACTTCCTACCAGCTCGATTGTTCTTCTCAACACAATGCACTGCTCTTCTTCTTCTGCTCTATGGCTGGCCGGCATTGCTGGCCTCGCTGTTCTTAGCGATGCCTCTCCGCTCGAGAAGCGTTACACTTCCNCCACCGCACCATTCGATGGATGTCTCTATCAAGTGCCCAAAGTTGGAGGCTTCAGCTCTCACATTTCCGTCACTAACTGGAAGACGCTTCCCTCTACCCTCAAGGCAACAGACCGCAATGGTGGCCCATATGGTGTATACTGGAAGCCTTCTCTTGTCGGCGTGGATGCCAACGACGGTAGTCTCACTCTGACCGTACCCGGAGGTCAGCAATACTGCACCGAGGCCAATCCCTGTGGAAGTGCTCAAATCACCACCTCCGCCAACGATGTCATGTACGGAAGCGTGCGCACTGTAGCAAAGACCCCCAACGTCTGGGGTACAGTCAGCGGCTTCTTCTTCTACAGCGACGACAACAACGAGTCGGATATCGAGATCCAGACCGGAGATCCCACACACGTCCACTTTACGAACCAAGATTGGTATGGCTCGAATGCGCTGTCCAACGCTAGCACTGTGGCCAATGCGTCTGCTGCTTACCACGAGTATCGCGTCGATTGGGTGCCCGGAAGGACCGACTACTATGTCGATGGAAAGCTCTTGCAGACCTTCACCAAGTTTGTGCCCCGGACAGCTGGAGCATGGATGTGGAACTCGTGGACGTGAGTGCCGACAATTGTGACAACGTAGATTTAAAGTTCAAAGCTAATTACCACACAGTNNAACAACGGATCTTGGACGCTTGGTCCTCCTACTAAGGACGCTGTGCTGCATATCAAGTCAATTGATGTGTACTACAACCGCACAAGTATCACTGGCTGTGGTAGTGCCTAATTGTTCAGATGACAGGAATTTCCTTTTTCGTATCGGGAGGATAAAGATGTCAATAAAAGAAGATGGCCACAAGAGATGGTCAAATTTGCATAGTGCTTGTAGATATAAGGCCAAGGTCGCTATTTTCATATTATATAAGCACGCCGCCTTGGCAGAATCCGTCATCTGTTCGCAAACAACCAAGAAACGCTTTCACAATCCTTCCTCCCTACATACTCAATTGGCGTCAACATACAGATCTTCCACAGCACATGCCCAACTATGTTTTCCAGTATTTTGAAGCCGTTTCGCCTTTTCAGTTTGCTCAGAGGTCAGACTGCCGAAGCACGTGTGTTCTCTAATGCCACGACTGCTTCGATGACTGTGATGGAGAGATACCATTCGGATCCGGAGTTCCGTAGAAAATTGCGGGAGCGGTCTTCGNAAATGGTACAGAGAACATTCGGATCCGGAATTACGCAAAAGAGGCGGGAGCGGATTCTGCGATACAGGCAAGACCGCAAGGCTGAAGATCCAGAATTCGAGCAAAGGACGAAAGAGCAACTGGTTGAATACATGACGCAAAAGAGAACCAACAAGAACTATCGCAGACGCGAGGCTCTCGAAAAATGGGTCAGGAAGTCGGGATGGGCTCAAGCAGGATTGCCATGGAAATGCTATCAACCAAAATTATTTCCCGAGCGTGTAGCCCAGAATTGCATAAACTGCAATCGGCCAGATAGGAGGACCAAATTGTGGTGGTCCAGCACCTCGAAGCCAGAGAACTACTTATGCAACTCTTGTTGGATCAAGCTGGACTGGAATGAGATGTGCCCCAAAGGTTTCGAGACTGCGGCGAGCTGGAAAGAGTTCACATCGTGTGCAAAAGCATTGGGTATCTACAAACCATAGAGACTTGGACCACATGGATCAACGACCACAAACGAAGCACACTAGACCTGGCAGAATCTCACCTAGTCACGGAAACTTGTCTCGCAGCTCCGAGCTTTTTATTGTTTTCCACCCCTACATTCAACATCAGGCCAACTTCTGCATCAACCATCCGCAACAATGTTCTCAAAACTGCGGGTAGTTACTGAATCTCTTGTACTGGCGAATCCTTCAAGGACCAACACCCGTCTCTTCTCAACGTTTAGCATATCTCAGCAATGGAAGCGCGCGGATATGCAAACAAAGTATGAGACAGATCCAGAATGGCGCAGGCAANGGATAGAATACTCGAGTATCTGAAGAGCTCGGAAACTTCAGAACGACCCGGAGTATTGGCAGAAGNAAAAAGCAGAATCCAGAGCCTGGCAACAGAAGCAATCTCAAAGGAAANCTCACAGGAGTTGGCGGAAATCTCTTGAATGGTGTCGCACGTGCGATTGGGTCCGTGACCAGCTGCCTTGGAAGAATTACAGGCTGAGACTTCATTCTGAGAAGGTTGTACACCACTGTAAGGACTGTAGGTTCAATCCTGAGCATGGATTTAAATTATGGTGGTGCCATATCAACAACGCATCCGAGCACAAGGAGTCTGGTATAGATCCGGAAGGCTCGGGCGCCTCTGAACAATATTTGTGCAGTCGTTGCTACCGAAAAACGGAAGACACAATACCTCGAGGGTTTGAAGACGCCACAAGCCTCAAGGAACTGAGAACGCGAGCTAAAGAGCTTGGGATCAATACCGATTACAAGCCAGAGTAATAAGGGAAGGTGTCTGATCAGGAAGCCCGGAAGCAAGGTTTCTCACCAGAGTCCAAAACATGAGCATCGCGACAAGCTGACTGGAGGGAGTCTGTAAACCATTGCAGGTCCAATGTGATTCACTACCACCACCATCTGCAGACTTACATGGGTCAAGAAACACCGTTCAAGGATCCTAAGATCAAGGTTTATGCTGCCAATGTCTGTTCGAGAGCGCCCATATCCTGGAAACATAGAGGATTGTGCAGGATTTCATCAGCCACTTGTCATTCAGTTCTCCAAGATGCTACCAAAGCCGACTGGTTATCAACAGAACACAACAACAACAGGTAGGCGTCTCTATTTCTTGTAGTGACAGGAAGCTGCTGATGATTGTCGTTTGAGAAGAACACCGTGATTGAGCCAGAGGTGGGAGTTCGAATAGCCTCACTGAGCTAGCATGTGTAATAACGTGCCGATGTCTGGCTCAATACCTTCCTGTGCTCAGTTTCTTCTTTGCAAGCCTCGAAGTAATAGCATTGCAAGTACCAGAAACAGGTGCTGAATGCCTTCGTTGATCTTGGTGCTTTGATCATATCTACATAAAGTCAATGACGGTGCCAAGGCGCGCTAAGCTGGAGTAAGATGGACATGAACTTGAACTCGTCCCAGATGCTACAACTTGTACCTGACATCAAGACACTTGTGGAAAGACGATCAATCAGTCGAATTGGGCATATCACAACGTACTGTTTTCGAAGTCACCATCGGAAGTCCACTGGACATCTGAACCTCAACAGGACCAAGGACGTTACTTCTAAGCGGCCCAAGCTACCACAAGTATCGTTATGAATCTAAGCTACCTCTTCTTCTGGACGACCAAGACAGCGGAAGATAACGCCTGGCATCCTGTACCTGGCCAGAATCCAACCAAATATGTCGGCAACCTTCCAATATTAATCAAACGTCAAGATCTCGAGGCAGCATGCGTTGATATAGCGCCCTTTATTGCCTCAATGGGGGCTTTAGCTTATGTACGGCAATTGAACGACTTTGGGTTCACGGCTTCTGCCAATGTCTTCAAAAACCCCAAGACTCTGATGGCCATGCATCGCACTACTTTGGTAGTCACACCGATCGTGCTGCTCTGTCAAGCAGTTGGCATCGAATACAGGAGCTTCATCCCACGCTGGAGTCAGGAACGTGAGCGTGGGCGAGATGAGGAGATGGTGCGGCAGCAAGTGGGCTTTGGTATGCTTGCTGGCGTTGCGAGCTGGACGCTACGCATATATGCCTTACGCCGGGGGCGAGCCTACTGGGCTCCTATTGATGTTGTCATGGGCGGCGCATTGGCGGATGTCTTGCATAGAGAGTATGTGAGGGCTCACGGATTCTGAGTGATCATACAATCGCTGTATTGACCACGAGGCTCACTGCTCTCTTGTTGATCAGCAGAATATCCATTGTCACCGGCAGCAATTGGCTGCGAGAGCATCAATGTCAATAGCCGGTCTCTTCTTCATGACGCCTCTCAAAACCTCGAAAGATCAAAGACCCTTGCGAAAGTGTGAGAACGTGCACAGGACCACACGAAGTTGTCGATGCGGAATGAACGCCTGGTCTGTGCTCTGATCTGTCCTGACGAGGAGGGGTCAACGAATCATCAACATGACATACACATTCACAAGGTCAACAGTGTCTCATCAAACACATTAACATACAGTGACAGAGTATCACAACTAATGGCGAGATCTACTGAGCGTGTCTTTGCACTACCCGAACTACTGGAACCGATACTTCTCTGCCTCTTGGAAGAACTATCACCACTCAGCTATCAAGAAGACCCTCGCTGCACACGAGTATACAACAATGCGGAAGTCCTGCAACACTTGTTGAGATGTACTCAAGTTTGTAAACAGTGGCAATGCTGCATCCAACAATCTGCACAGATTCAACGAGCACTCTTTCTGCTTCCAGACCTTGGTTGTGGTCGATCGTGGACCCGGGAGGCCAAGCCACCTTTACTGAACCCCATCGTTCAGACCTTATTCAAGAACTACCATTTTCGCTTTTGGCATCTTGTCAGTGATGGACAGCGTTGTGCGTACATGATCGTGGAGAGAAGGGATCTTCCTGATCTAAAGGCTCGTGCAAGCACTGGACAGGGCGGGATTATCTCAAACATGCTGCTTTCGCAACCGCCCTGTCTGGCTATGGAAGCTACAGTGTGGGACGAAAGGGACGAGACGAAAGAATACATTGGAAGGACTACTGAGCTCAGAGATTCAACGATCAGCAATGAACAAGGTCTGACGTTAGGCATGGTGCACGCGAAGGTCGCAGAGATGTTTGCTCAGCATCCAGATGTTTCGGCTATCAAGTTGACGACGACATAAACAGGCTATCTTCACGATTGCCACAGTGTAGATGATCAGAGTCTGGCCATAAAATGCTATCGCCTGGAGGTTTGTCTCCATTGCTCGTATCATTGAACTGTAGCTGTTTCTGTGGTATCAGCTCGCTGCACATGTGTTTTTCGCAACCGTATCATGAGCTGATCGAAGCTATCACTGCTAGATTCGTGCCGAGAATCGCTATCTGGATCGTTGCAACTGTAAACTGTTGGCCTGGTCCATTCTACATCGTCCACCTCCTCAAGTTACCAATATGCCAGGCAAACCTGTTTTGTCTCTAGACGATACGTCCTAAAAGACGCATCCTGTTGGTATCATCGATCAACACTGACGATTGACAGATGAAGCCAGCCTTCGTCATACAACACTCAACATCCCTCGCCAGCGCATCTACCTCAGAAATCTCCCATGAGGCGAATCAGGTTAATTGGTGTGGTGGTACCCAAGGTATTGCAGTCTATAACGAGGTTAGCAAAAAGATGTGCATCAGGACGCGTAAGTCTCACTATATTGTTCGCGCAAGATACGCCCACTAACATCTTAGTAGCCCGAACCTGCAGCATCCTCAATCTCTCTTCGTGCTGCTCAACTGCTTCGCAATAATGTTGATCGTGGTGGGATCGATTACGCACCCGAGACCAGGAATCGAGCCTGCCACGGTGAAACGTGGAAGTCCCACGTCTCCAGTATCTCCTTTGACGCTCGTGTCGTTGATAGTCGTGCTGATAGCGTACTCGGCCCCGATACCGATCGATGAAGCAACTGCGCCGCCAAACATCAATCCTGCTGGACCTCCAAATGCGCCGACCGTGACGCCAGTACCAGTGATGATCGAGCTCGCCTGCTTCGCGAGGGCTCGCTTGGCGTGCTCTCCGTTACCTGCAGCTGCTTGGACAGCGGCAGTGACGAGACCAACAAAAGGAACTCTCTCGGTAAATCTGGTTACAGAACCATCGCGTGAGGTAGCGTTTCCCATGACTGAAGGAGTCGATAGAGCCAGTTGCAGTAAGTATATTGCTAGAAGGTTGCCTGAAGTTTGGGTGCAGAGAAGAAGTTGTTGTCAGAGAGTCAACAGTTTATGTATTCTCTCTAACCTGTTCCGATGTGACAGCTGTTGTTCTGCATACATAGTCTTGTTCATTTTGATGTCGAGCCGCTACTAATTTAGTACGAGCTGAAAGCTGAAGGCTAGCGTGCAACGGTCGACCTGCATAACATTGTTACGTCCGAGCACTCTCTATCGTCGACCGTCCAAAGAAAATAGGAAAACCCAGAAACAGATCGTTCATATGGCTCGAAATGCCCGATGTAACTAATGGATTATAACAAAAAGGGGTGATTGCATCACCAATTTGTTGGCCCAAAAGTCTCACCATCAGCAACAGTCTTCCTTATCGCAGTGCCCAAAGCATCCATAGTCTCAAATACACCCACATTGCCCCACCAATTCGGCACCTCAACTTCAGGCAAAGTGATCGCAAAGAAGATGACCAGCGTGGCAATGATCAGCCCAGAGTCCAGCGCAGCAGCCGTGATATAGTTGTAATGACTCCACCAACCATTCCATCGTCGACGAATCCACCAATTGAAAATCAAACCCACTATTGCCCAAGATGTAAAGGAGAGAGGTGTAGCAGGTGGAAGCCAAGACATTGCCCCGAGCATGACTGGAGCATGTAAGAAACGCAGTCGTTTATGTGGAAACACTCTAGTCAAGACGTAAAATGCAATGGGCAGTAATGCACCAACCAGCCAGAACCAATTGAAAGCGGCGTAGATGGAGCCAGGTCCAAACATGCGTCGAGGACCGATGACTCCCCATGTAATGCTTGAAGAGAAGAAAGTGCGACCATTGGGACAGGTAAAATGAGAAGCTTGGTTGGCAGCACATGCATTGTTGATGTTTCCCAGAGTCCAGTTCATCACTGCCACTTGGACGATAGAAGCCCAGAAGGTCATGACAACCTGCGACCAGAAAGTGATGCGAGGAGGTATCTTCATATAATGCGCCAGCTTGAGGTCCTGGCTGTAAGTCTGCGCTTGCCCCAGCACAATGGTGCTATATACTTTGAAGATCATGACTCCAATTGGGCGTCCTGGAATCATGAAGCCAGCCAGGTAGGGTGAAATGACATTCAGCGACAATTGAATGTTGGTGATGCCGAGAATCATGCAACAGGGGATGATGAAGACAAGGGCAATAATCAACGATACGAAGTACGCCCACCAAGGACATTGAGAAGAGAAACCCAAAACGGTAGCAAGCCCAAAGGCTGTAGCTACAAGGAACAAGACGCCATACCACCAATCCGGCGCCGCACGATATTTGGCCATGTGTCTCATATGAACATCTTGGGGCTCCTGTTGTCTGGCAAGGCGTAGTCGGGTCCAAAGCTCATCACGGTGGAAGACAATGGTGTGTACGATTGCAGCTATCAGTGCGGCGAAACTCAAACCATAGTTCAAAGCAAACGTGGGTGCAAGGAACATGGGTGAGTATCTTTGGTATTTTTCGAGGTCAAAGGTGTAGCCGGGTCCGAGAATCTTAGTAACGTTATACTTCGCCTGCGAATTGTCAAAAGTCGTGGAAGTGTTGATCGGTAGATAGTCCGAGTAGAGAACCCCAGTATATGAAATACCTAGGNNGCTTGTCAGCCATCTCTATACGACAGTGTATCTAAGAAGGGATCTCGATAAACATGCTATCGACTTACCTAAAGTTGTAATGATCATAAACACTCCGAGTCCAATTATGGTGTTGAGATGCGAAAATGTCGGGCTAAGCAGTGGGTCACCGAGATATGCCGTTACATATGTCCAGTCAAACGTCAGTGGTATTAGCGAAAGTCCAGTAAAACCTCCAAACAACTGATTGATGGTAGCATTATTTGGTCTGATCCAGGTGACGAACGAAAAAACCGATAGGCCTTGCCAGATTACACCAGGTAGCCAATAGTATGCAAAAGAGCCTAGAGCGACGTACACGAAGAAGCGGTATTGAGAGACCTGCCAGCCGTTTGTTTTGGAAGGGTCAGGTCTGCTCTTGTCGTGCAGAGCGTACAACAGAGTTGTCATGGAGAAGTTGGCAGGCCAGATAAGAGCTGCAGGCCATACAAGAAAGCGTCTGAATATCCCAGCGAAAGCAATCCCAATGACTTGAGAGCTCAGTGTGAACAAAATCTGAAAACCCCATCCCATGTCAAGGTTGTATAGCGACTTGGCTTTCAAAGCAAGAAGGGCGTCTGTGCTATAAGCATAGCCATACGTGACATTGGCCATGAGAACCACAACCGTATGTTCTTTGATTGAGAATGGACCTGTGTTGAGTGTCCATTCCAAACCGAATGTCTTGAACTTCCTGGTGGGAAGAACTTTTGCAAGAAGTTGACCGCAGGGATACACGACCAGCAGAATCACCACGGTTGGGATGGTGATTGCCGGGCTGCGCATGCTCAAGAACATGTTGATTCCACTCGAGAGTGTGACGAAGATGAAGCCAAGAAGCCATGCTCGGACTGTATTTGCAGTCTCTTCACCGTCTGTCTCGCGAACGGCGGCACGAACGGTCTCATAGGGTGATTCTTTGGTGAAGGTCTCGTCGACTTCGAGTGCCTGTTCGACATTGCCGGTCTTGATGGCCTCGTCTATTTTCTGTATCTCTTTGTCCGGAAGGTTGTGGTCATATTGATGAGCTTGCTGTAGTCTGTCGATATCTTCGTGTACTCGAGTTTCCGGTAAGGCGCCGTTCCGGAGTTCGATGACTTGTTCGGCAACACCGTGAGTTGCCTTGGACTCAGCGAACTTCATGATTCCGTTGCTGTTATCAGTAGGAACGTTATGGAGCAACGCATGCTTGTAGGCACCAACCGTTTCTGCTCGAAGGGCATCCGGAGGCTTAATATGGTGGACGGATGTCTGCGGTCGAAGGATCATGAAGATTGACACCAGCGACCAAGCGATGTTACATCGTGTCTCCTTCGACATAACTAGTTATCTCTTTCGTATCATCTGTTGGATGGAAGGATATCACTGGTCCGGCCAACTGACTATCCTACCGATAGGGCGACTCCACATGCGGGGTTAGTAGCGCGTGTTAATATAGTGATCAAAGAGGCACAGCTTGCTGTAGTCGTATCAAGCACACATAGGCCTTGCCTCTCTTGGCAGGTGTTGAAACGGCCTTTGTTGAAGTTGAGATAAGACTCGCACCGAGAAGTATAGCTTGACTTAACCATTTGGATCAAGGATGAACGAGGCAAGAATGGAGATTCCAGAGACAGTCTAGATCATTCCTACACATATGGTCTGATCGTCCGGAGTTCAGATATCATAAAACCTCCAAGCTGCTTTATGACCAGGCCGAAGTTTCCTGTCCTGCATCAAGGCTCTGAGGATCTCAATCGGCATCTCTCCTTTCTTGAGTATGCGATCGTGAAACTCCTTCTCTGACATACCACCATTCTCTACCATTTCCTTTCTCATGGCATATATTTGCAGTGCTCCGAGCATATACCCGGCTTGATACAAAGCATTGTAGTCGCCATTAAAGCTTCTCCTAACCTCACCTTCGGCGGTGGCTCTCTCATGCCCGACTTTGTCAACCAAGTAGTCGATACATTCTTGGGGCGTCATTTGATTCATATGAAACTTGAGACTGAAGACGATGCGCGCACAGCGATGCATGCGCCAGAAGAGCATACCGATCTTTTCTTCCGGTGTGTTGGCAAAGCCACGATCCCACAGAACAAACTCCCAGTAGAAAGCCCAACCCTCGATCCAAAAGGGTGTGGTGAAGAGGCTTCTGTAGGACCTATATCGGGCGATCATATGCATTTGTAGATGGTGACCAGGGATCAGCTCGTGAAAGACGGTACTCCGCGACATAGGTCTGTTGTTTCCACGCATGGACATCAGTTTGTCTGAATGCGACATTGTGTCAGTTGGGTATGACACAATGAGGCTCTCACCGCCCAAGAAGAACGGGTTGACTTTTTGTCGCTCTGGTGTCATCATGAAAGTTCTCCAGCACTCCTCGGCGATAGTCGGGACTGTGACCATATCGTGACGTTTGACATAAGCTACTGCTTCTGCAGACAGCTCGTGGACAAGACGCGTCTGCTGACCAGGTTCGACGTAAAGATTCTTGACGTGCTCAAGTGCGGCTTTCCAATCTTGACCGTATCCCAGTGCCTTAGAAGCCTTGACCATCTCGGCTTCGCACCAAGCATACTCTTTGTCAGCAATATTGATCAGCTCTTCAGGACTGTATGCGATGAATTGAGTATCGAGATCCGCCAGGAGACCTTGCCGTCCAATTGGCTGCCCAACGATATCATCGGTAGAGTTTCCTTCAGAACCTCCGACGAGCTTACCGTTCACAGCCGCTCTGAAGGAGTCCAGCTGCTGAAGGATCTCTTGGAACGGGGCAGACGTCCACCACGTGAAGTCTGGATCATATCCCTTGTAGAAGGCCATGCATTCCTCCAGCGCTTCCGTCAACTCTCCTACACATCTGATCGCACGATAGGCCGCAAAGCGGTCTGCTGGATTCTGAGACTGAAGCTCAGTGCTTGTGATCGCATGAAGCTTCTTTCTTACATCTTCGGACACAGACGAAAGAACATCTGCTGCATATCTGCCTGTGGTCGGCACTACCTTTTGTCTGCGTTCAACGAGTTCGACCAGTTTGGATGCAAATGGTTCAATGATAGGCTTTACTTCTTCAAGAGAAGCTTCGAAAGATGCGAGACCTCCGAGTTGTTGGTGCAAGTATTTTTCCAGCAGTATATAGTCGGTTCGATCTTCCGAGTCCAAGAAAAGGAATGGGACAGCCGTCAGCTCAGCAAGCTTATCGCGATAGTAGTCCTTCAAGCGAAGGATACGCGTCTCAGAGAAGGTGATGTTATAAAACTTCTCAACGTCCGTAATGTCTGCAGTGACGCACTCAATAATAGCTCTGACAAGTCCGGACTTGGGAAACTCATGTTCCGCGACTGGCAATTTGACCCTCATGATGTTTATAAGAAGTGAGAATGTTGAAAGGTCAAGTCCGCGTCCGGGCGACTGTATGGATGTGTGTTGGCTGAGATGTAGAAAGCTCCATCGTATCAGGCCTGCGACGTTACATCGCAGGAAAGCTCGATGGCTTCTCAGGTCAACCTCGGCTAATTACAGCATCGCCTTATCGCGGCGGCCGTGTCATTCCCATTCTGGTCATCTTGGATGATCAGACGACATCGACACGGATTGCAGGAAGATGACAGCTTCTCGAAGGTCACTCGACGAGATGAAAACACCCGAAACCTGGCTTGAATGGAGTCCATGTTAGGCAAGCGTTGAGATGTCTCGTTCCCAACATGTGCTGTCTGTTGGAGACAAACAGCATGCACTGTTTGAAGTCATGCTGCCAGTCAAATAAGACAATGTAATACGTTTTCAAATTAAATGTATAGTCTGCCTAATAGTCATGCCTCGTAATAACCGGTAGCCTGTGGGTATCTTTTGAACCAGAAAAACAACAATGCGTAAAGGTAATCGCCAGCGCCAAAATCCAACCCGAACGTTCCTCAATTTTCCTCCTTTCCATCAATCCTTGGTCACTTATCCAGCAACGGTGACAATAGGTCTGCGATATGCCTCATACTCTGGCGGCAGGTCTGTGAATTCTGGAGTTTCCAGGTCATTGTATGACCAACTGCCTCTGTGTTCCGCTGCNAAAAGCTCGTCTTCGGTCCCGAGCCCTGCCAACTGCTGCTCGATAGTTGACGAGTTTCGCGATGTAATATCAACTTCGCCCTTGCCTTCAGCCGAGATCTGGAGTGGAAGCTTCAACTCGATAGATGGGAAGCCGACACCAGCAGAGTGAATTCCAAGTGAGAGGTTGAGCGAATATGTGCGCGAGGTAAGACAGCTGTGGAAGGTGGGCACCAAATGCTTGTCCTTGGGTAATGCAACTGGTACCACGATTTCTGCGGTCCAGAAGTTTTGGCCCTTGTAGTTCGTGCTTGGGCTGGCGTACTTGGGGACGTCTTGATGCGATAGACCAGAGTCGCGACGAGCAAGGTGTTCGTCATCCAGTGCTGACTCCTGTCGCGAGATCCATTCCACCGAGCCCATGCAGCGTGAGGAAAGTCCAATGCTTACTGAGTGCAAACCTTGTCTGTGGTCGTAAAGGCAGTCTTTCTTCTTGGGGATGTCCATGCGTGCGCCAGTAGCATACCAGGTTGTTGTCTTGAGTTTGCTGCTCAAGCTTCCTAGGCGTGGTGGTTGCGACTTCGCCCCGGCTGGATCGAACCGTAGTTTGACGGTCGCAACTGTGCTGATGGTTGATTCTTCCGGGCTATATGATTTGGGTAGGCGAAGTGACTTTGGCTGTTCGGCTTCGATGACCAAGGTACCGAGTTTGCCTTTGAACACGCCTTTCCTAACGGACTTTTCGGATCTCAGAATGTAGTCACTGTCGCCGAGGACATTGACTGGTGGCTGCTCATCAACTGTAGGAACAATGCGGATTGTCTTCATCTTTGTTGCCAGGTTCTTTGGTGTGCCGTTGATGTCGTTGGATACGGTGATGCGAGCGGCAATCTGGTACTGAATCTTCGCCATATCGGGACCCATATCATCGTGCGCTGTTACGGTTCCCAAGCTTGGTGGAAGCTGTAGATGGCAGTCCCGGACGGATTCATGCTGCACTTCATGTTTGCAAACACGGGGCAGTAACTGTTGGGGAACAACAAAGACGAAAGGGAACTCGTAGGTTCGCCCTGGCTCAAGGACTCTTGGTTGAGGATAGCTTGACTCTGAGATTGGTTGTCGGAGTTTCAGGAATTGGTGGAAGGCACTCATGCCACCAGCCAGCCCAGGTGAAGAGGCAATCTTCTCCAGGAATGTCTTTGTAGTGCCNTAACGGAGGAGTTAGTCGCCATGTGGAAGTGGAGCAATGTCGCAAAGCATACCGATAAATTGAATGTCAATTTCATCGAACCTCGTGCTGTGAGAAACAACGATCTCGACCTTGCCAGAAAGCTTATCCAGGGTCGAGTATGATGAGCGTTCATCGTTCAGGACGATGTTGATGTGAGGCTTCGATCCCAATGCTAGCGTGCGCAATCTGGAAGCCATAGCACCAGTGGATGATGCATAAGATGAAGCGGAAGACATGATGTTGGAGTCGAGATACGACAAGCACTCAGCCGGAGGAAGGGCAACCAATGGGAGACTCGAGGTGCGGGGATAGTTTCTGTATGTAGATGTGGTACAAATATATAGGTATCAGATTTTGACTGCTCGACCTGGCAGGTAAAGAGCGATGGAAAGTGAAAAGCGAGTATGTGGGCCTACCTTGACGTGCCAGCGTCTTTTACTTATGTGATGTTTCCTCATCGATGGAAAAATTTGACTCACCTTCTCCGGTTACATGCCACGCCCTGCTCGATCACTTACGCCCTGCCTTTGACACGAAAGGCGCAAGAATGTGCTTTCGGTGTAAGATGCTTTAGCCGGATGTGGAACGCGGGACGCCGCGCCCTCCTTGACGATAAAGTCTATGGGGAACCCTGATCGGCAAGCGTTTTCCGCATTGTTTCCCGTCCTCCAGAATGCTTCGCAGCTTCTTCTCTGTCAATGAACAGCATACCAGTTTACCGCGGGCTCTTTCTGCTTTTCTGGATGCAATGAGGATTTCTGTAGATCGCTTCAATTCCCTGGGTCGCATACTGATGCAAAGTCTCATCTTCACCGTTGTTTTGGCTCACGAACGTGTTCTTGTCCGCTAGGCATCTAAAGGAAAGCACTTTTTAACGAGACCTCTAACAGTAGGTATAGCCCGAGGATTAGTCAGTGATGATCGCCAACAGGAGGTGTTGCCGGTGGTATGTACTAGGTTTATTGCATGGCTCTTGCATCAGCAAGCTGTCCATGACCTATCGTATGACAACGCTTACTGATCGCGAGATCATCAGCTCTACGGGGTTGATTTCAAACAGTACTCTGTATATACCTGACCTCGTGCGGCATCGCAGTGACTCCCTACAAAGGCGCTGCTTTTCCGGCATGATACTCGGTCGAAACAACTTTCCCCACGAGTTCTTTGTTTCTCCTGCCGTTCACGGAGACGGATGTGGCTTGCCCTGCTGGAGTTGGAACCTTGCCGTCATGAGTTTTCCGACGGAAAACACGAAGCTCTGCTTAACCTCCACATTTCTGCCCACCCTGTCCGTCTTCGGGGCTCGTTATCATCTGCTCTTACTCGATGAGCTTACCCCATGCCGTGTTTCCCGTTCTTCTTCCATGTGCTTTCAAACGAAGCAACGGCTCGCTCGACATCATTCGAAAAGCCTCTCGTGTGGACATACCATACAAGGACGATGACTCAGAAGACTCAAGCCTCTGTCTAGGCTGCCAATATCACAACTCAAGAATAGCGTTGCTTTGTCATGCCTGAAGATGATCAGCAGGAGTCATCTCAGCTCGCAAGCACCCCGCATGTCTTAGAAAGAGATATGGGAGGGGAGATCTGGGGATCATCACAAAGCACACGGTCCGGACGCCCGACTGAGAGCAGACTGATAGCCGAAATGGCGCTAGTGATCGGTCCGTAGGTTGACGACGTCTCGCACGTTGTCCCTCTTCTGCCTACACTACCCTGTGTATACCAACTTCTGACGACAAGCACGAGACCATTTTGTTGGTCAATCAACTCGAGCCAACCATAACGTCAGGGAAATCTAAGAATTGCCCACGATCAAACTTTCTACCATGTCTGCCTGGGCACGGATAAGAGGTCCCTAACGCTCGTTGAGATGGACTCCCAAATCCCTAGCTGACATTGCTTTGTACAGATGCTGTCTTGACGTCCAAGTGGAACAAGCCTTTCCCTGTGACGTTGCTTCCTTCGGCCATTGGAGTCTACTTTGCTGTTTACTTTGCCGAGAAGCAGAGTGAGCGCCAGAGACAGATCCTGGATGAGATCAGAGCGCTCGGCGAGAACGATATCAACGCGGTCAAGGCAATAGCAAGCAAGCCCCGATGAGGCTATGCAACCAGAGTTTGGAGAGTGCTTGAGGCTCCAACAACCTTGATGGGTATGTGGACGTTGTGTGTGATGCTTGACTTGTTGATGCCTGAAGCTAATCATGAGAGTAGCTAGCTCGGCATTATCGCGATCATCACACAGAACTCGGAGTACCTTGTAGGCCAAGATTTTGTTGTACATTCACTGTATCTAAATTCTTGTACATATCAGAACCGTTTGTCTCATCCATGCGGTACTATTGATTTGTGTGTTCGGCACGTGAGTGTTGAGATAAGAATGGACAAAAAAAAAGGTTCGTATGTCAACTCGAGCGGTATCGCGAGTTCATTCACACCAGAACAAAGCATCAACAACAATTTCAAGTAGCACACGCTGCATTGGAGTATATCAATGTCCTTGTATGTCGTTCCATGGTATCCAAACTCCTAGAAAGCACAACCGTTCCCAAGCCTCCAAGCCCTGCAATGCAGCAAATCCTCGAGCATAAACAACCTAGAGCTTGGCCTTGTTCTGCATCTTCTTAAAGATAGGCTCCATCTTGGTAGCCTTCATAACATCCCCCTTGACCTTGAGCTTCCCACTCATAAACAGCTTTTGCGCATTAGCCTCTCCCTTGACCAGCTTTCCAAAATCGGCATCGCTGAGCGACATTGTGACTGCAGATTTCTTGCCATCGGGGGCGGTGCCTTTGCCAGCCTTGCCACTGTCTTTGAGATCAATGTGCCAGGATTCTTGGGCGCCGGAAGTGTTTTTGAGGGTGAAGGCGAAGATGGCACCGCCTTTNTTGATTGCGTCTTTGCGTTCGGCGTCGTCTGAGAGGGCAGAGTTGATGGCGTCGAAGGCGGCCGAGGAAGGAAGTTTGCTGTGGTTTGCTGTGTTAGTATCGAGGTTTGGAGGACGGGAATGATGAAGCGTACAGTCTGCGATGGACATGCTGCCGTTATGTGGTGAATTTGAGAGTAGGAGGAGACGTCAAGGTGTTTGAGTGGGTATCGAAGAGCTGGGTTTGATGTCGAGAAAGGCGAAAGTGGACGAGTATAGGTTACTTGGTGGAAGAGAAGGAGCACCCAAGAGCTCACCAACATGCGCATACCGAATCCGGGGAGCCGAGGCATCGAACAGGCATGTGAATCTCTTGGCAATGACGGCACTATTTTGCTCTTGCACTCTCGAGTCGCTCTCTTGTGCAAATCGTCTCCCGACAAACATCTTCATGTGAAGTTCTTCTCTTCATGTGACCGACACTTTGTCCGAGACAATGGTTCCATACATCGACATCCAACGCTACTATGAGTATAACAAGACACAAAGTCGTGAGTCATTGACAAGAAACTAGCATGCCCGACCGACCTCGACCATCTCAGTCGCGCCCACTTCGTCTTGCCTAATCCGAGCAGGCCTCAGTGGTGAAGCGTACATGGGCGGCGCCGTGTCCACGCTGCTTCGCTGCTCACCCTCCTCCGCATCGCCAACACGTCTCCAATACAAGAGCTCGGGATCCATACGATAGCTACCTCTCCATCTGCCATACGCCGGTGGTGGAGGCCGAACTTTGGCGATAGATTCCTGTGAAGCTCTCTCTACATCCTCATCGGCCTCGTGCTGCACCGCGATCGGGCTGTTTGGAATCAGGCTCTCTTCCGTCTCCGTAGGGCGAACAGTTCGCGATTGTCCGCGTCGAGCGCCGGCACTCTGTGACTTGTCCATCTTGTGTCGATCAATGGCTTTGTGCAAACGAACAGAGAAGAGGAGGATGTAGCCGACAACTACGACGAATGTCCCAATTATGAAGACATGAACGCTAGCAGGGATATCGTTGACTCTGGGTATCGCCATTGCCACGTCTGCAACATGTCAGCTCAGACGGTCGATAATGTAGAAGGACTGCACTCACACAGGCTCATTGCTACAATAAGCAGTACGCAGAGTACGCCTGTGATGATGGGCGAGTTGCGTATCTCTCGATCTCGACGACACTTCCTTCGTCGACAAACGGTAGGTCTAGGTTCTGCTTCTCTCTGAGTTGTATGATTCTCCGACATTTCAGCGCACTCTGCATTTGTCTGCGTACACAATGGTGACCTATTCGCTACAGCATCTGGCACCAGGATAAGTGTGTCCGTGTTTGCAAGTGGTAGCGCCCATGCCTCTCTACTGATGCCAGATTGTGACAGCAAGGACCTCCTCGATAGGACCGAATGATGAGCAGTTCCCTGTATACTTCATCAGCTTTCCGAACATCGACATTAGGCTTGATTATCAGCTTACGCCTAATGAGAGCGACCCCTCGCACTGCGTAGTGGGGTGTATGAAGCAATGGAGTCTTGCCGGCTGTGGTTTGATGTTGATGAAGCCGGTGATTCGCTGCTTGTGCTAGACGGTGACACTCTCCTGGATACGGACTGGAGAGATTCTGCTACACGGGTATCGGCACGGAGTGTGCTCAGTCGACCCTCTCGGCTGGTCTCTTGCATGGTATTGCTCTCTGTGCTTACTTGCAGACTATCATCATTGCAAGACCTCGAGGGCGTTCTCGGCTGTCTGTCAAGCAGTGGTCCTCCATCGAAATCCAATTCGAGCACATTCGACTTCATGATTGGCGACGTTGTTTTCGTCACGGCTTTAGAATGTTTAGCCAACAGCTTTCCAAGAGAACAAAGCTTGGATGTCGATGAAGGATCGAACAGAGGACTGGGATGTTGTGTTTACCGTGGCGGCAGGGCCGTTTCCATCCCTGCGCTTCGGTTGACCTTCCCATTTCTTTCATCTCTCCTCTACCATGAAACACACAGTTCGCAAATCATTTCGCTATTGATGCACGAGAGTCTGTTAGAGTGATTCATTCGGCGGGTTTCTTACCACAAGCTCAGGGCGAAACTAGGAGAGAAACATCAACTGTTGTCCACCTCATCATATCTCTTTGATACAATAGTGCAGCTTCATTAATCGTCATAACATACATTGCTCTGGCATCTATTTCGATCGTCTACAGAAAGACCTGAACTTTTCGCACTTTGAGAGTCCTTGCCTATCGTGCATATTCACCAAGAGACCCTTAGACTCACTGTCAGTCTACGAAGCATCGAGCTGATACAGCCACGAATAAGTGCCATGAGCGCAAAGTTGACAGCATTCTGTGGTTGTGGATAGCACGCATCAAGACTGCTGGAGACTGCTTATATCGTAAAGGTCGTTGCGTGATGGAGCAAGGCGGGGTTGCCTGCGTGAGAGTGGATCTGTGATGATTGTTCCTGATCTATTTTTGCAAGAGGTTTGGATGCTTCATATGCATAGCAACACGTCGCCATACTGAAGTTGAACACACTGTCCATCGGTTCCATCGACAAGCCTCGGTTGAGGTGACGTAGAGGAGTCGATCGAATAAGAAAGAAGAGAAAACAAAAGCTGTATTGGGTGGGGTATCATGTCTAAAAGCAAGAAGTATTCGTTGTCGGTCGTAAGTCCTGTTTATCGTTCGTGGGTAATTGTATGCGCCATGCTCAAGAATCCTCCATCTGAATCGCGTGTAGCCGCTTGCTCAGATGCAAATGCTCCAGACAATGATGAAGCGCAAGCAAATAGTTGATGGTTGCAAGTCGCAAGGCCATGTATCACTTCCACGCCTGAGTCTTGGTATCCCAACCAATGACATCAGGAGGAATATTCAGCACCTGCAACATACTCCCCAGTGTCAATTCCTCTTCTTCTTCAACCTCTTCCTCTTCATGTTTCTTGGCTCTATCCTCAATCTCACATCTTCGTTGCCGTTTTCCTCTTTCGGTCAAGCAATCGCCTTCCTCGTCTCTCCAATCTTCTTCATTGGTTTCATCCACTTCCTCTCGCTCATCCCCAAAGAAAGATTTGGGTCTACTCTGTTGTTTCAGGAAAGCAGTGTATCCACCATTATCTCGTATCTTTTCCGCAAAGTCGCAGAAGACTTCTTCGGCTGCTTGTTGGCTTGCTTTGCGCCATTTTTCTTCTAGTCTGAGGAGGCGTGGTTGCTGGTGTGAGGATGTAGGTGTGACAGTGGTGATGTCGAGGGCTTGGGTCAAGATGCCGTTTTGACTGCGCAAGTCGCGGATCTGGGCTTCGAGGGCGCGGACTTGGGTTTGCGCTGCAAGGATCTCGGGAGAGTGGTGGGATAGTGGTGTGGAGGTTTTGAGATTGCTGCTGCGGAGGGGTGTGTAGGGTGTTGCTGGCGCTTGAGGGGCTGCTCGGGTGACTGGCTTTGGTGTAGTGGTTGCTTGGTTTGGAGGGCCGGCGGTCGAGGGATTGCGCTTCAAAGGCGAGACGAAGGGTTTGTGGATGCCGACAGAGTCTACGCGACGCCTTTTAGGGGCTGGCGGCGTGGACATGGTGTAGTGGTTACATTGGTTCTGTTTGTTGAATGTTGATGCAAAGGAGCAAGTGGGAGCCTGGAGCTTTGGAAATTTTGGAGGGGTAATTTGGCTGGTGCCACCCTGCTTCTTAAACGAACATGCAAGAAGACATGACAGAAACGCCGATCCTGGTTCAAACAAAACAAGAGACTTCCTCTTTGTTCTAAATCTTATATCTCGCGTGTCAAGTAGCAAATTAGCAGGAGTCAAGTGTTAGTCCTGATGCCAAGTTGAAGGCGTTCTGCTGACTGAACATGCATGTCTGGCTCCCGACACTACCAAACATGCAAAGCGCTATAAGATAATTTTGCAGCATACGCGATAGTCAAAATTTGATCAGAAGGGTTGTTTGGCGCAACAATCAAACATCAACTGAAATCTAAACATTTTCTTGAACTATAGACATCGGGGCCATCACTTGGTTTATAGCTTGATGGTGATGTTGCGCTGATCCAAGATCAAACCAACACCAGTCAGGATGCCCATGTAGCTGATCAACACTGCCATGGCCTGGAAATCATTCAAGTCCAAAGTAGGCATGGTCATGTTGACAAGGCCAGTCAGAACATTGGCGAGGCAGAAAATGGCCAATCCGTTGCGGTTGAAGGCGTTCAAAACCTTGCTGGTGGCCTTCTTGACACGCTCTTGTTCAACCTTCCTGTCGCGAGAAGTGTACAGAAGAGGGAAAAACAGACCCTCAATAACGCGGAAGAGGAGCAGCTGCCCACAGTTGAAAGCTGCAACCCATGCGAGGTAAGGCAGGTTCGCCAGACGACGGGAAACAGTCAAGCGAGGGCCATAGTTCCATGTCAGGAAGACGTAGATAACAATCCAGAGACCAGTCCACTTGGCAAGCTTGAGCATCGAGTTATGTTCGCGAACCTTGCGAACTTCCTTCAAGCTATCCGTTCCACCGAGCATCTCAGCAACCCACTCATCATTTTGTGTGATGGGAGTGGCAGCGTTGACATCACGGCGAAGTGCTTCCATACCAATGCCCTGTCCGACGATGAAGATGGCGAGGTAGCCTAGAAAAGAGAGAATACCCTCGCGGTTGGCCGAAAGAAAGTCGTCTCTAGGTGCCATGAACATGTAGAATCCAAGGTTGGAGTAGGTGTATGCCATCTCGTAAGGGACGAGCAGCGCAAAGCCGAGAGCGCTGTAAGAGGGGATAAACTTGATGACGGGTTGGAGAATAGTGACAAAAGGAGGCAGAAGTCCAAGAGTGAANAAGAAGTTCCAGTGAACACCGTACTCAGTAACGTGCTCCTGGTACTCGAGACCCTTGACGGACCAGAGACGAAGGAATCCAAGAGCAAGCATAGGCAAAGAATGCATAACTGCAGAGTTCATCTTGCTGGCGAAGGTGGCCTTTGGTGCATCCTCTTCCTCTTCCTTGAGTTGCTGACGAGCGTAAACCAGACCAGCACCGAAGACGAAAGAACCCACACCAAGATCCATAAGAGAAACACCCCAGTTCTCGACCTTTGCGAAACGACGAGGGAACACAGGGAAGTCAACAGCCAGGATAGAGATACAGGTGATGATCATCATGGCACCCCTGTAAGTGGTAATGAAAGGCTTGATAGGGACCAAGTCAACAGGCTCAGGGGGTCCAGCGGCATCATCCTTCACAGGAGGCTTTGCAGGCTTGGTAAATCTGTGGTCGACATTGTCGCCATTGACAACAGTACCAATTGCGGGAATCAAAAGTAGTCCAATAAGCACAGTAGGGTTGTCGGAATACACTGTGACGGCGAAAAGAATGGCTCCGACTTGAAGCAAGAAATCAGTCAGATATGCTGATGTTGTGTAAGGGTCGAAGAATTTCTGTCTGGTTTGGAGTACAGCCCAGAGCAATGCCGCAGCCNNTGTTATCGTATTCAGTTAGATATCACCATCAACGTTTCGCCTGCTATGTGCGGCTGAAGATGAGATGAGAGGAATGCGTCTTACCGGAGCGACCAATGTCACTTGAGTGATGTCCCAGTGATTACTGCCAGTATGACCCGTGACAAAGTCAATCTTGCGCTCGATATAGCTGTCTCCCTCCATGATGTCGGTGTTGATGGAAAGAAAGAAGAGTGGTCTTTTTTCTGGAAATGAGGACAACACAGTGTTCTCAAGGGGCCGCCTGTCTCCGAGTCTTCTCGAATCTCGACAAGCTGTCAAACAAAACATTTCGAAAATGAAGCTTGGTCATAGCTCGCAGCCCACGGGCGTCGGTACCAGACAGATGCCGTCTTCACTCCAACCTCGCTCTTGCGTATCGGTTGATGTAGAATGCCGAGAAATAGAGAGATTGTCTGGTTTACCAGACTGTATTGTCTGAGTCTTTCACAACAAGGTCCCCAAAATTCATTCAAGGTGTGCTATATTGCAGCTAGAGGTACAGAGCATGCATCACTGGTGTCCTTACCGTGCCGTACCCCGATCGGTGCGTCTCTTTGCCGAGGACCGTTCCTTCTCCTGGCAGCGCGCCGGTTACAGACATCCGTTCCTCATTTCCCTTCTTTCTTTCGCCCTTCATAAATCGCATTCTACGACTCAAGGGCTCGCTTGTCCTAATATCTTATAGGTGGTCATATCTTCTAGTATATTGTTCATGATACTGGTCACAAGAGAGCGCCCCCAGTCTGCGTGCCTAGGGCGGGCATAGTAAATTGCAAGAGATATCTCATCATGACGAGCTTCACCAGAATCCGTCTCTCCGTCTCTGAGTGAGCAGGAACGATGGAGTCCTACTAGTCAACACAAGATCTGTTCCTGCGACTAATACATCTTTTGTTACTTGGTGGCTATATACAAGCGATAGAAGGTGGTCGAACAGACCCCTTTCATCGGTTGAGGTAGTAACTTAGTGAATTGAGGCTTCGGCAGATTCTTCATTCACGCCTACGCAGAACTCTTCAGGCCATGTGAGTCTTGTGGTTGTGGATATAGCCACAGTCACCGTTGCGCATTTGGTCTTGCGGGCACAAGAGCAAGCGGACGTTGGAGGCTCATCAACGGCCATCTCTCTTGCCAATCTCCAGACTTCCTGTTTTGACATATAAACATTCGCGATGCGGAAAGTACGAGGGCGTTCGACGTTGACCTGATCGCTGTGGCTGCCTTTTCCTGCTAGCACGATGATAATAGGTACGGTAGAAAGTACGACTTACCTTCCGCAGGTTCCCCATCCTGCGCTCTCACCTTCCTTCCATCGCTGTTACCAGGAGCTCGATGTCACTCTTTTAATGCTCTCGATTCTTCCTGCCCGATGCGATAACTAATAATTCATAATCCATAATACACTAATATACTGGCACAAACCAACGCAGCCAAGACATCTCATCTCGTACAGACCGGATCGGATTTTGGTTGTCCAGCGCACCTCTGTCTTGACAATGACACCACTCAGCGATCGAAGCGTCAACAGACAGAGTCGCATACCCATTGTTGGATATGAGTCCAGGAGTCGTGTCAACGACGAGAATGCACCGCCAGCCTCCAATCTCTCACGTCTTTTGTCACCAACAAAGTCGTCAGTGACACGCTCAAGATCGCCATCGCCATCACCAAAACCGCTTCCTCTCACTCCAAGAGCGGTTTCAAGAGCTCCAAGTTATGGACGTCTCAGTGCAGTCACGTCAGATGACAGCTTGAATGCATCTTTCGCACGGCGCCAATCCCTACAACGATCCTCAAAGACATCTCTCAAGAGCGGCCCCAACGACGGTACTCCCAGACCGCCATCCAAATCTGCTCGCAGACCGCTTCGCCAAAGTGGATCGAGCTCGGATGCTGGAACGGTGGAAATACAGAGTCGACTTTCTGGAGCAAGGATTCGATATCCTGACAGGTCTCCGCTCAAACCTCCTAGCACTCTACAAACCGACGGACGGACAGCTTATCTCCACGAGCGTTCGCTCACACGGAGTGGAAGTTCAAATCTAAACACGACTCCAAGCACAAAGTACAGAACTCTCAGCAAGCTGCCACGCTCATCGCCAATTCACAACAGTCCTGCTTTCGTGTCTCCTGTTCTCGATCCACTACCTGCGAGTCTCAGTTCACAACGTTTCGCTTCACCTATCTCGTCGTCGCCTGAAGTACCTAGTGAAGTAGGCAAGGCGACAGTCTTTGATGAATCAAGTGGACAACGTCCCCCAAGATCTTCCTCCTTGTATACACCTGAGCCTTGGAGCGCCGACATGGGTCTGAGAATAGGCGTATCTGTGGCAGAAAGCTCCGTTACTGGAGGTCAAGATCGCAAGTATCTACCTGCTGTTCACAGCTTCTCGAGACCCAGAGCTCAATTAATGGAGAGATCGCCAACCAGCGCCAAATCCCCAGCTGTTCCACGTTCAGATTCACAGCAGCTTCTCAATCCAAAGACGCCTTCCAAGGACACACCTACGATCGTACGCAGTTCACCGAGCCTAACTTCGAGGTCGCCAGTAGCTAGCGACATCTTGACGTTCGCTGGCCGAAAACTAGGCACTCCGACAGATCTCGCTACCCTCGACCACGGCAGTGTTCGTTCATCTAACCGCAAAGGCCGTTTAGTCTCTGACGATGTCTTTGAATACACACGAGTAAAGCAACTTTCCGGAAATTTGTTGTCCAGCGGTGGTTCTTTTGTCGGATCGAAGTTGAGCATTTCCGATGAAGCCGACCAACTCATACTTGGAAAAGAAGGATCTCGCACGTCTTCTTTCGTCTCTCAAACAAATCTGATGGCTCCCACAGATTCTGGGTTCAAGCAAGATACTGATTTTGAGCTGCCATCTCCCAGCGAGAATGGTTTCCATGTGTCATGGCCTGCAGACTTTGGTTTCAAACCAGCGAGTTCGGCCCCAGACTCACCAACCGTACAGAGCTCACCTTCTGTACGACCAAAAGCGTTTTCGAGAATCTCAGAGGAGAGCGAACAATCAGTCGGCGAGACCGAGCATCGCAACGATGACGTTGTCTCGACCAACGAGAGCAGGGGAAAAGACATCACAGCAACCTTGTCGATGCTTGAAGGTGCACCTACTCTTCAGAACGCTGCCTCAAGTACTGGTCCGCAACCTCTGGAGACACGCTTGGGTACGCCGAGGCTGTCTCAGACAACTTCCAAGAATGGCGCCCAGGATCTCGTACGCAACGCACGCAACGACAGTGTTCCGTCGTACATGCTGCCTACGCCAGCTTCAGAAGCGCGTAAGACTAACACTGTTCCTCCGCCAGGTTTCGTCCGCAACAATGCGAGTACGCCAAGCCTGAGCACTCGTCGAGCATCCCAGAATACCAAACTCCCATCTATACCCGACCCTGGCAAAGGTCGCATTCCTGCCCCAGACAAGCAAACCTCAGTGTCTGAGCTTTGTGGTACTGGCCGAGGCGGTCGCACAACGCCTAATGCTGTTGTTTCTCGCAGTGCAACACCAATCGCTCGTCCTAGTGCGGGCAGCCAGCTTCAAGGTCAGACGACTACCACTACACCAAAACCCAACGCCAAAACAGAACCGAACCAACGTGTGTCGATCGGACATATCAGGATATCTCGTCAGTCGCCGCATCCTATAGAGACATCCCGCGATGGAACCTTCCCACCAACCCAGCCCAGAAGCGAATCGAAGGGCAAAGCAGTCTTGAACAATCTCAAGGGCTTGTTTTCTGTTAAAAGAGATGGTCCGTCAACTTCTAGTCACAGTGGTAGGAGATTCTCAATCGGCAGCCGTAAATCAGTATCGACAGAAGTTGATGTCCCGGATGTGCCTGCCCTTCCTACAGTGCCTCCTATGCCTGCTGTACCGACAGGATCTGCTGTGTCGGAGTCCAGAGTGAAGTCCACTCCGAAAAGCATCTTGGTCAAGAAGACTGCCACCGAGGAAAATCAGTCTTCGAACTCTGAAGCTTCGAACGAATCTTGCACTTCGCCGAGACTTAGACGGAAATCAACTGTCAAGGGTGATCTGGAAGTACCTGAGAAGGAAAGACCTTCACTCCACCGCAAGACCTCGAAGCATAAAGTCGCTGCTACCGAGTCAACCCAAGAGGGCTCGGAGAAGCCAACAAGCGACTCGATTGCACTCATGGAGATGGTTCTCACTCTTCGTCAACAAGCCTCTAAAGAAGACGATCTTGCTCGTAGGGAGCGCATGACATCGTTCGCTCAAGTCATGCTTGATACTGTCACCAACGCAGTGGAAGCCGAACGGAACATGTATGCCGCAATGCAGGCAGCAGAGCAGGCAAAGATGTCGTACATGATGACACAGCAGAGTGTTCAGGAGATGAACAAGATTGTTTCGACGTCCCACCGACAGCCTCTGTTTAAGGAAAAGAAGCGAGCGGACAACAACGTCTGATCAGTTGCTCTGCATTATCCTGCGTGTAAGTGCCAGACGAGTATTTTCCATCTGTTTCATTATCTTCATGTATGAAGCTTGACAACATCGTCTCCCACAATAAAGCTAGAGCACATAACTAGTACCACAAATCCACAAATCCCAATCACACGAAAGTTGTCAGAAAAGTTTCCGAACAGTGCTGCAACTGCTGTCAAGTTGACAGGCACTGATGCCCCACTTTTCCCATGCGAACTGCCCCGCGCGGGGTTAGGAATTAAAGTTGATGATGTCAGAATGTTTGAGGCTCGAATTGTCATCCAAGGTTTCTCGTAGTCAAGTCGCGCACCTGTTCATGGTTCAAGGATTAAGTCACTAGTTTTAGGAAGGTGACATGTTCGGCAGTTGTTGGTGTAAATTAAACGAGCATCTCACAGCTGCGTGAACGATTGGAAACGAGCAATCAAAGCGAGATCAGATCATGGATGCCAGCCGCAGCTCGATCCTCGAAGATATGGTGACGTCGAGGCGACGTAGGTAGTTAGACGGACAACAAGCTGTCGAGCTCAAATACCCATGAGAGACGCAGTTTGACTCCGGTCTCATCTCACTTTGCATCTTTGTTCAATCGCAATACCTCAACACGCACAAGACATTCACAATGGCAGCAGTAACACAAGCAGCAGCCCTGGCTGAGAAGGCCATTGGCCACGGCGATAACGCCATCACCGAACAGGACATCACCAACCCTGGAAGAAACAGAGAAAAGTACGGCGACCCGAACGAGACCATGAAGGCTCTGGTCTGGCAGGGCAAGAACACGGTCGAGGTCATCACATGCCCCAAGCCCAAGATTGTCGAGCCCCGCGATGTCATCCTCAAGATCACTGGCAGTACCGTCTGTGGTTCAGATCTCCACTTGCTGCACGGCTCGGTCGTCGAGATGGAGAAGGGCGACATCCTCGGACACGAGTTCTGCGGTATCATTGACCAGGTCGGCTCCGAAGTCAAGAACCACAAGGTCGGCGACCGCGTCGTTGCCTCTTTCCAGATTGCCTGCGGAGACGTACGTATATCTCAGATGCCTTTGACATGGTTACATGCTGACATGGATTCACAGTGCATGTACTGCAAGAAGAAGCTGTCATCGCAGTGCGAAAAGACCAACTCCAACACTATCGAGAACGCCATGTACGGCGGCCGCACCGCCGGCATGTTCGGCTACTCTCACTTCACCGGTGGCTTCGCTGGTGGCCAGGCCGAGTACACCCGTGTGCCATGTGGTGATGTTAACCTTCTCCACCTTCCCGACGATGTCCCTGATGAGAAGGGTCTCTACCTCTCCGATGTTGTCAGCACCAGCTGGAACTGTGTTGTCGACACTGGAGTCAAGGAGGGCGATGTCGTTGCCATCTGGGGTGCCGGTCCTATCGGTCAGATGTGCATCGACTTCTGCTACATGAACGGCGCCAAGCGTGTCATTGTCATCGACCAGAACTGGCGTCTTGACTTCTGCAAGTCCAAGTACCCCAACATTGAGACCATCGACTTCTCCAACCTGCCCAAGGGCGAGACCGTTGTCAGCACCCTAAAGAAGATGGAGCACGGCGGTCCTGACGTCGCTCTTGAGTGTGTCGCTGGAGAGTACCCCAAGAGCTGGGCTCACACCATTGAGCTGATGGCTGGCTTGGAGACTGACACGCCCGAAATCATCAACGAGATGATCGAGAGTGTCAAGAACTACGGTCGTTGTGGTATCACTGGTGTCTACGTCGGCTACGTGAGTCTTCTTTCCCCTTAATATGGCTTCAGTAGGTAACTGACTCTATCACAGACCAACCACTTCAACATCGGCTCGTTGATGGAGCGTGGTATCCGCCTTATCGGTAACGGACAAGCACCCGTCCACCTCTACTGGGAGAAGCTTCTCAAGATGATCCAAGAAGGCAAGATCGACCCCTTGAAGATGGTCACCCACCGTGTTCACATGGAAGATATGGCCAAGGTTTACTACATGTTCGACAAGAAGGAGGATGGCATGCAGAAGGTCTACGTCGAGACCAAGTTTTCGCAACCCGCATGCGCCGGCAGCCCTGCCCTGAAGAGATACTCTTGAAGCGGTGTGTGACCATGACGCTTCACCACCTTGATGATGTTGACGATGACCACGGATATACCTTTTTGTTGGCACGTTTTGGAATGAAATTTGGATTGGGCCCGAAGGTGTTGCCGCCTGACAGGGTTTCGCACGCCGAGCTGGAGCTTGAATCAAGATGCCCAAGGCGCTCTGTTTCATCTTCTAAGCCCTAATAGAACCACAACGAAAAGAATTAATAAACTTCTCTATTGTTCACATGCTGTCTCCAATGCCCACGTTTCATGAGCTTTGGTAATGTGGATTGTTTACTGTTGACGTCGATCGTTTTTAGAGTTGACACCGTTCTTCGTGAGGCTCAACAAGCAGACTTTGTGTCCTTCCAGAAGGACCGACTTTCACCGCACTTCTCGAAGCTCTTTGCCCAGTCCACCTTGCGGCCCTTCGAAAAGTGGTGAAACGGACGGTGAACGACGACGATCGTTATCCACCACTCACGCCCAGCAACGCCGAGTCAGCCAAAGAAAAACATGCTTGGACCAAGCTTGGGAAGAAGGGCACGACGACATGGCGTTGCAAGAATATTTGCTGTAGCATATAAAGAAATGTAACCCTCGAGCCTTGATCAACCAAACCAACGACTTTACGATCCTCTTTCTTCTCACGCCGGGAAATACCAAACATCATGGCTGTTCGCATACCAGCATACCTCCACCGCAGCGGTCTTCGCCCCTACCTGGCCGAATTCATCGGCACACTCCTCCTCATCCTCATCGGCGACGGTGTAGTCGCTCAAGCCGTCCTCACAGACTTCTACTACGCCAATTTCCTCTCTGTAAACCTTGCCTGGGCATCCGCAGTTGCGCTTTCTTGCTACATTGGCGCCGCCGTCAACCCAGCCATCACCCTCGCCTCTGCCATCATTCGCCCTACAAAACTGCAATGGAGACAATTGCCAGGCAAACTCGCTGCTCAATTTGCTGGTGCTTTTGTTGGTGCTGCTTTGGTGTATTTGCAGTATAGATCTGCGATTAAGGTCTGGGACCCTGAGTTTACGGTTCCTGGTGGCAGTATTTTGAGTCCTCAGGGTCACTCTTCTGCGGGTATTTTTGCTACGTATCCGGCTACTACACTTGGAAACAACTGGGAGGCTGCTATTACTGAATTCCTTGGATCGAGTTTGTTGGCTTTTGGTGCCTCTGCTGTTGCAGACCCGAAGAATGAGGGACTTAAGGCGCCGCAGTTTATGATGTTTGCATTGATGGTTGCGATTGGTGCTTCCATGGGTTGGCAGACTGGTTATGTGAGTACCTATTACCCGCTCTCTCGCTAGACATGTTCACTAACCTTGTCCCAAACAGNNGCCGTCAACCCAGCCCGCGACTTTGGGCCCCGTGTCTTTTCGGCAATCATCTATGGCCGCGAAGTCTTCTCTGCAAAGGGCTTTTACTTTATTGTTCCGCTGTTTGTACCTATCTTTGGTTGCATTGCTGGTGCTGCTGCGTATGATGCTTTTATGTTTGAGGGCGAGGGATCTGCTGTTACTGATGCGTTGGATGCTGCTGAGGGGCACGACGGAAGGATTGCTTTGGAGTAAGTGTGTTGATGAGTGGATGTTGTAGAAGAGAGATGATGGGAGATTATGATGGGGAGGAGGAATGGTTGCATGGAGGATGTTGACGTTGATATGGCTTTTATGATCTGGTTGTTTTTGAGGCTGCGTGTATGACTTGGCATTGCATGGATGTATCGCGTGATCTTCGACTCTATTGATTTGCAAAAGCGGTTTCTTGACTTTGAATTATACGATGCTCTTGGTCTCACATGAATCTTGAGCCAGGCATGGAAAGGCATTTGAGCATCAAGGCCTCGGTGTCGGCCAATCTCGATAAATAGATGAATAAATATATTCACGAGTCTCTTCACAAGCACTCAATAAGCGCTGTAAGCATCTCAGCCACATTTCCCTCTTCCTCCGTATCAACCTCATGGAGCTGATCTTGCAAGCTCTTCTTCAATGTCTCTAGCCCTTCATCCCTGTCCGCTAAACCTGCTACAATCCTCTTCCTCGCGCCTCCATCCTCAGCAACCAGCCAGGTCAAAACGACATCGAGAGTATTGAGACAATAGACTGCAGCTCCTGCATCAATATCATCTAGATCCTTTGCCTTGCTTGCGTATTCATGTCGTAGTTTGACCAGTTTGTCGAGTTTCTCGTACTCCTTTTCCACGAATTTGGCGAGGAGACGGATACGGTGGGAAGATTCGCCAGGTAGCAGACGCAACAGGGCGGAAAAGATTCCTAGCACATGTTCCGTATCCGCTGCTTCCAGATTTTTCTTCATGAAGGTTGAAAACAGAGGTTTTAGTCCTGCAGCGTCTATGAATTTTTCCGCCACAGGTTGGCCAGATGAACCGGAAAGTGCATGATCCAGCACCTTGAGGGAGCGAGGTTTTGAGAACTTAGCTTCCTTGAGCATGAGCAGCATCAATTCTGTTCCTTCTGCGGCAAGGAAAGCCTGTTTGCCAGGAGAGGGTTGGGAGAGGCAGGTCAAAGTATCGAAAAGGTCTTCTGCGTATTCTTCTTCTGTGCTGTCGCGCTCGGGGTCACGCTTGCGGTATGCGGAGAGCAATTGGAGGAGGTTGTCGATCGCGTCAAGGGAGATTAAGCGATCGCGAACGGATGTGGAGGCTTGGGCAAGCACTTGAAGGACTTCGGCGGCGTATTGTTTGTTCTGGGATACGGACTTCTCTGAGCGTGAGATGCGGGTGAGGAGGTATTTGAGAATGGGTTCTTGTGCGATTGTGTCTGCGGTGGTGGAACTGGAGGAGAGGGCTTCGAGGACTGCGAGCGAGTGATAGACGCCACTTCGATCGGCTTCGAGGTTTTCGTCTAGGCGGTCGAGGTTGGCGAGGAGGAGGTCGATGAGGTCAGCTTCAAGCATGGCTGATACTAGAGTGTCCCATTGCTCTTGCTCTGCTTGCACGTCGTCGTCTAGCAATTCCGAGATGATCTCAATGGCGTCGATGGCGATATCTGTGTTTTCGTGCGACAGGAGGGAGACCAGACTTGCGGCGCAGCCAATGCTTGCAAAATCCTTGTACAGCTCCGGGTGTTCTGACAGAATGCTCAAACTCTTGATCTCGGCGTCCAGGTCGGCCTCGCTGGCCACGAAGCGTGACGGGTCGCTCTCGTACTTTGCGCGCAGCTCGCTGTTCTTGTTGATTTTCCGTTCGAAACTCAAGCCCAGACGGCGCACCCATGCTTGATCTATCTTCTCTGCCTTGATGTCTGCGCCGTCGTCTGCTCGATCGACAAAGTCCAGTGCCGCGTTGGTGTGTTGGTTCGTGCCGCTGCCAAAGAAGCGTCCCTCTTCATCTTCATCCTCGTCTGGCGGTAGTTCGGGTCCGGCCTCCATGTCTTCATCTTCATTCTCTGGCGCATCCTCGACACTCGGGTCTAGTTTCGCTGATTTGTATGCTGCCTCTGCATCTTGACCGTCGAATTTGCGCTTGATTCCGCCGTTGATCGAAGGGAGAAATGGCTTCTTGAACAGGTCGTCAATACTCGTCATGATTGATGTGTTTGGTGTGGATTCCTCCAGTCAAGAAAGTTGGTCGCATTCAAGGATGCAACAGCTCCATGTTTGAGTTGTTTGCACTTCACCTCCGAGCCCGCAGCGCCGCGGATATCGACTTTTAGCGACCCTGACCTTCACCTCCGGCCTCTCACCACCTTTTGCCTGGACTATGAAAGACGGCACTAGAGTTCTCTTCACCAAGAAACAGCGTCAAGGCTCAGAGTTCTGTAGTAACCACTCTGGATCATCCATTGGGACTGTAGCAGTACGATCCGAGTATCACCTTGACCACTCTCCATCCAGAATTTTGTGGCAATTCAAGTTCGATCACATGGGTGGTTGGGAGTGAAGGCGAACACTATTTGTATGACTTGCCTGATTCCTGTGTTTATAAGCTCGTCGATGACTCGGGTGGCTTGGAAACCGCGTCGAGTCGAACAACATAATATCAGTATTATAATGTTCCGTCGCACCTTCTATAGAGGCTAAGCTGTCGACAACACTCTTTCTTTTGTTGTTTCATCTCAACTTTCTCTACTGAGCTTCACAAGCAAAACACACGATCTATCACCAACTTGGAAGGCACGAGTAAGTCATCTCTTCTATCTTTCCTTTAGCCCTTTCACTTAGACATCGTCATGACATTTCGTCTATTGCTCTACATCTTACATCTCGAATGTGTCATCATCTTGCTTCAATCGCACATCAACGAGATCGTATTTATTGACACCATTGATAAAAGATCATGGCCGACGAGCTGATGATTGGTGGTACTCCGTGGTGGCGAAATGTCAACATGGCTAAGATCGAAGAAGCACAACGCCTATCACAGTCACAAAAATCAGTGGTCAGACATGCGTCTCCTCCAGCAGCCTCAGCGAGTGCTCCTCACACATCCATACCATCACCTGCCGCACCCACACCTCAACCCACCTCAGCAGCAGCTGCGCCAGTCGCACCTCTTTCTTTCGTCCCAGAGCGCAGAACAGAAATTCCTGCGGAAGATACAATGGAAGGTGGTGAGCGTCTGGAGATTGACATGAGCAATCCTGTCCTCCCAGCCTGGTGCAAGGACATTGGACTCGACAAGGTCAAGAGAGCCCCGAGGATTCCTCCCGGCATCGAAGAGCATCTCCACAAGATCACTTCTGGCATCAAGAAATGTAACGAAGCAGCAGCAAAGAACATGCCCCCTACTGCTACCGAAATCAAGAAGATCAATGACGGAATTCACAAGGCTTTCTTTCTCGATCTCAGCGCATTAGCTATCCGCCAGAAGGGTCTTCTGCACAACGACAGGNGGCTTCCTCAAATCTTCAACTCCGACAAGGTCGAATACCCCTGGTACATCAAAGAAGACGCTGCCGAGCTCTACATCAAGTGGTGGCAGAAGGACACCAACCCAGACCTCTTCCGTGGCATCAAGCTAGGCCGCACCAAGAACGCAAAGATCGGCCGCGAGAGTGCAGCTGACAAGTTGGACCCAAATTATCCCAGAAAGAAGGGCGACTTTCATGGCGATGGACATCTTCGTAATGGTCAGTGGTGGCCAACCCAGCTCTGCGCTGTCTNNGTTCGAGACGGCGCTCACAGTGCTACTGTTGCCGGTATCTGTGGCAGGACTGGAGAAGGCGCATTCTCGTGTGTCATGTCGGGCGGTAGCTACCCCAACATCGACAAAGGAACGGAAGTCTGGTACTATGGCACCGAGTCCGACGATCCTTCGCGCCCCTCAGACTCTACGCAACACATGATCGAGAGCTGTAAACTCCAGACGCTTGTACGTGTGCTTCGTGCATCCAAGATGACCACCGAGGGCCCCAACGACCACAAGCCCAAAGAAGGAATGAGATACGACGGTCTTTACAAGGTTTCCAGTTACGAGGTCAAGAATTCGGCCAAGCAGGTTCATCTCTTCCATCTCGTCCGCGAACCTGACCAAGGTCCCATCAGAAGCTCTGGTTCTGAGGTTCGCCCTACACCTGAAGAGTTGGAGGCGTTGGCAAAGGCCAAGATCGAAAAGAAGTTTTTGGCTTGATGACGGATGGTGTATACTGTTACAACCGAGTAAGCAAGGGTATTGATTGAAGTATGACAGCCGAGGCTGTTTTGTATCCACGGTGGAGAAAGAGAAAGAGATGAGAGACGTACATAAACCTTTCCAAGCATTAACGAGATCAATATTCACAAAACAATGACTATGCTATTTGTGTCGTTATATGCTCACTCTGACGAACTGATCTTATCGCATTGTGCAGTGAGTTTAAGGATCTTTCCCTGAATGAGAAGAATGAAGCTCAGCACTCTTGAAGGCTGTCTTACCAGCAGTGGAACGAGAATTTGTGAGATGTGCTTGGAGCATTATCGTTAATTATGTGGTGAAGGGACTATGTCAAGTACTCAATGCCTCGATCTCCTGTAGCTGTCATCGTGATATCGGTCACCGCGTCTTCTCTCATCACGGTCACGATCACGGCGATCGTCCCGCCTGTAATCTCTATCTCTGTCACGCCTAGGGCTTCTTTCCCTCTCTTTTTCGCGCTCGCGGCGTGGCGGGCTTCTGTCTCTATCACGTCTTGGACTGCGCACTGGACTCCTCTCTCTGTCTCGCTCATCCTTGCCGCCATCTGTACGCTTGCCATCCTTGTCAAAGACATAATCGTAGCGTTCGCCACGGCTGTTGCGTCCACCGTATCTTTCACCCTCTCTGTAGTGCCTCTTTGCTTCCAAGCCGGCAATACCGCCAAATCCACCCTTCTTTCTGGCTGTCTTTGAATTTGTGGTGTCACGCCATGCGTCCGCGAGCCTGCTGACACTCTGCGAGAAGTCGACGTGAATGCGGTGATCGTCAATCAATACCCCNTGCATCTTGAAGTACGCGCGCTCGCAGTCCTCTTTGTTGCCAAACTCGATAAAAGCATACTGTAAACTGTCGCTAGTCTTTTTGTCGCGGATGACTTCACACGACAGAATCTTGCCAAAGCGGCTGAAGATGAGTTCGAGGTCTTCGTCGCGGGTGACGGGGTTCAGTTTGCAGACGAAGAGNACTTGTTCGGGAGGTGTAACGTCGGCGAATGGGAGATCGCCTATGAGCTCGAGGGTCAGGGCTTGGGCGCGTGCTTCACGCTCGCGGCGCAGCTTCTCGAGTTGTTCGGGGTCGGTGTTTTCGGCAATCTCTTCGTCGTGGGCAATGCGTACGGTGGCTAGTTGGCCTGCTGTGGGCACAGGGCTTTGCGGTGGCTCGGTTAAGCCTTCGGGGTCATCGTAGGGGTCGTCGAGGACAGCGGTGTGTAGGATGCGTATGTCTTTGAGCGGGCGACCTTTGTCGTCTATGAAGGCAGTATTGATCTTCTCGAGAGCATCGAAGCCTTCTACGACTTCGCCAAAAATGGCAGCCTTGCCGTCGAGTAGGTCCAGGTTCTCACCGAGGGTAATGATAAATTGACTCGCAGCGAAGCGGTCGTCTGGGTTGATGGACGAGGCAGTGGTGGCCATACTGACAGTACCTCTCTCGGTGTGCTTTCTCTTGCGACTGAACTCAGGCTTGAAGGTCATGGACTCGGGTTTCGCAGGCTTCTTCGTGACACCATCAGGAAGGCCCCAGATGGAAGAACCGCCATCGCTTTCAGCGGCATCGGGGCCAATGGGGTCGCCAGACTGGAAAGAAAAGTTCGGCTGGACGTTGTAGATGGGCGAATAGTTGTAGTACTTGATCTTGCATAGCTTCAAGAAGCTGNNCGTCAACGTCTTAGCAAATCTGATCAGTCTCGTGATGTCGTAAGATCAAGGCGCGACTCACTTCTCACATGCTTTGGGCGCTTCATCGACATAGAGGTCGATGGTAATGTCGCCAGCCGACGTTTCTAACAGGACTGACATCTTTCCAGTTGTTGTCGCAGAGAGCGCGAAAGTTGGAGCTTGAGTGACGCGTTGTCAACCGCGCCTGCCCGTTCGTCATCGCTGTGTCGTTCCGAACATAGACAAACTCCTTATAGAGCATTTCTACCCATTCATAATCAACAAAAGTCATTATTGCAATGCACAACCGTAATTGTTTCTCTTAGATACCCTTTACAGGATGTAGAAACTTCTCTAGACCATGATTCTGCATCGTTTTCTCTGTGTCTGCCGTGGACATCTGCGTGCTAGACGCCCGGCGACCAGTTTTCTGCGTTCGATACCAACCCCAGTTCTGACGTGGAAGAAAGTCTCCCAACTTGGTGTAACATTTGCACATTTCCAACCACTCGGTATTCTCAGGCTCCTCTACATGTTTGAACCTGCACAAGCGCCTCTGTCTGCCGTCTACTCATGTCGCATTCCTGAGAGATACGAGTCGGCCCGTACCTTTGACAGACGGCCGGACCATCCCTGCAAACATCCTGTCTCACTGCAGCTCTGTTAAAGCCTTCCGGCATCAAACCATCCTCTCCTCTTCCAATGATTCTTCTTCCATCATATCACCTGCCTTACTGTGCATACCTTTTCATGTATCAAGGTATCCCTTGACCGCACGAGCGGCTTGCGTCTTCTCAACAACCTGCCGCTTCGGTCCATCTGCTTCACGCTTGTTTCAATGCCACTAACATGCTCTAACTCCCTGGTTCATCACATTCATCATCACCGAGCGAGTGCACATCAACTCCCACTCCTTCTCGATATCATCGGTAGCTGGACATCCTGATGATCCGCTCGGCAGTCCAACGTAAAGAATTAACTGGCCGCACAGCTCACACAAGCATCATCGCTGCCCCGGTCGATCTTTACTCTACTTCAGCCTCAAGCTGCAACCATCCGTTCATGTAGTGCTGATCAAGGCCGCTTTCGATCCTTGCGTAGCCAATATCCGGTCCGCTCATGCGCCTTAGTCGCGTCGCCAATCGGCATCTTGCTGCTGCCCGACTTGTCATCCGTCTATCGTCAGCCTATCACTCATTTATCTCCTGTTTCAGGAACAGTACAGCATATCCTTTCCGCTCAAGCCATCGACTGAGCTTGACTCTAACGACTATCAACTATCTCCATGGCTCGAAACTCATGCCCCTCCCCGTAAGTTTTCTGCTTCACCGCGAACCTGACACTTACTTGCTGGGAGTTGTCAATGCCGCTTGATCTGGTACTTCTGTAACTCGAGCATTCATTCAAGCGCTTACGGCCTATTCTCGACATGTTCAAGGCTGAGGACATGTCATCTGCACATGCATGCACTTTTTACGAGGCAATGCTGGACTACAGACTCTTCGCATTTCGAACTTGTCCTTCTGTCTGACTGCTGCATAATAAATAGTCTGGGCTTTCTCGCGTTGTACCACTGCGTCTGATCGTTTTATATCTCGCGGTATGTTGCCTTGTGCCCGCTTGCGCTTGCAGATGTGGCAACTCAACAGGTCTTGCTTTACTCGCGTTTGATCAGCTCAAACGAATACAGCGCACGTTCTGCCCACTCTTTCCCGATCTCCCCGCCTGTCAGGAGCGAGAACCCCGGAGCCGCACTCTCTCAGGCCTTCTCTCCAGTCATGACACGGGTCATTGCGTTCCCCTGCAGCCAAGCAGGTGCCACTGTCGAAGACAAGATGCTTCATGCGATACCAGATCCAACGACTTTCAGAGCTTTGATGAAGCTGCCGTTGGATAGCCAGAAGCCCGGTCCAAGATGGACCTCAATACCAAGGTCACACTCTCCTCACCTGCGAGTAATTGGGCTAGATTTCTGAGTGATCACATTTCCTTCGCATGCTGCCCTAAGACAACAGTTCTTAGCGGTACCATAAAAGATTGTTGCCTCGCTGCCAACAGATATACTGGTTCTGGGGTTCTTCCTTCTTCTCTAACCTGCTGTGCTTTTGTTTGAATTTGACAAACTTGCACGGTCGATTGTTATTTGCTTTCTTCTCAAAAGTCTATCTGGGCGACACACAAACATGGCTCAGATTTACCAGAAGAGCCATTATGACTATGACGGCATGCAACGGCCAGAACGAGAGCCCTCGCGTGGCCCTCTTCACACTGTTGATCGAGGTGTTCCGTATGTGGCCTACTCAACCAGATTGGATCCTCGCAACGAGTCCAGAACCTACGTCCTTCCAACTCCTATCCATGACATAGGTGATGACAATGACCAAGGGTCTGCCAGGAAGCGCACTTCGATGGCTGTGAGTATATCATGGCATGCACGCTTCGAAACAGCCATTGACGATTTTAGTNGCGGGCGTTGCAGAAGAAGGAAGATCAAGTGCAGTGGTGGCCAGCCTTGCCAGGCATGCCGAAGTGCAGGAGTCGAGGCTAGCTCTTGCTTATACCACAGGGTGCGTTGCATTGATTTCTTCCAAGCAAATCCAGTCTGATCTTCTTACCTGTAGGTAGGCACAAGCCAGACCTTCGACCTCGACACTTCTGTCGGTGGACCCTCTTCCCTAGCTCCAGTCTCATCGTACGGTTCTGTGTCGCCTAGCGGCAATGGCTATCCTGCGTACCCAACAGACGACAGATCCTCCTCGGTGCCCACGTATGGCAGATCCGGGTATCCACAAACATCTCTCCCAGCTTACAGCTACGAGATGGATACTCCGACATACGCAGTCAGCGATGACTCTCGATCATGGACGACTGGGAACCGCTCTAGCACTGGAGTGAGCTTTTACCAGCAAGAAAGTCCTGCCTCGTACGACTACTCCACTCCGATATCCAGGATCTCCAGTGATGCGAACGAATCTCTTTCTCCCNTGAACATGAGCAACTTGCAACATTCGCTTCCTCTTCCTCTTGAGCGCCGTCTGCCTGCTCCCAACTTTGTTGGCAGCCCAATCACACCCGACAACGACGTCCGCAGCCCTATCAGTGCCCGACTCGCAAGCTTGAGCATCAGTGGGCCGTACAGCAGGAGCAACAGTGCCTCGTGGGCTGTGGATGGTATCGAACGCCGCCAACCCTCGATTCATGATCTCGCAGAGGCAAGCATGATGCTGCCTCCAGTCACACGAGGACTGAACGGGACTGCGGCAACTCTGCCAGCCCTCAACCATGATAGTGCTCCAATTTCCACCGCGATGTTTGTGTCCTCCGGGAGTGACGGTCTGGTTCAAGTTTCCACCGGTGCCACACAACCTGCCTACTACACTGCCACTACCTCCGCACTTCCCTCCTTGACTACAGGAGTGTTGCCTCCAACGAACTACGCCCGCTACACGGCCATCGATAACAGCAATTCTTCTCTGCCAGTCATCAATACAAGCGATCGTGCAGACACCACCGCCTACTACAGCTGGACTCCCACGAACGCCAGCAGCACTGAAGCTCTGCCTGTCATCAACACTGTCGAAGTAACCCCTCAAGCCAGTGCTGGATCAGATCGTAAATACAGCTCTGCGCAGCTCTCGACAGGATATCCTCCTCTGCATCACCCGCGACCAAAAATTGTTCCATCAACACCCCATGCCACCACGCTCGAGAAGCATGATCGTGTACAGCAGAAAGACGGAAAGAGCCAGAGACCTTCCTCTGCGTCCAGTCAGCACAAGTCTTCCTCGGGATTTTCTAGTTCGAGTTCCAACAAGAAGAGTGGTCACAGACCTAGCAAGGGTAGTCTTTGATGTCCCCGCCGTGCTTGCTCTTACACTCGCCTTCCTTCGCTTTATCTCTCTTTAGTCTGCTTTTCTCTCTCATGGGTCTCTGGAGTTCAACAAGCGAGGCGTAATTTGCTGCTCCCTTAGTCAGTGCTATCTCTTTTACCTTCCATCCAATCGTTTTCTTTTGACTTCTCGCATTTTGCTGTTCTGTGATCCATATATCTTATACAGTCGGGCGTTCAAACCAGGATCAATGGCGAGACAAATGCATTTGGGTAATGGGAGACCAGGGAAAAAGGAGATACGAATACCCAGTGTGAGATGTGGCACATCACGATACAAACGATCCAGATCAAAAAGAGGAACTTGGAAGATAATGACCAAAAGTCGCGATGGCCGCGGGTAATCTGAACGAGGTACTTCGTATAAGGATAGTCAGCAATAGCAAAAATAAGGTTGATGGCTCAACATCATTTCCACCATGTTGAATGAGTCTATTCCAAGTCCCAGTCTAAGTATCAAAAATGGTCAAGAGTATGTTGAACAGGAGAAGATGATCTTCGGCAATAATTTCCTCTCTCGACTCGCGCACGGAAACGATTCTCCGTCTTCGGAAAAGCATCTCCAGCGCTCTGCAGCCTTTGCTCCTCTTAAAACACAGCGATGTTGGCGTGATTTTCGCTCGAGCCTTCAGAGTGGCCAATTGTGACCTCAAGTATGGCACGCAAGTTAGGGCAAGTTTCTGTAGGTGTGAGATAAGCTGGAAAGAGTTTTCTTGCTTCTTCTCACAAAATGGTGAGGAGTATCTTGGAAGAAACTTTCTTTTCCTTTTGAATACTCGGACACACAAGATGGCTACACAAACGACTCTAGAATTGCAGGAGCGATCGCGACGTCGCTCTATTAATTCTGGCAACGATATCCAGACCCCGACTCCTGCTACAATTGCAGCTGGCTCTTCGTACTTTCCCGACCTCGAAGGCAAACGAGTGAACTGGCATGAGCTGCTCGAAATTTCAACACTTCCATCTACACCTGCCGGAGCTCGAACGCCGGCAGGAGCATCAACACCAGGCTGGACAACTCCAGGAAATGCGACACCAGGATGGCAGACTCCAGCCGGTGCATCAACACCAGGCTGGGCGACGCCGAGATCGACTCAAGCTCGCCATTTACTCACAGAGATTGCATATCCTGATGTTGGCACAATTTACTCGTGGCGAGGTATTATTATTTTGTTGATCACATGTGGCTCTCAACTCATGGATAATATCTTTATGACGGCTGTTAATCTTTCTTTGCCATCTGTGCAAGCGGAGTTTGATGTTTCGTCTGGCGACCTTCAGTGGCTGCTCTCGGCATACACTCTTACTTTTGGAGGTTTCCTTCTCTTCTCGGGAGTCTTGGCCGACCGCTATGGCAGGAGACAGGTCTTCTCCATTGGTATGGGTGTGCTATCGGTCTGGACTCTAGCCAACGGCTTCGGAGAATCTTTCATTCAACTAGCCATTTTCCGGGCTCTTCAAGGTGTTGGTGCTGCAATGACAGTTCCCTCCTCTATTGGCATCATCAGTTCTCACTTCGTCGCCACAGAGCGTATAGTCGCCTTGACGATGTTTGGTGCATCCGGCGCAGTAGGTTTCTGCGCAGGCCTCATCTTTGGTGGCTTTGTGACCGATTCTTTGGGCTGGCGCTACATCTTTCGCATTGCCGTTGCGGTTACTGGACCGCTGGGTATCATGGGCTGGTTCATGCTGCCTAAAGACCGCACAGAAGGTACTGCGCGACCGAAGCTGGATTTCGTGGGTGCAGGTCTATCGACTGGTGGTCTGATTCTGCTATCTTTCGTTCTTTCGAGTGGAGGAGAGTATGGCTGGAACAAGGCATTCATCATCGCTTTACTGGTCATCTCAGTCATCATGATCTGTGTATTTGCGTACGTCGAANAGAAAGTCAGCAATCCGATTATGCCGCTCTCGCTCTGGAAGATTCCAAACTTTGCTCCGCTCTGGATAGCAGGATTTGTGCTTTACGGAAGCTATCAGACAGTCATCTACTATGTGGTCTTGCAGGCACAGGAGATAGCCCACCTTTCCGCTGGCGCAACAGCATTGCGGTTCCTACCTATGGGCGCTGCTGGCTTCACTACAAATATGGTTCTGGCCAAGTGGATGAAGCACATGAACACTCGATACTTGATGCTTTTAGGCATGCTTATAACCACTCTTTCGCCCATCCCCGCTTCCTTGATGCCGGCTTCCTCACCAAGCTTCTGGAGATACATTTTGCCGACTTCGGTTATGGTCGTTGTTGGTGTTAGTATTTGCTATATCTGCATTACTAACATCATGCTGTCTTCTGTTCCTGCAAACGTCAAGAGTTTGTGCGGTGGGCTGGTCAATACGGCGTTCCAGATCGGGAGTGGTGTTAGTCTTGCTTTGGCGGCTGCGGTAGTGGATGCGGTGGATGTCAAGAAGGGACAGGATGCTAGTAAGCAGTATCAGACAGGCTTGTATTGCTGTATTGGATTGTCTGGACTGGGTCTTGTGGTTTCGGCGGTCGGATTGAGGAAGATGAGTGGAAGTGCTGGCGGGGCTCAGGTGCACTGATCGTGTGTGATTCCACATACAATAGATTACTGTCTTATGTGTCCAATATAAACTCTACCACTTCCCTCGGTATACAGCTCCAGAGTAGATCGGAAGACATCAAACTTAAATTCAGACTCGGCAATTCGCAGCCAGCCAACATGATACTTCCAAGTCCTATCCCCATATTTCAGCCACTCCACGTCAATGACACTCACACTGCACCAATCGGTGATTATACTATCAAAATTATATCACCGCCCCGATATCCAACTTTTTCTTCATTCACCTTACGCCATGTCCAGCCCAGAAGCCGCCACGACCAGCCTCCACAACTATCGCTATCATTTGCTTGCTGGCCTCTATGTCGCAGTCACGGGCGGAGCTTTCCTACGCATTTCACGACAGCCATACACCAAATCTATCAAATGGGAACAATACGAGACGGTGTTCAAGGGAACGACACTGCTTGCCGCGATTGCTGGGTTTGCGATGTCTGGGCAGGTGAACAAGAGGAGGAGTCAGAGTTTGAGAGATGAGGCTTGAGCCTCGTCTTCCAAGATTCCAGCTGGAGACCATGAGCGACGCAGCTTGGCTCATGCCAATTCTATCTCAATGAGCCACTATGGCTACCTGAAAGCGGACGCTCTACTGCAATTGGAACAACAAGCCATGGGGACAAATCACAGGAGCTCGCCTGGATAAGTCCAGCTCGCGAGATCTACCGACCACTCAGACGAGATAGGGCATGGCCGTGGGACATGTCATGACGCCAAGACGTTTGCAAAGCAATAGTGTGCGGTGTGTGGATCAAGCATTGGAATCATCAGAGACGTTTGCAGCAGCTCCACCGTTGGCTGCAGGGTCGGTGAGCAAAAGCATCTCGCTCAGGCTGAGGTAAGCAGGTCACGTATGACATGTTTACAAGTGACAGAGTGGATAGAGTGATCAGATAGAAGAGTGACAGGGTGACAAACAAAGTCGAAAGCAAGCACGTGCGTCGACAAGCAAGCAGAGAGAGGGAAAGAGCGGAAGATGAGAGGTCAGCGGATGGGATGCTTGGCACAAGCAGCGACCATTCCGGATTGGGAGTTGATTGGAACGCGGCAGGTCACGAAGGATTTCTTGTTGCAGCAATCAAAGCAGGGCGGACCTGGCAAGAAAGACGGCCAAGCAGAGTCAAAAGACGGTAGAGTAGACGAGCTGAAAGCAGAAAGAAGCAAGGCTGGGGATTTGTAGTTTTGCGGATCGAAGTGTTTGGTCAGGCTAAAGTGGTCACGAAGCCAATCGATCGGGAGGATGCAGTTGACAAGGAGGTTGTGAAGCTGGACGGCCGTCGTATCGCCATGCTTGCTCCATTCGAACTTACGACTGCTGCAACCACGAACTTCTTGCCAAACTTGATCCTCGTCCTGAAAACACCACTTCCTCACTCATCTCATACCAGCCCTATTGCCGCACATTCAACACATAGCCATCCAGCAGCGAGCTCACCCCTCTTCCAGGCACAATGAAGGCAGCTCCTCTGCTTGTGTCCTGGCATAACGACAACACTCCCATCTACTCGGCTCACTTCGAGCCCCACGGCAAGGGTCGACTCGCAACTGCTGGAGGTGACAACAATGTCAGAGTACGTGACACTCAGCACCTCCAGTCACGAACACCACTGACGGTCGACAGCNTCTGGAAAATCGACGGAAGCGGAGAAGACAGAAACGTGACATACTTGTCGACGCTCGCCAAACACACCCAAGCTGTCAACGTAGTACGATGGTGTCCCAAAGGTATGCCCCTGCCCTTCCCACTCGGATCCTATACGCAGACTGACGATTGACCAGGTGAAATGCTCGCGTCGGCCGGAGACGACGGAAACATCCTGCTCTGGGTACCCGCCGAGAACGCAGCGCTGCATGCCACAAACTTTGGAGAAGACGGACTTGAAGACAAGGAAACATGGCGAACCAAGACCATGTGTCGCTCGACGGGATCGGAAATATATGATCTGGCCTGGTCCCCGGACGGCGTCTACTTCATCACTGGTAGTATGGACAATGTCGCTCGCATCTACAACGCCCAGACAGGTATGCCCGACAACTTTCACTATCCTCCAACAGACGACTGACGACTTCNNACAGGCTCCGTCATCCGCCAAGTGGCAGAGCACAACCACTACGTCCAGGGCGTCGCCTGGGACCCGCTAAATGAATACATCGCTACCCAGTCGAGCGACCGATCCGTCCACGTCTACACGCTCAAGACCAAGGACGGCTCATGTACTCTGACCAACCACAACAAGATCAGCAAGATGGATATGCCCGCCCGCCGCGTGAGCCAAAGCAGTCCCGCCCCGCCAGACTTCCGCGGTCGTGCATCTTTTGTCGGCAACGACTCTCCGGCTCCTAGTGCGCCCGGCACTCCTCTGTCGCTCGCCCTGCCCATGAACCCTCCACAAACGACTCACAGCCGCCGCTCCTCCTTCGGTTCCGTCTCCGTCTCAGGCCAGTCGATGCGCCGCTCAGTCTCGCCCAGTCCGTCTATGCCTCTACCCGCCGTCATGCCCTCCGCTTCCCCCAGCATCGGCGGTGGCCTGAACATGCCCTCCCGCAGCACCGGCATGTACGCCAACGAGACCTTTACATCCTTCTTCCGCCGCTTGACGTTCGCTCCCGATGGTAGTCTGCTCTTCACTCCCGCCGGTCAACACAAAGAAGCTCACCCTCCCACAACCGAACCGAACAAGACAGACGACGTGGTCAACATGACGTATATCTACACAAGAGCTGGACTTAACAAGCCGCCTGTCGCAAAGTTGCCTGGTCACAAGAAGCCGTCTCTGGCCGTCAAGTGTTCGCCCATCTTCTACACCCTCCGCGCGTCTCCAGTTCCGACAAAAGATATCACCATCGATACCCATATGGACGACGAGATCCCTCTTCTCCCGGAGCCTGTCGTGCCTTCAAAGTCCACCAACTCCATGGAACCTCCACCAATTGTGCCTTCCCCGGCACCAAGTCATGCGCTTCCGGCACCCATTCCTTCACCCAGGACTGAAGACGGCTCTGCTGTACCGACGCCTCTGAACGGCCNNCCCCCACCAGTTTTCGATCTTCCCTATCGCATAGTTTATGCTGTCGCTACCCAAGACTCTGTTCACGTCTATGATACTCAGCAATCCAAGCCGCTCTGTGTCGTTAGCAACCTGCATTATGCCACCTTTACGGACCTGACCTGGTAAGTTGAGCAGTTTCTCGACTTCTTGTGATATGCTAATCAAATTCCAGGTNCAAATGACGGCAACACACTGCTCATCACATCATCGGACGGCTTCTGCTCCAGCTTGAATTTCCAGCCTGGAGAACTCGGTGTTTTGTACCAGCATCCTCCCATTCCTCGCCATGTTCCCTCGATGATTAACACTGCTGGATCTCCTTCTGCCGCGGCGGCGTCTCCTGCATCGACACCCATTGCCGCAACCATGCCTCAACTAATGCGCAATCCTTCATCGCAAGGCCATGGTGCACCTTCGCCGTCTCCCTTCACTATGCCCGGTAGTCCTGCCAGAAGCTTGTCTACAGCCAGCGTTACCGGCAGTATGGCCGCTCCCGAACACTCAGCAGACACTCCTGAGATGAGCAGTGTACCCAGTCTCACAGCCGCTAGCTCCGGTACAAACATGCATGGCGGCATGCCCATGTACACGCCTCCTCAAACTCCCGGATACATCTCCGCGACCCCTGGCATGCCTCCTGCAGCTACCAGTGCTGGTGCCACTTCGACTGTGGCCACATCCGTCAAGCGTGAAAATGAAGGCGGCGAGGACTCTTCCAGAGACAAGAGACGGAGAATCGCACCCACACTGATCTCCGATCCATGAAAACAAGCAGACATGGATTTATCAATGGGCGAACGAATATCACGGAACTGGCACGCGCGGCGTTATCATCTCAAAGGAACACAGGCATGGCGCATCATTCATCTTTATTGGCATGGGATACCAAACACACTTTTTATCGTTTTCGGAAAAGGGGATTGTGGCGTTCTGTGTTTTGTTACTCTTTCGGAGTTCTGGAGCCTGTTGCAGCGACTGGTTTGCTGTTATTGCTTCTTTCTCTTTTATATCGGCATGGCTTTATGTAGCCTTTTCTTACCCTTTTTCGGGGCATCTGTATCAAGACTTTTTAGCTGACTGATCTTTCTTACTCGACGGTGATGTGTCGTCAACGGCGGGATGCAGATTTGACATTACGAGAGATGTAACAACAAGGTTAGCCAATCGATATCTTTTATCCTCTTTGGAAGAAATCGTAAGAACAGATGCCTTCTATTCATGCAGCTTTCACAGGGAGCATTCAGCTCCCACTCCATACCGGTACACACGGTGTCGTCAAAGCCATGAGCGGGAGTTGAACCCGCGACCTCCTGGAATGCCGGGTGACTTTCTAGGGATGCTCCCAACTGCACCACCATGGCTTTTACTTGCTAGCCAAGGAAATTTTACAAATGTAAGGGTTAAGTGGGCGAGCGCGAGAAGTGGTGGTCGGGTAAGTTAGATTACTGGTCATCGTGCTTCGATTCCATGAGACATCGGTTGATACCGGCGTGCCTCTGAGAGACATCCCAGTAGTCGACGATAAGGCGCTGTGGAGCTCAAGTTGTGCTGTAATATCTGAACATCGATTCTGGCACTGCTTGCGTGATAGGCGATGTTGCGATGGTTGAATTTCGGATCCTCAGTGACTTGATCGAACTTCGGAACAGACGACCAAAACAACCTTCCGCTTGGGGGAGCCCCCACTTGCAACAAAGCATTGAAAATATCCATACTTTGCCATCTGGGAGCGGGTTCTCCGGTGCAGTCTGCAAGTTTTGTGCTGCGTGCAATGGGCTGTCAAGGTGGTAGCCAAGCTCATGGGAGTCAAGGACAAGATATTTGTAACGTTTGACGGAGTGCTGTTCTGATGATGAAGGGTATAGCGGTCAACAACGTCTTGCGCACTTCGTTATATGTGTCGTCAACGAATCCGGCTGCCGACTTCGGTAAATCTGGTGAGGAGATCAGTACCAGCTGGAATGACAGCTTTTACTCCCAATGTCACAACTCTCGGTTCATCCGAATCTTGTCCGGGCCTTCGATATGGATGTTCCGAGCCGAAATTCAGTTGTATAGGACTCATGCTTATGCCCCCACGGGCCTTGGAGGCTTGAAGAACTTCCTGACAATGTGGCTGCGAAGCTCATCTTCGGGAACATTGACAACGAAGTTAAGCGTGAGCTGTTGTAGGTTCGAGAATTCGGGTGTTGGTAGATCATCCCAGTTGTCGATCTCTTGGATCCATAGGAGCTTGCATTTGCGCAGTAAGGGATGGGTTTTGGACAAAGCAACTATGGCTGCAAAAGAAACTGGACATTCAATGTCCAGCTCTAGATCTCGTAGATGTGGAAAGCTGCTTGTCCATGCGAGAAAGTAGTCATCTGATATCCATGGCGCTGTGAGATTTATGTTCATGGGACGGATGTTGATTGATCGTAATTTGCTCAGGGTTGACAGAGCCTGCATGTCCTCTGGAGTGGCTTGCCAGTCGTGAGCTTCAGGGTGGTATCTTACACCCTCCCAATAAAGGTCACGATGGTTGACACCAATTACCAGGTTAAGATACGTGAGATTCTGTAAGCGTCCTATGCTAGGACATATGTGATGAGCGGGATCGCTGACGACGATCTGAAGCCGTGTGAGTGATTGCATTGAGAGCGAGAGAAAACTTGAAATCGACGCCATATCACCCTTCAGTGCCAGCGATTGGAGGTTTCCAAAAGGAGTGGCATGTCGCCTGATGAACTCTTCAACGTCGTCTCCGACTACACCATGGTCCAAACGAAGGTGTTCAAGACCAGTTATAGTTGCAAGACCCCTTAACAACATAGTCATAGAGAATGGGTCGCCGGTATAATAGTTACATCGAATTTCGAACTTACGCAATGAAGTGCAGGCTTCCAGAATCTCGTTAGTATCTTCCGGTAGAGCTGCTGGTTCGATCCTGGTAAGAATCAGCTCTTCAAGCTGTGCAGCCACGAGAGATCGAAGACCAACTAAAGCAGCTGACACGAGAGGGATGGGAAGCTTGCTGCCGATATCAAGAGACCTGAGGCGCCGACAATGTTGGAAGAAGGAGCCAAAAGTGTGGGGGTCAATGGGATCGAGATTGGGTTTTGGAGTGAGTGCTCTGTGGTTATCGGCATTGGTAGGAATGATTTTGAGCTCGTGTAGGTTGGGGCAAAGTATGGCCATTTGATTTAGTTCAGTTTTGGTCAGGGCGAAGCTGCCACAGAAGATGATGGTTTTCAGGTTGGGCTGCAAGAAAGGTAAGATGCCCATGTGGTCGCCTCTCAACATGAGGTGTGTCAAGCTCTCGAATTTCAGGTCCTCAATCAAGTCGAAGTAGATCCTTGCAGTGTGTAGATTCAATATGCGTATCTTGCTAACGTAAATCTGGCGTCTGTCTTCTTCATTGCCCATGTTCGAGAAAGTGCTTTCGAGGTTGGACACTCTGTTCCATAAGATGTCGGTGGTATGATTGAACCAGCAGGAGTTGACTCTCATAGGAGCAAGCAAATTTTTACGATCATGGCGAGTCAGGGATCTCTTGTCGACAACAAGATGGTCGAGTATGTTCTGCTGGAGTTCGTGTGGCAGCTGCGAAAAGGTAGCCATGGTTCTAACAGTGCAACCATGTCGCAAAGGAGAAGAAGGGAGAGTGACTAGTGATCGACCATGGGGAGGCGCGGCAGTGCACCGCTCCTTCTCAACTAGCCTGCTCGGTGTCCAAGAGCCTTAGATCCAGACAACTCTAGTGATGAGCGCAGGGGGAAATAAGACGGCGTTAAGGCGCACCACAGGGTCCGGTGCACGGGCGACGGGACCTGTTTTGTGTACAAAGATAAACAAAGCAGCTTTTGGCTTAAAGTACACCATCTCGTCCATTACTAACCCACAGCATTCCGACCGGACACAGGCGACAGTCATGGTCGCCACACGAGCTATGGCCGCCAAAAAGGCCCCAGACGACAAGGAGAACGATAGGCAGTTGGCTCTGCGCAAGAAGCCTGTCCGTCGTGCCACTGCAAAGGCCACCACGACAGCGACAAAAGCATCGACTTCTACCGCATCTGCCAAGTCGTCGGCCACGAGCACATCAGCAAAAGCATCAGCATCAGCACCAGCTGCTCGTCCGAAACGTCAGACACGTGCCGCCGCCGCTCCACCATCAGACCCTGCTCCACAGAAAGCTCCTGCCACCCGTCGAAAGCCTGCCCTTCCAGAAGTCGCCAGAGGAAAGGCCTTGAGGTCGAGGAAGGTCGAGCCCGAACCTGAGCAAGAGCCCGAGCCCGAACCCGAACCGGAGGCAAAAGAAGAGGCAGCAGAAGAGGACGAACCGATAGCTTCACCACCCACCAGAGTAAAGGCTTTGAGATCCAACAAGTCCGAGAAAGTCCTTGAGCCTGAGCCTGAGCCTGAGCCTGAGCAAGAAACCGAGCCTACGTCTGTGGCGGAACCTGAGTCAACCTCAACAGTGGTCGAGGAGGAGGAGGACGTCGAGGATGAGCCAGAAGTCAAACAAGCAGAGACACCGAAGCCTCGAGAGCCTGAACCTAGGCAACAAGAACCGGAACAAGATGCCTGCGAAAAGGATGAGGACGAGGACGCAGAGGACAGGTCTTCCGAGGACGAGATCTGTGGACCCAAGACACCGATGCGACGTACTACCAGAAGCCAAGCTGCACCACGAACAGTCGCGTCTTCAACAACCGCTCGCAAATTGCAGACACCTGCTCGCCGGTTTCTTAGCCACAGGACGAATCAGGGCACTCCTCAAACACAGCGCATGCCCCACAATGCAACGCGCACTTCGTCACCTACACGTCCCTTGACTGTGGCCAGAGGCGCAGATAAGCAAATGGTTATCCGTCCTCTGAAGCAGCAGACACCACGCCATGATCCAGCGCCGGTAACACTCGATCCTCAGTCGGACACCGACATGACTGAAGAAGATGTCCAAGGCGACACGGAAACAGAATTGGAAGAATCAAGCGCCGACGAGCTGGACGATCAACTCGACAGCCTTCAACAAGAAGCCATAACTATCATGCCCACACCTGCTCATACCATTCAATTTGAAGCTGTCAATGACGACTCGGAGGATGAACTTGCTGGTACTGGAGGTGTCCTTGAGGACGAAGACGACGACCTTGAAGAGGACACTGTAGTCGAACTCGATGAAAAGAAAGAGCCCGAATATGTACCTGGAGGATCACATGCAGAAGACGATGTCTCGGATGACGAAGAAACCATGACTGACGACAGTCATTTTGATGACAGCATCTTGCCCGAACCGCAGCTTTCGGCTGACTTTACCACATCCGTGCCCTCATCGCCAGCCTCTATCGCTGAAGAACTCCCTCAGATCGAGATTGAGGACTCGGAGCTTCTTTCTTCTCCTGCACCCTCGGCCCCTGCCTCTGTCATCGAACGTGATCTGGACTCTCCCCCCCAGGAGATTGCTCCAGCATCGAGACTTTCACTCGATGATAACGACCTACTTTCATTGATTGACGACCAAGAAGCAACCACTCCGGATGTGAAACCACGAGTATCCTTCTTCACCGCCACGGCCAAGATGCTTCAAACTCCTCGCATGCAATTTGCGCTTGGTGGTATCGACGCCACTAAAGCTAATGACAGCCCTTCTGTAACCGCGAACGAGCCTACAGAGACCGACATCGACCAAACCGTGACAATCAATCCTTCCCTCCTAGAAGTGGACGACTTTGGCGTCAAGTTAGCCACCAATCTTGAGAATGCTGCTGCCATCCCCACTCCATACTTCGCAACACCTGCCGCTCGTGAGCGCCCGAGTATGGGCTTCTCAAAAGAGCGTATGAGTCTCCTTCAAGATGACATTTTCAACCTTGTCGATTTCGACCATGTTTCTCCTGTCAAGACAGATGTCAGGACTCCCATCCCTGAACCTGAGCAAGTCGAAGCCGAGTCTATGGAGCTATCAACTCCAGGATACAATACTCATCGCCAACCCTACCATCCCAAGAATGTCTCGACACCAAGTGAGCAGGTACATAGTGAACGACGATCATCTTTTGTTTCGTCAGGTTCTCCAAGCTATGCGAGATCAACCTTCGCATTCGATTCACGTCGCAAGTCCCTTCCTACCGCTACTCTGCACACTCCAATGAACGGCGACCTTCGACCACGTACTGCCGAAACCTCCATCAAGCCAACAACTAGTGATTCATTCGCAAAGCTGTGGGCCAGTAAGCAGCGACGATCTTCGGTCAGAAAATCACTCCTGGAACACACAATTCCAGACTTGGCCGAAATACACTCGTTCGTTCCTCCCCACCATNCGAGCACTCGTAAGCGTGACTCTACGCCAGCTCAGCGTCGAACCAGCACCGTCCACTTCCAGGAGAATTCCGTATCTCCTCCTGTGCCCTTCTCTGGTGCAAAGCCTAGAAAGCATACGCCAAGCTCTTCTTCTAGATTACGAATTGCTGGACGCAGCCCATTGAAGACTCGCAGTAGCAGCCGCAGTCCAATGAAGATGCGTAGTCCTATGAAGCTTCGTGATGCCAGCCGTAGTCCGGTGAAGCGTCTTCGCGAGGCTCCACGAACACCCATGAAGACACCGCTGAAAGCTGCCGGTCTTGCCACGCCAGCCGTTTACCCTATGACACCGCATCCCCTGCAGCCATTGGNNAAGTCCATAACAGCATTGGTTGAAGTTTTTACGCTAGACGGCTCCTCTGCTTCGGGTCCTTTCATAGCCCTCCTTCAGGGGTTGGGTGCTCGTACGACGAAGTCCTGGTCCGATCGCGTCACTCATGTCATCTTCAAAGATGGCTCTCCTACCACGCTCCAGAGAGTACGCCTAAGCAACAAAGACCCCAATGGCAAGAAGATCTTTTGCGTCAACTCTCGCTGGGTAACAGATTGCGAACGTAATGGTACTCGCATGGACGAACAAGCAGACATTTACGTTGTCGATCTCGACGAAGTACCTCGCGGCGGACGCAGAAGAAGAAAGTCCATGGAACCGGCTGCACTAAAGAACGTGGATGGTAACATTGTTCACAGCAACAACAGCAGCGCGAATAGCAGCGCCAACAGAAAGAGCGTCGGTACAAGGCAAAGCATTATCGGTGGTCGTCAGAGCATCAATCTTGCTCGTGCGAACAAAGCTCTTGCAAGAGCGTCTCTAGCATCGAGTTTCTGGGGTGATGACTCGCCTGTGAAGAAGACACCCGGCCGCAAACAAGCTAGAGATCCCTGGGACGATGATGAGGAAATGGCTGACGCGTTCTTCGATGAGCCGACTGCAAAGTTCGAGGTTCCTGCTTCTCTGGGAGTCAATGGCGCAAGTCTTGAGGCTGGTCAGATGACTGCGCCTGTTGACAAAGTGAAGAAGTTGAGGATCAGAGATGAGGATAATAGGCGTTTGACTTTCATGGGTGGAAGAGACTGAGAGGGCGGATTGGCTTAAAGTTATGATGTTATGATGGACTGGGGTTGGCAGGTCGGCTTGGACGGTGGTGTTTGTTTGCACTTCTACTGTTCTGGTGTTGTTTTTTTCTTCACTTGTATTACCTTTGATACCGAATTGCTATCACGCGTCAAGCGATTCTCGTACTGCTAGCGATCCTCAATCAAGCGCCGCGATGTGAACCTGCCTTGGGTCGCATGTCAAGGAATGAGATATACTGGCAATTTGTGTCTTCGTTTGCTTCGTCATGGCTTCGTCGCCTTAGCCTTGCTGGGTAATTTCACGCCGCAACCCATGCCCGCATCGCCTTGATCGGGTCTGCCTCATTGGCTTTCAGCAACTCTGTAGCTCTGGCTCTCGAAACATCCAGATTTTCAGCCTGCGATGACATTGTCATTCAGTATCGATCCTCTCATTCTTGATAACAGTTCTTCAAACTCACCAGCAACACCACATCTGCCATTTCCACTTTCACATTCTTAGCTTCGGACTTTTCTTCACTGGCGATATCTAAATCCTTCATCGCCTTTCCCAGTGCAGCAGTTGAAGCTGTGTTGGTGGATTTGGAGTCTGCGGATTGATTGTCCAAAGAGTTCAAAGCTGCGGTTTCGGACCTGTTACTACCTGGGATAGCAGAGGGAGCTTGATCGCCTTCTTGAATCTGAGTGGGCTGTGGTTCGGCCATCTTGGTTGTGTATGCTAGGCAGATGGTTCGTGGTTTGGGTGATGTTCACTCGGGTGTTTTGATGGCCTTGGCGGTGACGCAGCCTATTCTGCGGGTGTCACAAGGCTCGGCGGGCATCGGGTGAGACGGAGTTTACGGACCTCGTCAATAATTTCGAAACCACGCCCTTTGGCCAGATCGTGTCGTGCGCCTTTGACTCACCAAGGAGACGAGTACATCTCTGTCTTACATCTTCATCCATTGTGCTGTTTCCCAGTAATCGCCTGGACTTTTATCTAAGGAAAAAGGTAGGGACCGCTTTTTCCTTGCATCGCTGTTCTTCTGTCATTGAAGCTCGCACTTTGTTTGAAATTCTTTTTTGGTCTTGGAATTTATTGTCATGCGTTTCCGTCAATATCAAACAAGAGGCGTCTTCTGCCATTACCCTGCATCCTCGTCACTTCCTCGGTCCGGAAAGGTTGAGTCTTCATAAAACCTTCTTCTTGTCCTCCGAAGCACTCAAGGCAAATCTAGTCGTCGCATATACTGATACATTTGAGCAGCTAGTCGGGAAGATCTCACATATATACAATGGCAGCTATCAACGACTGGACGCCGACATGTTAGTCGATATTCGCTCATGTATTTTCTCAAATTGACACCTTTCCAGCCTGGCGTTCTAAGCCAATCAAGCAAGAGGTTGTTTACGATGACCAACTTGCGGTCAACAAAGCTGTGACCAAACTCACCAACCTACCTCCTCTTGTCACCGCTCACGAGATCTGGAAACTGCGTGCCTCTCTACGAGATGTAGCACTTGGAAAGTCTTTCCTGCTCCAAGGTGGTGACTGTGCCGAACTTTTCTCGTACTGTAATGCCGGTTCTATCGACAGCAAGACCAAGCTGCTATTGCAAATGTCTTTGGTTCTGATTTACGGCGCCAACAAGCCTGTGGTCCGTATCGCACGCATGGCAGGCCAGTACGCGAAACCCAGATCATCACCGATGGAGGCTCAGCCCGACGGCACCAAGATTCCTTCTTTCCGTGGTGACATTCTGAACGGCTTCCCTGCTGAGGAAAGAGCAATTGACCCTGGACGTCTCGTTGAAGCTTACTTCCACTCTGCTGCAACTCTGAACTACCTTCGCGCTCAATTGGCTTCTGGTGTCGCTGACTTGCACAACCCCTTGGATTGGAACTTAGGTCATGTAGCAGACCCTGATCTTGCAGAGCGCTACCACAAGATTGTTGACTCGATCGCCGAATCTCTCCGTTTCATGCGCACAATTGGTGCTGACACCGCTGGACAACTCCAAACTGTCGATCTCTACACTTCCCACGAAGGTCTGCTACTCGAATACGAAAGCGCAATGACCAGAAAACTCCGCCACCCTAACAACAAGTTCCTGGCTTGTGCGGGAGCTCCCGCCGAGGCTCGCAGCAACAGCAGCGATTCAGAAGATGAAGAAGATGATTCAGGCCACTACAACACCTCAGCTCATTTCCTCTGGGTAGGCGACCGCACGCGTCAGCCCGACCACGCACACATCGAGTACTTCCGCGGTATCATCAACCCCATCGGTATCAAGGTCGGCCCCACAACCTCCGTCACTGATCTCTGCGAACTTCTCGACGTCGTCAACCCCGACAAAGAAATTGGCAAAGTGACTTTGATCACACGTTACGGTCAAGACAAGGTCTCAGACCTGCTTCCCACGCATATCAAAGCCGTCAAGGAGAGCGGCCACATTGTCGTCTGGCAATGCGACCCTATGCACGGCAACACCCGCTCCACCGCCACAGGTATCAAGACGAGATCTTTCAGTGCTGTGTTCAATGAGTTGGAGGCTTCGTTGCGCATTCACCGTGCTCTGGGTAGTATCCTGGGTGGTGTGCATTTGGAGCTGACTGGCGATGCTGTCACCGAATGTACGGGTGGAAGTGTAGGCTTGGAAGACGAGGACCTGGGAAGCAGATACGAGACTTTCTGTGACCCTAGATTGAACGAGAAGCAGGCTCTCGAGTTGGCTTTCTTGATCGCTGGCTTCCAGAGGAAGGGAAGAGCTAGCGTTGCGGTATAAGTTCTCTCGTAGAAGCAATGCGTACCATGAAAAAGTTCACATGGTTTGATTCGAAAGTCGTCAGTTTTACCTGGTCCATTCCCTTATCTTGCCTCGAACCTGTCTTGACCCTATGTGACAGAGTAACATCCAATACTACATTATGGATATGCAGTCGTGCCAATCACCCATGCTCCCAAAGGCTTGGGGCTATTTCCAACGGCATCGATGCTTTAAACCTGGACAAAAACTATACCTTTGTCAGAGCTGCCCTGAGCGAGAGTTTCCTAACTTGGCTGGCTTGTTTGCACATGTCGAAAACAGTAGTTCGTGTCCGGCGACTCTGTCTGACCGTTTCATGCACAACATTGTCAAGACGGTGTATGGCGAGGATATAGAGGGATGGTGAGGGCGTCCGTACCGTCTAAGGCTAGTCTCCTGCACTGTTCTGGAACACCCACGATGATTGCTCGGTTTTGAACATGGGTATCTTTGTTCTAACAAGACAATAATAATACAAAAGTCGTAATTTTTGGCTGGTTCATTATGCCAAGTCCGTAGCCTATCTCGAGACGTTATCGACAGGAGATTGCGTATGGTGGATTTTTTCCATGGCTCATGAGCCTATAGCCTTGACACAACCCATCGCTGCTCCAGCAGCAACGCCACCAAGTACCATCATCTGCACGCCAGCTTTGACACAAAGCAGCCGTTTCTCTTCACCAACCAAGAGAGTCTTGACATAGCCAAAGACAAACAGAGCAAAGGCCATGACGCCAATACTCCAACACAGAGCAGTCTGGTTGTTGCTGACGAAGAAGTAAGGTGTGAGAGGTACCAGTCCACCAAGGAGATATCCAAGTGCAATAGTCAGAGCTGAGATGTACGCACGCGAAGCATCTGCTTGCGATTCCGGAAGATCATGGTGGAAGCGCATGATAAAACTCTCTGATCGTTTCGGACACGAGCTGATTTGTGTAGCAAAGGCATCCAGAATATCCTCCGAAAGACCGTATGAGTCAAAAGTCGACTTGATGATTTGATTGGCTTCGTCTGGAGTTTGGTTGACGATTTTTCGTGTCTCTGCCAATGTGGCTGCATAAGATTGTNNCTGGTTGTATGTTAGTGATTAAGCTCGAACTGGAGGTAGGTTGACTTACGCTTCGCTTACACCACCAAGATAGCCACCCAATCCCATTGAAATAGCGCCCGCACAAAGCTCCGCTAAACCAGCATAGATGACGAGCTTCGTGTCGCCGAGTGCTGCTAATCCAACGCAGAGCGCGAAGGGAACAGTTAGACCGTCTGAAAGACCGATAGTAGCGTCTGAAATGATGCGAGGGTCAACTCGGAACGAGGAGTGACTTTCTGTGTCACTTCTCAATGTTGAGGAGTCGGAGCCATCTTGAGATATCTCTGAAACAGCGTCGCAAGTGCCATATTGTTGTTGCTGCTTGAACGAGGGTAACAAGACGGGATGTTTCTTGGCCGGGAATATGATGTTCTTGATGTAGAGCAGTGCCATGGCAGAGATTCAGAATGATATGATCGACGAATGGGTGGATTGTAGCTTTTGTTTTCGTGCTTCGAGGATGGAAAGGTTGGGAGAGTTCGAGAAAGTGACAAGGCTAGAGAGACGACACTGGAATGTGACAGGGGGTCATGATATAAGTACTTACTCAGGACGTTGGTACTGTGTCAAAGATTAGCCTTGACCAGTTTTTTCCACGCTACTTATGTGCGTTCCCCGCAAGCCATCTTTCCCTACGCATTGGAGCTTCCGCGGTGTAAGAGGAGCTTGGTTGTACTGTGGTACTCGAATGCAGTTCTCCGTGTCCAGCTATGGTAAATCTGTAGTACGCTGCAACATTACCTGCTCGAGTTCGCCTTCAGCAAGCGCAACAGAAGCCCATTTGATGATTTGAAGCAGTGTCAAAGTTGAATGTGTTTAGAAAGAGCCGTTGACTACGCGTGGAGCGTGGTCAAAATGCTTATTTGGACGTGCTCTGATTGGCTCGCAGAAACTGCCCTCCCCACACACGGCGACAGCCGTCAAGCCCTCCAAACACTTCCAACAAATTTGCTTACAGTTGGTTGTCTTCTAATTGGACAGTCCTCGATGCTGACCATTTAATCTTGAGCAAGTGCCATCCGAGTTCTCCGGACAAGCATAAAGAGCAGCAAGAGGTTTTCTCTGATCTGGCACGGCCCTGTTCTGATGCCGGTGTTATTCTGAAAGCAAACAAGCTGACTCCGGCACGTCTGATGGGTCTCTTCCCAACCTCTCTTTTGGACTCGTTGAATATCAGCCTTAGGTGCTCCAGTACAAGCACCTCAAGCCGGAAACCCTTCATCAGGCCTTCAATTTTACAGTCCAGCAGAACGTCCAGGTAGATCTCAGTCGATAAACAAGTGCTCATCTCCATGCAGATTGAAACAAAAGCCTCGAACGACTAGAAGCATGCATGTTCTGTAGTCAAAACCACTTCCATCAAGATTCGAGATCTACGTGGTGTTCTCGAAGGGTCAAGCTCAGTAGGCCTCCCGCAGTCCAGAATCCGGATTCGCCGAAACTGAGGACTGCTATTTGACTGAGATGACCTGCAAGAAGATATAATTGAATGGTCGATGAACTATCGAACGCACCTCGCGTGCCTCTTTTCCTGAACTCTACCGGACAAGTGCCTCTCTGACTCGGCGTCGACGCCTTGGACGCCTTGATGGCAGCGTGTGGCAGATAGACGTACCCCACGATAATCTAACCTATATAAGATTGACCCGCATGAATGGGAAGACCCACCAGGACCGGTATATGAATACATCAATCAATATATACTAGGCGATCCCAGCTTCTGGCTTCTGGTTTCTCATCACTCTCGCCTGGTAGACATCACCCGATATGAGGACTTTTCCTAATTTACCGCAATCCTGGGTTATGCTCAAATGACGCCGCATGGTCGTGTCTTTCCCGGTAAGACTGGTCTATACACTCCACAGTACCACTCTTGTCCACCTTTATCGACCCAGCATACAATACAAGCCGTGCTTGGCTGCTTCTCACCGTCTCCTCTGGCGTCAAGCCATGTGTTTTTCAAAGATCCTCGGCCAAACTGTGTTGAGGAACCATGTCTGGGAGCAGCAGGAAGCCTTATATAAGTCATACAGGCTCCTCCATCACCTTCATTCCACTCACATCTCTACATACGCCGATCACCTGCAATGCGCTACTTCTTCCTCTGCCTTACTATTGTTGGCTTGGTGAGTGGGGCTCATACTCAGACAGGTCCAACAGCACACCTAAGATATGGACGAGCCACAGGAACAACGACCAGTCTTCCAGCTGCAAGTGCGACAGTCAATAAGTTCTTGGGGATACCTTTCGCTCAAACACCACCTGAGCGGTTCGCGCCCCCAAGAGCAGTACCTAAAATGTCTAATATCAATGCCACAGCTTGGAAACCGGCATGTATCCAGCAATTCANNACTGTACGACTTCCGTATTGAAATCGTCCTCGGCACGACTGATCAAACTCAGATCCTCCAGCTTCTCAACAGTTTACTGAATTGGTATTCAACAACCCTCCACCTCAGGAATCTGAAGACTGTCTATACCTGAACGTATATGCCCCTTCTACAAAGTCTCACGATCCCAAGGGGCGAGCTGTTTTGTTCTGGATCTACGGCGGCAATTTTGAATTCGGTAATGCTGGACAGCCCACATATGATGGAAGTCATTTTGCTGCGTACGCCGACGTGGTGGTGGTTACTGCCAATTACAGATCCAATGTATTCGGATTCCCAAGCTCTCCAGAATTGCCTCTTTCTGGTCACAATCTTGGCTTCCTGGATCAGCGTTTTGCTTTGGAGTGGGTACAGCGCAACATCGACGCTTTTGGAGGTGACCCGTCAAAAGTCACGATTTTTGGAGAGTCAGCTGGAGCCTACTCAATCGATGCGCTGCTTACCAGTTTCCCGAAGGGATCAAATCCACCATTCCGAGGCGCAATACTACAAAGTGGACAGTACAGCTACAGACCTGATCCACGTATCAGTAGCGTACCTGCATGGTACAATCTCACTGCTGAGCTTGGCTGTCCTGGCGATTTCGAAAGTGACTCGAGTTGTGTCAAAGCAGCAAGTGCGACGGACATCCAACGCATCATTGAGGTCAACAGCCTCGTATTCACGCCCATTGCCGACAACATCACACTTGTATCAAATCCTGCTGAGAGACGTGCCTTGGGACAGATCGTCAACATTCCTGTTCTGGGCGGTACGAATGCACAGGAAGGACGGTAAGGATTATTTTTGCTTCTTGTCAAATGTTCTCTGCTCATACTGCACAGTGTTTTCATGTTTGGGCAAAACAACATCACAGCCTTTCTCAATACCTACTTCAGCATGTCGCCGGCTCTTGTCTATGCTATCCAANAAGCATACNCCCTTGGCGTGAACGGGCTGAACACGCCTAATGATGTGATATCACAAATCTTCACTGACTACTACTTTCAATGTGTAAGTCACTGTGACTTTCGCTACCATACATTCGCTTACGTTTCTGTTCCAGCCCNNCAAGCTCTCTGGGCCAATGCGTCTGCTGCAAGCGGCATCCCTACCTGGCGATACTACTTCAACGCCTCATTCGCCAACACACAGCCATACCCTGGTCTAGGTGTCTACCATTCTTCCGAAATCCCTTTCGTGTTTTCTACCTACCCTGATTCTCGAATCACTACCCAAGAGTACGCATTGAGTCAATTCATGCGTGGCGCGTGGGCTGCCTTTGCAAAGAACCCAGCCAACGGACCAGGATGGAATGCAGTGGGTACTGGTAGCGCAGATGCTGCTCACACCACAACATCTAATGGTTCACTCGGCGCTACACTGACAAGTCCCAATGGAGATGTACAACAAGGAGATTGGAATCTTGGCGTCTTGGGTGATGTTGGAAGTGTTCGTGGAAGTGGTGTCACCGTGTTGCCTGGGGGCGCAGTTGATGGCAGATGTGCTCTGTTTGCTCCTGTGTATGAGGCTATCTTGCACGGAGTGTGAAATATTGCACCGCAGAATCTTCTATCGTCATAGCTTCATCTACAAGCACATATCATCAATGATATATTCTGATTGATCCCTCTCCAACCCTTAAGCCACTGGGCTGCATAAAATTCCTTTCCGCCCTGGTGACCCTCTCCATTGTTTTACGCCGCACAAAGTTCGAGTTGAAGCTCCCTGCGAGCTCCAACAAAGATTTCTCCATCAGCTTTAGCTGATGGACAAAAGAATGTGCTCTCCATCAGGGAATCGAACCCTGGTCTCCCGCGCTTGACGAGGTATTACTCTTGACAAGCGGAAATCATGACCACTAGACCAATGAAGATGAGCCAGCTGAGCTGGTATTGGTTGATGAAGCGTTTTTCGACCGTCCTGGATATGAAGTCTCAAATCCTAAAACAGCACGCCCTGAGCAGGGCCATCGCTCAAGAAGAATTTGGGGGGGGGGAGGGGGCGAAACAGCAGCACCAGCAAATCTCTCGAAACAGGGTGGTGGAAATTAAAGCCTGGGGTTGGCCTGAAGAAAATTCGAACCCCACTTTGGCCACGAATTTGGCCATCCGTCGAATGTTCTCATGATTTCACACATCAGTCAAGCTCGTTTGAGCGATGCGATCACTACCAACATTGGATTTGATAGTCAAAAACCAGCCGTCGATAACTGAGTTTGGATGCTTGATGTCAAGTCACGTATGGGATTGAACACATGAGCTTGACCAAAGCCTCAGATCGAATAACTGAGACACGGACAAGCTTCTGATTTTCTGTCTTTGAGCGTGAAGTTATTGAGGTCAGATTGAAGAGTGCTTGACAACATACAACTTGATATTATGTTTTAGTTGAAAATCGAACATCAATCCGATATGGTCTAGTGGCTAGGATTTCTCGCTCTCAAACCGTTCGAAAGAACAACTAGGTCCGAGGAGGCCGGGGTTCAATTCCCCGTGTCGGAAGTACTTCTTTGCTCTTGTGTGGTTGTCTGGCGAAAGCGATGAAACCCATTCTTCGCTCAGCAGCAAACTTTTTTTCGCGCCCACATTCGAACCCCAGCGTCAGAGACTCTTTTTGCACTATATCGAGCCAATCACATAACTGCTGATACTCTATCAGAAAACAATACACACTCAAATAAAACTCCTGAGTCGACACCTCGAAGAGATGAGCTTGTAGAAATGCAGAAACTTGTACGAATCGTTGCATTCTCCACAGAGAGCGATATCTTTTCTACTATGGCTGAGACTCTCATTGGACAAATCTGATTAAGAAACATTTCTGTGCATTTTGATGGTTGCTTGATATGTAGTGGTTGTTCGAAGGAGAGCTACTGGTTAGAGGAAAAAGAACGCAATGAATGGTACTATGCATGGAGACAGAGAAACAAAACATCAGAAGGACCGAGTAACAGAGAAAAAAAGCTCAACCCCCAAGTACAACCTCCTGACTGTGCCTTCACATATCCCAGTCCTCATCCTCGTCATCACCCTGTTGGTCGTCCTGCTCGGTTTCCTCCTCTGCGTCGAACAGGGAGAAGTACCATCAGGCTGCACCTCCAACCGAGCAGTGCCAAAAAGCGAAAACAGCATGTTGTCGGAGACCTCAAGCCCCGCAATACCAGGTACGTCTCCAGGGATGAAATGGGCAGACCGATCGGCAGTAAAGAATACCCTAGGGCCGCGATAACCGTCTTCGTGGAGTCGGTCGTTAAACCATCGAGTCAAACCAAAAGCCGAGTCAGGAGGAGCGGAGATCCTCAAAGAGAAGATTGAGGTCTGTATCATTTCGAATGGGTTCTGGTTTTCTTGCTGCACGCGTCTGAGTGTTGCTGCAATTGGGGCTTGAGCTGCTGGTCTGTTGTCTGGCTCCAAATGCCCGCATCCGTTGCAGGCGAGGATGGGACCTTTGCAGTGGTAGTAAAACTCATAGCCACAGTAACAGGTCATGTGAGGACATCTTTGTCCCCTTTCTATCACTCTGCTGCACTTCGAGCATTCTGCCCATCCTTCCTTCTTGATGAGAGCGAGTGCTTGTTCGTCTTCTTGGCTGGGTCCTTCACAATCACCCTCGTGCTCGAGTGCACGACACTGCTTGTATGTCTTGCAGCCACACTCTCCACAGCGAGCCAAGGGGTCGATGGCGACCGTCGCGATAAACTCTCCACAGTCTCTGTTGGCGCAGTAATAGTGCTCGTGGACAGGCATTTTCAGCTCTCGCAACTTCTCCTTCAGATGCGTGGCTTCGAATTCAGGCAGAGTCTCCAGTGCAATCTCTTCGGGGATAGTGCAGCCTTCGTCGCATATCACGGGCCAGTCGCGCTCGTTGCGCACTTGAGTGCAGACCTGAGAGATGCAGTCGCGGCACCAGGGATGGTCGCAAGGCAGTGTCACGAAGGTTTCTGTGTTATCGCTGTCGAAGCAGGCCTGCCAAGACTTGGGCTCGGGTGTCTGGTTGTTGATGTTGTCGTTGATGCTTGAAGACATATTTGCGTGTTTGTGATGAAGGATGGAGATTTTGTTGATGAGGTGGGCGATTGATGACTTGGCCGTTGTGATGGGAGGTCGACGACTTGGTTGTTGTGATGGGAGGTCGGTAGTTGATGGTTGATGAGCCTGGTTGTTGATAAAGATGATTGGTCGTTGATGGTTCATAGACCTGGTTGCTGTGTGCGACGACAAGTACCTGATAGAATTTGTTCGACGAGAAGAAGGAAACGGACCAAGCTAGAAGATGGACGCTTTTATATATCTGTAAAAATCCAGAACAAGACTCATCGCCACGACGACCATGTGGAAGCTCGATGCGTGAGTTAGAGTTTTATACTCACGAAGCGGTATGCACCTACTGTTTTACATGGTCGGCCATTCTACCTACCTATCTTTCATGCGCAGTTGGGTTATGGTATTACTGCTGTGTTACGTGCCTGCGGTTTATCATGATGGTAACAAAAGAGAGAACAAGTCATGGTTTTGGCGTTGTTGCCTGAGGCAGCAGCCGAAAGCCTCTCCACCTGACCACTATACCGCTGCATCTCAACAGACTCCACCACGTTACTTTAGTCTGGTGCCAATACACAGACGTAAGAGACCAAAGTATGCGCAGTCGAAGGAGTCGGCTGTCAAACACAAGACCAAAGTCTCACTGAACCTTAGCATGATTGATTTCGTATGCTGTATTTGTACAGCAGCGTTCTTTGTGCACCTGGCACTGAGAGACTGGATTTCTACTGGAAGTAAGAAGTTCTCCTTGATCATACTTGTTCATAATTTACATACCATGTGTAAAGCTATCCCATCTGTCCTTCCTGCCTTGTCATTAAATCATGTCTCATTCGAACCGAATCTTGCGTCCCTTTGGTTTCACATCGGCATTCTGCGAATATTCAACCCGTATACCCTGTTCTCGCGCCCATTCTGGTGCATCTGGACTGCAATGCCAGACATTTACGAACTTGAGTATCCTTAGTGATGGCTTGAGACCATCCACAAGTACACGCACGCCGCCACCTGTGATCATCGTTGAGGACAGATCTATATCTTGTAACTGCTTCATGTTGGTAGAAATGTGCTTTGCAACCTCATCGCCGACGTCGGAGTTGTGGGTCAAATGTAGACTACGCAAACGTTCTAGACGAGGAAGAGCGAGAAGCGAGGTGACCGACTGAGCTGCGCCTGTACACTGCACATGTAGCTTGTGAAGTCTGGACAGGTTGGAATGCTTGAGAAACCTGTTATCTGCAGGGTCTGGATATTTTGAGATCAGTTCAGGGTCGGACAGAAAGAGACTGGCCATGTCTGCACCGCAACAGACAAGTTCCTTAAGATTAGGCAGGAAGAAGTTTTTAGGGCTCAGCAGAACAACACTGCTAAGTGGCCTGTCAAGATCAAGGCGCAGTACGCGAAGAGTCGGTGGAAGATCACGGAATGGGAAAGGGACCGGACCGGAAGACAAATTGGATATTATATCCAACTCGATCAGCTGCTTGGCTGTTTCTTTGAGGGATAGGATATCATAAGGTGTCGCCCAGTTGTTGAGCGAGAGAGATTGCAGGTTTGGCATTAGCGTTAGGAGCGTAGCAATTCGAAGAATGTGCATTGAGCGATTGGGTGACTGAGAATTCCTCATCAACTTCAGACGACGAAGCTTGGGAAACTCGCCCTTCCAGTGCAGGTTCAGGCTACCAGGTATGATTGCTCGACATTCGAACTCTTCGAGATTCTCACAGCCCAGAAGAAGACTGGGAAGCGTCAAAGACGATATACTAGCAGAGGGACCAAGCGTAAGCTTTTTCAGTTTGGTGGCCGACTTGAGGTTGTGGACAAGACTCTCTCCNTGTAACCCGCCATCGACGATACGGAGCGAATTAAACTCCGGACAGCTTCGAGCTAGGGCTTTGATGACCTTTTCCATGTCCTTCACATGGTTCAAGGTGGCGGAGATGATTTTATGTCTGGACGTGTTGATGCAACGACTCAAGAAAGCAGATCTGACAGGCTTCTTGGCTTCCGAGAAGTCCAGATTCATCCAGAGACCAGGCAAGCTGTTGATAAAGACGTTCCACTGCTTCGATACACGAGTGCAGTATACAATCTGTCGAAAGTTGAGATACGACAGAATCATCTCGACGATTTCGATAGGTAGCTGAGCAAATGGATCTGCGGCTTTGTCGGGAGCGAGAGACAACAGAAGCTTGTTATGCATTTTTTGAAGCAGCTCAACATTCTTGACCTTCTTGCTGATGCCATGTTTGTAGATGCTCAGAGCGACATCAGTCTTTTGCATAATCTGAAGCACTTTGCCTGCTCTCAGATAGCCAGTAGGATCTTTTTCGAAGACACGAATGCAGGTCCGAGCATCTTTCAGTGTGAGCTTGTGATCGCCGAGCTTTTCATGGACTGCTGCGCGTGTGTCGAGTAACTTCACCGATGGCGATGGTTCATGCTTGATGGCCAGATCGAGGAGGTCTAGGGCTTGGACATACTCCTTCCTTCTATACTGAAGTTGTGCATGCTCAAGAAGCTCAATGGTCGGCGGTATGTGAGGCATTCAGTCGGTGATGGACATCGGATATAACGATGAGATGGAACAAGAATGTTGTCGATGATTTGACGCGCATTGTCGCGCTGGTGGAAGGAAGGCGCGTCCCTGAGGGCTTGGCGGTGCGGTCAATTTGTGCCTGCCATCTCCAAACTGCGACCCTGTCATTCCATCTATCATTCGTGGAATCAGATCACTCAATTTGCTTCACTTGAGAGTGAGTGATTAATGTTGATGAAATTCTCTATGCTTTCACATATATACAGAATCAAGTTATCAATGCTTCATAGCATCTCGCTTTTCAAGCCACCCTCCGTATGCCAACAATCTTGCTGAACCGAGCTTCAATCTCCTGCATACTCCCGTCTAGGTCCTCTATCGTGTCTCCGTACTCGTACAACGCAACAGCAATCTCGCCAACTTGTCTGGCAGTTCTTCTAGTCTGAAGACGACTGACAGCCTCAATGATCGCAAGCGCATCCGACCTTCGACGAAGCCAAAGAATGCGTTTGCCAAGGGTGATGTTGCAATAGACATCTCCCTGGGTTCTTGGATCTTCCTCGTCATCGAGTTCCTTGTCCCATTCTCTTTCTTGGCTTCGAAGACCTTTCTCCGAATCCCATGTGTCTCTTGGATTTGGTGAGAAGCTTTTGCGATATCTGCGGCGACCAGATGCAGAATCTTGGTCGAGGAAAGGTCGTTCAAGTGTTTTGAATCTTCGTGTCAGATGGCGGAGAGTGTCCTGCATGGACTTGATGGTCAAGTTGTCGAGGCGAGGAAGAGGCAAGCCCTTTGAACGTCCTCGCTTGCCCCATTCTTTGTTGTGGCGTCGTAGATTCCGTAGAGACTGTCGTTCTTCATATAGCTGAACTCGGAGGTTGCTCAGGTAGTCGTGTATCTCATCATTGGCGTTGGTAACAGTCGTAATATTGCCCCAAAAGACTCGTAGCAGGGTAGCAACAGTAAAAGAGAAGGAGACAAAGCCTATGATAGTGCTTGCTAAGGAGAGGGGNGCGAGCGTGGAATGTGTGGATAATGTGATGCCCATATTTGACAGGCAAAGGACAGGAGTGAGGTGATATCAAGGCGGTAGTGGGACAAGACACGGAATATGTATAGGAACATGGGGACATGCACGCGATCTGATCATGATGGCGATCAAGAACAAAGCACTGTGTTTCTCTGTATGGGCAACCTACATGGGTAAATGACCTGGTCACTGGGGCGCTTGATAGGCGGTCAAGTTTGGGAGCTTTGTTTGCGAGAAGAATGGCACGACAACCGGCAAGACCAAGGGTCAGAAGCCGATGCCGAACGTGGATTGATTGATCGCCTAGATCGGAGGAGCTTGATCACAAGCGAACACCGAACGCGATAGAACAGAACCGGGTTGAGAGGGCAGGCACGTGGTAGAGGACAAGGCTCTGTAGAGTAATGAATCATGAGAGCAAAGACGGTAGAGCAAACATCAGGTGTTGTCTGTCGATTGCGACAAAGAATCAAGCCGGCGCTTGGACGAGTTGAATTGTCAGCCAATGACGAATGGTCCAACTTTTTCAAATCTCGCCCCGCCGTCGAGTCATCGCTGTGCAACACGATCCAAGCCATCTTCATCTTCCTGTCCGTCTCTATAGAAATCACGCTCCCAGCTCCGACATATCTGCATAGCAACTCATATCCATACTAAAGTGGTCCGAACCATGTCGGTACCATTCTTACCCGCCATTGACCTGGCCCAAGGCCTCAATGCCTCTACAGGACTTAGCGCCGCCAGCCTTGGTCACGTCGGCGCCGTCTACGCTGTCGCAACCCAACAGACCATTGATGCCGCCTTCGACCACCTCAAGCAGACTGCCACCCACTTCGGCACCTACTTTGACGTGACAAAGCTCGACTCAACCGACGACATCCTGTCCTTGCTTGATGCCGGTGCCGTCAAGGTCTTTGTTTCCAGCGAGCAACTGCAAAACATCCAGAACAAGAACGTTGATGCCTCACGGCTAGTCCTGTCGCTCGCCGGTGCTGGCAACTCAGCACTGGACGTGCTGCAAGGCAACGAGGTTGGAATCTACCTTGCCGCCATCGCCGACGTCACTGCTGTCGAGAGCTTGCTCGAGGCATACGGATCCAACAGACCACCCGTCTACGTTTCGCTCGCCCAGCCCACTCTCGAGAAGGCCCTCCAGATCGCCCACATCAACGCGACCCCCGTCATTGCCGCCCAGCACCTCACTGTTGACCCTAAGAGCCAACCCGACCTCATCCCCGCTGCCNCTCTTCTCCTCGCAAACGCTACTACCGACAGACCCGATGGTCTTTTCACCACCCTTGTCACAGATGAGCGCGGCGTCGCTCTTGGCCTTGTCTACAGCAGTGAAGAGAGCATCTCTGAGAGTTTGCGCACCGGTCGTGGTGTCTTCTTCAGCAGAAAGCGTGGTCTGTGGTACAAGGGTGAGACCAGCGGAGATATTCAAGAGTTGATCCGTATCGATAAGGACTGCGACGGTGATGCTCTGCGTTTCATCGTCCACCAAAAGGGCAGAGGCTTCTGTCACCTGGCAACTCCTACGTGTTTCGGCGACTACGCTGGTCTGTCGCGTCTCGAAAAGACCCTCTCGAGCCGCAAGCGCTCGGCTCCCGAGGGCTCCTACACCGCTCGCTTGTTCAACGACCCCAAGATGCTGTCAGCAAAGATCCTTGAGGAGGCACAAGAGCTGGTCGATGCGACAGACAAGGACAACATTGCTGCTGAAGCTGCCGACGTCATCTATTTTGCTCTGACCAAGTGCATTGCCAACGACGTCTCTCTCGAGGATATTGAGCGCAACCTGGATGCTAAGAACTTGAAGGTCAAGAGAAGAAAGGGTGACGCCAAGCCTCAATTCGCTGAGAAGGTTGGCATGCAAGTCAACGGAGACAAGGAGATGGTCAAGGAGGCTGCTTCGGTGCCCAAGGCCAAGGAGGACCCGACAGGCACTGTCGACGGCAGAATCAGCATGCGTCGCTACTACACAACCAAGGAGACCAAGGACACCGTGCAGCAGGCTCTGCAGCGTCCCTCGCAAAAGTCGACTGACCGCATCATGGGCATTGTCAACCCCATCATCGAGGGTGTCCGCAAGGGCGGTGACAAGGCTCTGCTCGAGTACACTCACAAGTTCGAAAAGGCCACTTCTCTCAGCACCACTGTTCTCAAGGCTCCCTTCNCCGAAAACCTCATGCAAATCGCTCCTGAGACCAAGGAGGCCATCGACATCTCATACGAGAACATTCGCAAGTTCCACGCCGCACAGGAGACTGAGGATCTTCGTGTCGAGACCATGCCTGGAGTTGTCTGCTCTCGCTTCGTTCGTCCTATCGAGCGCGTCGGTTTATATGTTCCCGGTGGTACCGCCGTTCTTCCCTCGACAACTCTCATGCTGGGTGTTCCTGCCAAAGTCGCAGGCTGCAAGAAGATTGTCATTGCCTCTCCTCCTCGTTCTGACGGCTCAATTACTCCCGAAATTGTCTATGTCGCCCACAAGGTCGGCGCCGAAAGCATCGTTCTGGCTGGTGGTGCTCAGGCTGTTGCTGCTATGGCTTACGGTACCGAGTCGGTCACCAAGGTCGACAAGATCCTTGGCCCTGGTAACCAGTTCGTCACTGCTGCCAAGATGATTGTTTCCAACGATACCTCCGCCGGTGTCAGTATCGATATGCCTGCTGGCCCCTCAGAGGTCATGGTAATTGCTGACAAGACTTCTAACCCTGCCTTCGTTGCTTCCGATTTGCTATCACAGGCCGAGCACGGTGTTGATTCGCAGGTCGTACTCATTGCCATTGACATGAGCGAGAAGGAGCTGCAGGCCGTCGAGGATGAACTTCACAACCAAGCCATGGCTCTGCCCCGCGTTGACATTGTTCGTGGCGCCATTGCTCACAGTCTGACGCTGGTCGTCAAGACTCGTGAGGAGGCTATGGAGTTGAGCAACTACTACGCTCCCGAGCACTTGATTCTGCAAGTCGAGGATGCTGAGGCCTACACCGAGACCGTCGAGAACGCCGGTTCCGTCTTCATTGGCCCCTGGACTCCTGAGTCAGTTGGCGACTACTCTGCTGGTGTCAACCACTCTCTGCGTAAGTTTTATTCATGTCACCTCCTACTTTCTCGAACGTCAAGCTAACAATTCACTCACANNGCCACATACGGCTACGCCAAGCAATACTCTGGTGTCAACCTCAGTTCCTACGTCAAGCACATCACCAGCTCAAACCTCACAGCCCAAGGTCTGCGCAACGTCGGCAAGGCAGTCATGCAACTCGCCAAGGTCGAGCAACTCGAGGCCCACAGACGCGCCGTCGAGATCCGCATGCAGCACATGGACAAGCAGTAGACTTGCCCGCTCCGTCCCGGAGAAGCTTGTCCTTATGCAAGAAACCTTCTCTGTTATCCTCTTTTGGTGCACGCATTACGAGAAAAGTGACTGCTCCTTTTTGACTAGACTATTGTTTACTTGTTTTTGTATAAACATTACATTGTTCTTTTTCCACACAGCGCGAATATCGTATATTTTCTTCTGCCGAGTGCCATGACAGTCGCTTGAACACCTTTCTTGATCCATCTCGAAGTAACTTGGCTTTAAGAGGTTACAAGGAATCGAGAATGCGTTATGAATAAAGCTAACCTAGTTTATAAACGATGTCATCTTACCTCGGACATATACCCACCGAGAAATCCTCAAGGAAAGTAATGAGTTGGCCATACAAGCAACCACAGAGGACGAACGAAATGAAGAGCAGAAGGAGAAAAGGATGAACATATGTGCTGGAATGAAAAGGGTATCTGGTCATCGTCATGGGTCGAGTCATATATCAAGGGAGTGCGGCCACCGCTGGATCGAACATGTGATGCGCACAAATGCTGGAGAGTATGCAACCATGCACAGGAAGAGTTGGAGAGTCATGTTGAAAAGTTCAGCTTGGGGAGGTTGAGGTCTAGGAGCGCCGTTCGAGGAAAACTCTTGCTGATCCTGGAAGGGCGTGTCATGCCAAGTTGTTGGGCTCTGTGGTGGGCTTTGTGGATATAGTTCAGGCACAGACGCCGATGTTGGCATTTCCTGTACTGTCGTGTTAAGCTCATGGGCGCCATTTGCAGGCCGACGAACAGATCCTGCGCGGGTTCTGATGGGATCGACAGGGCTGTTGATAACGTCCTCATCTCTGTCTCCATCGTGAAACCTATCGTCGAATGTGCGATACAGAGGTCCAGGCACACAGAGGCCGTGGTATCCCCGATCTTGTCGTCTACACTTCTGTCGGCGATTGTCGACTAGCCGCTTCGCAAGATTCTCTAGCCTGGCCCAGACCTCGCTATCTTGAAGGTAATCGTCGACGGCGGCTTTAATCTCGTGATATGTGATGTTATGCTCATCTTGGCCGATTCTGCAATCGTCGAGTCTCATGTCTTCAAGCCCGGTCTCAACGTTGAACCGGTAGTATATGTCGTTGTTTGACACAGTAGCTTGCATCCATCTGTGAGCCTCCTCAGTCTCGGTTATACTTTGGACTCCCTTGTTGATCAAGCTAAGAGCCTTGCGAATCTTGCCGCTCTTGATCTGCTCTTCTGCCCGTTTGCCAGTGCCGATAGATACGAAGAAGCGGATGCCTCCTTCCGGTTCGCCACCCGGACAGGCTCCTGAAGGGTGGTTCAGATGCATAGAGCTGGCCTCAGCCCAGGCATGCCGGGACGGGTTATTTGCCATAATACCACCATCAAGGTACTTGAGTCCACTGACTTTGATGGAACGAAAGTAGTAAGGTGCTGCAGATGTAGCACGCGCAACCTCGCAGATCCTTTCGTCTTTCTGATCATTCAGATTGACGCGGAAAAGATTGCGGTCCTGATCACTAGGTTGTGTAGGATTGTGATACGATCTGAACATGTGGACCCTCTGTGCACGATAATCCTGTGTTNNGCCAACACGCCACTACACGTTGTGAGTTGATGTGACACATGCACAGAGTAAGATCACTTACACGCGACAAGGCACGAAGCGATTGCGTTTTCGATCATGTTCGGTCCTCTGGGTCTGGGTTGCATTCACAACTGCTGGGTCATGCAACCAGGGGCCCTCCAGATCGTCTCCCCTTAGGACGCAACCTCCTNNTTGCTCACGGGCGACGTCTTTGACGAATTGTTCCAGTTTCTTATAATCATATTTGTTTTGACCCAGGAAGTATAGCGGTTGTTTCTTGGCAAATATCTTCGTGCCCAGATCACGGTAGACCATGATGCATTCGTCGATATCCATCCGAAGTCTTCCGAGCATTATCGCAATGATCCTGCTTACGTCAGCACCTGCCTCTTGCACTGTTCTTTGGTGGACAACACGAGTGTCTCGTCCTTACCCTCCAGTGCTCGTCCCAAACATGAAGCTGAAGTAGTGGCAAGCCAGTGGAAGCTGTTTTGTATTCGCTTCTGGATTCGCTGTCGAAGCCTCGCCGTTCGTGCCGTTCTCTTTTCCGTCTCGTCGCAGTTCCTTTCGGCGGATAAGATTGAGCAGCTCCCGCACAATGAACAACGAGGCGAGACCTCGCATGCCGCCGCCATCTGTTAAACCAATGTAAGTCTCTTGTAAGATTCCCTATGGCTCTCGTTTGCCGTGCTGCTTACCGAATGTCAAAACCGATTCTCTCTTATGTGGCGGGCATCCGCACACAGCATGTCGTGTAGTACTCATAGCGATCACAAGGTGAAACGGTTTCACAAACTCACCAGGGCATGACTGAAGATAAATGGTTGCCGGCTTGCGCAGTACTCGCTCATGGCGCCTCGTGTGCCTGGGAGCAAGTCGAAATATTGGCTGCATCGAACTCAGGTCGCTCTCGCCTTTCCCATTATGGGTGCTGCGGTTCGCGGGCCAAATACATCCAAGGAGAGGCGTCTTTTGCAGCCTCAGGCGTTGAAGATATTGCTCTATCACAAAGTCAGGTGCGAAAAAGATGCATGATAATTGCATATAGTATTGCTGTTGCTGCATGCCCTCAGCCTTGCAAATCAGCCTTGTGCAGCTCAGCTACTGGTCTCAGCCTATGCCGCAGTTGTGCCATACTACTCATGACTTCCGACATCATGACTTCCGATGTCATGGCTTTCGACTGATGCATTTGCGCTTTAGCATCAGAAACCTCTGGACGCTTTGGCTTGCTCTGGTGATGCTCCTCAACACAGCAAATTTGATTGCAGCGTTACCCTATGGATTATAGCTGGACCCTTTGTATGTAAAATGCTCAGTGGATTCCATGCCCTTGTTTTGACTAGCATTGAGCTGCGCCCTGTGGAAAGCGTACATGCACATATCGCCCCCAATAGGATTGCCGCTGTACTAGTCGTTTTCAAGGCCGATTTGACGACAGTACAGATATACATCCGTCGGTTAGGATGTACACTTTCGTGTGTCTGCGCACTTACGGCCCGGGAACAAATTAGAGGTCTTACTAAGGTCGAGATTGACTGCATGGACCCACGATTCCAAGCCACGCGCTATCTGATCAACGTACATGTACTGCAGTATACACACCTCGTGTGGACGTCTCACTATGTATGCAAAGAGAACGCAGCGATGTTCACCGGTCTCTCTGATTCTGAGTTGGTGCATATGCAAGGCTCGGGGCGTATGCATGATGCATGCAGATTGTCATCTGCCAACGCCACGGAATTTTGGCGGTCTCAAACCTCAGGCAGACTGCCTGGGGTCGTTCTGATCAATATCCGGATGCCCAAACTCAGCCTCGGAGCATATCTGGCAGCTCGGTACTGTGGCCAACTTACGCCGCAAGGTCGCTGTTGGTCTGACAAGAAGGCCATGTGGTAGGGCACATTCCATTCTTGGTGTGTGCAAGTATGGCGCTTATGGCCCCATGGTATTTGTTTTGGATAAAAGGCTCTGGCTTTGCAGATTCTGCTAAATCCGTCGGCACATGCACAACCCTCCTTTTGCCCTTTCTGGACCATATAAGAACGTCCCGGAAACCTGTCTGCTTGCTGTGCTACAATTTATCTCTTCTGAGTCTCATTTGCCATGGCTAATTCGCCTCATGACTCTTGCTCCATCGTTGAGCATGGCCGTCTTGCGGAAAGCTCACACGTTGATAAACCGATCAAATCACAAAAGGCACCGCTCGACTATGAAAGACCTACAGAGACTCCGAAGAAGAGCAACAGCTTTGACAGAAAATTGATGCGAGAGGCTCAGGAGGAGCGTCGATACTTTGTCTATGTTTATGACTACAGCGAGAACAAGACAAAAATCATGAAGAGACGGAATCTTCTCGAGAGACGAGGTGNNAGTGCCAGGCTTTGGATGCGCCATTCAGCTAGACCTTTGCATGTTTGAATGGGCATGTGTTGAATTTGGGACGTCTGAACTGACTCTGCTCAAGATAGTGAGAAAATTGAGCCAGTGACGATACCATCAAAAGGCAGTCTAGCTATCTGTACTGGCGATGACGGATTTGGCGGCGGGAAAACTGTCGTTGCGAGAGTACACATCAACATGGCTTTGCGATTACAGAAATGGCTTGGACTTCAGCAGCAGCTCTACATCGTAGACGACATGAAACGGAGTGGAACCTCTGAAACTCGATGTTGTTGATCGTTGCAGCGCAGGGTTGTGGTTTGGCGCGTAGAGTGATATGTTGAGTTTTGCCCTGATACAGTTGATCTGGATCCTTTGTTTTGCTTTGTTTTGTTTTTATGGCTACCTTTCTGTCAGTTTCTGCGATTACAATGTGTGGAGGGAGCTGACAGGGGAGGAAGAATGCATGATGTCGAAGCAGGCACTACCTGATCAGACGGGTCACAATTACATGTCAGCTGATGATTCGAGCACCCACTCCTCTTGTTCAAGGCGAGCTTGACATGGTCATTATCGTTATGACTAGGCCGTGCGCCATATCATCATGAATGCTGGTTATGTACTCTTTCTCCACACCCACTACATCCTCTCCACCGACCTCCCGGCCCCAGTTGCCGGAGCCAGCCGCAATTTGCATACTTCCAATGGAAGGCTTACAGGCGGGCATCGTGACGACCAATGAGCAAGTTTCGAAGTTCTATGGCCAATCGCAACCGTGTGGACCAACATCCCCTGGACCATCTGGAACCCTGTCGTCGAGTTCAACCTTCAAGTCAACAGCGCTTCGCAACGACACCTCTCGACCAATGGACCACTCTTGAAACTACTCTTCGACCAACCCTGGACCACAATTGGACTGCACGTAGTCTGAACAATCTCCAAGTCACTTGGACCAATTTGAGGACCACAAAATATCAGCTCGTGATGAACCAGCCACCAGTCTCTATGCCTTGGCTTTCTTTCGAAGTTTGATTGGACCCAAAGACAACATAGTGTACGGACACTCGGCACAAGTCTCGGCGCTGACGACGTGGTCTGAGCAGTTGAAGAGTTACTCTCAGCTCCGTAACGACCATTTCTCACAGGTTGACTACAAGAACCGCCCGTGGGATCTGGTTCTGACTCGCCCTCGACACACTTGAGTACAAGAAGATCCAGCTTGCCCGTATCAACTTTGCTGCCTACATAACACTGTGTACGTCCAAGCTGAACACACGTCAGACGTTGACTCATTGACTCATCGAACCTTCCCAGTCTTTGCTTGGGAGGCGAAGCGTCAACTGCCGAACATGGAGTACTCGCCTTTCTATTTTGAGATACATACATATATAAAGTTGCCTTTTATTCCGACGTGTGTAGGCAGCTACACTACAGCCTCGGACGTTCCATTCAAGACATGAGAGTAACGGCACTGCCAATCTTCTAATGTCTCAAGCGCTGGAACCTGGATATGCTGGATTCACCAGCTATCACTGCTCACCAAGCTACGTGACTGCCACACCATTGGGCGGCGGGTAAGGTAGCACCAAGTGCGTTGCCCATCACTGTCATGACACCGGTATCATGCCGTACTTGCTTACAGAACCAGAATACATGTCAGCCATTGACCTTCCGGCACTAAGTACTCGTTTTCTCTATGCTGAGTAGAGGATAGTAATTAATACAACATCGAGATCGGAATATTCCTTCATATCGGCTGCCATATCACAGCCTTGAATGTTCTCTTCGTCGTATTAAACGAGGCTATCGGGAAGCTTCTTCACCCGGAAGTGTTCTGATTACTAGATGATTGATCGCTTCCAAAGACTTTATACATGCAGTGACAAGGACGTCCGATGCTACAGTGTTGATGGTAACTATATCGAAACCCTCCGGGCTGAGCTTTGGGGCATGAAATGTTGCTCAAAGCACACATCCTGTATGGTAGTTCATGGTCCAGTCAGTATTATTTCATTTGTAAGATGTCTAGATTCTTCTCAATTTTGATCTATACCATCACAAGAAGACCCGACCCATTTTGATGGCTTTTAAAAAATTCTAGAAGCAGTAAGGAGCAATCGGAAGCATGATATATTTCCAAAGTAGTTGTATCAATAAAGTATCCAAACTATACATGGGTAGCCTACGTGTTGTTGTCTTTCCTCTTGTCAAGTGACTGCGTCGAGTACTCCCCAAAAAGCAATGTAAGCCGTGGAATTGAGTATTAAACTATCTCTGCTTATTCATACGATACAGGACGAAAATTACACAGATCGGGCTGGCTGTTGCATGTCGAGAGAGTGCCGGGGAGGCCGGAGGGGCCGGAGGAGCTGACAGGGTGAGCCTTCTAGCATTGTGACATGGTCGAATGTCAGGTTGCTCTCGCAGAGCTCTCGAGAAATGGACATAGTGACGCTTTTTGAACAGGGCTTGAAAAAGAACGGACAGTGGATTAGAAACGGCTAGCGAGGCAAGCATTTGTGGAATGTCGGTTGGTCAGATATGAAGCGAAACTGTGGCTGCGAGTTCAAATGTTTGTCAGAAAGAAAAAAATATTCTCATTATCATCGCGTATGTATATGGCAAAAACAACGTCCAAACCATGCATGCTTGTGTTTATAAACCTTCTTTCATCACTCCACCTAATTTGACTCGCCCTCCTCGAAGCTCTGGATTTGCACCTTGATGGCGCCAGTCTTGGGGTCTGCCGCCGTCTTGAAAGCCTCAAGGGCATCCTCAATCTTGAAACGGTGGGTGACCAATTTCTCGAGGTTGATGACACCTCCTTGCAGCAGACGGATGGCTCTGGGCCATGTGTTGCAGTAGCGGTACTGGAACTGGAGGTCGACCTCGCGGGTGCTGAGGCGCATGAAGGGGATCTTGATTTCGTTCTTGCCGACGCCGATGACGAAGACCTTGCCGCCGAACTTGACGGTCTGGATGGCTCCGGCGATGGAGCTCTCGACACCGGTGCACTCGAGGGCGATGGCGGGCTCGACGCCGCCGCCGAGCTCGGTGATGGCCTTTGCAAAGTCTTCGGGNGTGTGCTTGAAGTCGACCTTGTGGGTGCGGACAGAGGGGCAGAACTCCTTGGCGAACTTGAGGCGGCCCTCGTCAATGTCGGTGATGATGATGGGCTCGGCACCGGCGGCCTTGACACAGGCGAGAGTGACGAGACCAATGGGGCCGGCACCGCAGACCAGGATGGGGTCGCCGAGTCTGACCTCTGCTCTTTGTACACCTGCCAAAGCAACACTTAGGGGCTCGAGGAGAGAGCCGTTCTCGTAGCTCATCTCACCAATCTTGTGGCACCACATAGCGGGGTGGTTGACATAGCGGCGGAGGAGACCGGGGACGGGAGGAGTGGAGCGGAAGAGAACAGAGTCGCAGCCGTTGTAGCGACCGGTCAAGCAAGGCTCGCACTCGCCGCAGATGATGTTGGGCTCGATGGCAACGCGGTCGCCGACCTTGAGCGACTTGACGTTGTCGTGCACAGCAACAACGACGCCTGCCGACTCGTGCCCGAGAATGTGGTCGTCTTCGACAATCATGGGGCCGATGCAGCCGGCGTGCCAGAAGTGCACATCCGACCTGGTCGTCGTCAGTTGTCATTGCCTCAAAGCATTACTTCTGTGCTGCTACTCACCCNNACAGATACCAGTGCTCTTGACTGCGACTGTGACCTCGCCAGGAGCCAGCTTCTCGCCGCTCTGAACCTGCTCGAGCGAAGGCTCGGCCTCGGCGACCCAGAGATCATGTGCAGGGTTGGTGTAAACACCAATGTTCGACAACGTCGGCTTGACCATTGTTTGTGTGGATGTCATTGTGGTGAATATGAAAAGAGCTCGACGGGGATTTGAAGAGCTGCGAACGCGAGGAAGGAGACGATGTCAAGAGAAGAGGAAAGAGAAGGAGCAACAGAGAGATGGAAAATGTTAGAAGTACCTACCTTAACGTCAACTCGTGTCTTTTTGACCCGCAAAAACATAGTCGTCCGTGGGGCATATCTAACCGGCGGGGTAAATGATTGCTCAATGAGGGGGATAAATGCACCTCTGGGTCTGCAGGGACTCGGGCCATGCGTGTCACGCTGCCCTTCACGAGCCCACAGCGGTGCAGAGCACACCTCGAAACCGTGCAGACTCCTGGGCATACCTCCAAATTATCCGGCTTCACGACTCGAGCGTCGAGGTTAAACACCTTTGGAACAGCACTCTTGTCCTCCAGGGTTTAGACGACGCTCGGCTTTGGTCGGTAGAATTGCTTTAATCCGAGCTGTTTCATCCTTGGTGATTGTTTTCTGCGTCTCTGTGTGGCACGCAGGCGCCTTGCTCAATCTAGAGCACTTTACGATCAAGGTAGAAAGGAGAACGCGCCGGTCGATCCACCAACTGTGCCTGCCTATCCTCCTTTCTCACCCCTCCGGATGTCTTGTTCTGGAGAATTTGCGAGGTGCATTCTCACGAAGCTCAACTCCGTTCAACATCAGGCATGTTCCGATTGGCTGGCCTGCTACCCCACATGATCGCCGTTGGTGCTCCAGATAGATACCGAGGTGCCTTGGCATCCCCGAGATGCTTCCTTCAAACCTGTTGAACAACTTTGTAAATATTTTGTATGTCACACAAAGAGATTGACGCAGTATTCAATAAGTACTCTATTGTGTAAAATCAACGTCTACAGAGATTCATCTGCACATCAATGATACACATCCTCTTCGATGCAAAACATGCTTTTCTTGCTGTGTGGGTATCTACGAATAACACAAACATGTACAATCATCCCTCTCAAGCTTCTTCAACACTACCCTTGACATCATGCTCATACCTCGCCTCCTGAATGAACGGACTCCTCGCTCTGATCTCCGGCCCCTTCAACAACAAAATGATAGGCGCACAAGCCAGTGCCAACGACAAGAACGCCAACACTGAGCTCGCCCATTGATATCCAAGATTGGTATACATGCTCTGCGCAGCCAGAGGTAAAAAGGCAGAAAACACATTCTCGCCAAATGCCACCGCTGCAATTGCCGAGCCAGCATACTTGGAGTACGCGTCCATGAGATATTGCGCAATGGAGGCACAAACAATATTGATGCCAAACCCAACCATTGCTAGTCCAATCGCGGGAGCAATCCAAGGGATATGCGGGTACGATGTCCATGCATAGATGAACATACCTCCCGTCATGCCAAAGAAGCCTCCCACAGGAGACATGTAAAGTCTAGCTTCCGGAACAGGAGTACCAGGATCAATGGGGTTAGACTTGGCAGACCGCTGGTAAAAGTAGATGTTGGCGTACGAGACGAAGAACCCAAGCAGTTCTCCAATGCCAACGGCGCCCTGGACGTAACCGGTGCTGTAGGCTGGCCAGCCGTATAGACCTGTAAAGACCTCTTCGATGCTTTGAGTAAAGAGGTAGACAAGACCGACAGCAAAGGCGGACCACAGAGTAAGTGAAAACACTACCCACTCGGTGCAAAGCATGTATGCTGGTCTTTGTACCGACGTCTTCACGATCTGCCAGACAGGGATGTGGTTCAGTTCGTCGCGCGTATACGCTTTCTTTCCAGTCGCTGCACGAATCTTNTTGGCGCGCTGCTTGAGGATAACCGAGCCACGAGTCTCCTTGATGGTGAAGAAGAAGAGCGGGATGAAAGCGCAGTACCAGATGATCTGGATGTAGAAGATCCAGCGCCAGCTGAGAAACTGGTAGATGGCACCGCCGACCACAGGACCCATAGTACTGCCAAATAGATAGACGGTAATGTAGAGTTCCATGGGTACCGTCCTGCCACGGTCACCAGCCCAGATATCGCAGATGATACTGCTAATGGTGTTTCCCAGTAGTGAGACGCATCCGCCAGCAATAAAGCGTGTAACCACCAGTGTTGCAAAGTTTTGGGCCACTGCCGAAGGTACGATGAAGATGATCAGGACAATGTAGGATATCAGGTAGCCCCATCTGACTCCATAATCCTCGAAGATGGGTAGTAGGACCATCATGAAGACGCCACCACCTATCGCCCAACTCGCAATAGGCCAGTATGAGTGTGGAAAGTGTGCATCGCTAATGCCAAAGTCGCGGTTGTAGGCTTCGGCGGCGACAGCCATGGATGTTCCGTTCAAAAGTGCAATGAATGTTCCAAAAAGAGCCACCGATGTGAGGATCCATTTCTTTCGTACTGGCCAGTTGAANCCTTTACAGATATGAGTTAGCCTTATCTTGTCTGAGATGGTAAGTAGAACATACGGATTTTCCGGGTCGTTGGGTCCATCCCAATCCACGATTTCCACATCTGGGTCGAGTTCTTGGCTGGTATGTGACTTCTCGTTGGCTATACGCTGCTGCTCATCGACTCTATTTGCTTCTAGTGATTCTGAGCTGCTGCCACGCCATGAAGGCTGCTCATGAGCAGGATGTGCCGATTCTAGCATCTCATATGACGGCTATCAATGCAAAGGAAAGTGAAACTGTGAGGTGGACAAAACAGAAACCAAGCAGATGAATTCAACACTAGATTTTAGAAGCAACAAAAAGAGTCAAAACAAGCTCAAGAAACAAGACCGTGGGCCTTGGACGTATTTCACAGACGCTGCTTGACGAATGCTTGGGTCAGGGCCGCGTGAAACCGACGCGGTTATGCGATGTTTTGTATAAGAGATGAGGCTCCAAAGGCTTCAACGAGAAGTTGAATGCGGCGAGGAAATAGGCGTTTTGACATCATTATGTAAAAGGAAGAAGGGAAAGCTAGACAAGAGCCGGAACAACGGTTCACCGTTCAACCCTACCCTCGTGGTTTCCAGAGATGCCCGTAAGCACTGGTCGGTTAGATGGTCAATGGATGACTGGCGCATACACTTTCTTAGTTGCGCTACCCACACTGTTATCCTATTCGCATGATATACAACATGACCTCTGAGTCCTGAGCGATGCGACTTGAACGATATGGGTGGCGGAATAGAGGTTGGACGTCATCGGACACGACCTCAGGGAGATCCAATATGCCAAGTCGCACCGAATACCCTTTTACGGTTTAGTCCCATAAGATGTTGTTTACAACCAGTGACCTTCACACGCCTTCTGTGATGCCGTTCAAAGGTGCCGGCCGAGAGGTGATAGGGCCACGGTTTGCGTCGAAGAGTACTTGTTGGATGAGCATGTCTCTGGTAGGGCGTGCAAGCGTTGAGAAAGGTTGGTCACCAGAGAAGGATATTCGATGCGTTGAAGAAGGTAAAAGCTTGGCCTGTACTCATTGATAGCAGGTCTTGTTATAGACAGATTCTAGTCTGTCAACGTAGGATTTCGCATGTACGATGGACACGTGAAAAAGTAGCAAGGAAGTCAAGAAAGTCTCGAGGCAAGAGAAGAAGTGCAAGACGATGCATATAAAACTCGCAAGGCAGACTGAGAGACTTATGTCGCAGGCCAATGGCAAGCGACTTGTTGATTATAGCACGGACCTCTTTGAGATAAGCAGTATTCGAGGTGATTGACTGCACCTTTGACCACACACACTCTGATCAAAGACAACAAAGCAATGGCACCTCAACTAGAGAAAGCACTCCACCTCATCGACGAGGCCCACGCCCAAGACCCCAAGAAGGTCACAATTGACGGACAAGAAGTGCCGTACGAACTGCACTATGCTCAGCAGATGACCTGGTACCTCGAGAGACGCTCGCCCGATGCCTCAGACCCTCTCAAAATCGCCATCCGCGCACAGCACTTTCGTCGTTGGGAGGTGCCGCGCGACTCATATCCCATGACACGCATTGGGTACCACAGCTGGAGAACGTTCCTCAAGAAAAGACAGGCCCAGTTGGTTGCTCCCATCATGGAAGAGTGTGGATTCAGTGCCGAGGACACGCAAAAGACAATGGCCCTGATTGAGAAGCAAGGTCTGCGCGAGGGTGACAAGGACACACAGGCCTTGGAGGACATTGCTTGTCTCGTCTTCCTCGACGACCAATTCGAAGCTTTTGAAAAGACGCTCGACGAAGACAAGATCATCAAGATTCTGCAAAAGACATGGGTCAAGATGAGTCCCGAGGGTCACAAGATGGCTCTCGAGCTGCACATGTCGCAAAGATGTCAAGAGCTGGTTGGAAAGGCTTTGGGTGCTTGAGCTATGCACCTTAGATGTGTCTTCCTCCGTCAACACTAAAGTTGGTGCCCGTCACGAACTTGCCCTCGTCCGATGCTAGGAACACGCACGCATTACCCACGTCCACTGGGTCTGTCAGTCTACCCAGTGGGATCGACGCTGCAAACTTGTCTCTGTTCTCCTGCGTGTCCTTGACTCCAACGAACGACTCAAACAAACCAGTCGCAGACAACAACGGAGCAATCGCATTGACTCTGATCTGGTCAGGACCATACTCGGCAGCCAACGCCATGGTCGCNCTAAAACAAGTCAGCCAACTCACTATCCTCGTTTTAAAAAAAAAAACAAGACTTACGTTCGACACCGCCCCCTTGCTGGCATTATACCACACCAACCCAGGTCTAGGCCTTACACTCCCACTGCTCGAGATATTGATGATACTGCCACCCTCTCCTTGCTTCTGCATCTGCGGCACCACAACCTTGACACTCCAAAAGATACTCTTGACATTCACACTCATCACCCGCTCAAACTCGTCTTCCGTAACCTCTGCAGTCGGTTTATTTTTATACGTACATCCAGCATTGTTGACCACAATGTCCAGTCTGCCAAACTCTTTGACCGCCATGTCCACAACTCTTTTCCAGTCTTCGAGCTTGCAGACGTCCATGGATACACCTTTGGCATTTGGAGAGGAAAGTGAGGATACGCTGGATTCGGCGCCAGAGCCATCAAGGTCGCCGATGATGACTTTTGCGCCTTCGTCGATGAAGCGGCGGGCGATTGCATAGCCGAAGCCTTTGGGACTGGCTCCTCCAGTGACGATGGCGACTTTGCCTTTCAGACGGCCGAGTGAGGACTCCGAGGACGAAGACATTGTGTTATAATGAGAGGTTTCCTGGAGAGTTGTGTTTGTAGTGTTCGTGCCAATCCCTTTTCAACGGCTGAAATGAAAGAACAATTGACAGATCTGACTAGAGCTTACCTCTGTCTTGCTATATGTATTCATGGTGCTCGTAGATGAGGGGTCTTGCAAGGCGGGACATCCGAAACCCCGCAACGATCTTCCCTCTTCCGTTCTTGCACACACAGCTCCTCTTGTGACGATCTCTGTGACATTTCGTGCTCGAGAGCTGGAGATCTTGTCATATTTCATACTGTTATACATGTCAGCATGTCAAGCTCTTCACGTACGGCCTCCTCGTGTGCATTAGATTGTCATAACCCCTGATTGTCTCTCACGATGGCATGTAGTGGTACGGTAAGCTATGAAAAGGCACAAATGTTTCCAGACCACAGCTGTAGCCAGAGAGAGCCTGCGATATCCCGCCTCTCAATGGATACCATCCTGTTTCATGATTATATTGTGCATTTCTACAGCTACAGTTTAACAGTTTGGCATGAGTGAAGGTACGAGTACATGATTTCGTGGCTTCATTGCTATCTGCGAATATAGTGATTGTTATAGTACACGGCAGCCGCTCCAGCTAACTAGAAATGTCATCAGGTCGTTTCTTCCCTGCAGCCTTCTTCGATGATGCTCCTTCCCAATCCGGAACATGCCCTGTTTTCTCGACCCACTCAGCAACGGGGGTCTCCTGTATGTATTCCACCAGTGTTGTTCCTATTCTTCTTCTGTTTTGGGCTTGATATCTTGTGATTGCCCCTCCTTCTTCAGGTTCTCTTTCAAGGCGGCGGCGTAGTTCTCAGGCTCGGTGTGCTCATGCTCAGAACCAGACTCGGCAGCATCTGTGTGCTCGTCGACATTATCGGCGCCACTGCTGGCCTGCTTGTTCTTGTTCTTCTTGTTCTTTCTCTTTTTTTGCTTCTTGGAAGGCGAAGCATCAGTCGACTCAAGAGCGTTGTCCTTGGTAGGTGTGCCAGGGGTCTCCTGCTTCACTCTTTGCTTCAGCTCATCGAGGTTGTCGGCGGCCTCTTCCTTGATCTGCTTGGCGTCCTTCTTAGTAGGGGTCATCTTGCGCTCGAAGCTCTCAACGCGGTCACTAACAGGTCGGGTCGAGCGAGGGAGCTTGCCGTCCTTAAGGGCTTGAAGATCCTTCTTAACATCCTCGGGAAGGTGGCCAAGCTTGTTCTCGAGTTTCTTCTCAGCAGCCTTCAAGTCTTCTGGAAGATGACCAAGCTTCTTCTCAAGCCTCTTCTCGGCAGCCGCAAGGTCCTCTGGGAGATGAGCAATCTTCTTCTCGACTGCCTTGCCAGCGTGCTCGATTTCGCGGTTGGTTCCATGTGCAGCATCCTTGGTGGCGCGGCTAACGGAGTGACGCTTACTTCTCGACTTGTTTGAGCCACTGCGGAACAGGTAGGCACGGACGAAGAAACGAACGAAGAGGATGGTCAAAGGGAATAGGTAGAAAATGTTCAACCAAATAGCGAAGCTCTGGCCAGTGGTGTCAATGCAGTTGATGGTGGCGTAGTCGGTTCTGTAGCGGGTCTCCTCGTGGTACTTCTGGATTGCTTCCTGTGCTTTCTCCATGATGATATTTCCCTGCTTGTCGCGAACGTTCTCTGCAACACCCTCGTCGCCAGCAGCACGAAGGAGGATACGGCGGAGGATGGCGCCATAAGTCTCGGCAGGAACGGCTGACACAACGCTGGAGGCAGTCGAAGAAGCCTTTGCGACAGCAGAAGAAATGGGGTGGAAGATGCTGTATGCGGTCGCAATAGGAATGTCGTACTTGACAAATAGATGGATTGCGGCGTAGGATGCGCCAAAGAGGAATTGAGTAATCTGCATGGAGGTCAAGGTGCGCTTCAAAGCGTTGGGGACACGGATGTTGACGGCAGAGAGGGTGAAGTAAGTGTACATCAGAGTGTGAATGAACGAGTTGATAAAGACAAACATCCAGATGGGAGGGGACATGTAGCGGATACCGGCCCACATGCACAACATGGCGCCTGCGTGGTGGTAGGTCTGCAGAGTTGCGCTCCTCTTGCCCTTTGCGACAATGATGGCCGTGTCGACAACCTCGTAGAACTTGGACAGGTAGAAGAACCAGCCCCAGAATGCAAGGCCCTCGTTCCACAAGCGACCAACATCGGTCGAGTCGGGAGTGCCCTCGGGCAGCAACTTGATGATAGCATTCTTGGTCTGCCAGAGGTTGGAGGTTGCGTTGTAGTAGACAGCGTCGCCAAGGCCACGAGGGCCATTGACCTTGCACAGAGAGTCGGCAACACCAGCCAAGCCAGCGCTGTTGTCAAGTCCAGGCCAAGTGGCGCTGATAGCGCGACACATGGCGTAGAAGGTGACGCCGGAGTAGACAGCCAGGAAGATGTTGTGCAGGACGACGAAGACCTTGAAAGCACGGGTTGTGCTGATCCACCATGGCTTGTTACCCTGGCGTCTGTTGTATGCGTTGATCAAGAGGACGGTGATGACATAGGTAGACGCGATGGTGAGGGGGACCTTCACATCCAAGGCGCGGTTGTAGACATCGAAGTCAATGGGGAAGGGCGACTTCCAGGTAGCCTCGTCAGATGGAGGAGGGAGGGCGGCAGGGAGGTAGTCTGGCGGGAACTTGAACAGCGATCGGTCCGGGAGGGTGAAGTGTATCGAGGGACCGGACATGGTGATGATGGTGCGCACGCGACGCGATGGGTCAATGAGATGTAGAGGAAGGCGATAGTAATGTCGTGGTCGTGATTAACACAGCATGACCTGTGATCTGCTAGATCCGAGGATATGATCGATGAATGTGAGTGGGAAAAGGTTGGTCAAGGGCGCGTGTCGCGTAGAAAGGGAAGCTCTGCCTCCAACTTTTCGAGCACAACGTCACCGAGATCGTCCAGCACCTTCCTTGTTCGTCACACAGCGGCTCTGCACGAGCTGCTATCCCCAACACGGTAACCCTTGCGATTCTTCCGCTTTGCTCTCTCTCACTTCTACAGCGACGGAGGACGGTATGCTTTAACAGTACACAAACCCATCCCAATCATAATTGCGTCCAGTGAGAGCTGGTCTTTTGACGACTCTCAATGGACACTGCTCTACTTCCTGAAACTCTTCTGCATTTTTACAGTCGTACGCATGACTTCACAATACACGGGAGAGAGATCCACATTCCTTACTGCCAATGCTTGTAAATTGGAATACCATATTTCATAACACATTACCTACTCCTACTCGTATTGTACCTCGGTTCGTCTAGAAGCTCTGCTTCGGAGCTTGGCCCTTCTCGTCTCCACTGCCGTACTTCTTGACTGGTTCCTTGGCCGCGCTCTTGTCTTTGATGAAGTGCTCGACCTCTGGCGAGTCCATCAACTTGACCACGTTGTCTGCCTGCCACTTCTTGAATGAGAATCTAGAGCAAAGGTACGTTAGCCTCGTTCCTTTGGTGTTTTCATGTTGGTCTTGACGCACCCCNAATCCTTCGTGCGAGTAGTCCTTGTCGTTCGCCTGGTCCTTGTGGTACTTGACTTGGATGAAGTCCGAGTCCACGGTGTCGGGGTCGAGAGACAGCGAGACGAGTGCGTTGATGGTAGCTGTCTTGGGAATGATCTTGAACGTCCATGACTGCNNGTACATCAGTAACGGTCTATGCGCATGGAAGCCTGCCTCACTTACCTGCTCGTTCTTAAACTGGATCAAGTCCCTGTCGTTCTTGATGATCTCGTAGCGCTCGTTCTTGCTGGCCTTGAACAGCTTGGGCAGAGCAAACCATTGTCCGGCCATCTTGTAGCGGTCGTTGGCGTAGACAAACTGGTCATCGTAGACGCAGTCAGCGGTGTAGCGCTCAACACGTCTGACGGTAGGTTCGCAGCTGTAAAGAGCGATAATGTCATCGATCAAAGCCTGGCGCTGAGGGCTGAGCTTGATGGACTTTGAAGGGTCAGGGGTATAGTCCTCCGATGTCGAGGTCTGGCGAACTTCGAATTCCTCTCCTGGCTTGCTAGACATGGCTGCGGTTTGTCTGTAGATTGTAGATGTAGGACGGATGAAAGAAGTCTTAGGAACACTGGTAAGCGTTCTGCGTGAAATGGGCTGAAGGTGTGTGAGGAGCATTGCAGGAAGAGCAATGGTTCGAGATAAACATATTAACATTCGTGAGGCTCTTAGCTATTCTTTCTCTTACTGGCCATCCTTCAAGTCGTGACGTCGAGCGTTCTCAAAAGGATAGTCGCATATGCCATTCGATCCAATCTGCTTCAAGATCACAGTCGATGATGCTAACATAAGCTCTAAAGCTCTTGAGGTGCTTCTGAGGGCCAGGGCAAAACGCGGAGGACGCGGAGGAGCCGCTGTGATGCTGGGGTGATGTAACCAGACAGCTCGGAGATAGCATGGTCGTATGCCCGAGCAGGGTGATACGCTTAACCATTGATTTTGAGTTTGCAACTGACATCCAGACTCTATGCCAGCCTTTCTTTCTGTATATTTTGAAACGAAGTGGCTTAGATATCCCCCATGTATCTTCTGACAAAAGCACGAGAGGTTTGAGAGTGTACTTCGACACAGATGTGCAAATCCGATAGGATACTGAGTTTCGGTCAAGAGCATCACCCAAAACCTATGCAGTGTCTGCTAGTCAGCCATGACCAAACAATTCAGACTGCTAGACATGCGTTATGCTATGTTTCTAGTGCTTTATATCCAGGACCCAACTATGAGATATTCTTACAAGATACACAAAGAAACGATGCAAGAGGAGTCATTGATGGGGTGACAGGGCGTACGGATATGGAAAAAACATAATCATATATTGTGTAGGTACAAAAATTCTCACATCAAGCCTCGATAGTATAACGGCTAGTACGAAGGTCTCATATCGGTCATCAATATGACCAAGCATGGCTTGGGTAATCCTTAGATGGGAGTTCGATTCTCCCTCGAGGCATTCTTTTTTTTTTTTTGCTTTTTCTCCATGTCCTCGAATATCTAGCGACGCTTCTGCCCTCACTTTTGCTTGATCAATCTTCCTTCCCGCTTCTCTTCCGTCGCTTTGGCAAACCCTTCTTACGTACCGATCGAATGTATGATGGACAGGGGAAAACAATCTACCGGAAGTGTGTTTCAAATCCTTGACTGTGTAGAACAACAACAGCAGCAATCCAAGATTGTAGGCCGGCACCCGCAAGCGATCACTCCAACCTAGACAGCCCTAACAAATATCGACAACATCTCGTGTTCATCTGTCGTGCAGGAAATCTCGACGCAAGTAGCAGGAGACACGATGGATTGAGAAATCAAGCGCCCGGCTCGAGATCAAACCGCAATCTCAATCTCGCCTCCGCAAGCCACCTTGGACACTCCCGTCGTTCACGTCGTCGCGTGTTCGTGCCGCGAACAAACTTGGCGATGGCGAATGGCACTGCTGAGATGGATCCGGTTCCACTTCCAGACCATCCTCCTCAAATCTATGAAACCTGAATTGGCGTGCGAGAACCGTAGAGCCGAGTGTCCGAACCACCGTAAGCTTCGTTAAGGTTGTTTCGTGTATACAAGGCCTAGATGAGACGTGATCTCGGATCCTCAGGCTTCATCCCTTCTCTGTTGTTCTGCTCTTTACGAAATGTTAGGATAAATGGTAGGTTGTTTCCTATAGTTTTTCTCCTTCTCTTTCTTCCGGTCTTCTACAACATCCTCCTTTTCGCAAGATATCAGTCATTCTTTCAGTAGCCAGTCTACACCACACTCGTTCCATATTCGCTTCTATAAGGTCTGTGACCATCGATTGATACGTTTTCATCACCTTCAACTTCAGAAAGAATAAAATCAACATGTCTTCCATCAAGTCCTCGCCCTCCTGGCTCTGGCCACCGGTTTCGCTAGCGTTGTCAGTGCAGCAGAGACTGGTAAGACTACCCGCTACTGGTAAGTTCATATAGCAGTATGCACATCACTATGTGCTCCCCATCCATCGTAAGCACCATGCCAACATTGGTTCCAGGGACTGCTGCAAGGGCTCCTGCGCATGGCCTGGCAAGGCTGATGTCTCCGCCCCTATCACCACTTGCGACAAGAACGACAACCCTCTGACCGACGCCAACACCGCCTCTGCCTGTGATGGCGGTTCCGCATATATGTGCTCTGACCAATCTCCTTGGGCTGTCTCAGATACCTTGGCCTACGGTTTCGCCGCCGCAAACATTGCCGGTGGCTCAGAGGAAAGCTGGTGCTGCTCTTGCTACAAGTAAGTCAAAATATTACTTTGTGATTCCAGAGAAGGGTTATACTGATCGGCATCTCCAAGGCTGACCTTCACCACCACCTCCATCGCCGGCAAGACCATGATCGTGCAAGCCACAAACACCGGCGGCGACCTCGGCAGCAACCAATTCGACCTCGCTATCCCCGGTGGCGGTGTAGGCATCTTCAACGCCTGCACTGACCAGTGGAATGCTCCCTCTTCCGGCTGGGGAGCCCAATACGGTGGCATCAGCACCAACACATGCAGTGCTTTCCCCAAGGCCCTGCAACCTGGCTGTGACTTCCGCTTTGACTGGTTCGAGAATGCCGATAACCCTGAGATGGAGTTCGAGCGTGTTGAATGCCCTGCTGCTATTACTGCCAAGAGTGGATGTAAGAGAACCGATGATGGTACTCAGGCTTACCCGTCTGTTGTTGCTGCGGCTGCTTCATCGTCGTCGTCGTCGTCGTCGCCTGTTGCTGCTTCATCGTCTTCTGCTGCTGCTCAGAAGGTTGCTGTTGCTTCGTCGTCGGCTGAGGCTGTTTCTGTCGCTTCTTCTGCTTCTGAGGTCGCACCTGCTGCTTACTCTACTTCTGAGGCTGCTCCTGTTGCTTCTTCCGAAGCTGCTGTTTCGTCCTCTTACACTGCTCCTGCTGTCGAGTCATCTGCTGCCGCCTACTCGCCCTCCTCCGCCGCTGTCGTCGAGACTTACAGCACTACAAGCTCATCAAGCACTGCACCTTCGTCATCCTCCAGCTCGGACGATGCAAACTGCAACGTCCAGTACGTCTACGAGTACGACATGTAGAGCACTTGCAAAATCTCTTGCAAGATGTTCTGATTCACTTCTCTGTTGGCGTTGTCCTTCGTGAAAAGCCAGCCTTCTTTACTGTTCATTTTGGCGGTGTGTAGATTTTGTTCTTTATAGACGTGATGATGTTTGAAATTTGAGTCTGTTCTTCTCTTCTCATATTCTGCCTCTCCGATGTGATAACACCCCGTTTGTCAGGATTCGACGGATCTTACACCCAGCCGAAAATGCCTGTTGGGAAGCGACTTTCCATGCCCGAACATGATCTTTGCTCGAGTATCTTGTTTGCAAAATCTCAGGTACAAGACTTTTGAGGTGGTGCTTTTGGAAGCAAAAGCTATACAAGAAGTCGTAGAGCTGAGTTCCACCGATTGTTCGTGCTAGGTAGACGGCAAGCTGAATGAGTTTTGGTACATAATTCTCATTGACCTTCTTGGGCTCCTTTTCGCGAGAAAGAGGTCTTGATATCTCACATTCGCTCGGAGACCAACTGATATCCTATCATCAACGCCGTGCATATAACATCTTTTCCTATCCCATCCATATCTTCGAGCGAATATCCTTGGTCATTCGTACCCTTGAAAAACTCCATGAACATTGGTCTTTCATCTTCTCAAGCTTCTCATGAAACCTTCTACACCCTCATCGGAGACTCCTCTTCCACCAAAGCCACGGACCTCCTTTTGTGCACTTTCCACCTTTTGTCTGAGTTGTTCGGCACCAACATCAATTTGTTGCAGTTGACCGAGATGTGCGTTGAGTACGCGGACGATCTGGGAAAGAGGGTCCGACTCGGCGGTCTTGGACGACTTGGAGAGGTTGGTGGATGCAAGGTTGATCTCATCGATCATTGAGGTCAGGTCGTGAGACATAGTGGTCAGGCGAGCAGAGCAGCGCTCAGCAGTTTGGTANACTGTGGCAATGGTTAGCATGTGTCCTTTTAGGGAGATGTCGGAATATACGTACGTTCTCTCACGCTCAGCATCAACACCACTGTCAACACCGCCAGCCTTGGCGGCCATGTCGTCCAAAACACGCTCGTAATGGTCGAGCCAGTGACTGAGTTCCTCTTGCTGACCTTCAACAGAGGCAAGCTGACGCTCGACCTCGGCGGTGTCACGTTCAGCCTGGAAGGTACGGCTGTACAACTTGCTGATCTTGTCGCTGTTCTCAACCAACATGCGGTCCCAGGATCCAATCTTGGTAGCCAGGTTGGAGAATTGCTTTTGATGCGACGAAAGCGATGTTGTCCAAAGTGTGATGATCTCGTCGAGGGACTTGGAGTTGAGGCGCGATGTAGCAGGGGGTGCAGGTCCCGAGGTTGATGCGTTAGTAGGGCCGCTACCAAGTGAATTACTGCCGGCAGGGCCATTGTTAGAACCTGCAGCCGGTGCTGCTGAGGTGGTGGGTGCATTACCTCCAGAGCTTCCTGCAGCTGGTGCTGCGGCGGGCTTGAGACCGAAAGCGGAGCCATCGGTCGAGGCAGGTGTGCTAGAATCAGCAGGCTTTGCTCCTAGTGAGAAAGCTGGAGTCGATCCTGAAGTGGCGGTTGTGGAGGTAGGAGGAGGTGCAGCATCGTCCTTCTTCTGACCGCCCAAGTTGCTAAAGAGGCCGCCAGAAGGAGCGGCAGGCTTTGGAGCATCGTCCTTCTTGGCACCACCTAGACCACCAAAGAGGTTGCTGGCAGGAACAGCAGGTGTAGCAGCATCATCCTTCTTAGCACCCAGACCACCAAATAGAGGTGCAGCGGGCTTAGCAGCCTCATCCTTGTTTTGTGCAGGTGCGAAGAGCGACGGTGAGGAAGCAGGCTTGTCGGCAGCATCCTTGTTCTGTGTCAGACCGCCAAACAAACCTGCAGCAGGTTTGTCAGTAGCATCGTCCTTCTTGGCTCCGAATAAGCCAGATGTTGATGTGCCTGTCGAAGCAGGGGCAGCAGATGACGAGGCACCGAAAAGTGAGGGTGCAGACGTTGTGGTGGCTGATGCAGGTTGAGTAGAAGCAGGAGTCTGTGATGTGCTTCCGCCGAGTGAGAAGGCTGGTTTTGAGGAGTTGCCGCCCAGAGAGAAGGTGGGCACGGTGGCAGGGGCAGACTGAGGAGTCGATGAGGTAGCACCACCGAGATTGAACATGGGCTTTGCAGAAGCGGCACCTTCTGCAGGCTTTTGGCCGAACAACGAAGTAGGAGGAGCGGAAGAGGAAGAATTGTCATCGGCCTTCTTTCCAAACGAACTAAATGCGTTGTTCCCACCTAGAGGGGCACCAAAGGCAGACTTGGGAGCCTCTGCTGCCTTNTGCTCGGGCTGACCAAAGAGNAGAGGCTTGCTGCCAAAGATGCCGCCGGTTGATTGAGTAGGGGAGGACCAGCAGGTGTAGTGNGAGAACATGGGCTTGTTTGTGGCAGCGGGAGTGGTTGAGTTGTTTCCCAGTGAAAAGCCGCCAGTAGAAGCAGCAGCACCACCGAAGGGATTGCCCGTTGGAGCGACACCTGGGGTTGTAGGGTTGCTTCCAGACGCGGCAGGCTTCTGACCAAAGCTGAAACCAGAGGTAGTGGGAGTTTGTGTAGAAGGAGAGGGTGCGCCGAAAAGGCTTTGTGTTTGACCAGCGCCAGAAGCAGGAGCAGCGGCATTGCCGAAGCTGAAGCCAGTGCTTGCAGGAGTGTTTGAGGTACTGTTCAGAGAAAAGGCATTTCCTGACGACGAGGCGGGCGGGCCGAAGTTGAATTTGGACATGGCGATGTGAATTTAGTCGGGGTGATGAACCCGTCGAGGGCGCGTTGTTCGAGAAGGTGCTTTTGCAATCGGAGTCGCGGAGGGTTGGCGGATCGATGTGAGAAGGTGTGGGCAAGACGGCTCTTGTTGTCGGGAAGGAGCAATGCAAATGGCAGTCGCGATGGTCAGTTGGTGTAGAGCTCTTACCTAGCAACACGCAGAGACGCGACGCTTGGACGCTTCTGCACTTTCCTGAGCAAACAGGGCAAACACGGCGGTCGCTCTTTCCCTGACTGCTCAGCCTCCCGGACCCGCAGCTTCTCCACGTCACTCGTCGCTTGACAGCTGCTGCGGACTGCCCATCCAGATATCAGGCTGCTCCCTGCTCTTCTCTTGTTTCTGGTCTCTGATCTCGTTTCCTCTCCGTACTCGCCGTCTCTCCGCCTTTCACCCTTCAGTCCCTGACGCCAACTTCAACTCCCTCTCCACAATCCACCCTCCACACCGCCATGGCTCTCCAACCTCCGTCAGAGCCAATCGAGAATCTGAAGGACCCCGGTGCACATGAGCTGCCTGGTGTGCCCAAGATTACTGGTAATCGACTCGTACTTCCAGTTAGAACGCCATCTAATCCAACTACAGAACCCGAAGAGTCCGACGACCACTTCTCTGATGCCTCCGAGGGCACCGCAGCATACCCTCCTGCTTTTACTGGACGTAACCGCGCTTTGTCCATTCCTGTTACCCGCGTCGAGAAGGTAGACGATGAGCCCAGGCATGGCGAGGTTCCTGGCACCGCAGCCTACAATATCAGATCCCAGGACGCCGTCCCCGACGAGATTGAGATTGTCCCCGACGGTACAAGAAGCCGCAGCACTTCACACGTTAGCGAATCCGACAGACCCGTAACTCCTGGTGGTACCCCGGTCCCCCATCTTGTTGTCGAGAAGGTCGACCCCAGCGCTCCTAGCCATGGCGACGTCCCCGGCACAGATGCATACGAGATGCGAACTGCCGATGCTAAGCCTGATGAGGTCAAGCAGGCCCCTGCCTCATCAAGTGCACCCCTTGACCNNGTAAGTACACGATCCCACGAGTTCACGCGACCTCCTCCCCAAACCAAGCCTTCATGTTTGACGAAGAAAGCATCACCAACTCCCAATGACAGATCACTCGACCAACAAGAAGCCAACGTCCTGATGCCCTCTGAGACCCTCATTTCACAGGAATCACAAGAGACCTCCNCCTTCGAACTCCCCCTCCAACCCAAGATCGACACTACCACCGTACAACAAGTAGAGGAAAACGCAGACGACTTTGACGATTTCAACCAACCGCAAACACAAAACAACGGCCAAGCCGACAATGACGATGATGCCTTCGGCGACGACTTTGACGATTTTGAAGAAGGTGGCGCGGATCAGGCAGATGGAGATGAGGACGACGACTTTGGTGACTTTGACGATGGCTTCCAACAAGCAGAAGAAACTCCGGTTGCCGTACNNCCCCCTCAGCCTGTACAGCAGCCTCTAGCACACCNNTTGTAAGTAGCTCTGCCCAATACATAATTGCAGAAAACAAGTGCTTATCTTGTGCAGCCCAATCTCAATTTCGCCGATCTGCAGACTTCGGAAGATATACTGGACGCAATGTCGCCATACATGTCTGAACTCTTTCCCGAACTATATGACCAAGAAACTGCAGCCTTGGACGAGTCCGCCGCTATATCTACTGATCCCATCCTCACCGATCGTAGCGCATCTCTCTGGTCTCAACTTGTTGCACCTCCTCCTTTGCAACCACCCAACTGGATCCGCAGTCGCATCCGTCGTCTGTTCTTGGTCTCCCTCGGTGTCCCTGTCGACCTGGACGAGATCTTGCCTGCCAGCAAACAAAAGAAACTAGTTCTTCCTAACATTCACCTGCCAGAACAAAAGAAGGAAGATGGAAAGGCCAAACAAGATGGTGGCAGTTCTACTGGAGGAAGAAAGGGACCTGCGCCTCCGCCAGAATTCAATGCTAACGAAGCAGCCATGCTTGCCAAGACGACAGATACAGCGACTGAGGCCTATTCTGACGAAGAGCTGAAAGCACACGTGAAAAGGTTAGAAGAGCTGATCAAGGATGCAAGCACAGTGCTCGAGTACTGGATGAAGAGGAAGGAAAGTGCTGTAGGCGACAAAGAGGCATTCGAAGGCGTCATTGAGAATCTTGTCGGCTTTGTCAAAAGTAGGAGATGAGAATAAGGAAGACGTGAACATAAAAAAGTTAGATATCAAAAGCAATCGCAAGTTCTATCGGATTTCATCCCAACCATTTCTCGTGTCTTCTAAGAAACCATGATATTCGACACAGGACGACGAGGATCTGGTTAGCGAAAGGTGTAGCAGTGTGCGTAGGTAGATCAGGGAGTAATCCAATATCCGGCAAACTTCAGCCGAAGAACCTCTTCCTAAAGCATCTGCTCCAGATCGTATTGGTACGAGCAAGATGATCTGTCAAGACCATTCTGCGCGGGCAAGAAGAGAGGTTAAGTATGAATGTAGTTCTTTCACTTTTGCAAGTTGATGGTCGACAGCTCTCTCACAGCGATAGGTAGTGACGTTGACATAATAGAAAAAAAATACACAATTGCTTTCTAAATAAAAGTGTGAACACGGAGAAGTCCTGAAACACTAGAGGTATGTATCATACTAACGCTTGAAGTATACACAGTATAAATGGAAAATCGTCATTCCTGAAACTCACCCAAACCATTACTCCTTCTCGAACACATGCGTTGATGATGTTACCACTTTGGGACCAGAGATCTGTAATCTTGTGTGGTCAGCCACCTTCTCTCATCAGCAAGTGTAGGACAAGACACTTACTCGTTCTCTCTATCCCTTGTTCTTCCCCTTCCTGTCTCTCCCATCTCTACAGGCTCACTGGCCCCTAGTTCCTGGATCGGAGGTGTCATAGGCATATAACTGTGTCTTTGGTGACCATACTCCCACTGCTTGTGGCCATCCATAGGAACCATGTATCCACCATCACCAGGGCCATAGGAAGGTGGTCTCGCAGAAGGAGGCCCACCGACTGTGGAAGGCGGGTTTGTGCTGTTGACCCAGCTTTCTACTGCACTCGAGTGTTGAGAAGCACTGTTCAAAGAGTGCTTGAGCGTGCGGTGGCGGCCCACAAACCAGAAGAGTGCGCATGCGAGAGCGAGCACGACTACGCCTGCTACCACGATACCGGCGATTGCACCGCCGGAAAGAGTAACGCCGTGGTTAGAAGGAGCAGGTGTGGCAGAAGAGGAAGGGGTGGCTTCGTCAGGGACAGCCTCGCCGGGTTGGAGCATGATGTCTGAGCTGTTTATCGAGTCCAGCTGAGCTTGGAGTGAGTAGGTTGCGTTTTGGTTGATTGAGCCGATCATGTGGTTGTCTAAGCAAGAGCCTAGGCGTGAGCAGTAGAAGAAAATTGGCGCCGTGTCATTGACTGTAAGGTTCCATGTCGGTGGCNNTAGAGGTGACCTCTGGTTAGTATCTTCTCTTTCTTGTTAAGAGGGCAGCACGATACGACTTACGTGGTCGCTGCTAACATCACTGGTATTATACCAACCACTGAAAAATGTAGACCGGCCTCGATGATATGCATCCCTTGGAACGCATGGCTCTTCGAAGTTGGACTGTACCACTGTATGACCCTGCGCGATGAACTGGAAGACTATCACATCTCCAGGTTTGGCGGTCAAGTTATTTGGATGGTAAGAATGCGATTCATATCCAACCAGGACGGTTTGATGTGATGGAGAAGTGCTCATTGTGGCTGTTTGCGCGGCCGTGCCGTATATAAATGCTAGAGAGGCCACCAGGAGATAGTAGAGGCACCGCATTGCGGCTTGTGAAAGTCTTGCGNNCTGACGTTTCAAATTCTGTACAGGATGGAAGAGAGGCAGGAGGGCAGCAAGCAGGAGAAGANNGATGCAAGCGGGTACAAACAGCAAAGAGAGAAAAACAGGCCCACGGATTTGGGGCATGGGTGGAACATAGAAGAGTAGCATGACCTCTCACCAACTACGTACTCTGTGCTTTCTNCGTACTGGTTGCATATACGGTACTTGGGCCAACGACACTTTGGGCCTTGCTAAACAAAGTGACTTACTACGAAGAGGGGCTGATGAAAGCTTCGTCGAGCTCTTTCACACTGCTCGATTTAGCATTTACGTGATCCTTGTCCGGAGGCTCATAGAGTTGCTACTACGGATGAGCTTGACTTTGACATAGCCGTGACTTGACATGACACTTCAGCTCCAGAGAACCCAAGACTCGCCAAACGGTGTTGCATCTCCATATTGCAACACATCCTTCGGCTGGCTGAAAGTGGTGCTGCGGGTCAAATGTGATGGACGAATCCTGGAGGAAGTAGAAAGTACGAACACCCCACTTCCTGGTTGCCTGATTGAGGCCAAAAGAAGTGTGGCTGTGTGTACGAAGCAGCCTGCACAGCCAAGCGTGGTGTTTGTCCTTGTTCTAGTGTATGACAGTCACCGTCATGTAGAACTGAGTACGTCGCTGAGAATAGATTGAAGCAACACGGCGGTGGTGAAAAGTCGCGGCGTGGTTGCCGGAGAGCCCGTTGGTCAAAGTCATGGCCAGTTCATCAACTGGCTTTTGGCACGCGAGGTGTGGCTGGTAACGCATCGCGACGATGGACACTTCAAGACGTTATCACAGCTGACACCTGAGACGCGATGTTCATGTTGTCTACATGCAAGACGGCTCTGGAGTATACCATGCGACCGCGGTGGTCAACTCGTCTTCCTTATCATGATCCAGTTTCTGCATAAGTTAGAGGCTGTCCTTTGCGGACACTCCGAAGCCGCTCGTCTTTCTCCTGCTCGATTATGACTTGGACGCTTCATAAGACAAATCTCTGAGCATACCAGAAAGGCCAATGGCTGGCCTAAGCAGATCCCGCACGCCAGATTTGACATCGCAATTCCACTGACCAGTANCGCTGAGGCTGACGCGAGCTAACATCTTAGAGCTTACTGTANCAGTACATGCAACAAGGGACCATCAGCCCCACGCGATAGACACATGGAGCTCGTTGCACCAAGTGTTGGTCTCATCTACCCCAAGGGTTATCCGACACGCTCAATCAAATTTTTGACACTTGGTGACGATACAACGCTATCAGCGATGTTCACGAAGTAGCAAATGTCGAAATGTATCTAGGTCAAGTTCTTCCGGAGGCCATGATACTGCTCATACTGCATAAGAATCGTACATATGGGGAGCTCTGGTGGCTTGCGGCACANGTACATCAGTTCGAGATTCTTGACAAGGAAGATAGATAAGCAACCTTACACAAGATCTGTCGAGTTACAATCCTTCGCCTTCCTAGACCGAACAGCAGCCCGGANATCTCACACTTACGCCGCTGCACGTCCAGCCCCAGNTCGAGACTGTACCTTGTAGGGCTGATCCTTGTATACAGCATACGAAGCTCGGGATGANNACCGTGGATGGTCTAATTGCGGACATGACAACGCGTGNNTTCTGCATCAGCACCTTACAGCTCGATAGGGTGTAGTCAAAGGCGGAGCTTGAGCTTGAGCTCCAAGCTCCATAATCTTATCACGGCAGGTCTGTCTGGGATAATGGTCCAAGACCTCACCTTTGAGGCCTATGGTGCGAGGGTGGGTGTAAGTTGAGGTAAGCGCTAAATGGCAGCCACTGTTGCAGCCATGACTCTACAATCATGGTAAACAGATCCGGAAATTATCAAAAGTGGCCGGTGAACACACAGGTGAGCTATCTAGTCTCTCCTTCCGCACTCCCACGATCACCGACTTTTACTGTTCATCGAATCGACGCGTTGTCCGCACGACCAGAATTTGTGATTTTTGCAAAGACTAGAGAAAGTCTTATTTCGGGTCCAACATGGTCCAGCTAAGGCGAGCGAGGGGCCTACTTGGAGCTTTGCTCTTGTGCAGCTCGCGACTCGTACAGTCTCTAAGATATGACCCCAACGAGACAGACTGGAACCTCAACACCAACCAAGCAGCAACCAGTCCTCTGGACTACTCGGGAACATGGCAGGACCATACATTTCATCCATCTCCTGAAAACTGGCGGTTTCCGTTCTATACACTATTTCTCGATCGGTTCGTCAATGGCGATCCGTCCAACGACGACATCAACGGCACACTCTTCGAGCAAGACATCATGGGCACTACAATGCGCCATGGAGGAGATTTGGCAGGATTGGTGGACACATTGGATTATATTCAAGGCATGGGCATCAAGGTATGGAGTATTTTTCAGCGAACATGAATGGCAATTGATCGTACTCTAGNNGGTCTCTATGTAGCCGGAACACCATTCATCAATATGCCGTGGAAGTCAGATGCCTACTCGCCCATCGATTTCACACTGCTCGATCACCATTTTGGCAAGATCGCGGAGTGGAGAGCGGCAATTGACGAGATTCATCGACGTGGAATGTATATACTTCTTGACAACACTTTTTCAACGTCAGTATCGCGANTTTAGTTCTCTTTCCTGAAAGTTGTACTGACCATCAATTCTAGTATGGCTGATCTCATCGGCTTTGATGGCTACCTCAACGTGTCTACACCTTTCCTCCCAGATGAACACCAAGTCGTCTGGAAGACCGAGCGACAGTACCCTGACTTTGCGTTTGGCAACACTAAAACCTCAACATGCGAATTACCTCGTTTCTGGGACGAAAGTGGTAGTCTGGTACAGAAGGGAGCCAATTCTGACAGCTTCTCTGCTACATTTGACAAGCTCTCATCGCTTTCAAGCTGTTACGACAGCGATTTCGACCAGGTAGGCCAAAATGAACACTTCGAATGCTCCGCTTCTGACATCTGATAGTACGGCGATACTGAAGCCTTTGGTGTTTTCCCTGATTGGCAAAGACAGCTCTCAAAATTCGCATCCGTGCAAGACAGATTGCGCGAATGGAAACCATCGGTTCTAGATAAACTCAAGCATCTGCACTGCCTTACCATCTCTATGCTCGACATAGATGGCTTCCGTATCGATAAATCCACACAAGCTACCGTGGATGCATTGGCAGACTTTAGCCAGTCGATCCGTGATTGTGCCCGAAACAACGGTAAAGAGAATTTCCTTATAGCTGGAGAGATTACCGGAGGTAACAACTTTGGCTCTATCTATCTGGGCCGTGGTAGAGAACCCGGTCAGAAGATTAACGACCTAGGAGACGCTGTGAAAACCAGTAACGACTCAGACGACAAACTCTTCCTGCGTGCAGCGGGCAAGAGTGCCCTCGATGCTTCCGCTTTCCATTACAGTGTATACCGCCTCTTACAGCGCTTTCTGGGTATGGATGGCAATCTGACAGTAGGCTATGACATCCCTCACAACTTTGTAGATGGTTGGAATCAGATGCTGTTAACGAACGACCTTGTCAATCCTAACACCGGGAAATTCGATCCTAGACATATGTACGGCACTTCGAACCAAGACGTCTTCCGCTGGCCGACTATCAAAGACGGCACGCAAAAGATGCTTCTTGGTTTATTCATGACCACTCTACATATGCCTGGTGTACCGCTGCTCAACTGGGGCGAAGAGCAAGCTCTTTACACACTTGATAACACGGCTTCGAACTACGTGTTCGGACGTCAGCCTATCTCATCATCGCTGGCATGGCAAACACATGGTTGCTACAAACTTGGCTCCGATATCTTCCACGACTTTCCCATCGACGCAGGTGCCATTGGCTGCAACGACGACAATGTTTCTCAAGACCATAGAGACCCCACACACCCCGTCCGAAACATCATCAAGGCGTTTTATCATCTCAGAACCAAGAACCCGATTCTCAATGACGGATGGCTGTTGCAGTCCCTCTCAAACCAGACGCATAATGTCTACTTTCCAGGATCGAACGGCACTGCCACTGAATTTGGCATGTGGAGTGTGATGCGCAATCAGTTCTTCAATGGCGTGCAGAATCTTACAGGCACTGTAGATGCTAAACCAGCAGTGTGGCTTGTTTACCAAAACGAGGACCACACTGTTGACTACACGTTCGACTGTTCATCCAACGATACAGCCCTGATCTCGGTATTTGACGAAGAAGAGGAAGTTCGAAATCTGCTCAGTCCCTACGACACCATAACTCTCAAGCGCGGTCCCAAANAGCTTGGGATCGACGGCTCGGAGAAATTCAATGGCTGTCTTGATAAGCTCACCTTGAACGCATGGGATTTCAGAATATACGTTCGCAAAGCAGATTGGATCGAGCCCGCGCCAACATTGACGAGGTTCAACCCTGGTCATGATGCGCGAATTCTGTCTAAAGTCAACCCTGGCGAGAAAGAGTCTGTTGATGTTGAGTTACAGTTCTCTCAAGAGATGGACTGTGACTCCATCACAAAGAACATCGTAGTTACCTCGACCACAGCGGACAAAAGCAGCCCTGGCATCGATACCAAAAGTGTCGTCTGCAGCAAGATACAGGATTCTAACCCTCCGCCTTACGTGGGAGCCATTACTTCGGCATGGAGCTGGAAGGCTACCCTGACCGACGTATCCCATGGTGTGCACAGTCTGACTGTTCAGAATGCTTCGACGACCGGCGGTGTGTCTACTGGATCTACGGACCATGTGTTCTTCCGTATTGGACAAGCCGAAAATCCTATCGTCTTTCCTCGTACTGCCAACTACAGCAGCAACGTACTCTCTAAAGGTTCTGACGGGGCTTTACTTGTATCGCACCAAGCTGCAGGAGCTGATAAGTGGCGTTACTCGACCAACTGGGGATCCACCTGGAGTGACTGGCAAAACTATGATGGCACCAACTCGACCGTAAAGAAACAACCCTGGTCTGGTACGAAGGGTCAAAAGTGGACCGGCGACCACATCGTACTGCAATACTGGAACCGTGTGATTGGAAGCAGCACCCACATCCAGCACGCTGATGCAGACCAGAAGCAAACGCCTCGGCGGTTCCCTCATCTCTTTGCCAACGGCGACTTCAACCAGTTCGGGTTCGATGGTGGCCTGAAGAACGCTTTCGAGATGACCGACGATGCGTGGAACTTCCACCTCATGACCGAGTGGCCTCATCAAGTCCAGGCCAATGTGTGGGGCATGAATCCCGACGGTCAACCGGATCAGTCCTTCATTTATGGTGACATTGACAATGATACTGTTCTCGACCGATTGCCGCCTGACGCTTTGAGTCCTGCCCTTCTAAACATCACCGATTTCCCTCCCAGTCCCTACCTGGCGTATAAAATCAGTATCGATGACGCTACTTTTAAGTACAAATTTATACCTACCGGCAGTAGATTGGTACAAGTTCTTGTCTTCGCTCTTCTCTGGTCTCTTCCTGTCTTGGCTGGCGCTATCAGTATCTGGACTTACATGGGCGCTTTCTACGGTGTCAAGTTCAACAAAATCGGACTCTCTATGCCTAAGGGTATGCCATCGTTCTGGAAGCGCCACAAGTTCAGCAAGTTGGCCGACGACGATGTTGAGGAAGTTGGCCATCGCATGAAGCCACTGTTTTTGGGAAAGTCCCACCAACGATATGACTCTGCCGCATCAGGTATCTCCCTTGCTGCTAAAAAGGACAAGAGACGTAAAGTCATCATCGCCACAATGGAATATGACATCGAGGACTGGGGTATCAAGGTTAAAATCGTGAGTGCCCGTTGCTTGTGAGCATTTCCATACATATGATTATATTGCTAATGAATCACGGTAGNNGGCGGTCTTGGTGTCATGGCACAGCTCATGGGTAAAAGCTTGACCCATCAGGACTTGATCTGTAAGCCTTTCTTCTCACCAACTGAAACTCTTGCTGACAAATGTTAGNGGGTTATTCCATGTGTTGGCGGCATCGAATTCCCAATTGACCAGATTGCTGAGCCCATGATCGTAACAATTCTTGGAAACCCATACGAGATCCAAGTGCAGTATCATCAGCTCAACAACATTACTTATGTCCTACTAGATGCACCGGTATTCAGAAAACAGACAAAAACAGAACCATACCCGCCACGCATGGACGATCTGGATTCCGCCATCTATTACAGTGCATGGAACGCGTGTATTGCTGAAGCGATCAAGAGATTTGAGCCAGATATCTACCACATCAATGTAGGCTGACAGAACGAGATCTAGCTGGGATATCACGAATGCTGACAACGCTTTAGGNACTACCATGGAAGTGCCGCGCCTCTGTACCTCCTTCCAGAGACAATCCCATGCTGTCTTTCGTGAGTCAAGTCCGAGGCCATACTGCTCAAATAGCCACTGACATACTATAGGCTCCACAACGCCGAATTCCAAGGGCTGTGGCCTATGCGCACAGATCAAGAATCAGACGAAGTATCGCGTGTCTACAACCTGGATAAAGACACTATTCAAAAGTACGTGCAGTTCGGTGAGGTTTTCAACCTACTGCACGCCGGTGTAAGTTACCTGAGGGTTCATCAGAAGGGCTTCGGCGCCGTTGGTGTGTCTAACAAATACGGTGCTCGATCTTTCGCTCGCTACCCTATCTTCTGGGGGCTCAAGGAGATTGGCAAGCTCCCAAATCCTGATCCATCTGACACAGCTCCCTGGAGTCGTGAAGAAGAAGCGAACCAAGTCATCACAGTGGACCCAGCATATGAAGCCTCACGAGGCGACCTACGCAGACAAGCCCAAGAATGGGCTGGCCTTGAGGTTGACCCTACCGCCGAACTCTTTGTATTCGTCGGACGATGGAGCAACCAGAAGGGTGTAGACTTGATCGCCGACGTCTTTCCCAACATCCTCGAGAAGCATAAAAACGTCCAACTCATCTGCGTTGGACCTGTCATTGTATAATGCTCTTGGCTCAACAGCTATGAGATCGATGCTGACCGCTTTCAGGACATGTATGGCAAATTTGCAGCGCTTAAACTTGGCGTTATGATGAAGAAGTACCCAAAGCGCGTTTACTCGAAACCGGAGTTCACTGCGTTGCCTCCAGTAAGTCTTTATCACCCGCGCTGTCATTTTGTACAAGAACTGACGTTGATCAGTNTCATTTTCTCTGGTGCGGAGTTCGCATTGATTCCCAGGTACGTCACGGTACTCTCTTTCTTTTCCTCAAATGCTAGTTGCTAACATTCCATANGTCGTGACGAGCCTTTCGGATTAGTCGCTGTCGAATTTGGCCGCAAGGGTGCTCTTGGTGTTGGTGCTAGGTAAGTTAGCTACTCAGCTAACGAGGGACTAGTGAGCTAATCTATACNNAGGGTCGGTGGTCTTGGCCAGATGCCAGGCTGGTGGTTCACTGTGGAGTCGACGACCACAGCTCATTTGATGCATCAGTTCAAGTCCGCGATCGAAGATGCTCTGGCAGCAAATACAGAGGTGCGAGCGATGATGCGTGCCAGATCGGCCAAGCAAAGGTTCCCTGTTCAGAAGTGGGTGGAAGACCTCAACACACTTCAGAGCACAGCCATTCGCATCCATCAGCGCGAGGCGAACTATGGATTACAACCAGCTAGAAGGTCAGTCTCAAACTTCGGCAACGATTCGAGGGTTTCTCTAGCTCCATCGAGAGATGCCAGCCCGAGTGCCAGTTCGGTCTACGAGACTCAACCACGTACAAGTTCGTCGCCCTCCAACTTGAATCGTACCCTGTCCCTAGGATCAAGAGCTGGACCCGGTCACCATGGCAGACCTCCTCGCGTGCAGATCACAGATGCCGAGATCTCTGAGGCTGAAGAAGACCCATTCGGCAGCGAGTACAGCGTAAATGCAGAAGAGGAAACCATCACGCGCGAAGAGGCCGATACCTTTACGAGAGAATCGGACCGGACAGATGCCCTTGAACGACTCGAGGGCAGAAGTAGAGGCATGTCTTTGAGTGCACCACGGCCTGCACTTGTGTCAGGAAATCGTTCGAGGTCACCGAGCCCAGACCCAAGAGACCTGCAGCGAGGCAGGAGTCGAAATCGAGGCTCCGGGCCATATCTATCTGTCCAGACTGGAGAAGGAACAAACAGAAGGGCAGGCGCCGATAGCCTTCTTCCGACAGCCGAACCACGCGATCGCTCAAGTTCTCGCCTCAGCAACTCTTCGAGGTTGAGCATGTCTTCGCAACTCGACTTAACGTTGGTTATTGGTGGTAAGAAAGATTACAACTTGCAGAAGATCGAACTTGACTTTGACGACAAGACCGGCGAATACTACCGCGCTTTTGAGACGATGTTGGACAAGCTCAATGGCAAGACGTCCGAAAAAGATCTCTGCATTGAAGAGTATCTTGTGGAGAGTGAAAAAGCTTGGTTCAAGAAGTATCGCGATGCTAAATTAGGTAGATCGCGCGAACGTGGATCAACTGCCAATCTTCACGGCACCCCTCGGTTGGTTTCGCGTGGTTCTCGAGGATCTTCTGTCGACGCTGACGAACGCATGAGTGATGGGGAAGGCTCGATGGAGGACTTCTTGCTTGGAGACAACTACCAGCGACCCTCCCTCGTCAAACGCTGGATGCTTACCCGACTTGGCGATTGGCCCTTCTATTCGTTCTTACTCGCTCTCGGACAGATTATGGCTGCGAACAGTTACCAAATCACGCTGCTTACAGGTGGAGAGGACCCTAAGCCATCGATGATTTACACGATTGGCGGCATCTACATCGCAGCTTCCGTTGTCTGGTGGCTTCTCTTCCGTACGATGAAGGCTCGATTCGTCCTCTCGGTACCTTTCGTTATGTATGGCATGGCATTCCTGTTCGTCGGAATGGCTCCATTCCTTCCAAAGGGTGCTGGCAGAGATTGGATGCGTAACGTGGCAGACGGTGTCTATGCAGCTGCTTCGGCCAGTGGAAGTCTGTACTTTGCACTCAACTTTGGAGATGAGGGTAAGTGGAAGCAGCTCCTGTGATCTTGTCTTGACTAACAATCAAAAGGTGGCTCACCAATTTCGTCATGGGTTTACCGCGCCTGCCTCATCCAAGGCACTCAACAGCTCTACATCACCGGTTTATTCTACTGGGGACGTACGATCACCCATGCCACGCCAAAGCAGAAAACCGAGAGCGACACGCTTTCCTCTTCGCCTATCATGGCTGCTATCACCCTTCCAATTGCAGGTCTCCTATGGTTGATCGCGCTCACCTTGTTCACGAGTTTGCCAGCCTACTACCAACAGCGTCCTGGAAAGATTCCAAGCTTCTATAAGACTCTTGCTCGTCGCAAACTGATATCCTGGTTCTTCGTCGCGGTGATTCTACAAAACTACTTCCTCTCGCCGCAGTACGGTCGCTCTTGGCAATATCTCTGGAGTTCCAACTATGCTCCTGTGTGGGTGGTAGCAATCTTGGTTCTCATCTTCTTCATCATTGTCTGGTCTTTGATGCTGTATGTCTTCAGCAGACTCAGCAAAAGCCACAGCTGGATTTTACCAATCTTCGCAATCGGTCTCCTCGCTCCCCGCTGGGCACAACAGTGGTGGGGTACCTCTGGCTTCGGACTCTGGTTGCCATGGATGCCTGGTGGTCCTGAAGGAGGTGCAATAGCTGGCAGGGCTCTCTGGCTCTGGTTAGGCGTTTTGGATGCCGTGCAGGGTGTTGGCTTCGGCATGATGCTGTTGCAGACTCTCACACGTATCCATATTGGTGTCACGCTGATCTCAGCACAAGTGCTGGGTACAACGGTCACACTCATTGCAAAGGCGACCGCGCCAAACAGAAATGGTCCTGGAGATGTGTTCCCTGATTTGAGCGCTGGTGTGATAGACGCGATCAGTAAGCCTTGGTTCTGGATTGCACTAGCTTGTCAGCTTGTTATTCCGATTGGTTTCTTCAGTTTCTTCCGAAAGGAGCAACTCTCGAAGCCTTGAGTTGCTGTTTCTCATGCAAAACCGAGAATGTTTTCTACGCAGGAGTTTTAATGTGGGAGTGTTAGACTATAAGCTATATACAATGTCTCAATTGTTGTTTCTCCGAAGCTTTGCAGTCTCCAACAGACCAGAGGTACGATTCATGCTTTGGTCTGAGCAGCGCTAGGGAGTAGACATGCCCTTTCTGCTCTCGACAACACTTCCAGTCATGATTGTAGGAATGTACAAAGTATGAAAATCCTTCAATTATCGATATCAAACCAAGAACGCCTGAGTCAAGACTGTATACTAAAACCTATCGTGTGCTTTTGCAGCTCGATTTGTTATTATCTGATCATGCGTAAGTAGACCGACTTCTTGTCATTATGCTAACAATCGATTCCGGGAAAAATGAAGCCACATAATTAATTAACTTCGTGGTGAACCAAGCGCATGCTTTCAATAAGATCAGCATTCTCCAGCTTTCTCGTGCAGTGAGCGTCGAAAGCATCACCGCGATTGATCGCATCCCTGTACCCCTTCCACCTTTTGAGTTTGATATGCTCCTTAACGAAAACCTCCACTGTGGCATTGTAAAGTGACTGATCAGCTAGATGATGAGCCTCGGGTCCACATAGTTTCGTAATCGTAGGAAAAATATGGTGAATGAGGAAGGCTCGTCTTTTGGTTCTCTCTAGAGCAGAAATGAACGATGTGAGAGCAGCTTAACGGACAGCACGACAGTCATACTTGTCAGCCATAGTCAAAACGGCGAGATCGTGTTCGAGCACTTGAGTGTTGTGACCTAGAGCATGGGAGCTCTGAGGATGAAATGTGTTTTGTGGATGTTGGTTGTACTTCATGCCGTACATGTGCTTACCATGGCGATGACTGCTTCGAGATTGCAATCGTCGTCATCAAGGGAGAAGATAGGGTTCGTAGCTACCTTGTTATATCACAGTGTTAGAGATGCACCAGGAATGATGACTGAATAGGCTCACGACAAGCTTTGACATCAACGCGCCGTTGAAGAAGGGCGACCATAATCGCAGCACGACTCGATGTGCGTAGATTTTCTGGTTGCGTAGCTGTAGGATGATGTCCGAATCCTGAGGGTCATTGGAAAGTTGGATTTGACTATCAATCTCCTCAGATACGTGGTATCAGGAGTCTCAATATCAGCTTACCAGTCACTTTTGTGACTTGCCATGTCTTCATGACTTGCACCGTCGTCCTCTTCTCCTTCTCTTCCTTCTTTCTCTTCGGTTTCTTCTTCCTCGTGACTCCAAATAGTGAAGGGACGTAGAAGAGAGTTGAGAGGGCGTGACATAGTTGCAGAGTGCGCAACAACCTTGCTGAGATTGTCGTATTTACAGAAACGAAAAAGAGCCACAGGCCAAGTGGAAGCCTCATCATAGTTTCCAAGACGCAAAGGTGATAGCAGGTGGACGTTTTGAGTCGGACAGTGCTCGCTATCCAAAAACTTGTTTGATCATATCGCACGTTCGCACGGTCATACCATAGAATCGATTGTCAGCGGAGCCAGTAACACTTTTGTAAGAGTAACAGCAAAACAACATTGTGCTTCTGTTGGGTTAGAAAACGATCAATCTGGATTGGATCTGGTATCCAATTTGGGCCCTTTGGGTCGTTCTCGAGGTAATAGGCTCAGACTTGACTATTGTCATGCTGGTATCTGGCAATATCCCGCTGCTTGTCATTCGCTGAAAAGCGCGTCTGATGTTTGCCGTTTGATCCAAAGTTTGCTGAGATTGATTGTAGTCTTATAGGCTTCTGCTCAGGATGCGAATATTTCAGTCCTCGGATCAAAGGTAGATTCAAGATTCCAAGTCTGACTATGATAGTCGAGCCTATCATTTGTAGTCTTATGGATAGAATCAAACATCATCCTCCACTTTACTGGTTGCTCACTGACCTATCATTACAACCAACGACATGTTCATCAACTTCTCCCAGATACTTTGTTACAAGCTGGCACATGCGAGAGATAAACTCCTCTTCCTCCATCACATCAGGAGTTCCTTTCTGCCAAGTCAGAGAAATAGTAGTATCGCCTCCTTTCTTCGTGACGACATTGAAAGCAAGACAGCTACCCGTCATATTCGCCGGTTGAGCAAAGAGCATGGACTCAACGCCCCAAGCACCCTCTTGCGAGCTTGCCATAGGATCAAAGACTCCGAGATTGCTTACTTCGTATGAACCGTCTCTGTCCTTCTCAGCTTCTCCTTGCATCCAAGGGCGAAATTTGCTGAGGTAAGATAGTAAGCCGATCGGTTGGTCATGTAGAGTGCTGGCGCACTTGGCAAGGTCCTGGGTGGTCTTGCGGGCTGCTATCCAGACTGGGCTTTCGCTTTCGGTATTGGTCCAATCCTTCCAGTCTTCAAGTTTGCTGCGGCTGGAGAGTTCAAAAGAGGCGGTGGGACCTGGGCATGCCATATCGTCTGATTCGATGTTTTTGAGTAGGTGACGCAGGTCCACGACAGTCAGTGCAATGAAACTTCCAGCACGATTGCCAGTAGAAGTCTTATTGGGCAAGGTTTCGCTCAATGCTCGAACGATCACTTGAAGCAACAAACTAGTAAACTTGACATCATGGGCTCCGCAAAGCCGCAGAACTTGGTCCATCGTTGTGNNTGGGGAANNAATATTGAAGAATTCCAGTCCTGTAAAGAAACTACAGCGGTTGAAAGGAATCCTTGCGCCCTTCCAAGCATCCGCAGATTTGGGTGTAGTCGAAGCACGTAGGCCCAAGAATTCGGCGATATTTTCTGGAAGGTACGCATCAAAAAGAGGGCTCAAGAGAAAGGACCAAGAGATGGCCAGCTTGCCGGCTTGTTCGATCGTAGGTGGCAGAGGAGTTGATGGCGCTTCGCATACGAAGTCTTCGTTGAATCCATTCTCTTGTGTGTTGAGACCTTGCAAGAACGTCTTGTGGAATGCCAAAGCAGAATTGGCATCGCCGTGAGAATGGTAATATGCGAACAGGACAAACAGTCTTTGCGCGGGAGGATGNTTAGCCTCACCACGGCTAGGCAGAGCAAAGACTACGACTTTCCATGGCGGAATGCTGTCCACAGAGGAAAATTCGCTATCGAGAGTACGAGTAGTGACTTGGTATATAAGCTGTTTCTCTGACAGATTCGAAACTCCAAGCTTGAGATGGTCCCTATGCAGGACTTCGATATGGTTCCGCAAGTCCAATGCTTGCGGTCTGACGAAAGCTAGTGATTCGGTATCCTGACCCTCAATGACGGCGCTCAAGAGTGGATGAGTCGCAACGCAATGTTTCAAGGCCGGCACAAAAGTTTGCTGAGAGATTTCGCTGGGCTGATTGTGCTTTAAAGTGTATACACCACCGATCGCAAGTGTGCGATAGTATCTGAGAGATCGACGAGTGATATATCGTCTTTCATTGTAACCTGGTCTGTTTAGACAGGCTTGACTTCGAATGATTGGGTGCGACATACCTGCAGGACGCAAAGGCGTCATCTGACTACTAGATACCGGCATCGTCGAGCAGTAGAATCTAGGAGGTCGAGAAAATCGAGGCAATTGAGTAGCAACTGCTTACATGAACTATCCGCCAAGGATGTTGAATGCTGTGGGATTCACACCTTATTCGAGCATAGGCAGCGGCATTCCGTTTGAGAAGGAGGACCCACTCGGGAGGGCATCGTTCCGAAGGTTCGCAATTTCCCTGTACGACAACCCTTCCCACCTGTCTACGGCATCACAAGGATCAAGGTCGAATCAACCATCTGGGTTCACATCATTGTGTTGTTGAATGAGCGTACGATCAGGATTCTGGCAAGAGCGACACGCGATGGAGACGACGTGTTTGGAACCCCGCGTCGTTCTCAACAACTCCCGCGGACCCAACCTCATCCCAGCCACTTCTACTTTCTTCACAATCAACTATCCTCTTTCATAGGGTGGTTGTTATCACTATGATTCTAGACGCTCGACAGCAATGCGCCTTGAAGTCACAACTGTAGCAATGTTCTATGAGCATCATCTGTCTCTCGGATAGTAGAAGAGTGCAGACGTGCTCTGACACCAGTATTGATACACCAAAAGCCATATTTACCTAGTACGTCCCCTAGCTCATCTCAGTGAGTTTGTCTTGTCTACCGGTTGAGAACCAGTGCATTCTCGAAATGACTTGAGATGGCTGTCTCGAAGCTTCAAAGACATGAATTTGCGCCTGTCTCAAATTCCAAAAATGCGGTATGTATAATTACTTGGTCGTATGCACAAACAGCAACTTCTTGAAAACCAGCCATCTTTCCTCTTCTCATACATGTATCGTCAACGCCAAAAGTCGTCTTCGTCAGCTCGGTCTGATCTTTCGAATCGCTCATTTCTCTCTGCATCACCCGCTGCTAGCCCCAAACCGATCTGTTCTCTCCCTTCCCCATCTGTGTACGGGAACTTGTTGTCTCCGGCCGATACTCCTCACAAGCGCAATCGTTTCAAGACACTCTTCTTTGCACCCTCTATCAGAGATTCTGGCATCTCGCTCAGCACACCTACCTCGGATCCACGGTTTCCTAGTCCTCTTACACCGCCTTGCTTCCCCATTCCTAGCATACCAGTCGACGAGAAATCTTTGGTGCAGAAAGAACTAGATTTCTTGGTAGACGAGCTTGCTGCCAGATACGCTTTCCATTACCGCAGTGACTTCAACACTGCACCAGACCGCTGCGATTCGCCAACTCTTGGATCTTCATCTGTTACTATGACTTCGAGGCCGCAGTCACCCTTGCCTCCACGCAGGCAGAGCAGTCACCGCAACAGTAGTAAACCTAGAGCTCACGCTTCATCACTACCCGGTGCAAGCCATCTCAACTCCCCGGTCGACTTCTCCAAGCGCGAGCTCGTTGTCAGTACAAGATCAGGCGACGTCAGAAAAACCAGTCCTCGCCCGAAACCTGCCATCAACTCATCTTCACCTCTACTAGGACTGCCACAAGTATTTCGCCGCCTTGCAATCACAGACCCCCATATCAATGGCCAACCAATTCGCTTCTTGTCACAAGACTACGTGGCCGGTGCAAATAGTCTACAAGTAGGCAGCTGCACATTCATGAATCTGCCTTATGGTGCGGATGTCGAGTGCGGTTTGCGCGTCGAACCAANNAGCTTCCCTCGCACTGCTTTGAAGACTCAACTTGTGATCTTGCAAATCGTGCAGAGGGTTGTTAGAGTAAGAGATGGAAGCAGTGTCTGGCTTCTCTGCTCCGAAGTCGATGTTTCTTCTTCGTTTACCCGAGAGGTCAGCGCAGAATTGGCTCTCGCTGCTTCTGCTTCTTGCTCAAACGCCAGCAAAGGAAATCAAAAGCAGCGAAGCAGTGACGACGATATCTGGACTTCCTTGGCTCAGCAGCTAGAAACAGATTCTTATGCCCCCAGCACAACTCGTCTACCCACTCATGCCACCAAGCCCAGAGACCCAAAAGACAGAAGATCAACACCAGCGCTATCGGATCTCCTCTCTCTGCTAACTGAAGTCCGCTTCCTGCACCGTCAATTCTTCATCCTCTCACCAAAAGTGTCAAAGACAGGGGACTTGAGCCTGAGCATCCCATATCTATCCAGCAGCCTGCATACCTCTTTACTCTCTTTATTTTCCCCCAAAGCCCCACAAGTGGAGAACAAAAAGTTGCAAAATCCTCATAGCCACGATACTTCTATCTACACAGCTTCACTCCATCCTGGCACTCCTCTGACCATTTTCATCAACACAGCGGTCTCACAGGCAAAATCTTGGCTTGGAGCGTCAACCTCCACTCCCACAATCCTAAGAGAAGTCCTGAGTTTGCCGCCAATGGGGAAAACCAAGGAAGGCATGCAACAAGAACAAATAGGAATCTATGGCGTCAGGGTAGGAGAATCTTGGGGTGAGGGTAGACAAGGCTTGGGTTGTTGGGTCTGTTTCTTGGTGCCCAAGGGTGTGGAGAAGGAGCTTTGAGATATCATCCAGAGGAGTTTGTGCTTTACTTGTGTTTGTTGGTCATGTTTTCTTGGTATAAAAGTGTGAGCACTTGATCCTTTCTCTCAGTACCAGGTCATCTGCGAAACTAGTGTATAGGGAGCATGTGGTCAACTCCAATATCACACCTTTAGATCGACTACATCTTCAGCCTCTCACAAATTTCAACCATCGATCTCTCCAAGCCAGCAAATGGCACTATGGTATGCTACAACAATACACAGTTGTTTCCAGAGATTGAAGGATAACCACAGAGATTGGTCCAATGCGGCATCTCTCCTGGGCAACACTGTCTTCCAAAAAGTACTTCGCATTCATATAGCTATACTACAACAGTCTTTGCCACGCGGGAAGAGAAAGGCAGGAGTCAGAACTGAACAGAAATGGTAAAGAGATGGAATGTGGTTTCATCGTCTACTGAGTATTTATGCGAGGGGTAGCATCGCCTGTCGTTCCGTTTCCATCATTTCCATATAGAAGTACAGTCCCACTGGCTGTAGCATGACAATTATTCCTCTGTCTGCATACGACACTCGACCGCCATAACTTCTACTCATTATCTGTCCATGTGCTTCTCCTACCAAATCTGGACACTTCAAGGAAAAGGAGCACCGCCAGGCGACATGAACATGCTCATGTCTCCAAGCATAGCCACTTCTCCAAACTCAGCGAAGAATGGAACGAAGTTAGGAGGCACGCCGGTACCTTCCTCTTCTTCGTTCTCGTGAGGAAGGTTCAGGAATGCGAAAGCAACGTGTCCACGATCAAGCGCATGGTCAGTCCACCCTTGAGTACGCTCTTCAGGCTTAAGCTTAGCAAAGTCGTCGGCAAACTTCACGATGTGAGCAGCCAGTTCAGCTTTAGGAAACTTCGGCTTGGTTTCCCAGCCCTGGAAGTGTTCGTGAGGCGGCTTAGGTTGGACAGGTGTGTTGTGAAGGCGTGAACGATTGAGCAAGCATTGCCAGACATCATCTTGGTCATCCGCAGGGATCNNCATTTTTGCCGTTTCCAGCATTGTGTGGCCCAGCACGATGGAGTCCGCAAATGGACGTGAAATCTCATGCATCGTGAACCGGGCGATCCAATGACTCTGAAAGGCCCTAAGGCGAGCGGGAAACAGGCGGTGGTTGATACCACGAAGCGTGTGGTCATGCAAATCCCGAATAGTGTCATAACAGCTTTTCAGATGAGGAAAGGTCTTATCCTCAAGTCCAAGTCTCATGACTGTGTACAAGCAGTCAAGCACCAGGCACAGTACAGCCATCTGCCACGAGTCTGGGATCGTTGCTTGATAATCCTCCTCTTCGAGCTTCTCAAANGGCAACAGACACAAGCTAGTCATTGTTCCATGTATGTTAACATGTCTGGTGACAGAAGCATTGTGCCATTGACCCGTGATGTTCAGTTGCCAACCCACGCAGGCAAGATCGGTGTAAGAGTGGATGAGAGCAGGGAGAGTAGGTGTGCCCTGCGACAAGGTGTTGTCAAGGTGTTTCTTTTGGCTCTTGAGGAGATCGTAGAGATCCCACCCGACAGCATCGACAGATAAGATACGTGGCATATGCTGATCGGTAACCTTGCGAGCGATGTCTTTGTCTACACCAAGGACGGAGATCTTCTTGCCGCTACCAGTGGGGAAGTCGAGAGGGGCCAGCAATCGGACCTGCCTAGCCCTTCGCTCCTCAACAGTTAGGTCCGGGCGGCGGGCAGGGTGAACCTTCCAGACAAACTTGATCTGAGTGTCGACCTTGACTGGGACATGTTCGACGGGCGAGTCCTTGGCTCCTGAGATGATGTAGATGGGCTCGGAAGGCCACACGTGATAGGTCAAACGCAATTCTCGCATAAGGTGTTTGAGATCAACCAGCAGAAACAATGCATGAGTTGCTCTGTCCCTGGCCAGATGAATACCAGCAGGACAACAAGCGCATACAGTTGGTCCAACATGAGCAATGGTAGCTTCGATAGCAGGGTCCTTGAATACCCTCGCAGCTTTGCCCGTAGCGACGGTGGGCAGGAAGCGCTTTCTGTCGATTTCAAAGGCGAAAAACTTGGAGCTAATCAGAGCAAATTCGTTCTGGCTGTGCAGATAGACGGTAGCATCCCGGTTCATCTGCTTGCTGACACGCATGATGGTAGTGTGGAACTTGTACTTGTAACCTGGCCAGGCTCCATCGGTCGAGTACTTGACTTTGGCGCCGAGCAGAAGGAAAAGAAAGGGAAGAAGTATATACTTGTCATGGAATGATTATACATGTCAGAATTCAGTGCTATCCAGAAGGTTCTCAGCGGTTACGTGCAGATGCAAACGACAGCACGGCAGAACTCCCACATCAGAGCGGAAGCTCATGAAGTTCATCACAATGCACAAACAATTTCTACCATGCAAACATGGCCACTCAGAGCAGTAGCATAATGAAGAACAGTGACTTTATGCTCATTGAGATGAATCTTCGAGGCATAAGAAATACAAGCCCCTGACGAGAACCACAAAGCTCCATCATGAGTGGAGATGTAGACCCAATGAGATTCAGTCGGGATGTTGCTCGAAGATGCATGTGGTGACGAGCAAAGAATGAAACAGAGACAGGTCAGAGAGATCGGCCAATGATGGCTTCTTGGCAGCGGCTCTGCGGAGGAGAGCGCAAGGGCCACGTTACGAAAGGAGAAGTGGACCTGCATGGTGTAACGTGTTTCATCGAGCGTGTCGGAAGAATGGAAAAGTTGCTGGCGGGCATCTCCTGTACATAGTCTGTTGTTTTAGAGAAGATTCGAAAAGAATAACTGGTGCATGTCTGTTACGCTGTCGGCCGATTTACTCGACGCGCATCCCCGGTCCCATATTGTGGATATCGATAACAATTCGCGGGACGATAACATCCGTCTGGACACGTTTGGCTCTACGAGTAGGGAGAATAGAAGACCGCTCCGCCCAATCGACGTAGGTGCAGCCAACTCGCACCACTCGCGCCCGGTAGACATCAATCTGAACCCCTCGCCGTCTCCGATGCCCAGGAAAGCCAACGGCGCCTCTAGCAGACCTAGCAGGGCGACGGGCTCTGCTCCCTCGTCAGCTTCATCCATCGACGACCAAACCATGTCTGGCAACCTGCTCGAGCAACGGCGCAAGCATGCCTCGCTCGAATCTCCCGACTCTGCCACAATGACGGCCAACCTCATGAGCAGGAGTTCCTTTACTCTCGACAATGCCCCTCCGCCGACGACCCATCCCGAGGCCGCCTCCAAAGGCTTCACAGATCTCCCCGAGCAGGACAAGCGCAACTTCTTGTTACTAGTCTTGCTATACTTCTTGCAAGGCATTCCTATGGGCCTGGCTAGTGGCTCGGTTCCCTTCCTCCTCAAGTCACATCTCTCGTACGGTCAGATTGGTGTTTATTCGCTCGCTTCATACCCCTATTCGCTCAAACTACTATGGTCGCCCATCGTCGACGCCGTCTGGACACCCAAGTTGGGCAGAAGAAAGAGTTGGATTCTCCCTATCCAGACAATCAGTGGCTTTGGCATGATCTGGCTCGGATCTCACGTCGAGGAAATGATGGTCAAGGCTGGTGAGAATGGCGGCGCAGGCGTCTGGAACTTTACTGGCTGGTGGTTCGCTCTGGTCCTGATGTGCGCTACTCAAGACATTGCTGTGGATGGTGTGTAAGCCCTTGGACATCCACAGACCCTGATACTAACATGTTCTANNGGCTGGGCCCTTACCCTCCTTTCGCCGTCCAACCTCTCCTACGCCAGTACCGCTCAAACCGTGGGCCTGACCGCTGGCCAGTTCCTCTCCTACACCGTCTTCCTGGCTCTCTCTTCGAAAGATTTTGCAAACAAGTGGTTCCGCAGCGCTCCTGAAGAGACCGGTCTTCTTACCCTGGGTGGCTACCTAAGCTTCTGGGGATGGGCCTACCTCCTTGTGACCCTCGGCCTCGCTCTGCTCAAGAAGGAAGACAAGACCAAAGAAAGAGATGGAATCATGGAGGTATACAGAGTTATGGGCGGTATCCTCAGCTTGAAGAACATCCAAACATTCATCGTCATCCATCTCATTGCAAAGATTGGTTTCCAGGCAAACGACGCCGTCACCAATCTCAAGCTTCTCGAGAAGGGCTTCAGCCAGGAAGATCTTGCTCTTACCGTTCTGATCGATTTCCCCTTCGAGATCTCGCTGGGTTACTATGCTGGCAAGTGGAGTGAGCAGTATGCTCCCATGCGACTTTGGTGTTGGGCTTTCGTAGGCAGACTTGTCGCTGCTGCCTTTGCTCAATTTACTGTCATGATGTTCCCCAGCGGCGGAACTAACCTCCCATACCTCTGTGTCGTCATTGTCGAGCACGTCTTCAGTACCTTCATGAGCACCGTCATGTTCGTCGCCGTCAGCGCTTTCCACGCAAAGATTGCTGACCCTCATATCGGCGGTACCTACATGACTCTTCTCGCCACGTAAGCCCTCCCTCTTCCCTATCAATACCCCAATACTAATCTTACCCTCAGTGTATCCAACCTCGGCGGCACCTTCNCCCGCTTTTTCATCCTCAAATTTGTCGATATGTTCACCGCCGCAACATGCACACCCGCCTCGATCGCTCCTCCAGACTTCAAAGGCGAACTCATCACCAAACCCTTCTCTTGTGCCCTCGAAAACGACCGCCATATTTGTGTCAACGGCGGCGGAACCTGCAATATCACCACTGATGGCTATTACATTGTCAATGTGCTTTGTATCATTATCGGTGTGGTTACTTTCTGGGGTTTCATCAAACCCAAGGCGCTGCAGTTGCAGAGTCTGCCTTTGAGGGCGTGGAGGATTGCTGAACAATAAATGGATTGAGCAGTCAAACATTTGCATACTTGCATTTTCTGAGAGAGCGTCTTGTCTTTGGAGACTTTTGCAGGATGAAAAAGGCATTGTTATTCATTGAGCATCAGAAACGCATTGGCTAGAAAGTCCGCCATGTACACACCCATTCTTCTTCTCTAAGATCTGATCCATACCCACTTTCCCGGTTCGCCTGTTTTAATTTTTGACCTGTAAGTGATTGTGATCGACTCCCCCAATCGGCCGCCACCAAACAGAAAGAGCGAGAGCGAATCGGCAACTTCTCGCTTACCATTCGCAGAAGAGTTCCTGTGTCTCAAGAGAGCGAAAAGAAAATGCAAAACATACAGCAGCAGGGATTCCCACGTGGTCACCCACCGTAGTACTAATCTGCCGTTCAACTGCTTATGTATGGCAGAGCGGACGGNNGATGCCCAGTTTTCAGCTGACTGTGGCCGTATGTGTCTGATCCGCTGTTTGTTCAATATATATACACATCAAATTGGTAAGTCAGACGCGTTAAAGTAAATGTGATCGAAGCATATCTCCAACGAGAAAAACAACGTTCAGCGTGATGGAGTAACTTGTTTTCTGCGGTCCTCATTTGCACGTTGGCAAGTTTGAGCATGTGACAAAGGCGAAAGATAGAAGAACAAAAGAGAAAGTTCCGTCATTCATACATCATATATATCATCATCATCAGGTTGTGATCATCCATCCATCGTACATCCCATGGAAAGAACCAGAAAAAGGAAGAGACATTCGGGGTATCATAGTTGTGCTCCGAAAAGAAAAAGCACCCATCTGAAGTGAAGAAGACAAAAGGGCAAGAAGAAATGTAGAGCGCTGATGACCTCGACCGGCAAGGATGTCGGCAATGTGGGCTAAGTCCATCATCGACGGATGCTTGCACTCGAGGCATCAGAAACGTCTTCTCGTGGCGATTGTAATGGCAAGTTGTAGAATGACGAGAAGGCCATCTTTGCCAACTCGAAATGTGCATGTGCATCCTTGACGACAAAGCTGAGAATCTCACAGATCTGACCAAGGCCGATCCCTGTGTAGTGGAGGTCGACGCCGTATGCCAGAACACTCTCGATGCGAGCACATGCCTTTTCGATTCGTGTAAGGCCCAATACCATTGACGCGCAGCGAAGTGATTGTGTGCTTGTGTTGAGTTGCGAAAGATTTATGTGTGTNACTACGAGGAAGTCAGTAAGGGTTTGTGATACAGAGACGAAGATCGAAACATACAGGCTTTCCTTCATTGTGGCCAACGTCTCCGGAGCCATGACTAGATACTCGCTCACAACATCCTTACTGAACATCTCAGATGGCGAATCGAGGTCAAGTAGTTCCTGGAAGATGTTCATGTCCACAGAACGGCCAAGCTTCTCCAGTGCTAGTGCTTCTACTGTCATGGCTGGCTGAATGTTGTTGATAGGTTGGATTAACAAAGAAATGCTTCTACGTTTGGCGTGAATGCTCGATGGTTGGTGGACTGCCATGGTGGTGTGAATGGTGTTTGAGATTCTGAGTAGGTTTGATATGAGACACGGAAAGAGGTAAGGAACAGCCAGAGCAGAGAATATATCCTGAGGTGCCCCTGCTGTGATTAAGAGGGGTTGACTGATACTTGCAGAGCGCCACAAACTGTCGGGATACTGCCAGCCCTACTAGTGGTCGATCTGCACCGAACGTGCGAACGCCGTCGAGCTCTGGGCAAGAGGTGGACCATAGGGTGCGAGCCGGGCGGTGCAGTGGCTTACCGCATGACCGTTTCCAGGCCGGCCTGCTGCGGTCTGTGTGAGATGCATATCTGAGGGGTACTATACACTGGCAAAATGCGATTGTCAGACGATGGCATTCTGTTCAGCCGTGCCACCTAGCATTGGTTTTGCGGTTGCCTCGTTCACGATACTGAATAACAATACCAGGGTTGAGACCTGGACCGGATATCAAGACACGTCTGATTCACATGCCAGATATAGGGCTGTCTCATCTTGGCCAGGCAGTGAACCATGCCTTCGTGCTAACAATGGTTATACCCAGGCGAAGACCGACATCCGAGCAATCTTGACTCATGGAAATGGTGTTTTCATAACGAGGAAGATTGCCACATAAATCGTGGCAGCGAATCAGATCTCTCGCGCAGCGCGTATCCGTTATGTTTGGGGCTTCCCGAGTCGAAATCGAGATGCATCTTTTGACAGAGGACGTTCCTGACGGTCTAGCCCAGCCTTGAAGCCGGTTCCTCGGATATGGAATCTTTTCTTACAAGATTTCCTTCGAGACCCTGATCTGGACCTGTGTTTCAATCAATTTGCGACGAGTGACAGGTTGCAAAAAGGTTCACCGGGCGGCAAGGTAGTAAACCGTTTTCTGCACAGCACAGGAACGGGCAGTCGACCGGACTGTGGACGGCTTCGAAATAGTTCGAGCTCACAGCCCTTGTTCATCACGCTTGATCTGTATACAGTGCTGCAAATCGGCGATTCTGACACCAAGGAGACGTGCATGGTTGGGAAAGAAGCTGTGAAGCAGAGATGAGAGGTTGGCAGCCGTGGCCTGGGAATTTCTTCACAGGTCGAGAAAGAACGTTCCAGGCTTTGGACCCTTCTTTGACTCTTCTCCGGGCCTCAAGCCCGAACAACTTCCCTCTGCTAAGGATTGCAGACAGTATCTGGACATGTGCTGGCTGTTTACAACAGTTGTAACTTGTAGGCGTTTGCATAAGCAAGTTGCTCACATGTAGGAATGGAACGACAGCCACTGCTGCTCACCCCGATCGGCGAGTCTCTTTGCCAAGCACCATGCTTACCTGTACGTGCACACAGCTGGTAACTTTGCCCCGACCTGCCTCGTTCTTGTGGATCATCGTGGTCTCATGGAGAACTTGTTATTACAATTCCAATCGAGTATCTGCGATAAGCGCCATACCGCAGTTGCACTCCTTGATCGTCAAGAAGGTCCAAATTATCAGACCACATCCAGACCACCTAACGTTCCCCGAGCAGCAAGCAAACGTCGAGGGGTCCTCCCCAGCGTGAATTGCAAACTGCTTGTCAGCCGTATCAAACGTGATTACTATTCACCAATGCAATTGATCTCCTCCTGCCACTTCCTTCGAGCCACGCGGGCATACCTCCGCCGCCGTTCGTGGCTTGTACCACGTAGACACCCTTTTGCATCCTGCGATTGTGATATCAATTGGAGGCGCTCGCACAAGGATATGGAGGTGAAACCCTATCGGTCAGTCGTGTCAGAATCTCGAAACATCGCAAGCCAAGCTTTGGACAAGGTGCTGGATGATTTCCTGTGATCGAAGATGAGCAATAATCAGTGAGCAAAGGTCGTCGGTTCGAGCACAGGCTGAGAAAAGCTTTTTGAACCACCCAGCTTCCGAATCGGCGAGAACCCCGCACATTTCGCAGTCCTCTGAGTGCCACCTTTCTGTTCAGTACACCATACAACAACTTCATACCTACTCGAGTATCTGCTTCTCAACTCAAATTTCTCGTTCAGTCTCGTTACGCCCCATATCTAGTAGACAATGTTGACCGGTATCGCTCACGTAAATCTCATCGTGCCCTCAGGCACTCTCGACGAGGCAGAAGCATTCTATGCCAATACTCTCGGCATGCAGCGGGTTCCTGTCCCAGCTTTGCAAAAAGATAGGCTCGCATGGTAAGTAACATGGAGATATTCACCTGCAAACAGTAGTGTTCAAAGACCAGGCTTACAAACCATATCAGGTNTCGACATCACGCCAAACGGCCAGCAGGTTCACATCGCGTCCGGCCCACCAAACGAGGAATCATCTCGCCATCCTTGTTTTCGTGTCGAGTCACCAGAAGCTCTTTTGAAGCTCCAAACCCGCGTCTTTGAGCATTTTGAGGCCGGCGGCCAAGGAGCTCCCAAAGCAGCTGATAGACCTGGAGAAGAGAATTCAGGTTTGTCGACATCCAACACAGTACGGCTACAGGCGACCCCAAACTAATGTGTATGGGATANNGGCTCAAAGGGCGTGGAATATCCAACCAGATTTNTTGCGAGAGATTACGCTGGAAATAGGCTGGAATTTAGTCTGTGAGAAGCTTTTCTTGACGGGCTATCCATGCGAACTGCCTCTCGACATGTCCAATACATTACCCACTGGCTGCTATCACTCCTTTGGCACATCGGCTGGAAAAGAAGCAGGCTGGGGCCGCGCATGTACTTTCCGCTATGGGTGTGGGGTAGCGGCAGATACACATTTATCCAGTGGGGTTGTCCACTTCTGATCATGCAGACATGGAAAATCGTACTTGATTGTTTACAGAGAAACTACGATTTTCACATTTTAGCCGCCAAGACGATGATGGGATAGCTGAGGGGATCCTTGAACGATGCCGGGTACCCGGTATACCGCCATGAATACCAGCAGCATCGTCATTGATGCTCCTAGCAACACAGTATAGATGCGAAGCTATATAAACACTGCAGACCACCCATGTTCAATGTGCTGGCCTCATAAAACGATCTCTGCAGCCTCAATCATCTAAGGTATGATGAGGAACCACGTTCTTACCACATGTTTTGGCCTGCTTGCTTTGGGAAGTCAAGTCTATGCAACTCCCAGCCCAAACCAGCTTGGGGATGTTCAAATTCTAGCTGCTGATGACTTGANNTCAGTATGTGTTCTATCCAAACACTGGGGAGCTTCTTGTACTGACAGCCTGAATGAAGCCACAGACAACAGTACTACGAGTGCCGCACTGCTCTTGCGTAGCTCAGTCACATTGTCCTCGGCGCTCAATGCATGCGAGTCTTTATCCGAGAGCTTATGGTCACCTTCTATCTTGCCCTACACTGCTGGTCTAAACAATAGTCTTGCATACGAGGTCTACGGTGGACGTCTTGCTAGCAATCAGCTCATGTGGATTACTCAGTCTCACTCCACTTGGCCGTCAAAGCATCTTGGGCCTCCAGGGCCTCCTCATCAAGCACCAGAATGTCAAGCGATGGACGTTCATGGACAGATCCATCAAATCAGCTGCAAAGAGAAACTCCCAACACTATGCTCCCAAACCGCACCCGCGTCCAACATCACATACGCAGACAACTCTCCGCCATATCAGATCTCCCAATCTGTTGGCTCGCAGATACTTGTTGGATACCGCGACTTCTTAACTTTCCGGTTCATGGGCGTTCGATTTGCTGCCGAGCCCAAGAGGTTTACCTACTCTTCTGTTTATGAAGGGACAGGTACCAACAGTGCTCTCGAGCCTGCGCCTGAATGTCTGACGTTGCCAAACAATGGCTCCACAGACTGTCTGTTCCTCAATATATGGACGACTGGTCTACCTGGGCCCGGTAAAAAGGACTTGAAGCCAGTGATGGTCTACATCTACGGAGGTGGGTTCACAACTGGATCCGCAAGTAACCCTACGAACGATGGCGGCAACCTAGCTGCGCGCGGTGATGTCGTGGTGGTCGATATTGCGTATCGTCTGTCTACACTGGGCTTCCTTGCTCTCAATGACGGTGTTCACAACGGCAACTACTTCCTCTCTGATCAGATTGCTGGTCTGGAATGGGTTCAGAAGTATATCGAAAATTTTGGAGGAGACCCAACTCGTGTCACCATCTTTGGTGAGTCGGCAGGTGCAGAATCTGTCAATGCTCTTATTGCTTCGCCCAAGGGTAAAGGTCTTTTCCATGGAGCGATTTTGCAGTCAAACTATTTTCAACCCTATGTCCCGTTGGCTACTGCAATCAACCAGACCACGGTTCCTATTCTCAGTCAGACAGGTTGTACTACTGCGGCCGATCAGTTAGCGTGTCTCCAAGCGTACAATGCTACCGCGTTGATCGGTCTCAAGACCGTCTTCAAGTAAGTCGATCCAAACATGCAAAACACTTTTTACTCACGAATGTATAGCTACCCAGTCGTCGATGGCACATACCTCGTATCCGACTTCATCGACCTTAACAGCACGACCAACATTACTAACCGCGTACCGGTAGTCATGGGCGTGAATCGCGATGAGGAAGGCGTCCTTGGAACAGTCTACCCAACCACAGACTTGACCACTGGCATCGACGACATCGCTGCTGCAAACCACCTAAATGCCAGCAGCATCCTCGATTCTGGTCTGTTCCCTCTCGGCACCAGTCGCACCAACAACGCAACCCTGGATGTCTTCAACACCACCACCCGTATCTCCACCGACCTCTCTTTCCGCTGCGTCAACCAGTTCGAGGCCTATGCAGGCGTAAAAGATGGCGTGCTGCCCAACATCTGGTTCTACGAGTTCAACCGCACATACCAAGACCCAGCATACAATCCCAATCTCGTGTGTGCCGCTCCGGTCACCCCTTCCCATCCTTACGGCGACCCTTCGCAAGAGTACTTCAAATGCCATGCTGGAGACCTCGCAAACACTTTTGGCAATGTTGCTCGAGTCGGCTTTCCTGATCGTGATGGCTTGGATGCAAAGTTTGGGCAGCTGATGACTGATTACTGGACTAGCTTTGCAAGAAATCTGGATCCGAATCCGGATGTGGAGTATTTGAAAGTGAGAGGATATTGGAATACTATCAATCAGATTGAAAAGTCGGGGCCTTGGGAGAAGGTGGGTGCTGCTCAGCCGAGGATGATGGAGTTGCAGTGGAATTCAGTCATGATGCCATTCAGAGATGTCGAGCAGTGTGCCGTCTTGGGCTACCCACTAGATTATCTTACTCAGTAGTAGTGAGAGGTGACCTACCGAATTTTCTTGATCACGGCAGTACAGTGTTGGGCATGTAAACCAAGTTTCAGTATGAATGATAAGAGTTTGACATTCCAAAACCATTCCTCAAGATGGCATGTCTTCCAAAAATTGCAACATCAGCAATGATGCTCGCCAAATCAGAGCACCACCACTACAAAAAAATCCCAAACTTCTCAAGGACCTCAAGAAAACGCATCCTTCTGATCAGCCCCCTCAACCGGCTTGGTATATCCCAATCTATCCTTGTTGTAAAACTCAACCTTGATCTCATGGTTAGCAGCTCCACCATCCAAACTTCCACTCTTGACACAAGTCATATCAGGCATGACCTCCAGCTCGGTGTACAGAGAAGAGCCACAGGTGGAGCAGAACCAATGCTTGTTGATTTTTCCAGAGTCGCCGACGGCATCGTAGTCCTTGGGCTTGCCCTTTGTGACGTTGAAGCTCTTGCGGGGGACGACGATGTTGGAGGTGTAGGCGGCGCCGGTCCATTTTTGGCAGTCGATGCAGTGGCAGAGGGCTGTTACTGCTGGTTCGCCNCTGGGAGGGTGAGAGTCAGCAAGAGGTGTAGATAGCTGAAGGGCGAGATGGCTTACGGTGTACTCGTAGTGGACTTCACCACACATGCAGCTGCCTTTTGCCATGGTGAGTGTGGTGTCGCTGCTGTGATGGGTTGAGCGGAGTGTGTTCTGTGGTAAGAGCAGATGCGGGGTAAAGATCAAGACGCCGAGATCAAGCACGAAGCAGGGTTGAGCAAAGGCGATATGAACAAAGACTGAAGTCCAATTGAAGAAGGTATGATGGTCTATTTGAAGACTCACCCCCACTTACCAAGAGGTGATATTTGGAATAAAGGCTGGCTTACCCCTCATTGACCGCTGTGTAAATCAGGATGCCGCCTTCCGTCTCACCGGCGTCCAAGTCCACGGTCAGCTTCGAGACGATCGCCGCTCAACAGGGCGCATCTCGACTGTTCAAAGGGATCGGGTGTTGCCAGCCTGCCACGTGAACATGTTGAAGGTTTCAGGAGAGGCTCTTGCTGAGTTGAGCAGCGACTATACCTCGGTCAAGAAGACAGGCCGACCGTGTCGTGTCCATGGCTCAGATCTCCAAGAACTCAGAAAATACTCCCCAGACAGAAGATTAGGGAACATGGACCTTCTATACAGCGCAAGGAAGCGTGGGGCCTTTGGGGCCTCGTCTTTGGGACCTCTGGCTTCTGCTGCCTCGACCGGTATGCTTTGCTGCTCGAGCTCGTCGACGGCGACTTGGACGACGAAAGCAAGCGGACAGCGAGTTGTCGTGATACAAAGCAGAACACATGCAGTCAGATGGTGATGGTGCGCAATGTGCGGGCTTGCAGATACGCATGTCTCGAGATGGCTCAAGGTCGTGTCGCACGCCGTCTTCACCAGAGACCGTAGCCGTGTATGTCAAACATCCCTCCTCTTTTATACCCTGGCTTGATAACAAGACCATTGAGAGTCGACATTGCTGCATTGTTCGTTCGAGATGATCGTGCTGGGCGTAACAGCATAGGGCCCTGCCAAGGTTGTCATCGAACGCGTATCGGTTCTGGGTCGCGCGTGCAGAGATCCTTGGTGGCAGACATATTCGATCGGAATAACAGGGCAGCAGGCGCGATTGATGCTGATGTTTTGACGCTGAGTGTCGTGGCTGCCACCACAAGAAGGAAAACATTCGTGTCGGAATCTGCCGCGAAGTCTGCAAGTGCGAAGGCTGGTTTCAACCCAACCTCTCCTCTTGCTTGCCAAACAACATTGATAATGAGGTCTACCTGAACACTGGCCCTTTCCACCGCTGCGCACGAATAAGCGATAGTCACAATGACTTCTTCGCTGCTCATGACAGTAATCGGAAAGAGTTCATTCAGGATGCCGTCCGTTTGTGTCTTCTTCATAGTCTACCCTTCAGATCTGCCATTTTCTGCCATAAACTATGTTTATCTAACAGAAGTGATCAATCATTGGTCCGTGTCTCGGATACAGCTGCTCTTCCGCTCCATTGGTAAGAGAGTCAGTAAGTGAACTCGGGTTCATACATGCAAGTCTTCTTCCGTTTGTGCCTATCACACCGTCAGTTTCACCCATTATAAAGATGTCCCATCCTGCACTTCTCGCAGCCTACCGCACTTTCATTCTCCCACTTGCACTGGATCATTTTCTTCTTTCGTCAGTTCTCCAAGTTCTATCATCTGCCTCGCTTCAATCGCCATCAGACGCCTGGACAGTGCCACCTAGGCTCTGGGTTTCACTGGAGCTTCTTCGTCTCGGCGTGTGTTCCCGACAATACTCTGGTAAACAAAGCCAAGTCCGATTGTCACTCTCACTCGCATGCCCTCCACGATAGCACGCTCGCTTACTGCACACGGATTGGTGACCCATCTACGAGTGAGTCTTCTTTCCTTTCTCTACCTGCTCTCACCCCCGTCGCGCGCGCAGAACTTGCTTTCTTCTCTTCGCTACCGCGCTTCACCTCTCACGCCCACTATCGTCCTGAAGCTAAATCAAAACACAGGTCAAGATGGGCTCGAGAGGCAGCGCGCTCAGCGTGCAGAACGTCCAGGACTTGATCAATCACATCGCTCTGCCGCCTCAGTTGCCACAGACCGCAGAGCTCGACTCATCCACTATCAACAGGAACCTTTTGCACCTTGTGCAGGATGTTACAAAAACCTTCAACCACCGCGCCTGTACTGCCTGGACTCCAGTCTCAAAAATGCTTGCGATGCTGGACCATACCGAGCAAGCAAAATCACTACGCGACGATCTTCTCGGCGCTTACTTGGTTGCATTGAACCCTGGTGGTAAGTCTCACGTCTGGCCATCCAGACCGGTTGACTAATACGTCCTAGATTGTTTCGCCCTACATCTTCCGCTACACAATTCTGCTGTCTTGATGTTGCGCAAGGATTCCGAGACTATCGTCGTAGAGACTTTCGAGGTCTCTTCGACCAACGACAGCGTCATGAGCACGCAGGGTCGACTCATCAGAACCTTTCCCGGACGAGCCGTAGCCTGTCCTTCGAGCGAATTTTTCGACCCATCTTTCCAGTCGCAATTGCAGCTCGCGCTTCGTAGACTTGCCACTGAAACACCTACGGCGAACTACCACCCCACTTCAACAAAGTCTGGTGCCATATTACATGAAGAACGAGACACGACTCATCCTGGCTTCGTGAACGATTATCTCATGACCATCTTGAGTGTGATTGGCAAGGACCATGCCTCGATCACCACGGACAAACGTGTGCGTGATGACATTCTTTGGCAGAAGACCAATCAACCTTGGCGTAGAGCACCCTTTTGGCTCTTCCTCAAGGTCGCTGTGCTGCGAACGCTTTCGACCAGCTTGAGTCCTGCAAAAGCTCGTGAGAAGTACAAACAGCTGATGGTCGGGGTCGTTTCTCGTCTGTTACAAGATGCCTGTAAACTGCCAGTCGGTCCCAGTATGCTCTCCGTCGTTCACGCCAAACTCGCAAGACGTACATTCAAGTTTGAGCAAGCATATGGTGGATTCAGTGATCTTGCTATCCAAGATGTTTCTAAGCAGGCTCGAGAAGTCCTTGAACAAATCTGGTCGCGCCATGCCGGCAAACACAACACTATCGAACGACTTCCTGGGACTGGATGGGAAAATGACACATACTTGTCTTTGACGTCCAGTGCTCGGCAGGCATTGGGTCAAGCTATTGCCCCTCTTACTTCGCCCAAGCAGTCATCGGCGTTTGTGTCAGAGTCCCCGCAACGTATTGCCGAAGAACCTAGCAAGCTTCCATCGTTTACCGCACTACGAAGTGTCAAATACTTGCTCACAGCACTCACCGATGTTGAGCTTTGGGTGGAGANNAAACACCTTCATGCCTGGACAGCGCTTCAACTGAGTTCTGGCAGTACTGCTGCTTGTAGTGAGTTGGCGACACTTATCGAAAGCTACTGGAACCATGCTTCTTCCGAGTACAAGAACAGCCCACTCGAGAAATCTAACGCCTTGCTCGTTATCACGGAACTTTGGGTCACCCTTGACAAGATTTGTACTCTGGATCTTCCTCTCTTGCTGGAATATCCTCCAGAGGTACCTACGGTTCCCTTTCAGTGCCTCTTGCTGCCCAAGATCCAGCAAATGCAACGTTTATCTGTCGTGGAACTATATATCAACCAACGCCTTTCTCAAGCTTCCCGTCCTGCGCACGGTGCCTTTAAGAATCTCACTGCGCTCAGCTTTTCCAACCGCTACTATGACCAAACACCTTCACTCCAGCGATTGCGCGCCACAATTGTGGAGGAGGATAGAAAACGCAAAGTCGCGAAGACTCAGCAGCTCGACAGAGAGATGACGAAGTACAACCAGCTCATGACTGCGGTCGCCAACATGGAATGCGATCAGTTTTGGAACCGCAAAGGCTACCAATACCATGCCAAAAACCGTTGCCGCAAGTGTCTAAAAAAGGACAAGGCGAGCGCGATGAGAATCGATGGCTTCGAAGAATCACTTCCTCAAAACGAGGTACAATTCAAAGCTGCCATATTTGAAATGAAGATTCCTCAGTCCTTTGCTGCTTGGAGAGATGCAACTTGGCTCGTTCTCAACGACATGGGTCAGACCCGCCATCCATCTGACCAGGTCTACGTTACGTTGTCCGAGTACAACCAACTGAAGCAGTACGTCACCCTGAAGACCCGCATCACGCTGGGTTCTAAAATCAAGCCGGCACTCAGTTCGCACTACAAGAGCACCAGTCTTCCAACTAGCATTGCGTCCATCTGTCATCCGAACGGTCTCAGATACGAGGTGTGGGATTGTACTAGTATGAGATGGGCGATGTCGAACATAGCGCCAGATGTCAGGTCCCATTGCATCTTGCGACTGCCTGCAGGACCCTACGAGAAGCTTCAATGGGCGGTAAACACCACGACTCATACTACGAATGAAGTGATGTCCAAGCAGCGCGAGTGTGATGTGCGTCTAGAGAAGGAGGAGTTTCTCGCTTTCGGTAACCTTCGGGCCGGAGAGAGAGTTCAGAGCATTAACATCCTTCGCGAACTTGGATGCTCTAACCTGGACCACACAAACCCTGCCGTGGCCGTCCTTCTTNTGCAAGCTTTGTGGGAAGCTGGAAGCCCCTCTCCAGATAATCTTCGGCAAGGACATTCGNAATTCCTCAATCCTGACTTCCGTCAGAAATTGCTTACTCTGCTTCGCCGAAGATTGACAGCTATCGAAAACAATTGGAACAAACAATACAGCATGATGACCATGATACAGCTTGCCTTACGCCTGCTGTCGTTGACTCCTGACAACGAAACACAGACTGGCTGTCTACTTCTTCTAAGAGATGCACGAAAGGTCACACTCAAGTGGTGTCACCAACTCGAAGCTCACATTCACCAATCCTCAGATCACGAGGACGTCCAGAACGATGCTGTTGAACGATTGCTTCTTGTTGCTCTTCTGTGCTACAGCACCTTCGATGTCGAGGAACGACATATTCATCATCTTCTCGCATCGGCTGATGACCTTTCAGTCGCAGCCGAGGCACAGGCGATCGTTTGCGACAGTGCACCGGGCGACAAGAAAACCTTGCCTTCACTTATACAACAGAGCCTTGTTCGCCACTTCAAGATAGCTCACAAGTTGGAGCCGTATGTTCATCAACTTCTTCCGTTTCATGGCGCTGGTTTGAACTCAGCTATTCATCACATCTGGAATGGCGTCAATCTGGGCCGCAAGTGGACTATCTTCTGCAGGGCCTCTTCTCCATGGGTTTCTAATAAGACAATCCCCGCCGAGGGCGGCCACAGTCAAATAGTCTACTTCAACCTCCTCAGTGGCCACATGCTTGTCGATGGCAAGTCGGTCGGCAAAGTTCCTGACTACATCAGATCGGCTTCCCTATTCAAACAGATTTTCGGCTCTTCAGTCCTTCGAGTCTTCGCGTCGGACATCCCTGGCATGGAGTGTCGAGTCTCTCAGCATATTGAAGGCAATGAAGTTCACTTGGGCCTACGCGGCCGCGCGATTATCATCAAGGCCCGTGTCAACAATCGTGTACTGCAAGCTCTGCCACAGTCTACCTTCAGAGACTCATTGCCGGATCATCTTGTCCACTCTTTCCATCATTGGCTCGATGAGTCGACTGGTGATCTCGAATTTCGTCCACTTAAACGCCCTTGGGAAAGCGCTATGAACAACTGGAGGATGACTTTCTCCAGCCTCAACTTCTCTACAGCTAGAGCGCAACTGCAACTCGGAACGAGGAGTCTTATCGAACCGAGCAGCAACATTGGCAAGGGTGTGACAAACATTCTAAGTGTGCTTGACAAGGCTACAAACTGTCATATTACACTCGATAGCTGCTGTCCTTTCCAGCTTGAAGTTGAGCTTCGGAGGTACAATCTCCATTTCGCAGTCACCATGGATGGTGAGCTCAGATCTCTCGAGTTTAATGCCATTGTGGACCCTGATCAGAACGTTGGCACCTTTATTGGCTTACACAACAAGCTTGTCCTTCGCAGTGCCGCCCCTTCCGGTTGCCCTGAAGAGCGCCAGATCCTGGTGCCTTTTGGAGAGGTCACAGTCTGCAGGGATGACACTCACGTCAACGTCAATGTTCAAGATGCTGAAGGCTCGAAGCGCCAGCATTTTGTCTACTCATTAGATCGCCATCTTCGCAAGCTGCGAGGTGCACAAGATGCCCTCGCCCTTTTGTATCAAGCATACCTCCACGCGCTTACCTCATTCTGCCTGCCCGATCCCCTCACCGGTAACACGGGTGTCGAAGAGGCCATCGACATCCTCAAAGGAGCTTCTCTCTTCACATCCTCGCCATTGAACAAGCAGGAAATTATCTTGCTTGAAGCTATTGCAGCCCTAACCCCTTCTCGTGAATTCTATCCACAACACCTGAAGGTCATGCAAAGCGTAACCTGGGATGCGAACATACCTGCACACTCTCAGCACGATGATTTCGTTCTGGCTGTCCAAGCAATCGTGGACCACCGCCAAAAGTGCGAGAGAGCTCATGGACAAAAGAGTAACTGCTCAATCGAGCGGGGAGATCAAGCTTTGCTCGAGAGAGCTCGCAAGAGAAACGTGTCTGTCATGAGGACCGGTATGGTTACTAATGCCGCCTGCTCTGCGGATGACGATAGAGCGTACAACGACCGAGGTAGATATGAGCAAAACATCCAGGCAGAGAGGGTGCACGAGATTGCATCACTTGTGCAAGATTGGCCTTCTCGTCTCTGCGTCCACTCGGGCGCCGTTTCACTGCTAAGTGGATGGGAAGTGCGTGGCTATCAAACTTCTTTTGACTATGACAAGGTCACTATGCACCACCTTACCACCATGAACTTGCCGCCGCACTGGGGATCGCTGTACAACATGTGTCGATTCGCTCAGAAAGCCTCGATGTTGTATCCACTGATGTTTACGTTCTGCGCAATTGCTTTGGAAGCAAAGCCTGAAGATTTGGTTCAAATTCGGACACTGCTTGCATTCGCTTTCAACAAAGCTTTCCGCACATTGGATCCGCCCCTTGACCATGATGGGTACAAGTTAGCCAACGGTTCATCATCAACTGCAGAAAAGATCACTGTCGCGGTCAGAAGTAATGCGAACACGCCTACATTCCCTCCCAATGCCAGTGAGGAGCAATACGAAGAGTACAAGAAGAAGATGCCTGTGTTTAATGAGCAGACCGAACGGTACGCTCGCCTTATTTTGGCACAGTGGCCCAATGAGACATTGGTACAACCCGAGGGTTCATATACCATGGTTTACCTTAGTCCTGCTCTATCTGAATGCGCAGCACTGTTCTCGGAATGGCACAAGAATCGCCGTTTCCTAGCTCATCTCGGACTTGTTGATGAGCAGCTCCAGACAATTCGGTCACCTCTCGTCAGATACCCTTGGCCTTTCACCTCTCTACAGCATTCTCCGATGCGTTATCATCCTCAGCCGGCACCGGACCTTCACAGATTGCTCTCACAGCATGGGAGAGCATCCCCTGCAGACATATTCCAGACCTGCGTTGCCGCATCTCCGTTAGTGCTTCAACCTGCCTCGGTGTCGGTGCATTCCGAGAACGATGCCTCCTTGACGCGCCTTGCTGATACACTCTCTGCTCGGCAAAGCTCCACGCACAGAGACTATGCCTCAACCTTGCGCTCGAGCTTGGATGCCTTGAGGGCTCACAAGGTAGAATCGGATGACCAGAGCTTATCTCTCAGCAGCCGAGACTTTGAGATGTATCATACTGCCCTGTCAAAATCGGTCGGAGACATTCTACAGCACATCCGCGGTACTTTGGCACCCAGCACAAGTGCCGAGGCTATGTTATCCTCTGCCGGTCTGTGGCCGCGATGCTCCGAAGGAAGTCTTCTGCGCCATCTCTCTGCCGCCAACATCTCCAGTCTTGGATCATCTTGGAAGACTGTGCTATTGTTCTTGGCTGAGAGCATCGCTTCTTTGCAGCGCGCTGAACGCATGCTCGCACTCCACAAGAAGCAAAATTACAGGAACCTTCTCAAGGAGCTTCGAACACCAGGTAGAGAGGGCTGGTCCGTGGGAGTACACCCTAGCTGGCTACTTCTCGAAGTCGAGAACAACATCACCATTCGTCCTCTTCAAGCCAAAGTTGCAAGGGAGATGATGTCTCCGCGGTCAGGGTCTAACTCAGTCATGCAACTCAACATGNGGGAGGGTAAGTCCTCTGTCATTGTGCCGATGCTGGCTGCCGCTCTTGCTGATGGGGCTCGCCTGATTCGCATTGTTGTTCTTAAGCCCCTATTGCGTCAAACAGAGCAAGTTCTCTCGCAACGTCTAGGCGGACTTCTAGGACATCGCATTTGTCACATTCCCTTCTCTCGGAAGACCACGATCAGCAGTGAGACCATCGGTGGTATTTCTGAAGTCGTGGAAGACTACCGCAGGAGTCGAGGAGTCATGATTGTCCTGCCTGAAGAAATCCTCTCTATGAAACTGATGACTAGAGAGAAGATGATTTCTGACAAGTCATTGGCCGCGAGAATCCTGGATCTTCAGCGCTCTTTGGGAACTGTCTGTCGTGACATTATCGATGAGAGCGATGAGATTCTTGGCATCAAGTCTCAACTCATCTACCCTGTTGGTAGTCAGCACATGCTTGATGGTAAGAGCGATCGCTGGCAGATAGCTCAAGGCGTCCTTCGACAAGTCAAGGCTCGTGTGATCGGTCTCTCAGAGCAATACCCTCTGAACGTGCATGCAGACCTGAATGGCAAGTCTTTCCCGGCCATCAAGATCCTCAAGCCACAAATCTTCGATGAACTGCTTGAATCTCTTGTCAGCGATGCCATTGAGGGCCGACTGGCAGGTGTCTCATTCGACTACTTCTCCAATACGACCAGAGACGCTATCCGTAACTTCATCCGATTGCGCGACGTGACCGAGCAAGATCTTTCGATCATCAAACGCGAGTGTGTCACGACGGGGCACTGGGTTGCCATCCTGATTTTCAGAGGACTCTTTGCTCACGACCTTCTCTCTTTTGTACTCCAGAGGAAAAGATGGCTTGTCGAGTATGGCCTGGATCTAGAGCGCTGCTTGATGGCCGTGCCATATCGAGCCAAAGGTATTCCAACTCAGAATTCTGAGTTTGGTCATCCTGACGTTGCAGTTCTTCTTACCTGCTTGAGTTATTACTACACTGGTCTAAGCATGACCCAGGTTGAGGACTGTTTCAAGATTCTGCTCAAAGACACAAACGCTCAGGATATCTACAAGGGTTGGGCATTGTCAGGCAACCTGTCTCAGAACCTTTCCTCGCTAGACGCCATCAACATTGACGATCAAGTGCTATGTAGGGAGTCTGTATTTCCCAGCCTGCAGTTCAACTTGGAGACTATCGACTTCTACCTCAACCAGGTGGTCTTTCCAAAGGAGGGCAAGGAGTTTGCTAAACGATTGTCGGCCTCTGGATGGGATATCCCCTCGCCTTCAAGTTCATCGAAGCTTCTTACAACTGGATTCAGTGGAACTAATGACAGTCGTGTCGTCCTGCCGCATTCGATTCAGCAGCAGGATCTTGATGAGTTGCTACACACAAACGCCATGGTACTAGACCTTATTCTCCGAAAGGAAAACCAAAACTACATCCATAGCGCTGGCGAGAAAGGCAAGAAGCTATCGGTCGAAGAACTACTCTCACTTGTATCGAAGCAGAGCCCTGTGATCAACGTGTTGATTGACGTAGGCGCTCAAGTTCTGGAAGCTACAAACCTCCAGCTCGTACAAAGATGGCTCCAGTACAGGACTGATGCAAAGGCAGCTATCTACTTCGATGACCGAGACGAAGCCATGGTTTTGGATCGCAGCGGTGCCACGACTCCTCTCAGAATTTCCCCACTGTCGGGCAAGCTTGACGATTGCTTGTTCTACATCGACGAAGTACACACTCGTGGCATTGATTTGGCCATCCCTATGGGCGCTCATGCGGCGGTCACCCTGGGTCCTCGGCTTGTGAAGGACCGTCTTGCGCAAGGTATGTTCAACTATAACTCCACTCCCTTAGATCATCGGCTGACTTCTTTCCTAGCTTGCATGCGCCTCAGAAATCTCGGTAATGGCCATTCTCTGTGCTTCGTATCGCCCACTGAAGTACACAGAAGTATATGTGACCTCAAGGGCTGCGAGGACTCTGACGAGCTAACTTCCTTTGACGTCTTGGCTTGGTGCATGGAACAGACTTGCCAGTCTCTGGATATTGCTCGACCTTTACGAGCAATGCATGGTCTTGAGCACGTGCGTCAACAAAAAGTCCTGCACAGGTTTCTTCCTGCCACTTCTGCGTCCAGCAAGCTCATCAGCGACGACTACCAGATTCAGCGTTTCTGGCGAGAGATCCAGGAAGACGAGTCGCGTAGCTTGGAGCTTCTCTACGGTGTGCACGAGGAACGTATCGGTGCCTTCAAGCGCCTCCTTGATCGCAAGTCTACGAATTCGACTATGCAACACCTTGTTACAGAATATGAGTCGATGAACAAGACTCGTTTGGAGGACTGTACTGTAGACAACGAGCAAGAGCGCGAGCTCGCTCATGAGATTGAGAGACAACGACAAGTCGAAAGACCTAGGGCAGCCAAAGCATGTAAGCCCAACGTGAGCAAGGGACTGGCTCATTACATCGAAACCGGTACAGACGCAGCCTTCAACAACAGCGCGGTGAAACACGCCTTCACAATCTTCACCGACACGAGCGCTCAGGAGGCTATGAAGAAACAACAAGTCAGAGCAGCCCACTTCGTCGACTTGTATGTCAGCCATGACTATCCACGCACCGTAACCTTGACAGACAAACATCCTCTTGATGATTATCTCAGACCTGTCAACTGGGTATTGAGCAGCTCCGAACACAACAAGCTCTTGGTCATCAGCCAGCACGAAGCTGACGAGCTCATGCCCAATATCAGAGACTCTACCAATGTCCGTTTGCACACCTTCGCACCCCGACTCAATAAGGCAATGGTATCTTTCAACGACATGAACTTCTACACTATTGGTGCACCTTCTGAAGGCTCCTCCTGCTCTGCTACTACCGTCCGCAACCTCAATCTCTTCGCGGGCTCGCTCTACTTGGAAACCGCAGCCATTTACGACTCTCTCCGCTGCTTCCTGGGTCTGGTCTCGCAGTCGCGTCGTGGCGGAGACTTTGCAGTCAATAGCGATGGTTACGTGAACGATGAGATCCGCGAGGCTCTCGGCTGGCCTGAGGCTTGTCCTTTCTTTGCGTCGCCCTTGCCATTCTTGAAAGAAGTCTGCTCGCTACGCAGAGGAGGTAAGGGATTTGCGCAGACACACATGGGTCATCTGTTTGAAGGTAGGGCATTGCGCCAGGATGCTTTCGATGGCTGTAATGATGGAAGCGATAAGTCCGAGAGCGAGAGTTAGGAGGATGACCACAAACAGGAGACGGAAGACGGCTCGACTTCCAGTTCTACGGAGCAAGCATTGGTTTTGCGTTGAAGGGAAGGATATCTGCAGTCCCAGCAAGATGGTTGGATTTCTTTAAAAGTAGGAAATCAAAAGCACATCCATATGTTCATCACGTCCGTGTAAACTCTCTTGATTGGGAAAGTGCAAATGGCCTAGCGTTTCGTAGACCATGCCTTCTCTCTTTCAACTTACTTGTCCGTAGCTTCTCATCTAGTGTTATCTCGATTGCACCTTCCTTTTACAAAAAGATGCTGATTCAAGAGCTCCATCATGATCGACTCTTCATGCATGGTTCCTTCCTCGCCTTGAATTTGACTCTTACTTATACTTGAATGCCTTTACTCATTTCTTGCTCTAGCAACAAAACCACCGCTGCCATCTAGGTCTCTCATCCCTTATTCACAGATCCCGAACATCAACCAGCCATCCTCTGCTGCTTGACCTCCTCAAGAACTTCCAGCACTTGCTGCACAACCTTGTCTTTTGCATTCTTCTTCCCATACACCCTCTCAACTCTTCCCACAGCACCACAAAGACAAGGTTCAACAGCATGATCGAAGCGAGCCTCACCGTCCCAAAAGTCAGGAGTCAAAGTCGATGTCTGGACGAGCTTGTAGGTCGGGGGCGCGATGTTGAGTTCGGCACAGAGGGTAGGCACGAGTGAAGATGCCGAGGGTGGTGATGGAGTTGGCTGTACCTTCGGCGTGCTAGCGACAACAGGAACGGTGGGTGGAGGCAAAGGCGTGCCAAAGGCTGGGACGGCAGGAGCCACCATGGAACGAGCGTGCGCAAAGTGTTTGATCAACACGCCTTCCTCACGCAAGGCCAAGACGGCAGCACGAGCAGCGGATGTCTTTGCAATCTTCTTACTTGAGAAGGCGGCGTTCTGGTCGTGGTGTGTTTGGCTGAGGATGGTGCAGGTCGCGCCGAAGCGTTGGGGGCCGAGTTCGTAGATAGAGTACTCGGGTTGATCGATGCCGCGTCCCTGACAGAATTCTGTGCTGTTGTTAAAGAGAGCAGGTACGACGAAGGAGGATAGATAGATGTCGTCGGCGAAAACAAGTAGACACAGAACACGGGGACTAGTGCACGCCATATCTCTTCCACGACCATACTCAGCTCGTGGACATGTAAAGCAATGCATCAAGTTAAGCAGACACATGCGCTTAGTATGAGAAGCTCATCCTCAAGGAAAGAGGCTCTCAGCAGGCACGCCTCTTGTCAAACCTATTGTGTGCTCTGTATTATCTGACCCCGAGCAAAGTATGATCGTGGAGGACCAGGTGTTCCTTGCGCAAGACATGACCAAGCTTGCGACATGTGCTTCTCGGCCTGCATGTCAAACTCCTAAACGACCGTCGCCTGTCATGATTCGAAGAGTTGCATCTTGTGAGGGCATACTGGTAGTTGATACCAGCAGCGCTGTTACTAGCAAGCCCTTGCTACACATGACACTGTGACTTCGCAACAGACATCGACGAAGCTGGTATGCAGGCTGTGAAGGACATTTCGGAAGGTTGATCATGCCTGGTGTAAGGCACACCTTTGTGGCCGAATATCACAAACAAGCAGGCACACAGAGAAGCAGAATGACCTACCGTGCAATACACCAACCCAGTTCTCAGATGGGTCGACCTTTGTAGCAGCGAGTGGCAGGAGTGCTGCATCTTTCTGGCCTTTCTTTGGAACAGGGTGTTTCTCTAGCCAGGTCACAGCCATCTCGGCAGCCTTCTCTTTGGCCGCCTTTTTACTTCCGAAGGTGCCCGGCGCTTCGAAGCTCTGGATTTCTTGATCACCATCTAGCAGGCGGAGAGTGGCTGAGAAGGCATACGGGGGATTTTCTTCGAAATCATAGTCGGTGCGCAACTGGCGGATCTGACACATGTCGTTGACTTTGGCTGCAGAGTCACCACGGGGCTTGGAAGGAAGGAGAGTGCGCGGAGCTGTTGACGAAGAAGCGCCCGGCGTGTCGAGTTTAGGACGCTTGCTGGCGGGTGTGTTTGGCGATGGAGCTGCTCTTCTGGCTGCGACTTGGGCATCGAACTGCGCGGCCGACAGCAGGTCAAGCCCTGGGATCTGGGAGGATGAGGCCAGTGAACTGGGTGGTGGTGACGATGTTGGCGCTTCTTGGGGCGTCATGGTGTTGCTGTCTGTGTCTTGATTGTGGCTAACGGATGGTTTGCTGATGAAATTACTGAGATAGTTCATGGCGACGAGGGTACGAGTGTGAGTGTGAGTAAGAGATGAGTGGTCATTGTGAGTCGGTCGCGATGCTGATGATGGTCGTGTCTCGCCAAGAGCTGCGTCTGCCCCTCAGTCACCCTGCCCTACTGAGACTCTTGTCGCCAACGGCTATCCACATTCTACAATCACATATGGAATTATTTAGTCATCTTACAGTGAGACAACAGGGCTCACAAGCAAAGAAACTAAACAACAGAGGAAGATTAAGAACATCGTCAAGAACAGTCTTTTGTGTGTCTACTTTCAGTATCTAAGCAGAACATGTCGCCCAACCACCGCCACTGCGTGCGAAAGACAAGCTATCAACAAAATCACCAAGTGTGCATCTTCCCAAAAGATCGGCACCACATGTACGCAGAGGAATGACGCGGTCGTTGACAATCACTCTGACCAACTCCTCTCTGTGTCCAAGACATTGCAGCTTCTCAATGTAAGCTCTGGCAGCGAATGGAACAGTGTACGCTGCTGAGTATCCATTGGTCTGCTGTGCTGTCTCGAGTGTCGTGTTAGAGAGGGCAGAAGTGCTGTTGTAGAGACCTATCGCAAAGAATATGGCAGTCATGTCGTTGTCGTGACTAAAGTCTGCGTACAACGCACGGTCGAGGGGGAAAGTCGTGGCATTGCTATCCAGAGTACGGTTGGTCGACGTACTGTCCACGACTGGCTTCTTTGTGAGACGGGCAATGAGCTCGTTCGTGAAGCCAACACCTTGAGTGGGTCCGAGAGGGTTTCCAGCTCCGTAACCGTAGAATTTGTTCAGGGATTCGTAGTATCCATAATCTTGCCACTCCGTCTCTGTGAACAGTGAGCAGAAGGGCGAGATTGCACCCGTGGCCGAAGCAACAGTGTTGAAAGGACACAAATCCATCAGGTAGATGATTTCTGTTGACGTAAGATTTGCTCCAGCAAGATCGGCGTTGATCCTCTTCTGGATGGCGGGAACAAAGACGTTTGTCCAAGTCTTTTGAGCGGCATCAGCGATATTCGAGTCAGGCCCATCTTCAAAGCTGGTGCATAGATCATGGTTCAATGTGTTGTTGCTGCCAGCAGCCTCACTAATGACCACATCGACAGAGGGGTACTGTTTGTTGGCCCACCAGTCTGCAGTTTTGGTCTGAGTGAATCCATCCACCCACTTTTGTGCAGACTCTACAACACGAGCCTCACCAGACGAGCGAACAAANGGAACTTCCTTGCGAGCAAGGTCCGCGTAACGCTGGTAGTACTTTACGCCAGAGTTTTCCATTTGTTGCCTTCCAAAATCTGTCAATTGGTCTGCGCCGAGAGTGTATTCGTAGTCATCGAGGAAAGCATATTTGCCAGTGAAGTTGGCCACATTCTTCTTGATCTTAGTGATGGTTGCGTTATACTTTGCAGTCTTGGAAGCCGTGGGATCTCTAGCTCCGTGTCTCGACAGAATTTGTGCGAATGTGACCGAGCATGTGAGAGGGACGTTTGCAGGAATCTCTGATGGGACGGAGAAGTATGGAGAGTATTGACCCCAGTAGTGGCTGATCTGAGGTTGGCATTGGTAGCCATTCTGAACATTACCGCATGTTTGAGGGTTCGGGACCGGAATAATGTGGCCTGAAGAGCTANNTTCAAGTGTTAGCAACTTTCTGACAGGGAGGACAAGATCAAGGTACCTTGAGATGACGCCCAAAGCGAGGAGACTTGCTGTAGTCAAAGCCATGCTGTAAAATACAAAGCGCGAGATGCACCTCCTTCTAAAATCGTTCTCAAGGCCATCGAGCTCTTTATACCCCTTTGTTACTACCCATCTGGGGAGCACGTGGGTGATTTCGTTCGCCATATCCGTAGGGCGAAGTGGACTTTAGCAATACCGAGGGGCTTGCCCTCAACCCTGGCCAGGTACATTTGTGAAGGTCTCCGAGGCATATCAACACGGCATATCGAGGTGGATGATGGCAGTGCTGAGTGAAACAGTCGAGTACCATCGTGGAACTCGACCACGTGCAGATGCACAGACCGCATCTGTCCTCGTCAGGATTGATGTTCTTGACCGACCTGCAGACGCGGTAAAGTCAATTGAAATAAGGGCAGCTATCAGAAATCGAATGGAACATCTGAGCTTATGAATGGATAAGGTTTTGAGAGGGAAAAAATGGTAGTATGTGTCTTGGTATCAACTTTTGAGATGCCCGACTTCCTTCCACCTAACGCCAGCGCTAAGCGAATGCGATGAATGCAATTCTTCGACAATCTCTATATAAACAATCAAAAAAGAAAGGTCATGCAAGTCGTATACGAAACAGATAGGAAAACATGATAAGCATAAGGGGAGAGGTCGTGATATGTTAGTTAGACGTTTCTTCATCGATCGTGGAGGCAGTCATGGGCCTGGCGTTCGCCGGGAAGTTGAACTGACGAGGAGACTCGGTCGGAGATGCTTCATTGATGCGAATGCTGGGAAGACGGACGATTTCGGGCAGGGAGGACAGCGGACTGCTGTTCTCGCTTCTTCGTGTTTGGCTGTTGGCCCTCGAGAGGGATGGCCTCGAAGAGTGAATCTCCTCGTAAGGAGGGGCTTCTTCAAAGCCCATAGTGTCGTATTGTGGTAGCTCGGGAAGAGGAATGCGGCTCTCACCAAGATCACCGTCAACCCGAGGAAGCTGGTGAACTTGCGTAGTCGAAGTTCTACGAAGACTCAAGTTGATCGACTGAGCTCGAGAATGAGCTCGCGATGAGCGCGGGCGAGAGGAAGTATGTTGCAGAGAGATGACCTCAAAGTCGCTGTCATCCGGATCTGCGCTGTCAGTAGTGAGCACCGAGGTGGCCGAGGCCATACGATGGTGGGTCGAGAAAGAACCGCGAGACAACCAAGGTCGAAGAGGATTGGCAGTACCTGCACGAGAGGCGTCGTTCAGCAACGGGCGGCTATCAGACTCTGTAGAGTTTGCGCGCACACGCGAGCCATCATGGCGAGCAACGCCCAAGTCACCATACGAGACTGCACTGATTCTTCTCTCTCGCGGCCTGGCGTTGTGCTCGGCAACCATCGTGTTTGAGCCATTGGCACGCTCCAAGGTGACACGGAGAGCCGTCTCGTGTCGCAAAGCGCTGAGTGCCTCCAAGTCACCTCGAGCACGTGCCTCGCGGCGACGGCGCCTACGGTCTTCTCTCTCAGCGGCCTCCTGTCTGCGCGCCTGGCGAATTTGCCAGAGCGACTCCATCTCGGCTTCTCTTCTGCCTTCCTCCTCTTCATTGGTTTCGGGGAACTCTACGACAGTGTCCATGCCTGCTCTTTCACCTTCGCGACCAAGAACACCTTCGTTCTCGTGAGGCACAGCAGAGTAGGCGGGGAGAGTAGCGATACTACGGATGCTCGTATGCCTGTTGACTGCGGCCTCGGGGTCTTGAGTCATCTCTCGAGCGGCGGTGGTGGTAGATGGGGCGGCATCTCGACGGAAGGGCGACAGAATGGTCTGTACCCATGAACGGCGGGGGCTNTGAGCTCTCGCATGAGCGCGGGCTGCAGCTTGTTGCTGTCGAATGTTCTTGGGCAGGCGGATACTTCGAAGAACGAAGAAAAGGATGATGGCGAAAATTAGAACGGCGCCGACACTGCCAACAACCTATCACCCTTGTCAGCTGGATACGGCATTAACAGACATATTCGGACTTAGACGGACGATAGCAGCTTTAGTCTTCTCGGAGCTGTCGGTCGGCTTGAGGGCGCGCTTGGTCATGGCGACCATGTCTGAAAATGAGCGCAGCATGCCGGAAAGGTTGGCAAGCAACGACTATAAGAAGTTGCGTGAAGATTCCTCAAGACCAGCCCCAACACGCCGCACGGACTTGTAGATGGGGGACGTGAATAACGATGACGCTGGGAGATGGCGAAGTGTCACAACGGCCGCGGAACATGCAACTCTCGACACGCGACGTGTGCCGGTTCGATGGTATGGATGGGTTTGGTGGACACTATGTTGTTGTGTCAAACAGACAGACGGTGAGGAAGTAAACACAAGACTCTCTCCGTCTGCGGCCAGCACACATGAAGAGCGGACCCAGAATAGATGCAACCAAGCGAGAACACGCGCGGCTTGGGTCCGTACCTGTCTGTACATGCACCACCTCGGCGGCTCAGCCCCAACTTGTCCTGTTGTGTGGCGTACCGGCGCGCCAATCATAATCTGCTATCCACCGTCCGAGGTCCGCATCGCCAAGACCCCCTCCTCGAGCTCAGTATTGAACTTCTCCTTTCGCAAGAAGTCGTCCAGTGTTTGTTGCTCTCGCAAAGGAGTAAGATGGACTCTCAGCAGGCTGGCGGTGCAGTCAAAGACACTCCTGCTGAAGGCATTGTTCATGCTGCTTTGGCCAGAAAACAACCGCCGCCAGAAGCTCCGCAGGGCGTCAAGACACGTCGATGGATCATCTTCTGTTTCTGGGCTATCGCCGGCCTGCTCGGCCTGCCTATTTGGTACGCCACGACCACAGTTCCCCGCGCTGCACTGCCCTTGGAGTCGATGGATGCGTGGGCCTCAGGTCAGGTATGCCTCGCCCTTCCGCTCCATCCTATGATATCTACTGAACATAGAAAAGNNACATGTCAACTCGAGTTTCCTGTGCACGTTGCTCTTTCTGCTGCCCATCTTAACACTGCGACCACCACCGAACTTGCTCACCAAGTCCAGCAGGGCTTGGACAGACAGAACAAGTCCCCTTTTCACCGCTTACGAGTAACCACTCCGGGGCACAGTACTGCAGATCAGTCAGCAGATGCGCAATATACTGACCCTTCGACGTCCTCGGCTGTCACTGTCAACCTCGTGCTTGATGACTCCTACTCTGGTCCAGTGGCCAAGGTCCAGCCCTTTGATCCTACTCTAAACATCTACCATGGTTCATTGCCGTCAGCTCAGTCCACCGGTGTGTCTGACCTTGCTGACTTCGTTGCGACTGAGCTTCTGAAGCTCTTCGCGGAAGAACAAATTACTCTAGACTATCTCTTGACTGGGCAGACTGCTCATCACGAATCCTCAGGAGATGTCAATTCTCTGTCCATCGTTGAAGGCTACCGAAGAAGGTCTAATCGTGCTTTCAAGTATGCATCAACTTACCACTTAACATTTTCGCTATTCACGGGCTCAGCATCACCATCCGCATGGGATATCAAAGCAGCGCTCGACGAGTACCTCGGCCCCTTCCTGGCCTCGTTTTCGTCCGTCAGCAAATTCAGCGTTGACACCCAGGTACAGCTGTACGCATCCTTATCGCCTTCATTGCACGGCCCGCAATACGATGAAGTATCCAAGCAATGGACACTGATGCGCTCTGACCTGAGTGCATTCATCAATGCAGCTGAGTGGCCTCTCAGTCCTAGCATCGGTGTAGGCCCAACTATCAATTTTGTTGCTTACGTTCCTTCTTCCAAGCAAGCTCCGATGGTGATTGAAGAAACAGGCGGAACCAGTTGGCTGATCCCTCAATGGGGCGGAGTCCAGATCCTGAACCCGTTGACGGGCCAAAACAACACTGTCCTGAGCAAGCATGACCTCGAGCCGGTCGTGCGCATCTTTGCAGAGCAATTGGAGTCTCTTGTCGGGCTACCTCAGTCACCACCTTCGCTACCTCTTCGTCTTTCCAGCTTGACACGCGAAAGGGCGGCGTCATTAATTCTGTCGGCCTCATCGACTCTCGGAGCGTTGTCCAGGCTTACACTCAAGCTGACCAGCATCGCCATTCCGGACAATGTAGCCGACTCAGTGCAANAAACAATTCATCACCTGGAGACTGCTTGCTCTCATCTCCATGAAGGACACTACGACGCTGCCTTGGAGCATGCACGAATTGCTGAAGCTCAAGCCGAGCAAGCATTCTTTGAACCATCTATGGTTGGCCAAGTGTACTTCCCAGACGAGCATAAAGTGGCGGTATATGTGCCCCTACTAGGTCCTATGGCTGTACCTCTGGTCATGGCGGCGTTGAAAGAAATCAAGAAATTCAAGCAAGCTCGGGCAAAGACTAGTTGAGGCGTCTCTGGTCAATATCGAATAATGCCATCATCGTACACGTCTAGAAAGCCATATATAAGACCACTTCTCCAGCCAAGAGTATCAGGCTACTCGTAAGCACGCTCTCGGCTCGATGCAAGAGAAAGTCACGGTGGCTCCTCAAGCTGTGGCTCACGTCAGCCGCTTAAAATATGCGAGTAGGTTGCGAAGAGGACCATGAGCTAAATTAGAGAGCAATTGTGAGCCGTAAGATAAGCCGCGAGCAGCGGTCGGCCTTAGAGACGTCTCTTGAGATCCCAAGGACAATTCCTAGTTAGGGAATCTTGTCGAGCACTTGCGACACCCTTCACATGTGCTAGAGTCTGTATCTCCACTCTCCTCTCACAAGAGTATAGAGCGGAGTGTACACTATAAAAGGACTAACCCTGTGGCTGAAGCTAGAAAGGGCAACCTGGTTGAGAAGCTACTTACGAACATCAACTCAACACCCATACACGACTGTTCATTTCAGGTCTACCCAAACTAGAACCTCATCTAATCTTGAGTACGTGCAACGCTCTAAAGAGTCACTGATCAAAGCGAACCAGATGCTCGGTTCAAAGGACGTGTGAATCCGGGGATCGCGTGGAAAAGCTTGTTCAGTTTAAAGTTCGCTCATCTGCGGAGAACATGCGGAGTCACAGAGCTCTTCGAAGACTTGCAGGAGTACTTGCAGCGAAGTACTCGGCGTAGGCTCAACAGCACGCAAGACCCTGTCAGCCTCGGTCATAGGGTTGGAGTCCCAGTCTGAAGAGGGGTAGACTATAGGAGGAGTCAATAGACCCAGGTTTGTGCTTCATTCTACTCTTCGTACTTGTCTCTATACCATACATCTATTCTCTGAACCTGCTATCCCACACTTAGTCATTCAGTCACACATCCAAGAAGCCATGTCCCGAAGAGACAGTCCACAGTTCGAGATAAGACCCAAATCTGACGCAACGCACAAGGCAGTTCAAGCCACTCTCGACGGGGTGACCTCGAACCCCGAGACAGGAGTAGCTGGCCTGGTCTTCGCAGCGATCAACAAAGATGGCGATATCCTTACGGCCAACGCCTCTGGTAATCGTGGGTTAGATACCAAGGAACCTATGACCTTGGAAACGACCTTCTGGATTGCGAGTTGCACCAAGATGATTACTGCAATCGCGGTCATGCAGTTGGTTGAGCAGGGCAAGCTTGACCTTGACGATCACAAACAGCTGTACAAGCTATGTCCAGAGTTGGAGAAAGTGCAAGTGTTGACTGACGACGGGAAGTTGGAGGATAAGGAGGCTGAGATTACGTTGAGGATGCTCTTGTCGCATGTAAGTGTGCTATCCATCCACATCCTCAGATCATTCTCTGACCAGTGCCACAGANCTGCAGGTTTCGGTTACGAGTTCTTCAACAAAAAGCTGAGAGACTACGGTCGTCCAGTCGGCTTCGACGTCTTCAGCGGTGACCCGGCCGATGTTCTCAGGATGCCTCTGGTCAACCAGCCGGGTAGCAGATGGGAGTACGGCATCAATATCGACTGGGTGGGCATCGCACTCGAAAGACAGACCGGCATGACCTTGAACGAGTACATGCAGCAAAACATCCTTCAGCCTCTGGGGATCCACAATACAAACATGTTCCCGACCAAGGAGATGAAGTCCAATCTGGCATCCATGCACCAACGCTGGCCAGGTAGCCCCCAGAAGGCTGCAGAAAGAGACCATGTATACCGCAGACCAATGGTTGCTGAAGGCAAAGAAGAGCAAAGCAAAATCCTTTGCAGCGGTGGTGCCGGTCTCTTCTCTCGTCCCACAGAGTACATCAAGGTGCTTGCTGTCTTATTGAACGATGGCACGTGTCCCAAGACGAACAAACAGATCCTCAAGCCCGAGACTGTCAAGCAAATGTTCGAGAACCAGATTACTCAGATGCCAGACTTTGGACGCCGAGGTATCCCTGACGCAAAGCCAGAACACACGAACCCTCTCGGAGATTTGTACCCGCAGGGTGATGTCGCACAGGTATGTCGTTTGTGTGTTACTGCATGTCTCGACCACATACTAACCACGACCATAGNNGGTTGGTGCCTTAGCGCAATGTTGACCATTGAGCCTGGAGTCACAGGCCGCGGCAAGAATACCGCATTCTGGGCAGGCATTGCCAACTTGTTTTGGTGGGTGGATCGTGAGAAGGGCGTTGCCGGTATGATTGCCAGTCAGGTCATGCCTTTTGGAGACCCTAATGTGATGGGAGCCTGGTTTGGAGCAGAGACTGCGGTGTACGACAATTTGGGTGCGTCAAAGTGATGAACCTCGGTGATCAACATGTAAATAGTTTCACAAGCTGACTGCTGTACTTTTTGAATTGAAGTCGCTTCCGTTCTGCCAGCTAAACTTTGAAACAATGTCTACGAGTTGATCGTAAAACTTCCTTGACGATAACCCAAATATACTAGAGCATCGTTTTTGTGGTGGAAAGGCAGTTCTCCACGCCGGCTATTACTTACAGCTGGGAGCGAGCTGGGCAGAAAGCCTTCTTTTGTTGAGAGCAGCTGATCGAAAGCCTCGTACATACTCATCGATACAACCAAGACCATAACGAGTGTACAGTCTGCCGTGTCTTGAGTAGCACGCGACCCGATGCGATATAACCAAAGGACTAGCAACAAGTGCATCTTCCACAAATCGATTTTCCGCGCTCACATGCCCAAAAGCGGAAATGTAATGGGATTGTAACGCGAAGCTTTCGCGATCTGCCGCGTCTCCTCAGGAGAAAGACGCACCACGGGTATTCCTCCTCCTCCTTTTGTTGTCTCGGCCGAGCGCTGAGTTCAAAACGCTCACGCAGACTTTCGTCAAAGGCTTGGGGCTAAGGGAGTCAGGAGATGGGAGATCGAACGACGACTTCCATGGTTGGGCGAAAGTGGATCGCGTCTTACCGCGTATGTATCGCGTTTAGTCGATTATATCATGTGCGAATCATAAAATCTGCATGGCGGGCGTACTGCCGTTAGACTTTTGGCAAGGTCGAAAACGGGCTGACTCTCGAATCCTGGCAGCGAAAGCACAATTTGTGGAGAAAAGAAGTACCGTGGAGTTACATGTGAACCAGGTCATCGAGTCGGCCGACTTGTCATGTGTGAGACTGGGAAGATTGGAACGCTTTTCCGTTAGTTGCGTGGGTACGAAACGAGGAGAAGAACTCACGAGGGTTGATATGGACACATACGCAGCAGCAGTAGTAGCCCTCGTTACAAGCGGAGCTCAGACACACACTTATTATCCGGGGCAAGCATAGCGACAGAACTTACCATTGTTGCTCATCGCAAGTCTCTCTGCATGTCTTCAAACTATTGGAAAAGCCTCTGACCGGATGGCGGGTATCCATGTTGATCGGTGGTGTGGAGTCAGCGTAAAAGTCTCGCCAAGCGACCCGAGACTTGGTTGCCGTGGTCGACGAGGATGTTTGTGACGGCAAGATGAGGGAAAAAGGATGAAGATGGTGTGTGGTTGAACATGTTGAATGAGTAGCCAAAGAAAAAGCANATCGTGGTCTACTTGCGAATAGGTACGTGAAATTGAAGACTCGAGAAAATCCAAGTGCAAAACAGACGATGAATAACTGGTGAAACGGATAGTAGGAGGCTCAGTTCGAGTATGGGGTGTATTAATAAATATGATCGAGGCTTGTTCAAATGATGCCGATCTAATGTAAGCATATCTAGTTTAGCCTTTTGTGGAGAAATCNNCATAGGAACTTTTGTACAGGTACAGTACAAAATATGGAGAAANCGGGTGTAACAACCTGTTCGATGTTTGTTGATGGTCGCGTGGCCTTTTGGTGAGTTCCAATTCTTTCTTCTTTTGTTGTGGATCATGTTAGGGTTCTCGTCCAAGCTGGATTTGCTGAGACGCGATGCCGGCAGAGCTTCGTTGCTTGAGAAACTGGTGGATGTGGGAGACAGGCGTCGGCCAAAACTTCCAGTCAGAGTGGTGCGGCCAGTGCCTTTGTATGACGGCATATGCAGTCTCGANAAATCTGGATGCATGTGAAGGGAAAGAAAAAGACTGTCGTTCCTCACGAATGTATGGCGGGCTTTGGANTGGTGGAACGATCGTCTATCAAAGTTCAACGCAAGAACAGCCTGACTGGGCGTAAGTCAACGCAACTACATATANCGGGCGGCGCGATATGTCATCTTTGACATGCACGCTGCGGGCTGGGGTGAATACTCGCGAAGCCTCGTCGTACGGCTTCCACGGCTTCACTCCGCCGAGTCAATCGACAGCCACCGTGCATTGACGACAAGGAGGACGAGGGAAAGGACATGCAGAACGGGCAAGGATATGATAACAACCACACGATCAGCGCAGAGTTTGAAATTGTGCGTAACCCTGTGGAGGAAAAGCTCACCGACGCTGCGTTGTTGAGAACTTGGACTGGCTCCTTTAGGATGTGCGAGTCGCCAGATCGAAAATTCTCGTCGGTCGTCTGCATATACTCCATATAAATTTGCATTATATCAACCCGCCGGATGCCAGGATTGCAGTTGAATATGTTTGCTATCTCCAAGACCGAGAAACGCCGAGAGTGACACACCTTCTCGATTCATCCAACGGACGACTTTTAACGAGATTGTTATTGGAGGATGATATTGGATATTGCATTTGATTGCTCCCGTAGAGCGAGCGTACAGGCATAATTTCAATCATTCACTCATTACGAGCATAATAACGATCGCCTTCGAATAGAGTGACTCAGGGCGCGGCTCGCACGTACGAAACAGATTATGAAATTTGGATATAAAAGTCAAGGCGTAGGACGCGTTTCGCGCGCGGAGGTGGAGCGCGTATTTGACGGAGAGTTTCAAACGGCGTTAAAGTGGTTGCATATGCTTGGTTGGAGGATGATCGGACACGGGCGGCAGGCAGGCAAGCAGGCAGGGGGAGAGACAGGAATCCAAAACAGTACTCCAGCGCAGTTGTGGTGCAGGAAGATTGACGGTTGATTTCAAGGTTCTGGGGTATAAAGGAGTTCAATGATGCAGATTGGCGCTGATGGACAATGAGTGATTGGTGAAGGAGCCGGCAGACCGGGCGGAGCTGATATCTCGTGCTCGCCAACGAAGCTTGTTCCTGCACTACTGAACGCGTAGGAAGCGGAAGCTCAACAGCAAGTGTTTCGTGACGGTTGCAGAAGGATGGAAGATTGGCTGGGGATTGTCGTCAGGCCTCGTCAGGAGGAGGCACCTGTCGCATGTCGCATGTTGGGCGGTTGCTCAAGCCGAGATTCACGATTAAGCTAAGCAACCCCAATTTCATGTGATACGTTTGGGATGAATGCTTGCTGCTGCGGTTTGAACGTAGCGAGCTGCGTGTTTGTCCATGTACATACTCAGCAAAGTGTGGTAAGGGGCGTTGTGCCCAAGTCAGACGATCGGGGAGGATAGTGTTTGAGAGGCCGGTATCCTGACAAGCGTGCGTGTATGGAACGGGTTGATCTTCAGATTTATGTAGAAGGCAACGGAGCAACGCTTGGACGGTCGACGCTAGCGGCTAGAGTGGCTTCAGCCAAGATTTACAGACCAGGCCGACTGAGCCATCTCCACCAGGAGGCAGAGGGCAGTACCGACGACGTCCTACTGCTGGACACGACGTCTGTCCGAGGCTGTCGACTCTTCTTCTCCCTTCTCCCTCGCTCACTCTCTCCGCCTCTCCCCAAACCCTACTCCTCTGAGCCAGTCAATGGAGCTTTGATAACCTGTCAACGCTCCCAAACGGCTTCCTCTCATACCTACTCCTACCCTCCTCCAGCCCCTCACGAGTCGTTCGTCGTATAACCCTCGACCTCGACCTGACCTGAAGCCTCGTCGACTCCCACCACCCGAGCACCACCCATCGACATCAGGCCTCCATCAAACTCTTCGACACGGCCACACCGTCGCTGCCGCCTAACCCTCGCCCTAAGCCGCCCCGACCTCTCCTCTTCGTTGAACGCAGAGCTGTGGACGGCCTCTTGACCTCATCTCGTCAGCCTCAACAGCTTGCAACCGCATTTCGACCTCGACAAAAGTCTTCATCAGTCCCAGGTGAGTGAGCATTGCTCAAGCTGTTCGTTCGTGCCCCTATCATCTGCCTTCCCCCTTCTCTTGATATGACGGGACATGGTTTCGATCAATCTGAAACATTGATAAGGAGTGATGGTCGTTGGTGAGAAGAGATGGATATGTGGTCAGACTGGAAAGACAATGAAGGAGTACGATGAATTGTCGTCGATGTCTTCATGGGCACAACGACATTCCAACACGTCAGAAAGGAAGAAAATACCTTGCTCCTGCTGGTTGACATCGATGATGCCTTCCGTGTTCGCTCATGGTCAGCAATGAAGCCTGTCTCGAGTATGCTGAGCGCAAGCAAGAGCCGTCATATGAAGTACCTTGGCGGCTCGACCTTGCGGCTTCCTCTTGCACCGCCATCATGAATACCATGGAACAATACCATTTTATACAACGGAGCACTGGCATATTATACAATACTTCAACAGTGTTGCATCGACACAGGTACTGAGCGGGGTCTTTGCGTTCCATCGCCGTCAAGGCATGGACACTTCCAGAAGCGATCGCGCTTGCATTCTTGAACGTAGTCCTGGTTTGAGGTTGTGTCTCATTCCCAGATGGCTCCTTCCCTATCCTTCCGGCCTATCCTCGGCAGTCGGCTTGCCGTCACCTGTATCTCTGGCATCCGCAGTTGTGACTGGCGTACTTTTGAAGCTGCATTCACTAACGTTGAAACCTCACAGCTCTTTCAGCAAACAATCTTTGATTTGACTCGCCTTTTCAAGTCAATTTTTCGAAGACCAGCTCTCTCTGGTAAGTTCTTTCCATGATCCATCTTCATATTTCCGTCCCTTGCAGCGCACGTGCCTTCCATCAGTGACCCGGAAATGACTGACATTCCCCAGACCTATCTGCGAACTTCTTACAAGCCCAGCCAGGTCGACGCGCTCTCATTGGAATTGGTAGAGTCGTTGATTCGTTCTCTACGCCTGTAAGATCGGGCAAGCACCATCTACGGCATTCTGATTTCCAGTCGACATCCGAGCCTTAATTCGCAAGGGATTCACTTCTCTGCGTTTTGCCTCGCTGCCACCCATTTCCCAAGGTATGTGCAATACTCAGCTTGGACAGTCGCGTCTCCTCTCGGCTTCCAGTGCTAATTCATCTAGGCTCTCTTGTAGACTCCTCATACCTGCATCTTTCGACCCACTCAAAGGCAGTCAGACCAGTCATTCTAGGACCATCTACAACCGCCCTCATCCAACTAATTACAGTCCTTCTATTGCATTACCACCAACACTGTCCATTTTTCTGTGTCTACACTCAAGCAACCAGTGTTCATACACCATTCACTCATTAATACATTTTCATCCGTCAATCCTGGTGAATTGACCAACCTCGACTGTCGACCTCACATCCTCAACATGGCTTCCACAACGGTACAGGCCAACTACGGTTACTGCGACACCTTCTTCGTCGAGAGCTACGAAGACACAGATGGCATTTTTGCCAGAGCGGCTGCTGAGCGTGAGAGAGCGCGTGCAATTGCGAAGGTCCAACAAAGGCACATGGCTGCCGACCTCTCCCGTCTGACGAGTGAGGTGTACCTGAACGATGTGCTCGACCACATGGAGGTCATGGAGGTGAGATCTTGTGGCTCATGACTTCTTGGATGCATATACTGATTCCTGACAGNNGCCGAGACGATGCCGGACATCAATTCCATCGAAATCCAGACCGAGATCCAATGGTTCATGCGTCCCTACCTCCTAGACTTCCTCCTCGAAGCTCACCACGCCTTCCAACTGCTCCCCGAGACTCTGTTCCTCGCCGTCAACCTTCTTGACAGATACTGCTCGAAGCGTGTCGTCTACAAGCGTCATTACCAGCTGGTCGGATGTGCCTCGTTACTCATTGCCGCCAAGTACGGTGATCGTAAGGAGCGCGTGCCCACCATCAAGGAGCTCAAGTCCATGTGCTGCTCGCTCTACGACGACGACATGTTCACACAGATGGAGTGGCACGTCTTGCAAACCTTGAACTGGATCATCGGTCACCCGACCGTGACTGGCTTCCTCGATATCGCTCTCTCCGAAACAGCAGCAGATGCCGAGGTGCAAAACATGGCTACATACATCTCCGAAATGGCTCTTTATCACAAGGACTTCATCCCCGTGCTGCCTTCGGTCATGGCCAAGTCGTCGCTTGCTCTTTCACGTTACGTCCTTGGTCGTCCTCAGGTACACCACCCAGAGTGGGCTGCCAGATATGACTCCAACGTCGTCATGGACCTGTCAAACCAGCTCTCGCGTCCTTCGCAGGCTCTCTTCCGCAAGTACTCATCCGCTCACCTCTCCAACGTGGCTACCACCCTGGAGCAGTTCTTGCAACGCCAAAACCTCATGCAACAACAGCAGCAGCAGACCGTGTCGCAACAACCGTACCCTTCGCCGGCACAGTCTACCTTGGATGTTCAGCAAGTACCAGGAGCCATGATGACCCCTCAAACTCCTCAGAAGCCTGTCTACGCTGCAGTCCCCATCGGTGTTCTCACACCTCCCGAGACTCCCGAGAAGGACTTCTACGACAACTCAAGCTACAACGTGAACCAAAACTTGATGCACCGCCTTCATGCATGCTCAAGCGTGACTTCTGCCCCGAGCCATCCGTCGTACCAGTACAGCTCGTACCCGACATCATACCCGTCACAATGAGCTCAAACTGCCTCGTGCACACTCATGACGCTCCATGTTCTTCTGTTGTAACAACATGTATCAGCCAGTCTCTTCGTACCCTCGAGCCTTTTCATCATTGCATTGCAAGCGTTGCTCATACATTACTCCTTTTTTGCTCTCAGCGTTTCGTTTCTCATTGTCCATCATCATCTGGTGGACAGCATCTGCACATTATTACCTCGAACATAACTCATCACGGCCGCAAACACATGCAAAGCCAATTTGCTATTACAAAAACCCCGAGAAAAAAAGATAGTTGCTTAACGAAGGTGGTTGCTGTTGGACGAGTCTTGCTTTCGACTTGTGCTTGTTGCTTTTTTCCCTTTTTGGCCTACATGAGGCTTCATACCAAATTGCAAATCTTTTGGAGGAAAGGGGATACCACTTTGTCTGTCTTTTTCCTTTTTCGTTCTCTCATTTCCTCCATACCCAACCATAGCCAAGAGGCTTCATAACACAAAAAGCAGATGTGTTTCGAATACCAAAAAATCTTTCTCCCAAAACAAAAAAATTATTCTTGCGTGACCTTGACCATGATAGCAACGTGCATCGGATGTCTAGTGCCGGTTGTAGTTTGTTTCTCCCCTTGCTTCATGTGACCTGGTTCAAATTTTTGCCATCCTCAACAAGCGATGCGGCATGCGGGTTGGACGCATGACAGATACACGACAGGACATGCACGCTTAAAACCGTGGGTCTGTCCGACTATCACATCGTACGTGTATCCGGTTCGCGAACACGAATAAAGGCAGACCTTGCGTCGAAAAACAGAAGTTATATATCTAGATCATGCAACGGACCCGCCATGTTCCAATTCCAGCAACACAACAGTCTCTCTACAGCAAGGTCGACATACAGCAGAGTGTTTTCCCCTTCTTCCCTTTACCCTTTTGATGCACACCGCTGATATTATGCGACTTCTTGGTTCCAGAAATCTNAGAATTGTCTGAGCGACGATATCGGCGTCTGTGACGGGGAGTTCGTGGCCACCGTCTAGGACACGGATGTCGACTGCAGGGCCCATCACTTGCTGTGCATCTTCGCACATTTCGTCTGCAACGACTACGGTATCGTCTTTACCTAGCAGCAGTAGCACTTTGCCTTCGAGGAGACGCTGGTTTGTGGGGAGGGATTGTTGTGCATCTGCGATGGCTTTCCAGGATGAGTGTTGGCCGCTTATGGGTGCGTGTTGGATGCTTGAGACAAAGGAGGCAACGAAACCGGCGTGGTGGGTGAGTTGCCAGGAAACGACGTCTGCTATACTCACAGAAGGTCTGCGGGTGGAGATCTGGGCTGAGGAGTCGGGGGCGAGTGCTGGATGGGATGGCATTTCCTCTCCTGCTGTTTGGGTGGCAGTGACCTTGCTGTTGTCTCCGATGGTCTGGGAAGATGTTGGAGCGCTACTGGTACCGCCGAGACGCTTCCATACCAGATACTCGACTAACCTGCGAGGAAGGAATCCACCGTAGAGGAACTTGCTGGTCCAGTGGATGCGGGTGGATCGCATGAGACCTGCTGGTGCGATGAGCACGAGGGACTCGATCAGGTGTGGGAAGTAAGAAGTAAATGATGCAGCTGTTCCTCCACCCAGTGAGTACCCGATTAGACTGAATCGATTGTCATCTCCTGTCCAGCTCAGTGGGGATGAGGAGAGGACTAGTAAGATTTGAGTGGTGAAGAGCTGGATGTCTTGAGGTTGGACGGATGGATCAGGGGTTGATGAGAAGCCGCGACCGAACAGATCTGAGTTTCAATCGTCAGCCGTGTACTGCGATTGTCTTGTATGGTATGCTGTTTCCGAGAACGAAGCAATATCTGCCAACGACCATGTCGCACAGGTTGATAGTACAACCCTGCTCGAATTGATTTTCGACTATTAATATCGATGGAGACCTTCTATGGCATCGTGTTCTCCGGAAATATCACAGACACAGTTGTATCGTTGTGTATGAGGAATTTTGTGAGTGTGTAACCAATGTTGCCGTCTCTTGCCATGACTTTCCTCTTCTCTGGGATCTGGGGCTCCGAGTGTAGGGAAAAGGATGAAAACACTACTCACCAAACAACATCACTCGACAACCTTTCTTTGCCAACTCCTCTGCCAGCCCACCTAGAGCTATACATGGCGTACTAATTCCATGCACTAGCAAAACCTTCTTGCCCTCTTCTGGTCCCCATTCATATACTCTTATATTACCAAAGGGCGTCGAAACGTCTCTTGCACCCTCGAGAGCATCAGGAGCGTAGGGAAGCCTCTTTTGTTGTTCCTTCGTCAGGGCCTTTTGTACTGACGGCAATGGTGAGTCGATGATGCGGCATGCTTTATGTATGTTAGTGTGGTACTGTGAGCTTAGAAGAGCAGTAAGTCCCACAGACGCCACGGCACCAATCGCTAGGCACTTGAGGTCTCTTGCTGTTATATCCATTATTAGCCAACGATCAATATGCAACGTATCAAGGTAGTCCTACAAAAGACTTGAGCACTGTGGTCGATGTTGTCGCTCTCATGGGACATCTATAGCCGAGGTGCCGCAGGATACCGACCGAAGCTTTGCCGCTGACAAGGAAGGAGAACAACAGTGATCGTCAGTAGGGCGTCTGGGTAGACATTCGTGATGACAGCTGTGGATTTGATTTCACATACCGAAGATATTTCTCTCTCCGACAAAGTATACCTCGTTGACTCGGAATCATCGAAAACATGGCTTCGACATTCGACGTCACGACTCTTCGCAAGCACTTTCCCGCTCTGGACAAGAAGCAAGTGTACTTTGACAATGCAGGTGGAAGTCAGGTCATCAAGGAAGTGATCGATTCGGTATCTGAATACCTATCTGGCACAAACGTGCAGTTGGGTGCTTCGTATCCTATCGCTCAGAAGTCGACGAACTTGTTTGCTGCAGGCAAGGATGCAGTGGCCAAGTACATCAATGCTACTTCGAATGAAGTTGGTAAGCATCAAGAAAGACGACATGAAACTCAGATCGAAAAGCTGATTTTGTACGAGNTACTCGGTCCCTCGACAACTCAACTGTTCCGCAACCTCTCCCTGGCACTCTATGAACATCTTACACCCGGCTCAGAGATCATTCTCTCCAAGTTGGACCATGAGGCGAACATAGCTTCATGGCTACAGATGGCCGAGTGGAGAAACCTGACCGTCAAATGGTGGGACGCACCCGACAAGCAGAACCCCAAGTTGGAAACTTCTGTCTTGAAGACTCTGCTCTCGGACAAGACAAAGTTGGTCTGCTGTACGCATACAAGCAACATCCTCGGTACCATCAGCGATATCAAACAGATTGCAAAGACCGTGCATTCCGTACCCGGTGCTCTATTGTGTGTAGATGCGGTAGCTTATGCGCCCCACAGACAGGTGGATATGCGAGAGTTGGACGTCGATTTCTACTGCTTCTCATGGTACAAGGTCTATGGTCCGCATATTGCCATGCTTTATGCAAAGCAGTCGAGTCAATCAAGTATGAAGACACTAGGTCACTTCTTCAAGGGCTCGGCTTCGTTGGAAGATAAGCTTGGACTCGCGGCTGCCAACTACGAACTCACTGCTTCCATCCCTAAGGTATGCGAGTATCTATCGCAGATTCCTTGGGAGACAATTGCTAGTCACGAGGAGAAGTTGCAAGGCATTCTGATCGATTACCTCAACTCGAGGAGCGATGTCAAGATCTGGGGCGAGCCTGTTGCAGATGCTGCAAAGCGCGTTCCTGTGATCAGTTGGACTGTCGACGGACGCAGCAGTAAAGATGTTGTTGAGGCGGTTGAGGCCAAGAGTGACTTTGGCTTCCGCTGGGGTGCTTTCTACTCGAACCGCCTGGTTCAAGAAGTCATGGGCTTGGATCCTGTGGACGGTGTCATCAGAGTCAGTCTTGTGCACTATAATACTGGTAAGCCCCTGAGTCATGCGATTTTAAAACCTTGAGCTGACAAGAACACAGAAGACGAGATCAAGCAGTTTGTAAAGGTGTTGGATGAGGTGCTCTCGAGCTAGGACATTCGATTATGTTACGTAGCCAAAGCGTATATGTATGCAAATTGACTGAGATATCGAGAATGAAGAGTGATCATTCCACAAGCGTACAGGCTTTTCAATCCGACCTCACCGTATGCTGAAGCCAGTCGAAATGCACAGTACTTTCCATAGAGTGAGACCCACGGAGAAAAGGTTGTTGTTGGGCATCTCCGTGATCACACCTCCATCAGAAGCGACTGTGCATTTTTATAGTATATGGTAACGCTATATGTCAGTGTGGGAGTGGGGCCGATCGTGAGGTTGTGACTTTCTCTTATGAACACGAGAAGGAAGTAATTAATTAAGGCTAATCCAACAATGTATCGATGTATCGTAATTTTGAGAATCGGCCGTCAAGATGTTCATGCAATCGTGTGTAGAGCAAAACGTGGCTATAGCATCTCAGTGGGTTGCTCAACCTCTCCAATGATAGTTTTCAGGATATCGGGAACGATTTGGGCGGCGTCGCCCTCGAAGAACCAATCATTGTCTGTGAGACCTCCGGCTGGCTCATCTGCGCGGTCGGCGTTGATAACAGCGACTCTGGCCCCTTTGGATCTCGCCTCGTCAACATAGCCAGCAGCGGGATAGACACTGGCACTTGTTCCAATGACCAATATCAAATCAATCTTTGTCGAGTCGTTGATGAAACTGTCGACAGTGTTGAGTACTTTGCTTGGAAGAGACTCGCCGAACCAGACGACGCCGGGACGCAAAAGGCCTTGATGACACTCTGGACATTTTGGTAGGTCTGCTACTTGAACAGAGGGTAGATGAACTTGTGCATCTGCTATATCCAGCTCTTTCTGGTGTTCCGACACAGCATGGCGAGCCTCTTTGGTGGTAGGATCTAATTCGTCGAGGGGTATTCTGAGGGCGGGTACGATGGGGTCTATAAAGTTCTCGGCGTGGTATGAGCAATAGAAGGACGTGCATTTGACGTTGAACAGGCTGCCATGAAGTAGTTGGAGCTTTTCTGCAGGATGCTTCGCACGTTGCGATAAGCCTNNGGCCCAAGATGTTAGTCTGGAAGAAGTCGGTACAAGGGGATGGCGCATACCGTCAACATTCTGGCTGAGAGCGATGAAGCCTGGATGCTTCTTAGCCAACTCAGCCAGAGCGAGATGGGCTCGATTTGGCTTCGCCTTGAGAGCCATATGGCGGCGGTAACTGTAGAATTGCCAGACGAGGGCTGGATCCCGACCAAAGGCCTCGGGAGTGGCTAGGGAGATGGCCTCGTGAGTCCTCCAAAGGCCCCCAGCACCACGGAAGGTAGGCAATCCAGATGACGCAGACAGTCCGGCACCGAGCAAGGCCAAGATGCGTTTCGACGACTGCAGATGAGTCGTGAAGCTTTCGATGTCCGAAGACATTTTCCGTATCCGTCCTGCCGACACTTTGGCGAGCGAAGGTTGATGCTCGAATCGAGTATGCGACAATCTGACTGTCTGGATTTGGGGCAGCCGTCGAGTACGAGTCTCGAGATCAAGGCGCGGTATGGACAGGAACGAAGACGATGAGTGACGTACGAAGAAGACCCCCGCAATCTGTAAATAAGGTTATAGCTGTCCGTGCTCTCGGCCAGGGTCGCCGGCTAACTTTAGCCCTCGCCTGAGTCGTCACAACCTTGACAGACATCAAGACCAAGCATGAGGAGCTGTCGCACTTTGCTAAGAGCTGTGTCGAGACCTCGACCAGCCCTCTCGCTTGCGAGGCCGTCATGTCTAGCACAGCTTCCTCGCCGCACTCTCGTCTCGGCCGCCGAACTGCAGTTTGGCCAGCCTTTGCATGAGACACATCCGCATCTCATTGCGCCGGGCGACTGTAGTCCTCCCTAGTCCTTCAAGCACCTTACTGGCCACATGCTTACTACTTCTCAATCCANNGTGACTCCCGGAATCTCTGCTCTCGAGTACCACCAGCGCCGCGCAAACCTCGCCAAAGCCCTCCCAAAGAACAGCATCGCCGTCCTCGCTTCCTCCGACATCAAGTACCGCTCCGGTGCCGTCTTCTATGAATTCCACCAAGAACCGAACTTCTTCTACTTGACTGGTAACCACTAGTCACCTGTCCGGCGCAAAGACATGGATGCTGAACAATAGTCATNNACAGGCTTCAACGAACCCGAAGCACTTGCTGTTATTGGTGGGTGCGTCGCAAACATGTTATAAAACAAGGACATTCGCTCATGGCTCTGCANNGAAAAGGGTGAATCCGATGTCGAATACACTTTTCACCTTTTCGTCCGACCGAAGGACATCAAGGCCGAACAATGGGATGGAGCTCGAAGTGGTATCCAGGCAGCCTTGGACGTCTTCAACGCTGACGAGGTATGAAGTTTTCTCTTACACGTGTCCGTCTCATACTGATCGTTAGCCAGGNCTGGAGATATCAATCGTTGCCATACCGTTCTACCAGACATCATCAGCCGCGCAAAAGAAGTCTACACCGATCTGCTCGGCACCACCACAAAGTCCGCTTTCAAGAGGTATTTCTCAAGCTTGAAGAAGGTCCCTTCAGAAGGATTCGGCAAATTGCTGCAGGAGAACAATGTTAGGCCGCTGAGACCCATCATGAACAACCTTCGCGTAAAGAAGAGTGAGGCTGAGATATTGAATATGAGAAAGGCTGGTCAGGTATCTGGTCGAGCATTCACCGAGACCATGAAGACGCCTATGGGTACCGAGAAGGATCTCTGGACTATGCTCGACACTGGCTTCAAGATTGGTGGCTTGGATGGCTCTGCTTACGTGCCGGTTGTTGCTGGCGGCAAGGTATGTTGGAACTCAGTCACAGACAGAACAGTACTAACAGGCAGCAGANACGGTTTGAGCATCCATTACACTCGTAACGACCAGACTCTCAAGTACGTATGAAGAGTGAGCAAGTGGACTCGATACTGACAAGCAACGCAGANNGAAGGCGAGCTCGTACTCGTCGATGCTGGCGGCGAGTACGGTGGCTACATCACCGACATCACGCGTACATGGCCAGTCAATGGCAAATTCACAGACCCGCAAAGGGATTTGTATGAGATGATACTCAAGGTCCAACGAAGCGTGGTGTCGCTGTGTCGCGAGGATGCAGATCTTTCGCTCGACAAACTTCATCGTATCACCGAGGATGGACTGCGCGACGGACTCAAGTCTCTAGGGTTTAACATGGAAGGCAATGTGAGTCGTGACGGTGATATTTTGACTGAGACGCGATGCTAACGTATGAAGGCTCTCGAGATATTGTTCCCTCACCATGTTGGCCACTTTATTGGTCTGGATGTTCACGATGCTCCTGGACATCCTAGAACAGGACGACTGACAGCGGGAGAGTGCATCACCATCGAACCGTGAGTTACTGGTGGAGGGCTAGTGATTCGGCGTTCTGCAGCTAACAGTTGACAGANNGGAATCTATGTTCCAGAAGACGAGAGATGGCCCAAGCACTTCCAAGGATTGGCGATCCGGATCGAAGACAGTGTGTGCATAACAGAAGAGCATCCTTATGTGTTGACAACAGAGGCCGTAAAGGAGGTTGTTGATATCGAAGCCCTCAGGCGTTAGGGGATGTTTACCAACAAAATAAAAGAAGTGGAACGCGCTAAGATTTGTACGGCCCTAATTAGTGCAGAATGATGTAGTTGCCGGGGCTGCATACAGATAGGCTTTTAAGTGACAAGTTGTGGATATGTGCAATGCTGCGACGCAGGAAGGCAGGAACAGCAAAACAGAGGCAGAAAAGATCGAGGCCACTATCAGGCTATCACCAGGAATGGAAATAGGACAATAGAACAGAACAGAGGGTGTTTGAGGGCGCAAGATAGAGAAACGAATTGTGCGGGGAGTTGTGCATACAGTGAGTCGCTCGAACGCGNNAAGCTCGGACGGAGCCTCATTGCAGGGAAAGAGCATGCACACATCAAAACATCCACATCCATCCAGTCTCGTCGCGTTTGCAACTGCTCTCTGTCCATATTCGCTCCTTTCTCTTCTCCTGTGTTTGACCAGCTGTGCTCGACTGACCCTCCAGCCCCCTCTCTCTTGTTACCTCGACAGCGCTGCGACAATGTGCCAGTAGAGCGCGTCCGAGTCGCGTGCAAAGCCGTCCACACACAGACAGCACCAGCACCACACCACCCATACATGGCCACCCTCTCGGCTTTGTCCAATATGTCCAGCAAGCGGCTCCCGCTGGCCAACAACTCTAATGCCGTCAACTCTCCTTTCCGCACCGTCAATCCCGTCTCTGGCAAGCGCTCAAGACAACAAGACCCGCGTGACGCTGGCCAGCCTCCTCTGAAGAAGCAAGTCCTTGATCTCGACCACGATGAGAACCAACAACCGCGTTCTTTGATCCGTCAGTCGTTGGCACAGCAAGAGAAGGATGCACAACTGTTCCTGAGAAAACCTGGCAATGCTCCTCCCACTGCCTTTGAAAGGAAATTGGCTGCTGCGAGGAAGCCTCCATCTGCACAAAAGCCCGTACAGAGAACCGCCGACAGTCTCGAGAGCATCCGTCAATGGCAACGGCACTACAGAAAGGCTTTTCCTCAGTTCGTCTTCTACTTTGAAAGTGTACCCGATGATGTCCGGACAAAGGTTTCGAGGCAGATTCAATATCTTGGCGCCGTATGCTCCCTACCTCCTCTACCATGACCATAACACTATGCTGACTATAGTCGACAGAAAGAGGAGAAGTTCTTCTCGCGTTCTGTCACTCATGTGGTCACGACCCGTCCCATTCCTCCAGAGCTTGCCTCGACAAGTTTTGACGATGGTCATAGCACCTCCAAAAATGACTCTCACCATGCCTCCCTAAAGACCATCGACCCTTCTCTCCTTGATCGTCCTCAAGACTCAAACCTGACTGGTGCTCAAAAGAAGACTGCTGACCTTCTCGAGGCTAGCCTGCAGGGCCGTACCCATAATCCTAACGCCCAAAGGTATACTATCGCCTTCCACTCACCCCATCTCGCTGCCCTTGCTAACCCATTCCCCTACAGTCTTCAAACCGTCGAGCCACGCAAGCTCGGCGTCCAAAGCAACGATGTCTTGTCCAAGGCTAGAGAGCTTGGTATCAAGATCTGGGCTCTGGAGAAGCTGCAGCGTATGATGACAACCATGTTTGATACTGACACTGGCGAGCAACCCGATCATCGAAGAAACATTGCTTCGACCTTACGTAGAGGAGAGAAGGCAGACCTGCAGACACTTCTGCGAAACGAGAAGGTCATCGGTCCTGCCGACCGTGATCTGGCTGTCGCTGCTCAGGATTCTGTACAGTTCCGAGGATACTACATCTACGTGCACGATATGGACGAACGAACCCGTCCGGTCATGGTCCGCGATTACCCCAAGGTCACCCATAAGGAGGAGGGCAAATGGCCACAGTTCCGTCTGACCCCTATCGGAAGATGTCCTTTCGTCGAAGATCCTTCACACACCAAGAAGTTGCGCTTGGCAGAAGAGATGAAGGCCGCCGAGGCAGAGAAGGAGCGCAAACTGGCTGCTGGCGTCCCTATCACGCGCAGTCGCGCTGCTGCAGGCACCAGCCTCTCTCAGTCCACTACATCCCAGCCAAAGGAACAGGTAGAGCGTCAGGACAAGGACAAGCCCGAAGTCGTCAACGATGACCATGTGAAGCCTCTGGACCCTCCGAAGGGCATTCCTAACAAAAGGCAAACCTCAATGGATACTGGCAGCATGCCAGCACTGTTCGGTAGTACCCAGGCCAACATGAGAGGAGCTCCTCGTTTCATCGGAGGAGAACCTGTCGCATCCGGAGTCCAACCTTCGAACATCACATCCGCCATCCGTTCGCAGATTGTTTCATCGACCATCTCCTCGACGGCACCTGGAACTCGAAATGTTGGCGCGAGCAAGGAGATTACGGCTTTGAAGCGCAGAGCATTGGAGAGAGGAGCCAGCGCGAACTCCAACGAGCCACTCCAGTCGTCATATCTCACCGATATGCGCGCAGCGATTACCGGAAACGGAGATCGTCAACAAGCACCAAGAGCGGCCAAGCGCAAAGCACAAGAGACGTTGGGACACATCCGCGAAGAAGGTGAAGAGGAGCCAACCAAATCCCGTCGCGCTCAGCAGGTTCGCAAGAAAGTGGTTGTTGAGCGTGAGATGAAGGCCGGATACTGTGAGAATTGCAGAGACAAGTTCGACGACTTTGACGCACACTGTCAATCTCGCAAGCACCGCAAGTTTGCAATGGACAAAGGAAACTGGTCGCAATTGGACGATTTGCTGAACCAGCTGGAACGTCCCCTGAAGTGAAACTTCACTAGAGACGATTTACACACACGACACCGCGCACTAGGTGTATTCACGATGACAATCACTCGTTGACTAATATCGATCAATATACTTAACCACACCACTGGATTCATCGATCAGCCACGAGTATGGATGGTTGTCAAGAGATCGACACGAGACAAGATTCTATGTTATTTGATTATTGTCTGTTTTTTTTTTTTGGGGGCGTTCTATACCTTCTCATGGGGAGGCACATCTGTTTTTATTATCGCATCGGTGGCAAGGAAAGAAGTTTCTACGAGGGGAGGAAGAGAGAGGAAGCGTGCATTGTTTGCAACTATTGTGTTTTTGCACTGTCGGCTGAGCATGGAAAGAGCAAGGAAGACCGCGTTGGAATCAGAGACTGGAAGATCATCCATGAGTTTATACAGAGCATGGTAAGTGTCAGGTCTTGTCTTCGCTGGTCTGCTGGTCTTGTCTTTTTGAACCTGCATCATACTTGTTCTGAGCGTTCCACGAATGCCAACTGTGCTCATGAGCGAAGGTATGAAGAAGGGGGCAATGTTGGAGTATTAGCTAGTTTAGTCCTCTTCTTTCTTCTTGAATCCTCTTGAGTAATACCAGGAATCACAAGAAGAACAAATTCCAAGTGTAACATCAGACTACCTTTCTTCATTTGCTTAAGGACATGTCCATGATGATGACGATGTCTGACGGTCTTTGCATAGGTTCATCATAATGGGAAGAGCTTTGTAATCCTCAGAATAGTTGGCCGGATATGGGGAAAGTCATGTCTCTCTAAAGCCTTGTATCACGAGAGTTTTATAGGAGAACTCTTGCGGTTGAGAAACAAAGGAAGGCGCGTAAGGTAGAGAAGAGGTTGATCCGCCTGGAGACCACATACATCATCCCCAAGCAGCCGAGTCAGACAAATGCAGCTATAGAAATGCAAGAAGGGATCTTGAAAAGAGCAAAAGTCCACTGAGAGGACTCTTACTGGATCACAAGATGTGAACAGTGACGAGAGTGTCTCTCTGGACATCGACGCCTGGAAGAAGATAATCATGTATCTTGATAGAATACCATCGAACGACATGTCCAGATAGGAGATCAAGGCCACAACCTCGACCTTTACGAATACCCCTCCCTTTCCTCCCTCCGGAGACAACAAAGTCAAATAGTTAACCTTGACCGTATCCTCAAACCAACACTCCAAACGTCTCCGTCCCCCATCATCCCCTCAAACCCAGGATTACAAAAATCCGGTCCTGTAAATATTGACGGATTCCAAGTTTAGTCATGGAATCGCGTTCTGTAGGTCCAGACAACTTTGGACAGGATGAATTTGGATTATGTGGCCGTGGATGAAGGAGAAAGAATCGTATTTGTCGGAGTCAAGGGATGAAGAGGGGAGTTGTAGTCTGAGAGCAACCTTGGGCTATGAGAAGACACAAAGGCTTCCGGACCAGGGATGCAACCAGAGACAGCCTTGGACATGTCGCCTCTCAATGAATACCAACCTATTGTTCAAAAGTATGGTGCATTCCTGCAGCTACACACATTACAGAGTCTTGCATACGAGGAAGGAGGAAGGAGGGTTGGCCAGATAGGTAGTCGATGCACGTGTCTGGCTTCAGCAGAACAACGTGGTTTGGGAAGGCACGAGCGAGAGATATGTTGCTGGTGCTGATCTTTTCGCTAAGATGTTCCCCTGTGCTCGAAGTTTGTCGTATTTTGTTATGGAAGCCAGAAACACCTCTGTTTGAAGTCAGTATGAACGTATAGTAACATAAGTGCGATAAAAACTCTCCTTCGAAGCAGCGAATACAACACAACACAAAGAACCTGCTTGGTTAAGTACCAGGCCAGGCTCTACTCTAGTATCGGCACCAACATGCAGCACATATGAATAGACAACGACAAATGATAGGTAGTGAAATGGAATCTAATGATTTCAATTGACTGTTGGGCGCCCATCCCCAAATTTCACCCGCNNGCCACTCTCCCGCGCGCAACGGCTCAAGAGGGAGCTTTCAGAAGACCGTCGAGATACCGTGCAAAGGAGAGGATAAGAGACTTGGGGNGTTAAGAAACAAGAAAATCGACTTGAGAGGAAAAAAGAAAAAAGAAANAGAACCATCTCTCCTTGGCCCGCCCCATGATCGAGTTCTGTTAGAAAGAGACAACACCTGGGTTTGACTGTTCACATTTGCCATGATAACGTGATCCGCCATTTTCAACAAAATGGAAGGAATTTGGTATGTTTGACTGCGATTACTCGGATGCCTTGGTCTCCTCGGTGGCAGCGGGTGCCTCAGCAGACTCCTTGGCCTCAGGGGCAGCGTCACCCGAAGGCTCGGTCTCGGACGAGGTCCAGAGGGTCTAGTAAAAGAGTTAGTGGCTATTACGAAGATGAGACGGACCTCAAGGAGTGCTTACCAGGTTATCACGGAGGAGCTGCATGATGAGGGTGGAGTCCTTGTAGCTCTCCTCGCTGAGAGTGTCGAGCTCAGCAATGGCATCGTCAAAGGCGGCCTTGGCGAGGTGGCAAGCCTTGTCGGGCGAGTTGAGAATCTCGTAGTAGAAGACCGAGAAGTTCAGGGCAAGACCGAGACGGATGGGGTGGGTAGGGGCGAGGTCAGTCTGGGCAACCTCGGTGGCGTTCTGGTAAGCCTCGAGCGACTTGTCGGCAGAGGTCTTGCGCTTGTCACCAAGAGCGAACTCGGCGAGGTAGCGGTGGTAGTCACCCTTCNNCTGTAGAGCGCATTAGTAGTGCAGTTTGAGTGGAGAAAAGCTCGGGCACACGAACATCTTGTGGTAGAAGACCTTGGACTCGCCGCTCTGGGCAGAGGGAATGAGGTGCTTGTCAAGAACGGCAAGGATGTCCTCGCAGATCTGAGCGAGCTCGGCCTCAATCTTCTGGCGGTACTCCTTGATGAGAGTGACCTGCTGCTCATTGCCCTTGGACTCCTCCTTTTGCTCGATGGAGGTGACGATTCTCCAAGATGCACGGCGAGCACCAATGACGTTCTTGTAGGCGACGGAAAGGAGGTTTCTCTCCTCAACAGAGAGCTCCTGGTCGGCGGAAGCAACGTTCTTCATGTTCTCGACCATCTCTNNGGACTGGAGTCAGCTTTGCGCATGCTGCAGACGATGGATGATGGACTTACCCTCGTAACGCTCGGCCTGCTCGGCGAGCTTGGCCAGGTAGACAGAGTCCTCGTAACCCATTTTTGATGGTACGTGATATGAAGTCTGGTGCGACATAGGGTTAGCGTTTCTGGTTGGAACAGGATATGTTGTCGGATATGGTAAAGCTGTGAATCAGAGGCAGCTGTGAAAGTGGGGAACGAGCGAGCCAGGGGCGGTGTGAAAGCAGACGGGTCCAGAAGTCGCTGGCATGTAATGATTTGTTGTGGGCAAACACAGTGACAGATCGCGAGAGATGGGAAAGTGCGAGCAACTCGTGCCAATTGGTTGTGATGGCAGTCGCGACGCTGGCGAAAGCTCTGAAGGTTCGGAGGTAGGCGGGTATTGTCATGAGCGCATCATCTAGAACAGCTTCTGAGTGGCGCCTTCTTCACTCTGGAGAATCTTCTTTGTCGCGATCTCATCGATGGCAGCTGCTGAAAGAGCTTGCATTGCGCCGTGTCGTTGTTCCCCGGTGTGTTTGCCCAGCCACGCGTCCATCAAGCACTCAGCAGGGGGTATCCGTGTTCGCTCGCATTCTGGCTCGATCTGTGTGTACAAGGTGCAAACGGTGGAAGTTCTTACCTTTGGAAAAGCGTAAGGGTGTAGAAAGGGCGAGTTTTGGGCGGAAAGAGGTGAATCGGTGCTGTTTGTGGAGGAAACAAGTCGAGGGGGCACTTGTGATGGGCGAAGTTGGGGAGGAGCGGTTGTCAACCAGCCGAAATGACGGAGCCAATCACCGCCGAGAGCTGCTCGAGAACTGGAACTTTCCAACACTCAGGCGCCAGAACCAGACACGTCTTTGTTCTTCATTGGGCTTCACTTGGTGGCATCATCTTGATTTAGGACGTCTTCCCTACTTGATTGCTATCCTATGAACGTCTGCCAGCTTCATAGTATCAAGATACGCGTCGAATCGATCACAATGGAGTTGTCAGATAACGAGACACGTCGACAAAGATCGACGTAGACAACGCGCATTTTGTTTACATCGACGAGTCGGCCTCTACCGACGCCAAACCCCTGGTTCCTGCGCTCTAGAAGTAGATGAATCATGCCAAGAACAGTCTGTTCTTTTCGTTCAAATATTGATTCCAATCTTGTGGTGCGGTGTGCTTGATGGTCACGAGATGGGGTTTGTTCCGTAGCCAGCCGTTTTGAGATCCACTTCCAGACCTGTCATGCGTCGTGCATTCTGCCAGGAGCTCAACCAAGTGCATAGCCACGAATCTCATTGAGAAGAACAGTAAAGATCTGATTGATTCTGTATTGGATTGAGCGCCGTGTCGCCTGCCTGATTTTCCCTGGGTTGTTCTTCCTTTCCAGTGCTAAAGCGCAAGCTAATAGCCATGTACGCCATTAACCAATGCCCAAAATATGTACATGCTCGAATAGAGATATCTGTCGTCAGTCGTAGCTCAATCTGAAGCAAGAGCGAGGTCCACCAATTAATTAACCTCCATGCCCTCTTCCTCTTCTTCGTCAGCAATCTCTTCCATGAGTCCGCTCTCAGAGTTCATTCTCCTCTTTCTGCCCTCGGGCCAATTGCTGAGAGTGCTGAGTCTTGCACCCCCGAGTGCCCCGACAGCTTCAAGCTCGTCTCCACCGACAACTCGACCTTCAGCATCCACTTCCTCGCAAAGCTCAAGCATGGCGGCACGCGAAAGTCGTCGGAATCCCTCCGTACGCACTACACGTCCCCAGTGTGTCATGCAGAAACTCGCTGCACGACGCTTCAGCCAAGTTTCTTGAGCAACGCTTGCGCAATCGAAGATGAGAGCAGCGTGCTGTATATCGAGCTCACGGACCAATCTTGCGACACAAAGATGATGCAGGCGTGGCATGTCATAGATATTGCTCATGACAAGCATACCTGCCACATCTTCGAGACTGGGCGATGGAGATGCAGAGTTTGTGATGGACGAGGGCGCAATTGAGTCGGTGTACAGGTAATAGAGGAAGGCGCGTACTGCTGCGTATGGCTCTGGAATGTGCATCTTCTTTGTGTGAAACTCGGACATCTGAGCACTGTAGAGGCGAGCAAAATGAGGCCAGCGTGCTGATAGGATGAAGCGGTGGACATGAATGGGCTGAGACGCGTTCGCAGGCTTCTCGTGAGATCTCACGCTGTCCCCGTCATAGTCCTGGTCGTAGTCATCGTCCGGGTTGGCCGTAATCATGAAATCGGCACCAGAACCCTGCTCAGGAGGAACGTCGAATGTGCGAGCAAGATCAGCGCCAATAGCGGAGAGGTGCGAAGAAACTCGGCTGTCAGAAGTTGGTGTCTGTTGAACAGATCTAGACTCTAGAGTGAGCTTGTTACCGAGGAGGCCGAGCTTTCTGAGGTCGAGGTGAAGAACATCACTAAGATATTCCTCGGCATCAGGGGCATTTCTGGGAAGTGAATTGGGACACCCAAGCAGCCAGGCATGTGTGCCATCCGCATCAAGACAGCAGTAATGCCATCGGTAGTTTGGATTGAAGATGTCCTTTCCGTCAGCTAGTTTTTGCCAACGCAAAGAATCCAGATCAAATGCTGAAAGGCTAGTCTCGGAAGCAGACATGAGTGTCGCAGGGGTGACAAAGTCGAGTAAGCATGCGGAAGAGAAAACATGGAAATGATATCCTACGTTTTGTACGGGGAGATTGGGGTTTGAGATGAAGCGAAGAGAAGAGATGGAGCCTGGCGCGACGGGTGGGTTGCGTTGGACCATGTAGCCGGGATTTACCTGGACACTGCTTGAGTTTGCAGCATAGGCGCCCGTGGGACCTGCCTGTGGGGTGATGGAAGTTGTAGAGTACATTGAGGACCTAGACATGTCGTCGACAGGATTGGCGCCTTCGAAAGCAGGGATGCCTTTCAGGTCGAGCCACCAGATGTCGCTCGTACGCTCCATGTCTTCGGTCATGCCTCCCGACACCCAGAGTCTGTCGCGCCAGATCCATGTTGAATGGTCGTATCTGGGCACAAACTTCCAGGGTCGCGACCATGTCCAAGTCTTGAGGTCGAGGTAGCAAATGTCATCTAGTACAGCATTATCGTGGCCAGTCATACCGCCGCTGACGAAGAGCTTGTCTTCATGGATAACGGCCGAGTGTCTGGCTCTTCCACGGGGAGGAATGCCCTGTACTTCGGGCGAGGTCCAATGGGCGGTTTTGAGGTCGAAGATAATAACGTCGGCAAGGTGAGAGCGGTGTTCGTTTTCTCCCCCAAATACAAGGAGCTTCTCGTTCTGCCAGAGGCAAGCAGTATGGCCNTGTTCCGGACATCAGCACAAGCAAAGGATTGTGATGGGAGTGTCAAGCTTACCCATGCGCACGCCAGGAATGTCGCCGTAGTTGTCGACCAGACTCCACTGCTTGGCTTGCAGGTCCAGCCTGAGAACATGGTTGTAGACTTCGTCGGTATATTGATCGAAGCCGCCGAAAGCATAGATCTGGTCGTTACCGACATAGGTGACGGAAGCATTCACGAGACAAGCAGGCCTCTGGCCCACAGTAGTCATGATGGTAGGCATGTAGGTGTCGTGAGTGCGGCGACGCGACGAGTAGGCGCGGCTTGACCTAGGAGAGGTGGACATGACATAGGTGTTGGTGGAACCAGTGGATAGACGCGACGATGGCGGTAGAGAAGCAGCCGAGAGATTCGAAAGTGATGAAGCCATATCGTCGTCGACTAGTCTATCTCATTCTAGTTGCTCGGTCTTGACTACTGCTGTCGCACTGCACAAAGGTGTTATGTCTTGAAAGCAGGCTATGCACAGCACAGTGCCTGTCTGGTCGCAATGAGACGGGCCAGATGCGGATCCTTGTAATAGACAGACTGGTGAACAGACGGCAATAAATTTAGTCTGCCGTCGTCGTCGTCCCAACAGCAAACTTGGCGTCGTCGGGCGTCTCGTCTCTAATGCCGTGCGCCGACAATGACGCTGTGTCGTTGCTGGGCCAACTTTGTTTGCACTTGTAAGCAGACAGCCATAAAGGGCACCACTCCCTCGACCATCCTCCATACATCCTCACCTCACACCACAAACCGAAAAAAAGCATTCCACTTTACCCAAAGCTTCCTAAGAAAGCACTCTTATCATCCTCTTACCTCTCTACCATCCACGACGACTGCAAGATATCTGCAACCATACTAACGGAGCTCTTGATTGAGACATCTGTATGCTGCTCTCTCCACCATTCCGCTTTCATCGCTTATCTAACGGCTCTTGCAGACAGCATAACTTTCTGTAACACACACATTGCCGCAGATATGGCAAGCCCTTCGGTTATGACGCCCATCAAGCGTCGTGATGGTCTTTTCTCGACCCGTTTCGCTGGTGGCCGCGCCCCCTTGACCCCCTCGCCTCAGACCCCCAAGCAGCAGAACTTTGTGCTCGACAAGGACGAGTCGATCCACCGCGGCAACCTCTTCCCCCGCTTCTCGCGCTCAATCTCAAAAACCAACGTCCGCGACTCGCCAAAGTCCAACATTGCCAGACACGTCGCCAACAACTCTCCTCGCCGTCTTGAGCTCGGTGTCAGCGACTGGAACTTGACCGGCACTGGCCCTTCAGCCTCCAACAAGGCTACTCCCTCGAGAACTCGCAACCTTAAGACCGTCAAGACTGGAAAGACCAAGATCAGCTACACCTCGGCTGACCGCTTCATCCCCAGCCGCACCAACTCGGACGCCATCACCAACTCTGGCGTTAACAAGATTGAGAAGAAGGACCACTCTCGCTCAAAGTCCTCGGCCGAGTCTGTTCTCGCAGGTGCTGCTTCTGCTTCTTCTGCCTTTGACCTTGGCAGACGTTCGACCCACGACGATGAGATTGATGCTGCCCTCGGCCTTGATGGCCTGAACCTGGACGATGACAACGACGACAAGACCTACAACAAGCCTTCGCCCAAGACCGCCGCCTACCAGGACGAGATCGCCAAGGCCTGCGACATCTCGCTTGGCCAGAGAATCCTCGCCTTCAAGCCTGCCGCTCCCGAGTCTTCCAGACCCATTGATCTGCGCTCGCAGTACAACCGTCCTCTCAAGCCTGCTGCCGCTGCCACTCAGTTCCGTCGCCGTGTCGCAACCGCCCCCGAGCGTGTCCTTGACGCACCTGGCCTTGTTGATGACTACTACCTCAACCTTCTTGACTGGTCTTCGGGCAACCAGGTTGCCATTGGTCTCGAGCGTTCGGTCTACGTTTGGTCTGCCGAGTCTGGCGAGGTCAACTCTCTCCTCGAGTGCCCTGCCGACACGTACATCTCGTCTGTTAAGTGGAGTCAGGATGGCGCTTACGTCGCTGCTGGCCTTGGTACGGGTGAGGTCCAGATCTGGGACGTCGAGGAGGGCTCCAAGCTCCGCAGCATGTTCGGCCACGACACCCGCGTTGGTGTCATGGGCTGGAACAAGCACCTTCTTTCCACCGGTGCCCGCTCCGGCCTCGTCTACAACCACGATGTTCGCATTGCCCAGCACAAGGTCGCCGAGCTCGTCTCGCACACTGGCGAGGTTTGCGGTCTCGAGTGGCGCCCCGATGGTGCTCAGTTGGCCACTGGTGGCAACGACAACCTCGTCAGCATCTGGGATGCTCGTTCGCTCAACGCACCCAAGTTCCAGAAGACCAACCACAAGGCTGCCGTCAAGGCTCTTGCCTGGTGCCCTTGGCAATCCAACCTCCTCGCCACTGGCGGTGGTTCTCACGACCGTATGATCCACTTCTGGAACACTACCTCTGGCGCCCGCACCAACAGCATCGACACTGGCAGCCAGGTTACCTCCCTCAAGTGGAGCACCTCGTACAAGGAGCTCGTCAGCTCGTCTGGCTTCCCCGACAACTCGCTGAGCATCTGGTCTTACCCTACTCTGGTCAAGAACGTCGAGATCCCCGCTCACGAGTCTCGCGTGCTTCACTCTTGCCTTTCTCCTGACGGTCAGATGCTCGCGACTGCGGCTGCTGACGAGTCTCTCAAGTTCTGGAAGGTGTTCGAGAAGAAGGCTGGTGCCTCTTCTGCTGGCGCATCGGGTGCTGCCTCGGCTAAGGCATCCCTCACCAAGACTACCACCATCAGATAAGCTGTATGGTGCGTTGAGTCTGACAAGAACATGACCTTCTTCCCTTTTCTTGCTGTAGGAACAAAAGGTCAGAGTAAGTTTTGGATATGGCTTTGAGCTTAGGTCCTCCTCACCACCACTATTTTCGTATCAAGGGCATGGACAAAGACGACTGGAATGGATTTTGGAGTTTGGGACATGGATGTTGTTCAAGTTATGTTTATTGTGTAGGAGCCTGCTGTTTGGCGGCTCATGTTCTAATTGAAAGACTCGAGGTCTACCATCATCTTCAACTTGATTTGCCGCTTCCTAGTAATTGTGATCTGAGCATAATGCAGATGCTGGACATGTCGTATCGAGGTGATGTCGAAGGATTGTCACCGGACTGGCGGGAAACAGAGATGGTATGGAGAGGGCTTGGCGGGCTCATTGATGATGCGGACGCGGATGCGGATGATGATGGTCCATTTCTCCGCCGTGCCCGCGTTTGCAAGAGGCCGAACAAAAGTCGATGGTCGAAGCGGCTCTCCTTGTCCCACTTCACATCTACATACCGACCATGTCGTGAATCCGTCGCCTCGTGCATTGCCATGACAGTATGAGACCATGTTCATTGCCGACACGGTCATGGCGACGCTGCTTCCACGACTACTTTGTCACGCACCTGCCGCAATCGTCGCTGCACCCGGACTCGAACCACAAGCTTCCGCGCCATGTTGCCGCCCCTCACGACAAGGCTTCCGGTAGACAGCCCGCCACCCTATCGCCCGTGGGACGCGACACGACCGTCGTGAGGATTCCCCTCAAGTCGGCAAAACACCACTATGGAGTCTCTTGCTTGCGAGGAGGCCGTCCGCACAACGAAGACACGCACCAAGCCGGCACCATCGAGTTACCCGCCTTCGCTAAACGTCAGCCCGTCAGCTTGACCCGCGCAAACAGGCCCTTGCAAGAGACTGGTGCTGCCAGCGAAAGCGGCGATCCACAGGTCTTCTACTTTGGAGTCTTCGATGGCCACGGCGGTGCTCAATGCGCCGAGTTCTTGAGAGATCGACTGCACACCTATCTGGAAGACTCGGCCACCAAGTTCCACATGGAGAGCAGCCTGCAAGAGCCAAAAGATGCCGACATTGGTCACAAGCAACTTCTCGACCTGCAACGCAACCTGGTCAATACTTGGAAAGACACCGTCGGTGGCTATTTTCGACGCTTCCGTCCTCAGTACTTCAGCATCTTCAAACCGACCGCGAGCACTGACGAGCAGCCTACTGCTGTCAACTCTATTCAAGCTACCTTGATGTATGCTTTCTTACATGCCGACATGGACTTTACTGCAGCTCAGGCTTCAAAGCACTCACCCTCTCTCCCTTCCTCGACAGACGATCCTGTCTTGAGCGACAGGCCCCTCAACGACAACGACGTCCTCTCCTCTCCCGCCAAACCTGCCTCGCAAAATCTCTCAAACGTCCTCAATCGCCCTATAGGCGGGCACACGCGTTTCCAGGGCGGTTCCACAGCCTCAATAGCCTTGATCTCCACCCCAACTCCTACACCTTTTTGGAATCCAGCATCTCCAGCCACAATCGTGACAGCCCACTGCGGCGACACTCGCATCCTCCTCTGTCGTGTCAGCGATGGTAAAGCAGTACCATTGACCACAAACCACCATCCATCCACTCCAGTCGAAGCGACCCGTCTTCGTCGCTTCGCCGCAACTTTTGTAACTGACAGTTTCGGTGAGGAGCGCATTCTCGGTCTCGCAAACACCAGGTCTTTTGGCGACATCAGCTCAAAACGCATAGGCGTCTCTGCAGAACCTGAAATTCGCATGACCCATATGGACCCCAGTGAATACAGCTTCCTGGTTCTCATTTCCGATGGCGTGACTGCATCCTTGGAAGATCAAGAGATTGTCGATATCGTCAAAGAAGCAAAGACGCCTGAATCTGCTGCCAAGGAGTTGGCCACATTCGCAACTGAAGTTGCCGGCGTCAGGTCTGACAATGCTACCGCCGTTGTCGTGCGTCTCGGTGGCTGGGAGCGCAGAGTCGAAGGCGGAGGTGGCAGTATCGGGACCAAGGAGGTGAGAGACTGGAAAAAGGTTCAAGCCGAAGATCCTAGAGCAAGCAGGCGGTAGATCTAGCCCGCTGCAAGCCCTCTCTCCTTCTCCGTCTCTCTTTCCTTCATCGCCCTATATATACTATGATCTTTCTTACATGTGCCGGCGTTTTGGGTCTTGGGCATGTTGAAGTACACTTCCCGAGGTGGTCCAACGGGCGTGGCTTGTCAGGCTTTCCACCTCACCTATCGTCGGCTGTTCTTCTGCGAAAGCACTTTATCGGCGTTCTTTTCTTTTGGCAAAGCACTTGGGTGTATAGCGGTGGAACTTACCAATACTTACATGTTCTGTTTTCTTCCAGAAGATCTGGTTTGTTTCCCTACCTTTTTCCTGTTTACTCTTTCGTGGTGCTGGCTTGTTTCTCTGCTTGGGATGTGACCTTTCTCTTTTACTTGGTCGTGCTTGGCTCATCTGTTCAAGCGCACTCCTTCTCTTGTTCGTATTGGTTCTTTCCGGTTTGCATGCTTTGATTGCCTTTCATATGATCTCCCTGACTTACAGCAACGCAAAGTAATACATGAGCTATCAATCGCAAGATCGAATCTACGAGTGGACTAGTAGGGACATCCTCCATGCATCTCGGCAATATCAAGATCCCAGAGAAGCAAGGCGAATGGCCATTGCATCGATACTTGAGACATACCCTTCACAGGACAAAAGCCTCATCACATTTCAGCAAAGAGAAGTTGTAGTTTGTAACAATGATTTTGGGGGTATCGTGAAAAGTTCCGAGGGGCTTATTTGGGTTCTAGGTACTAGCTCATCAAAGTTGCTCGACACCCCCCCTCGGTGGTGTGATCAAAAAAGTCTAGTCCTCCCTTACATGATTGTGCGTATACATGAGTCTTTCATTGGATGGGGTACATGATGGGTGATGATGTTGGATGGGAAGTGTGATGAGTGTGGGTATGGTGTGTGGATCGGGGTATGGGGGTGTAGAATATAGGGGATTGTGCATAGGGCATGCAATCTCGTTCGATAAAGCGCTGTGCACCCTTCTCAGCTTTCTCCAAGGCTTCTTCATCTTTCTCCTTCTCACTCTTCTGCAACCTAAACGTGGCCCCTATTCTGCTGTGCAGTTGTTTGAAGTGTTGCTTGTGACCGCTTCATGATATAAATGCGGGCTGGAGCTTGTGGTGAAGGAATCCGATTGTCGATGCTCTTCTCGTCGTCTTCGCGTCGAGTCTAGGTTAGCAGGTGCTGATATCGACGGAGTTTCGCTGTGCGCTCAGGGAGATTCTCTCCCAAGCAGAGGCGTGTCTAGAGTCTGGCCAAGCTTCCGCGTCCTCCTAAGACATGTTGATGTTGGCAGCAGCAGCTACGAGAATCATGATTAGCGACAACTCTTGGTGGGAGTGCTTGGACTAGTTACTTACCAGATTGGCGCTTGATCTGCTCGCGTGCCCAGCGAGCGGTGTCTTGAGTACGCTGAGAGTACTCCTTGTTGGCACGAACCTCGCGGGCCATGTTTGTAACCCACTGCTGGCTGAACATAGCACTGTACTCGCCGTTGGGGAAGGTCTCGGACAAGTCACCAATGACACCCATGCTAGTGCGAAGCAGGGCCTCAGAGCGGTTGGGATCTTGAAAGATGGTCTGCAGGAGGCCGAAGACCGACTCGACGTAAGGAGCCAACAGTTGNGCCTATAAAAGAGTTAGCGTCACGAAAGCAGAAAGAATTTGTCATTTGCACTCACTCTTGCCACCGGTTCTCATGGCCATAAGAGCACCAGACCAGGCATCCATAATGCCTTCGCGGAGAGTGACGACATACTCGAGCATCTCGAAGGAAGTGTCGGGCACGTTGATGGAGGCGGCCTGCTGCAGGACCTGGGCGACCACGGAGAGGTAGGTCTCGAAGGCACCGCCGATTGCCTGGGCAATGTCACCAAAGCACTGGAGGATGGCCGGCTTGAATTGATTGCCGAGCGTCGAGCTCTGTCAAAATTCGTCAGAAAAGTAGTGGAACTCCGGATGATTCGCTAGACTTACGCGAAGGTCGTTGAGAAGGTTATTCATCAGGGCGTCGCAGTACGGCTGGATCTTCTCATTCAAGGCACGCGAGATGTCACTGACGAGGCCAATGGCCATGGCGCAGATGGCAGGCTCTTCCTGGTTGGCGAGAGCAGTGTACAGGAAGGGAGCAAAGGCCTCCATGTACTTGGCAAAGTCCTCCTCAACGGCACTGGCAAGGGCACCGACGGCAGCAAAGATGGTGTCGGGGACTGAAGACTTGGGACCAACCGTGTTGAGCAGTTGGAGCATGAGCTGCATGATACGATCGGCCTGGGGCTTGATCTCGGTCTCAAGACGCTGAATGATGGCAATAACAACACTGGTCAAGCTAGTCTGCATCTCTTCAAGCATGAGCTTGTCGTCGACGCTGACGACCTGCTGGCTCATGGGAATGGTGGTCTCCAGACGCTCCAGAATGATGTTGGTAAGGTGGCCGACGATGGGGAGCGAGTCATTGGCCGAGTTGGTGACGAAGGCGTTGAGGACCTCGTAAGCAGCAGTGCGGAGCTGGTGATCGGCGTCGGTTCTNGGATGGCACGTCAGTTGAGTCCAAAGACACTAGTCTACTCATCATGCATACCTCTCGGTAACCTGCAGGAGGTGGGTGACACTGTTCTGGAAGTGAGCAGACAGAGCGTTTTCCTGGCAGCCCGGGTCTCCAGCAAAGCGGTCGGCAAGGTTCATCAGAGCCCAGCAACATGACGAAGCCATCTTGGGGTGGCTGGACAGGCCGTTGAAGAGGGAGCTGATCAAGGGTTGCAGGTGTGTGGCGGGGTCGATCGAGTCGGAGCACGTCTCGCAGATACGGCCAAGGGCGTAGGCAACCGAATCTCTAACCTGGATGACGGGGTCTTCCATCATGCCAATCATGACAGGAAGAGCCTGCTTGATCAGAGGGTCAAGGACCTTCTCATCGGGGCCCTCCATGATGGCGCCGAAGGCAGACACGGCGGCGTCTCTGTAGTGCCAGTCCTCGGAGCGCAGGTGCTTCTCGACGAATTGGAGGACTTGGGGGACGATGACTCCACCGACTGTCTGGGCCCAGAGCTGTAGACATTGGTAAGCAGCGCGAGAGATGTTGTACTCATCATCAGCGGCATCCTCGTCCTGCTTGGCAAGCAGCTCGAGCAGAACGGGCACCACCTCAGGGGTAGCAATGCGGGCAAAGTTGAAGTACTCGCGCATCTCTGTCGAGCCCTCAGCAGTAGCCTGNTTCACCTGTTAGTCTTGTTCATAGACTTCTCTCGTTCCGCGGCGTACCTGAGAGTTGTCGTCCTCAATGGAGATTTCCTCCTCGCAAACGGTGCACCAGAACTCGACGGCAAGCTTGGCAACATCCTCCTCGTCGTTCTTCATGCCCTGGATGGTCAGACCGAAGAGGGCCTTCTCCATGTAGAAACGCATCTTGTCGTAGTAAAGGCCCATGATTCTGTTCAAGCAGCCGTATGCGCCTTGCTGAATGCGGTTGTCGTCGGCCTGGGTGGCCTCGCAGATGACCTGCATGATGTAGTTACGCTCACCCTCGTTCTCGAAGTTGGTGCGGACAAATTCGAGCGAGTCTCCCAGAGCCGTGATGGCGGCATTTCTGACATCGGCGTTGGGCTCCTCCTTTCTTGCGCCCTGGACGACGGCGGTGAGGATGGCGTTGGAGTGCTGAGAGAGACTATCTCTAAGGTCCTGGTCCTCAGCTTCGCAGATGAAACCAATGGTGGTGAGCGATGCCTGCTTCTGGTGGTCGGCACCCTCGCCAACGTTCTGCACCAGAGTGGGCATGAGCTCGGGCCATTGCTCGCGGGGAATCTCTATAGCGGCGATTGAGGCGATGAACTGAGCGGCTGACTGTCCTGATCTGGAGTCGTTCGACTTTAGTGTTTGAAGGGCAAGAGCTTTGATTGATTGCTTGACGTCCGGCTCGACTTGGTGGATCCATCGGTCCTGGACTTCGCGCAGGCGGGTGTATTCACGGGCGGAGAAGGAGTTTTTCAGTGCAAGACCGGCGGCCATGCGCACTTGGGGTTGTGCTTGCTCGTTGGCGAGTTCTTGTGACAGATGCGTGAGGTATCCAGANCTAGTCATCCAACCGTCAGCACGTGCCCGGACGCTGTGAAGAGACTGTCAGGTACGTACGAAGTTGGCCTCTGCGGCCTGGTTGAGCTGCGCTTCGGCAGCGGTTCTGACTTGGGTGTCNTGTTGGCTGTCAGCATCTTGTCGAGCATCTGTGCAGGATAACCAGCGCAGTCGAGGAATGGACGTACCAGGCGACAGAGTCGCCGAAAGCAACGCTGAGGCATCCATGATTTGCGCAATTCGTGACAAGTAACAGGCGTGGAAGGAAAAGAATTAAACAGGCTGACTTGGCCTGACTACAAGAGCGTCGAGGACAGAGAAGGAAGGAGTGTGTAGTTTGAAGGTCGTGGCGGAGGAAGCGATGTTTAAGGAGACAAGTGCTTTTCTTGGTTCGCGGTCGGAATGAAAATCGCCGGCAGGTGCAAGTGGGACCCTGGGACACGACGTACAGCCAGCCCGCTTCAGAGAGTCTTCATCAACCCAACTCAGAAACCAGTGCATTCCACTCGCTCTTTATGTTCCTTGTTTCATCTACCAACACGATATCTACATAATCTAGTCATTGCTGCCTTGTCGTCCTTCGAAGCACGCGTTCTTTCACCTCTCCGTCTGCTGCTCATTCACCCGACCTTCGCACCTTCCGTAGAATAGAAAGGAACGCTGTCGTCACCGAAAAAGCCAAGACAAAAATGAAGGAAAGCACAGTGACACCTTCACCTTTTTCCATCAAGATGTTCGATTTGTTTGAATAGAGATGTATACAAATGCACTATCCTACAGCCTACCGTCCTCGAAACGTCCTCTCATCACCATCCAGGGTCTCTATACACTGACATTGCTGAAGGATTTTTCCCTACTGAGGTCGTCGCTGGGTTGACCCCTCATGGATGGTTTGCTGTAAACAATAGCACTGACCATGTAAACAGTGGTCCGCCCTCGGCCACCACCATCATTAGCAAATGCCATCGCTCTCGGCCCTTTGACATTTTGCTCTCACTTAACTAGCACGCTATCTCGAATAGCACGATTTGACAATTTTTTCTTTTGAGCAGTGGGGCTGCGAGTAAGTTTGGCGATAGTCCCGTCTTCGTCTCAGCCACTTTCTGTCGCCCAGGCAATGGCTGTATAGAAAGGCGCAGCGACTTATACTGTTCTGGATCAACTTATACATGCTAGTATGCTACCGTTTATGCTGAGCTTCTTCACGTATTGACAAATAATACAGACTGGTTTGAACTTATCCATCAGACATCGGTCATGTTGCTGGCGGCCATGTTGACATTCTAGTGCGCTGATACTACTGCTCGTCGCAGCGCGACATCAATGTCCTTACGACGATATCCCGGTGCTCGCATCAAGCAAGTGCCTGCCAAGCTCATGTCNTGTATTTCCGGTCAACATGGATCGTTTCGACAAGTACAAAGATACTTACGCTCAACGAATTTTCCAATGTCAATAGTGTAGCGACACTTGACCACCGGCTGGAAGGCATATGTGTACATGTCACCGCTCACCGGCATGGCTCCATACTGTTGGCTAGTAATAGGAGCTGTCGACCTTCGCTCGTCAATCTGCGTGTCGAAGTGCGTTTGTGTCTCGGGGTAAGGTCTCCTGGTGGCAGGACTGTCCAACGCTGGAGGCATGTAATCTATGTTCGGGAGACCAGGATAATACGCAGAGTGACTGGGACGAGTAACAATTTCTGCAGCGGCCAATTTCTGGACGTATGCGGTCATTGGATCCATGGGAGGTGACGCCACGGAGGACCCAGGGCTAAAGGACTCTTCCTCTGGCAACTCAATATTGGCGTAAGTCGCACTGGGATCCAGATGAATGCCTTTCTCCGCAAGGTAACCCTCGACATCGTATGCATCGAACCACTCACCATCNCTGACACATCGTTAGCTTTGTACGCTCCTTCCCACACGCAGAAGAAATCTTACCATGCCCGTGACTCCGCGTAACAGCATCTCTGCAGTCACGGCCTCTTCGATGGTAGACCCACCAATTCTATGAGGACCAACAGTAGTCACGGCCCACGAGGTTGGCGATTGATAGCTAAGACCACCTTCTTCGGGTGGTCTAGGGTAGTGGGTACCAGCACCACCGACGTGAATGTAAGTTACACCCCAATTAGAAAGCGGTTCTCTGGTGCTTCGACTCAGAGTTGACTGCAGACTATACTTGACTCGGTCAACAGTGCCAGCAGCCTTGAGTGTCAATTTGAACACGTTGTTGAAAAGCGCAGGAACTCGAGTGGGGTCGCAAGCAAGTCGATAGGCATACTCGCAGCTCGCCCGGTGAAGTCTCCTAGCAAACGTCCTCTCGAATGAGCTGTAGGTGGCCGGGATGCCAAGAGATCGTAGCATAGAAATTGAGACAGGATTGTTCTCGATACTCTCTGGAAGGTTTGTTGCGCTGACAGGAGCAGTGAGCGGGCTCCATGTGGTTTGTTTGACCTCTGTCCGAGGCGAGATGTTGCTTGCGTCCGCTACAAGAGATATGTCCTTCTCTTTGATGCTCGGATCTGCAGGGGATGCGGCCACGGAGGAGCCCAACTCTGGAGATTTGCTCGAACCCAGCGAGTCCACTCGACCCTGGCCAGCAGAGTACATCTGGCCGATACTTTCCAGATCGGCCAGCATAGTGGGCGGAACATTGGTGGCAGAACATTGCTCGGAGAATTTGCTGAAGGTCTGGTTCATCGACTGGATGGTCGACTGGAGCTCTTGGACTTGTTTGCGCAGATCGTTGATAGTGTCCTCCTTTCTTTGTCGGTAGGCTCTTTGGGCCAGACGGATCTGTGACCTTCGTTTCNNTGTACAAAGTCAGTAGGTTGTTGGCATGATGAAATAAGGCAGCAGTGTCAACAATGCTAATTGAACCACACACACATATATATATTTTTTCTTCCTGTCCTCTCCTCCCGCACATAACAGAGTACTCACATCAGCAGTCGACTCGTCCTGTGGGTCCAATCGTGGTCTTCCTCGTTTCTTGCTCTCATCGTTGTTGTAGTCAGACTCATCCCTCGATCGTCTCAGTCTACCCTTCTTCTCAGGCTGTGTCGAGCCGATTCGATTTGCTGACATGCTTGTGGTGTACCCCAACAAGCCGACTCAAGCGAGTCGATTCTTTTCGTTCAGTTTCGGGTCTTTGCCGAAGCCTCAAAGTGGCGTCGACGCAAGCTGAGACGCCTGTGCTGTATAAAATACTAAGTTCGCCCTTATAGCTAGGGATTCCACCGATATGATGGCAAGACCCGCTGCAATTTATCGATTAGGCTTTGGATGGTGGAAAGAGCAGAAGGAAGATCAGTAATCGAATGTCGGGGAAGTGATGGCTGTCCGACCGTTGCGGCGGGGGCAATTGTGACAGGCGGCACAGGCGCCAAGTGTGTCTGTTTCACTCAACGTCTGTTGACCGAGGTACGCTGTTCCTACTCGTCCTTTTCCTCCAACAATACAAGGATTGATGCTCTCGGCTTCTCTCAAGGCGGTCAGTTCCTCTCGTGCATCTCTCGCCAACTCTTCTATTGCAGGAGCATCGACACAATAGACGAATATTACTGGAACACATCTTGACACGATGAGGACCCTGTGTGACTTGACGTGCTCTCATCGTATACGCGAAGATTACTAAGTACAACTACGCTCGAGTTGCTCAAGCACAGATCTAGCCAACTATGTCTCTGCGAGACATCACCCAGGATCTTGCTGTCTCTGGACCCCTGCTTCGGACAATCGTGGCCTCTGACACCCTCGAGAGTTTGCGAGTGTAGTCGAAGGCCACGGCTACCCTGATACGTAAAGTGGATCGGCATACCGAAAACATGTACACTTGTGCTCTGTCAACAGTACCACAGTGTTGAGGTGATACTGTCATGCTCTCTGGAATGGATGGCAAAGAAGATTTCGGTAAGAACTCATCTTCCACGCGGATCTCGGAAAAAGGTCTGTACCAAAGGGAGTGATGCGGCAATACGACTTACTGCGACGATGACAGCTCCCACTCGCGCTCAACACATATGCGTCTTTGAGACATTGCGCTTACGACGTTTTAACAAATTTTGTGTCTTGTATAAGACTTTCTCCATACTTGCCTTGAAGTCTTGCACGTCTCGTCTGCTCATGTCAGATTTGCCTTCTGGTTCTGAGAGCACATCGCTAGTCTGAAAAGGTAGAGCAAGCTCTTTTGATCTCGTGTTTTTGTGTAGTTTGCAAATTCGAAATCAAACATGCATGTCTTGTCTTGGGAAGAGCTGCTTTCTGTTTCGTTTGATGTACTGCTTGGACGTCTCAGTCTTGTATATCCTGGGTCGTTCTATCCTGGGAGTTCTCACATTATAAGAGTTGGATATGTGCTTCCAGCAGAACATCTCTCTTGCTCAGTTACAGCCGGACCCATCAGCTCAAAAGGCGGCCCATCGTTACACACCTACAGCAACATGCCGGATTTCATAAGCAAGCTTCTGACTGAATCCACCGTTGTGTCATTCAGTGACCCCAAGCTCAAGTACAAGCTCAAGAAGCGCGTCGGACACGGTGGCTTTGGCAATGTGTTTGAGGTCCAGAGGCTCAAGGACCAGCAAGTCTTCGCCATGAAGGTTGTTCCCACGGTTGGCTCTCACCGCAAATAACCCAAAGCAGTCATGTTTCGTGCCGAGGCTACGCGACTCACGCAAGCCAAGAATCACCCCAATGTCATGGAGCTCCTGGACCTTCTCGTCTTTGAAGAACTGAAGGAAGGCGGCATCATACTGCAGTTCGCTACCGAGGGTAACCTTCATGACCTTCATCGTCGACTTCCCAAGAGCCAACATGCAGCTTTGTCGCAGCTCGTGACCTACGAAATGACCGGAGCCCTTGACCACATCCATTCCCTGAAGCCAGCAATTGTCCACAAAGACATCAAGCCTGACACCATCCTGGTCTTTCTTGCTGGCACTGAGCGCGAACCGCACTATCTTCTCAAACTCGCTGATTTTGGTATCTCTAAAACCGTTGACGATGACGCGGACCCAGACCTCNCCCACGAGCCCATGTCTGGTCGCGCCTACGAGCCTTACAGAGCTCCCGAGACTGCAAAGGAACTCGGAGACGTTCACACTCGAGGCTTCGAAAGCAGAGCAGACATCTGGTCTCTTAAAGTTCTCCTGTTGAAGATTCACAATACCACTGTCAGCAACTTCTTGGTCGCGCCCACTCGCTGCAGCACTCCCACACAGGCTCTTCCCCTGATCAAAGCCATGTTGACTCAAGATCCTTCAAGACGTCCTGCAGCCCAAGACTGCAAGAGATATCTCTGGTACAGGGAAGGAGCCAGCACAGTCGTTCACAAAGTTGCCAACGGATCCAAGGACAACAATCCTCTGGGTGACAGCATGAAGCGTCTGAGCATCGATTAGTTTGTGGCATCAATCTCACGCAGCTTGAAGCTTTCCTATCGGTTGTGAAGTGAGTGGCGAGGGAACAGGGGAGATCAACATGACCACACGCAACACACTGGAAGTATAATTATCACGGACATCAAACAATAGACTTGAAATGCGTTTACAACCAAGTATCACAATCCAAGTCCATTCTCTTTCTATGCTTGACCGCTTCTGGGTGAGATCATCTGGAGGTACTGTAGCTTCTTTCCCCAAAGCAACCACCTTTTGACGGAGATTTTCAGAGAACATGTGGTAAACTATATAATATTACCTAACTGACCCTCCTCCCTGCCCCTTTCCGCCCTACCGCTTCTCTCCTTGCGCCGCTCGAGTTACAGTATAGTATGTAAGCACACAATACTTTTTGAATTGAAGCAAATATCCAAGGAGAGTTATCAACTTAGGCATATTTCTATGGTCACTCATCTGATTGGGCAAGCAATTGTGCATTCTTATGGCATACTATAGCCTAGTTGTTGGCGTAGGAGAGAGATTGTGACTGTCTCGAGAGGTGCTCCTTTTGACTATATGAAAAAACATTGCCAGCTTTTTCTGGTTGCAAGATTCGAACAGAACGGCAGGGACAATACTTGTATCTACGACTGACAAATATGCTTGTTGAACTCACGCAATTATGTAGAAGGGATTCGTCAAATGCAAAAGCTGAATGTACAATGAATTTTTGATTATGGGTCGTGTCTCATGTCTTTTGTGTAGCACATCTATTCGAGCTTGGAGATCTCCAGAACAGCCTTGCCAAAGTTCTTGCCCGAGAACAGGCCAAGAAGACCCTCGGCGGCGTTGTCAATGCCGTCAGTGACACTGAACTGGGGCTTGTAAGTGCCTTCGTGGATCCACTTCTGGACGTTCTTCTGGTGGTCGACAAAGTACTTGGGACCCATGCCCTCGTCGCCAACAATAAAGCCCTGGACCTTCAGGCGCTTTGCGACGATGGACATGAGGTTACGGATAGGGTACTGCTCACCGGGAGCAGTGTTGTATTGCGAGATCATGCCGCAGCAGATAATACGACCAAAGTTGTTCATGGCGTTGATGGCGGCCTCGAGGTGCTCACCACCGACGTTCTCGTAGTAGATGTCGACACCGTTGGGGGCAAGTCTGGCGAGGGCATCGGCAGGCTTCTCGTTCTTGTAGTTGAAGGCACCGTCGAAGCCGAGGTCGTTGGTGATGTAGTCCTTCTTCTTGTTGTCGCCGACGGAGCCGATGACCTTCAGGCCCTCGTGCTTGGCGAGCTGGCCAACGAGCTGGCCAACGGCACCAGATGCGGCACTAATGAAGATGGTCTCACCCTTCTTGGGCTCGCCAATGGCGTAGAAGCTCGAGTAGGCGGTAAGACCGGGCATGCCGAGGGCACCGACGAAGAGCTTGGGATCGAGGTTGTAGGGGTTCTCAAGCTTGCGAGCGGAAGCAGCCTGGTCCTTGGAGACGACGCTGTACTCAGCAGTGTCCTGCATCATAACAACGACATCGCCGGCCTTGAACTTGTCGTTATCTGACTTGAGAACGGTCGAGATGCCAGAGTTGGTGATGGGCTTGTTGAGGGCGAAGGGAGGAGAGTAGGACTTGGTGCTGGCATCACGCATACGGCCACGCTGGTAGGGGTCGAAGCTGATGTAGTGGTTCTTGACGGTGAAACCACCCTGAGGAGGAGCCTGGTCGACATCGAACTCGGTCGACTCGATTGTGAGGTGCTCGCCGGGGACGGGAAGGCCCTGAGGGACCTTCTTGAAGATCAAAGCCTTGTTCTGAACCATTGTGTATGTGTGTGATGTGTGTGACGTGTGTGATGTGTGGGAGTATGGCAATGTAGTGGAAGGAGAGAATACAGAGGATGAGGGGACTACTTCTCAATAAAAGGAAAGCTCAATCGAGATGACGAAATGGCCGACAAGGCCACCTAAATGAGCTTATAAAGCAGCAGGCCTACTCGGAGCACCAAGGCTCCACGAGACGGTCCATACTTTCCAAATTGGAGCCTCGGGCTCACCAAAAGATGGAAGCTCGCTTGATCTCGCATGTGATTTGACCGCTTTGTAATCCCCAATGTTGTGTGTCATGGTCAGGTCAATCTTCGAAACGGAGAGAAGGCGAACTTCAGGGTCTTTGCTGCGCGACTATCGATAAGCCTCGGCCTCTCTGCCAAGTCGTACCGAGCTTGTCGAGCAACCAACCATTTGTATCAAGATGTGTCTGTCATTGCAGAGCTTACCAGCTCGGTCATACTAGCTAGGTAGCATACTATGGAGCTACAAACATGCCATCGTTTTGGTAAATGCAGGTCGCCGAGCTCGCATAGAAGCACGTATTCGTTGGTCGGCTGTTTTCTCATGGTATAAACTCGCTTAAAAATACCCTTTTGAGACAAACATGCGAATCTTTCCAAAATGCTTCCAGAGCACTCCTACTTGACCGACATCACTCTACACCGATCACACGGCAACCCGCTTCCGACGAGGAGCCCATTGCATTCGACATGTCTGGTTTAGTCGATCCCGTGGCACAATTGCTCAAGGAGACGCCTGCCTTGATCCTGGATGGCGCCCTTGCGACTGAACTTGAAACCCGTGGACTCGATCTCAGCTCGAAGTTATGGTCGGCCAAAGCCTTGGAAGAAACACCAGAAGCCATTTATGGAGTCCATCTTGATTACTTCAAAGCTGGCGCTGATATCGCCATCACCGCCAGCTATCAAGCTACCCCACTCGGCCTGTTTCAACACCTGGGCATGAGCCTTGAACAGTCACAGAAGCTCATTCGTCGTAGCGTCGAGCTCGCTCAGAAAGCTCGTGACACGGTCCTCCAGGAGGAGCAGAAAGATTTTTCAAACCAACCAAGAAGGCTTTTGGTCGCGGGAAGTGTTGGTCCTTACGGTGCTTTCCTCGCCAACGGAAGCGAGTATAGGGGTGACTATCACCTGTCAAACGACGAGTTCAAGGATTTTCACAGGCCTCGCATCGAGGCTTTAGTGGCAGCCAATGTCGATATCTTGGCTTATGAGACCATTCCTTCCTTGCCGGAAATCAAGGCCTTGATTGAACTGCTCGAGACCGACTTCCCAAACACACCGGCTTGGTTGGGTGTTACGCTGAGAGAATCCGACGCATCTCTGCTGAGTGATGGCTCACCAATGTCTGAGGTCGTGCAATTGGTCAATTCTTGCAGCCAAATTGTATCTGTAGGCGTCAACTGTATTCCCGAGCAGAACGTGTCCGCAGCATTGGATTATCTCAGACCCCTGACCGACAAACCTTTCATTGTGTACCCAAACTCTGGCGAGACCTGGAACGCAGAAGCCCGAAAGTGGAACGGCCCCCGTGTGGAGGGCAAGGAACATGCTGAGCTGGTTCGAGAATGGTTCGGCAAAGGCGCTAGACTGATCGGAGGTTGTTGTCGTACTGGCCCCAAGGACATTCAGAACACCCGGGAGACTATCGCATCCCAATAAAATACGCGAGGTAAGTGACATAACGCAGTAGTTCAATACGTGGGCAACACTGACTGGACGTACAGTTAAAAGCCAGACGTTGCTTGTATTGGTTTATAAGGCTATTGCAACTTGGAACCTACTCGATACTGTTTTATGAGTTTTGGAGAGCAACAACAATCTGCTATGAGGACTTGTGGTAAAGATCAGCAATCTTTAAACCTTGAGAGACTACATACGGATTACCACACTCGATTTCTAGAGTCGCGTCAATATAGCAAGTCACAACAACCTCATGATCCCTCTTCATATCGAAACCCAGCCACACAGTCTTCTCACTTCGGTGCTAGCTCTGATCATCGTTTGCAGACATGGCTATCCATGATGCGAACATCACCCGAAGCCCGGGAAAGATGAGTGATCATGTGTTCGGCTTAAACTCCCTCAATCTCTGTTCAGTTGCGCCATCTGGTTCACTCTCTCCGCGTTTGTGCTGTTACACATGGGTTCAGTTCTGGTTGATGGGTCATAATGTACCACTGGTGCAGGGCGGGTCTGGTCCCGGATTCAGATGGCCACAGCAGAGCAATGGATTATCCCATTATACCCTCGTCGACAAGATTCTCCAGGCTGTGACCACACAACTTTGGTTCGTAGCCACGGTCAAAGCTACCGAGAAATATAGCGTTGCAATGGTATACGTGATGCACAGTGGTTGTAAAGTTCCCAGCAGAGTTAGTTTGAGTCGAATAGACCGAAGAGAGTATGCTTGAAGTGGAAGAGTCATCACACACCTTTCGCCTTAGATTCGCAAACTACCCCTACAAATTCGCTCTTCTTCCTCGAGTTCTTCTGCATCTATGACCAACGGTGCAGTTCCCGGCTGACTGCTCATCACCATGAAGTCAGTTCTCAAATTCCTTCTCGCCACCGCGGCGCTCTTTGTCGCTACCAACGCATATCCATTGTGCGATTATCTCAACGATGGTCATACCATGAGCCAGAGTGACTTCGCGCAGGGTACTGAGTAAGGCCAGTGGATTGAAGGCCAATTCGACGAATGGAAAGAAAGCAACGGCACCGGGTCCAACACCAAGAGCTATGCATTGGATACAAAGCTGATCGACGTTGTACAATCCTCAGTAACCATGTTCGAAGACCATGGAAACGAAGGTGTTCATCTTCAAGGTGTAGAAGCATTCGAGCAGTTCTTGGATCCTGCTTCGAAAAGTTACCATCAGGGGGTAGCTTTGTGGGTATCTTCGCCATACCGTCTGCTATCAACCTGATGGGTTCGGTATCACTTCGATCAACATGAAGAATGGACGCAAATATATTTGCTTCTGTGGAACCCCACCCACGAACGACGCCGCCAGCTCTGAGTATCTGACAGAAAACAGACTTGTCGCCCGCCAGAGCCGCAACCGTAATCCAGATACTACCTGGCAGTACGATGAGGAACAAACGTTCGTCTTCCTCAATGCTACCGGTCTTCACCGTTCTCGCAACTGGTGGGAAGTCTGCAAGCACGATCATGGTATGCACCGCGAGGAAGACAAGTCTGTGTCTTGGAGAGGCCGTTTTTCTCCAGGCACTTACCCGAAATTGCAACATCCTTTCAGTGTGTGTAGAGGGTATCCACACAGTTGGAAGGGTTGCGAAAAGCCCTACAACGATGACTGGATCAAAACAAGCATTGCTCCGGCGACTATGCGGTGCCGGCAGCAAGCTATATGGATGATTGGGTTGGGACGATTGACAATGAAGATTTCAGGCAAGGCGAGGAATCGGAAGACGAATCTGACGGCCGTCTGTGATAGAGGGAGTTCATGAACCCGCTACCTACGTGCAAAAACAGTTGCTGCCTGTCTAGATTTGCTTTGCAACGAAAATACGGGAAGGTCTAGGGAAGACGGTCTCCTGAACGTAGGCGGCTCATGCTATATAGCGCTGCCTTGAATCCTCTCTAATATGACTAGTATGATGATAGGTTATAAAAATGCACAGTTCCAATGAGATGAGAAGAAGCATGGCCATAGAGACACCCCAAAAACCTGTCCTCCTATGAACGTCGCTTCCATCTAAAAGATACTGTGCATTCTCACAGCTACATCATGACTATCTCTTGCATGCGGAATTGTCGTGGCATATAGTAGAGATATATAACACTATTCAAGGGAGAGTGTTCGTGGGGACAGTCTTCCCTAGACGCTCCGCGCAGATACTCCTCGCGAACAAAAGCTGGGCCGTTAAAACTGTGCTTCAATATTGATAACTATATTACAAGAATTTCATGTTGAAAATAATATCTTTCGTACAATTCGTGAATGGAACTCAGTCCACCTAGACACCACTGCTGATGGTTCTGGAGTAGCGGTATCTCGGGTCATGGTCTGCAACTAGACCGCCGAGTGGTTCATCGCCGCCTGCGGCTAGAGGAGCATACAGCTCTTCGTTCGTAGTCATGGCAGGGCTGTCCACTCTCGACTCATTGACGATACTGTTCATTCTTGGTTGCTGGACACCGGCACGACCAAGATAACTGAAACGTCCGAGCTGACTTCCAGTAGTGACAGCCTGAGGTCTCTGGATTCTTTGCACGACAGCTGTCTCTCCTGAGCTAGTAGAGCCAGTGTGCTGGTGTGAGTTGGAGCGGAATCCAGTGCCGTACATGGCAGTGTCTTCTCCGGAGCCGCGACGGCCTTGACCGTTGGCCACAATTGCACCATCTGGTCCGCCCTTTTCAGTCACCACTTGATTGGTCTGGAGCTCGTTGGCGACGTTGTGGGCATCAACTTCGTTGATACCAGCAGCCATGAGAAGGTTCTTTCTCTTCTCGACCTTGGCTGCGTGGTCCATGTCTTGTCCGGGGTTTGCGGTCTCGTACTCCAGGATCTTGATGAATTTATAAAAGCCGGCTGCGATGATGGAGCCGAGTACAGGGCCGACCCAGTAGATCCAGTGATAGCCTGAGAAGTCGAGGTTGACAACAGCAGGTCCAAAAGATCTAGCAGGGTTGAGACTGCCGCCAGTGAAGAAGACTCCGGTGAGTTCGGCTATGAAGAGCGAAAGACCGATACCGACAGGAGCAATGAAAGTACCCTTGTGCTTCTCGGCTGCCAACATGAAGATGGTGAAAACGAGCTGTGCAGTCAAGAACATCTCGATGAAAAGACCTTGCACGATGGTAGTACCTCCACCCAGAGTAGTACGGACGTTGAGCTCGCCAGGGAACATGCATGATACTAGAGCGGCAGCGGCCATACCGCCGAGAATTTGGGTGATGAACAAGAGGCCGCCACGAACCCAGGGAAGTGCACCGATCAAACACATGCCGAAGGTAACAGCAGGGTTGAAAAGTCCACCACTGATACGGAAGAAAACCCAAGCATTGACAGCCAAGGAGAAACCAAAACTCAAGGCGATGTATTGTAGCTGTTGGGGATTGCTACCGGTCTGAGCGATGGACTGGCCACTGGATGTGTTGACACTGTTTGCAACCTGGGCACCAGACAGAGCAAAGTAAAGGAAGAGCACCGTTCCAACAAATTCACCACACATGGCGATGAAGTGGTTTCTTNNGCATTGGTGTTAGTGATCTAGACGAAGACGCATACATGACTCAAGCGTGTACCTGATGTTATCCGGAATACGATGGATGAAGGGCAGACGGAGGTCTCCATCATCGAGATCAGCATTGGGGTTGGCAGCCTTGGTGAAAGGAATGGCTAGTCCTCGTCCACTAAGAGGTTGATTGATATTCATCTTGAACTAGGGTAGACAAGATACGATAGGAGAGTGGATAACAGAAACAACAAAAACTGAGGAGAGATGTCTGGGAAGATATGGAGAAGATATCAGAAGAAGCTTCATCATCGTCATCGTCTTGTAGCCATAGACTTCAGCCCTCCACGCACTCAGTATGACAAGAATGAACTGCTGGGGCATGACTAGAAGCAAGTGAAGCCGCTAGGTTTTGAGATTAAGCAACGGGATCTGACGTCGATCCCATGAAGTAGACATCGAGATGGGTCGAGATTAGGAAAGGAGGTGTCCAGAGCTGCCGTTTCTGTCATCACACTCTCTTGGACTTGCCAAAAGTCACGTTTTTCCAGGTGAATGCGTGGGAAGGGGCACGTTTTGAGGCTGGTAGCACGTTGAGATCGTCATAAGAAGGTTCCTTAGCGGGCGGAGTGACGAAATGCAGACGAGAAAATGGGCCGTGGCTGAAATGCACTAGCCACGATCTGAGGCTCTTGACGCGAAGCAGAATTGCAGATTCAAGATTCAGGCCGAGGAGGGAGGGAGGATAGGTACATGGAAGGATTGAGTTTTCCAAGAAAGCTGGAAAGCGTCGGAGTCTTTGGCCTCGAACTGGCGGCTGGCATCAAGCTGCATCAGCCACGGCCAGACTTGATGGCATCAAGATTTGGACTGGACATTTGCGACTGAGAGGTGGGCCGCAGGATCAAGCTGGCAATGTTTGCTACTTGTAGGTGGATCCGAATCGCAGAAAAGATGAAAGCACTTTTCCGTTCGAAGCAAAGCAGCGACACCGACTGGAGTCGCTGAAAGCAAAAGTCAATGGAGTGGAGGCCGTTGCGGCTCCCCAGGATGCGCACTAAGAGAGTCTCCTTTCTGTAAGGAGACAGACGCTTATTAGTGTATGAAGCATGGTGGAGCAAGGTTACCGCAAAAGTGATTCTTGTCAGAAAAGAGGTGTTGTTAAGCCTTTAAAAGGAAGTCGTTCGCTAAGAATAGCGTACTAAAGTCGCGTCGAGGATAGATTAAAGCGACATATCGGAGGTCCGGAGCCGAAGGATGGTAGGTAGGTCGTCTGCCGGAACGTGGTGTTTCGCCCTCTACGCGCTCCAGATGCAGGGAGTCGTTTGCATTTTGACGCAACGGCCATCAGCCATGCAATTTCAAGGTTATGTATTGATTGCGACAACCACCATGGCTCCTGTTCTATAGCCACTGTTGTTTTCTTCCTTGCTGTCTGACTGCCATTCTTTCTGCAT